CGACAACCAGCGAGGCGACAACCAGCGAGGCGACAACCAGCGAGGCGACAACCAGCGAGGCGACAACCAGCGAGGCGACAACCAGCGAGACGACAACCACAGCAGAAAGTGAAATTACTTCGACCTCGTCCACAACTTCCATCGAAAGTGGCTATATGACAACCAGCGACCCAGCTTCAAATGTTATGAGCGACACATCAACAACGACAACGAACGAGGAAACTTCAATGGTGACTAGCACTGCATATTCGACGACAGCGAGTGATACCTCTCTGATATCTGGTATAGCGACTAGTACTTATTCATCGAGCACTTTCGAAACGACAACTTTGACCACAAGCGAGACCATCACCGCCTCAGAATCTACGACTTCGGCGGACATGGAGACAGTGGAGAGCAGTGCCAGTAGTTCAACCTTCTCAACTACTACAGCTTTATACATTTCTACAAACTCGCTTACGACATCTCAAGACTCCTCCAGCAACTCATTTCCAACTTCGTATCTCACCATAATAACGTCAGTCACGATTCAAAGCTCAAGCTTGGTGTTCACACCTTCGACAATCACAACAACAGACGTGGAATCCTTCAGTTCGGCCGCACCTGAAACAAGTACTTCGACAGAGCCTGTGAGCACAACTTCGTCTGATTCATCCACAGTCATCTCTTCATCTTCAACAGAATCCAGTGACAGCAGCCTTTCCTCATCAACTACCTCGGAAACAGAAATTATTACAAGCACAACAACGGAATTCGACTCCACGAGTGAAAGTGAGATCGTGACTTCGACTATCTCGGATACATCACCGGGCACTTCAGTACTCAGTTCATCTGCTTCATCGTCAGGCCCACTCGATACAACTAGAAGACCAACTTCTGACGCTACTACGTCAACCTCGAATGCTTCAGATGCATCAACCAGCCCAGAAAGCACCGAGGCGCAGGTCACAACCACCACCTCATCAGGTACAAAAGTTACTGTCTCCTCCCAGAGCGACTTATCCACTGACCAATCCATAGGTACTTCATCAACCACAGCAAGTTTCACTAGTACGGAAGCCTCCACAACAGACACCTCTACTAGCCCATCGACAACGACGCTAGATAATAGCCCGACAGAAATAAGCAGTTCTTCAAACGATCAACAGAGTACAAACTCCGATACTACGACCGTCACCTCTGAAACATCAAGTAGTAGTTTCACAGAAAGCTCAGTTACAGATCATACATCCTACCAAGGATCGGCGAGCAGCACTAGTGCTTTCCCGACCACGTCAGACATCCCAACACTGATCCAGAGCTCCTTAATCCTCTCTTCCACTACTTCGACAACATTGAGTTCACAGTACATCACCATAACCTCGTCCGCCTCATCATCCTCTGCAACGACTACCTTCACGATTTGCGGGGACGGCTCGACTCTTGCGAGGATCACCAGCGCCGGGGTATCGATCTCGATTTGTGTACCGACATCGATTACAATCTCACTACCAGAGTCCACCTCCACAGACGGAACCATTCTCACTACTAGCTCAGTCGCTACCACCAGCCCCTCAACCATTGTAGAGAGCGCCAGTGGAAATACTACCACGCAAAGTGATACTAGTGTTACCGAGTCATCAAGCAATGTTTCCAATCCAACCACATCTTTCCAGGTGACGACGTCAATCCATGAGAGCCCACTTTCAAGTGAAGTGACAACAAGTACGACTAGATTCACAACAGATTTCGCCACAGAGAGCACAACAAGTAGTACAGCAACGTATTCAACTGAGACTATAACATCTTCTTCTGCCACACACGTCTCTACGCCTACGTTAGAGATAAGTACAAGCCCATCATCATTATTATCATCGAGCAGTTTAGCAACCACAACCTCGTCAACGATTGATGTCACTTCATCGCCAGAGTCGACTTTAGTTCCCATGGTCTCTAGCTCAACGACTTCCTACACCAGTTCGGCCAGCTTCGAAGACACGACAAAATTGGAAAGCACTTCTAGCACGGTGGTCATGCCCACTCAGACCAGTACAGTCGCTACCACTGCTATAATCACAACTTCCGAAGCCACCATCTCTAGCACCCGGATTGTTGACACTACCTCGAGCACATTTACCGTCCCGAACACGACCACCGGCTTTTCCAGCACCAGTATCCTGACGGCCTACACTACGAGCATTTCAGGTTCCGCAGCAAGTGATTTGAGCGCAATAACAAGCTCAGCAACAAACCCACCGTCGTCTTCATCAAGCGGGCAGACGTCCTCCTCTGCTTCAGCTCTGCTCTCTACATCTTTCATATTTTCCACAATAATCCAAGACACAACTACATCATCGTTGACAGCTCATCTCACTTCTAGTCTAACTTCTATACTCTCCTCGTCATTAGGAACAACAACCCCGTTAACCTCCACGAATGTAATTGGGACCACAGAGTCAGCAAGCACCACGATCACTCAAAGTTCTCCTATGGCTTCCTCGTCCATTCCGACCACCAGCTTCTCCCTTTACACATCCTTTACTAGCCTTGGTGCCTCAGGGACTTCCATTCTTACGTCGAGCACATCACCTTCGGCAACTACCGGCATCTCATCCACAAACGAGTACTCGACAGCATTGCCCACGAGCGCAGTCAAGACATCGTCCTCCGTCGTCACTACGGCCATCGATAGTAGTACTACAGTCATAGTATCAACCTCCTTCTCTCCAGACTCAACGTCGATTGCATCGACAATCTCCAGCCCAACTTCAAGTTCTTTGCCTGAGACTACTACTGCTACGATCATCGTCACCACAACCTCCACTGTACAACAAACTTCTCTGACTTCCTCTTTGACTCCTGTTAGCTCTTCAAGCTCTTCTTCAATCTCGACACATTCATCTTCTCCGTCAACCTCCTCACATATCCCTTCCAGCTCCTCGCCCTCATCCTCTTCACTTAGCTCTGGGGTTACCTCTTCTGCCGGGTCAACTGTCATTTCCACCTTTATCTCCTCCTCGAGCAGCGTTTCAACGAGTTCTGTATCAACAAAATCTGTTGATCCGATCACCACTACAATCCCATCGACGGTCATCGCTTCATCGACATCGTCTGAGGGCTCGAATACATCTGTATTCACCTCTTCTCCTTCGAGCTCGGTTTTAAGTTCCACCCAGTTGAGCACGCCTTCTACCATCGCCACTATATCTTCAGCTGGCTCAGGATCGAGTTCAATAAGTATATCCAGTGGCTCAGCTGTTTCCTCTACAGATGGCTCTGGAACGTCAACATCTCCAGCGACATCTCCAGCAACGTCCTCGCACAGCAGCTCGACTGTATCACTATCCACCGCTGCTTCTACAATTCCATCCTCGCCTAGCTCTACGGCCCCTTCTTCGTCCTTGAGCACTTCTAGATCCTCGACATCATCACCTTCAACTGCTATAATCTTGTCTTTGTCTTCAACTTCCACTCCAGCGTCTTCGTCTCCGACATCTGTCCTTGTCTCCTCTTCTAGCTCCACCACCCTTGCCACTATAACTGTGACAACAACTCGGAGCTCTTCAACTGCGGTCGGTCCTACCACTGTCATGACATCTCTGGTCAGTACTACAAGCCCTGCTACTACGACAACCAGCAGACCACGACGACGCCGACGAAGACATGAAAATCACCGTACTGTAAATTGAAAATGAGGAATGAACGGGGGAGTTCTTGGGCTTCGTACCTAGGTACCTACATGTTACCTGTATACTACCTACTATACGCAAGCGACTTACAAGATTCATTTCAAACGGGAAAAGTCTGAACACTATGACGATTGGTATCAAATTTAATAATCTTGTTGATGCTATCATGACTCGATGCAGATGACCCATACTGAAACCCTACCACAGGGGCCTTTCAGGGCACTCGTCCATGACTATAAATTAGAACACGTAGTTGACTTCCAAAGACAAAACAAGTAAGTCGACTTAGTCGGGAATATGAACATTACTCGATCACGCCTCAATGGCCATCCCAACCTCCGTACCTATCCCGTCCAGCATATCCACAATCGAGCCGACTTTGATGACAAGTTCTTCAATTCAGAAACAGGCATAAGATAGGTCGATGTCTAGAGGCACATTAAAGGTAACCAGAAACTCTACATATATCATTCACGGGGTAGAGTCTGGGGTGAGAGTTATGACCGAGTGGATTTGATCGTAGTCAGCAATACTCTGCTGGATGCACTGCTCGACGCCGATATTTGTGACAGTGCAACTGAGCGTGGACATAGCGATCATGTACCACTGTGGGTTTCTCTCGATCCATTCAAGACGAGGGTCCCAAAGTCGGAGAATGCAACAGGGAAGAAGTAGCCCAAACAATATAGCAATGAGACATGGTGAAGGTTCGCATGTCGGAGCATCACTCTGTCTTGTTGGTGAAGTCTAGGCGCATGAAATTGAGTCGCAGGACCTCCGATTCCAACATCAGTATAAAATTCGTTTGGACGACGTTAGAAGGCCCCAGTTTTGACTGAGCCACACGGGCCTGTTTTCCATGGGTTGAATGTCCACCTTGCGGTATGTGGCTCTTCTAACCAAAGAATGTCTCCAGGTGCAGTCTGGTCATGACATCAATCCAGTGAATCCCACGGCGACCCACACCCAGTTCAACCAGACTCCTGGATTCAACGTCGTCCGCGACAGCCCAGACACTTTCAAGCAATTGTTCGGCGCGCTCAAAGACGCGTTCCAACCCAAACGTCTCAGAGTTGACCCGCATTCGTTTTCGAAGGAATGCGCGCATCGTCATTATTTTCGAGGGGCGCATCTTGATGGTGGAGAGACGCGCGGGTAGCGGATGGACTGAGTGAAGATACTGTCGGGTCGATGTCGGAGATGGTTGCTGGTCTGGTAGCTGTTGTCGCCGATGTTGCTGATGGGGAATGGACGGTGATGAGGTTTGTGGCACTGGGTCAGGCGGGGCGTACACAACGCTGCCGGCGATGATCAAAGCCAGAGTCTGGTAGAGACTGCTTTCATGCCAATTCCCCCCAGACAGATCTTGCAGGAGGTCGATCACGGTGCCAGCCAGATCCTGGATTACTCGTAGTGCAATATCGTGTTTCGATTCTTCCGGAATAGGAGCCCCGTGCAAACCTTGAACGAGATCAGGAAAGCATTGGTACAACTCTATCAGGGCTGCAAGGTTGTACAAGTCGGCGTAGCATTCGAGCGACTGGATGGTGGATGTACTTGCCACCCCGGATATTCTGCGTCGCGAGGGTCGTCGGTAGCTGGCTGCAAAGTGTTCTGCATCCGCAGCACACTGTCGTATCGTTTCGGAAATTTGGCGATAGCTGTCTTGGTCCCAGCCAAGGTTTGGTAAGCGCGACAGAACAAGTTGTTGTCGGAGACAGATGGCGATCCGGGCCAGATTGATGAACACCGGAGTGCATATGCCCGTAAAGGGATTAATATGGACCAGGTCGGCCTCACCAAGGAAGGGCATGAGATAATCAATCACACTGACGGACTGATCAACCACGAAAGCTGTTGCTGCCTCCCAATACGCCATTGCCCCAAGCAGGAAGCTCTTGTTTCTGTTGAGCACGACTTGTGGCACTAACGGAGTCCCGTTGGAGGCCAGAGCTGCCAACCAGCGCTCGCATATATTGCGAGCACCTCGGAGATGTGGCATTCCTAAATCTTTCGGATCGAACCAGGGCTTCTTGCTTATCAGTTTCTGGAACTAATACCAAGCTCATGGGAATAATACTCACCGATGACACTCCTAGAAGAATGGACGCAAAGAGTACTTCTTCGAGACGTGGGGCCATTGACTCCACGGGTGCACTGCGATCATCGATGTTCAGCTTCGAGATGGTTCGAGCAAGAGTGTGCACTGCTGCTGAGTGGTATTTGACTGACAGCCGAAGCACCGACTCTTCTCCCTGCAATAGGTGGACTGCCGCCATACTAACAATGCAGTTGTAAATAAGCGTCGAGGTTTGAATATATTCCTCGACTAACAGCTTGAAAGGATTTTCCTTGTTACGAATCAGGGAATGAAGCGGACAGATCTTTTCAAAATAATAGCGGATGAAGATCGATGTATCATCAGGCGTTGACTGTCCTGGCGAATCCGTCTCCTGAGGTGGCCCATGCAACGTCCGATTAACGTTCGTCTCGGGTTGAGTGCTGAGAGGGACTGAAGGCACTTCCTGGAGTGAGGTAAGCAGATGGGATAGATCCGCCTGGTTCCACTCTTCCAAGGTTGGAAAGTCGAACCACCCCTCATCACTGCTAACCCCCTGATGGATGATGGAGTGTGCGTCCATTTGCGAGGAGCCGGGAGTTGGTATTGACATGAAGCTGGGGAATCCTTCATCTGTCGACGCCTCAGCGAAAGCAGCCGAGCCTGTCCCGACGATCGGTTCTGGCACACGATGGTCATTGCTTGGAATTGCGTCTGGTGGCTGTGCGCTGGCTGCTCTGATACCAGACTCTTGTCGAGGATCCTCTGGGACTGGAAGGGGACTCATCCGTTGCTGCCGAACTATCGTCTCGGTGGGCTGGGACTCTTCTTGTAGAACCTCATGCTTCGTTGACCAGCGGAGATTGCTGCGATAACCTGGACATTCCACCCGGCTTCGCATGCACTGTGAACACGCGGGTTTCTTCTGGTCGCATTTCAATTTCTGCGTCACGTTAGTATGCGATGATACAATTTGCTTTTGTATCACGTACCCGTGCCTTGCACCGACTACATCCCACTAGAGCGTGAATCTGTTGTCAGCAGAAGGCTTTGTCAAGCAAGAGGCAAATGACAAAGTTTCTCAAATAGGGTCGAATGACTCTGACTTACAACGCGACCTTCGGTGCTTCTCCGCCATGTGCTGTGGCGGGTCGACGGATCCTGGGGAGGCGTTGGACATTATTCGAGATAAGCTTCGCCATCAAAAACACCAACCTGAGGAAAGCTGACGTCCCTAATTACAGACTGAAGACTGTTATTTTCACCTCATCTTTGACAAAGATAAGGGTCTCGGGCCAATAACGCGAGCAAAAGTGACAAAGTAAATAATTGACACCTACAACCTGGCCGTTATCAATGGTGCCTCGCTCCCGTCGGGCTGATAACATCTCGGCACATCTTACGCTTTACGGTAACAACAGCCGAGCTCCTCTTTGAGGCTCTATCATCATGCTTGCGCCTCGTCCATCGTTGCGACGTCCTACTTACATGGCATCAGACGCAAGTCGTACTCGATAAATATCTGTAGAGGTGTCATCAGCAACGTGAGAATCTTCGGCAAAAGCAATACAACCCAAAGACTCCGCCATGACAACTCATCAAGAACCCATGTCGGTGGACGAGCTTCAGATGCGCGCCCAGGGCCACACGAGCGAATTGCCGCGTCAGTTTAGTCTGCTGTCAACCCTCGCGTTGGCCTTTGCTATTACCAACTCTTGGGTTGGCTACTCTGCGACGTTTGTGATCCCCATGTTTGCTGCTGGTGGGCCTGGTGTGGTATATGGTCTGGTAGTTGCCACCATCGCTTGTTGTATCATCACCGTGGGTCTGGCGGAACAGGCGAGCGCCTTTCCCAGTTCAGGAGGACAATACCAGTGAGTAAATAATCCTGCGCGTCTTCCTCCCTTACATCCCCGGATATAAGATTGGCTGATTTCTCTGCTTCAGCTTCACGTACATGGTCGCTCCCGATGCATGGAAAGCATCCCTCTCATTCTTCGTTGGCTGGCTCAGCATTTTCGCCTGGTGGATGACAGCGGCATCTGCGTTTATCTTCTGTGCACAGATTATTCTCTATCTAGCAAGCTCTTACCACCCAGACTTTGTTGGTTCGCAGTGGCAGGTGTACCTAGTATACGTTGCGCTTCTCGCCATGTCGACGGCGCTCATCATCTTGCGTCCTAGACAGATGCCCACTGCAGAAATAATTTTCTTCGGCATGTCGATTGTCGGCTTCGTGGTCTTCTTCATCGCTGTGCTGGCAGTTTCATCTGACCAGCCCAAACAGTCCGCCTCGAACGTTTTTGCCGAATGGAATAATCAGACAGGTTGGGGTGATGGTGTCGCATTCCTGATTGCAGTCGGACAATGCATGTACACATATCTCGCCATCGATGCCGCAACTCACATTGCCGAAGGTAAAACGCCTCTCACCACCCTTCAAGCCCTTCGAAGTGGTCTACGTCTATGACTAACCCTGCTCAACAGAAATGCCTAATCCCGCTACGGCCGTCCCGCGTGCAATGGGCCTGACCATGCTAATTGGTATGGTCACGGTCTTTGCATGGACGATGGTATTCCTCTTCTGCGCGACCGACTACGATGAAGCCCTCGCTACCGGTGTACCTATCATCGGAATTTGCCGTCAGGCCTTCGATTCCCGCGCGGGGGCAGCTGTGTTTGGGGCCTGGTTACTGATGATCTACCTCGGCGCCGCTACCAGCTGTCTATTCACGGCCGGTCGATTGACATGGGCCTTTGCTCGTGATAACGGTCTGCCAGGAAGTCGCCTTTTCGCTAAAGTCAACTCTAGATTGGAGATGCCCATGAATGCGACCCTCGTCTCCTTTGGGTTCTGCTTATTCTATGGTCTCATCTATATCGCTTCCACGACGGCGTTTAACTCCTTCATATCTCTCGCTGTCTTCGGCTCCAACGTCACCTATGTGTTTCCCCAAGCTGTCGCACTACTGCGCGGCCGCAATGTCGCACTACCTCCGAGGAAGCTTGATCTGGGACCAATCTTCGGATCGTTCGTTAATGCTTTTTCGACTCTGTGGATGGTTTTGTTCGGCATCATCTTCTGCTTCCCCAATTTCCTACCTGTGACGATCGACACCATGAATTACCTCAGCGTCGTGGTTGTGGGGATTTTGGTCTTTATACTCGGCTGTTGGTGGTTTGCCAAGCGCGAGACCTACTCCGGCCCCGAGGTAAATTTTGAAGACATGAAAGAGATCGCCGCCCTGGGTCTGGATAGTAGCTTACGCGGTGCGCAAACTTTGGTCGGTCAAGTTGAAACAGCGGCCAATGGCGCTGACGCGGCGGCGTGGAATGGGGAAGAGAAGCGGCCTCAGGGCTAGTCTGGAAGGGTGGCCAGAACAAACAGGTGTTGAATAGGCTGCGGACCAGATGTAGTGTTATTTTCATTCTTCGCCATTCGTTATTAGTGTTATCATCTGGTGTGTTGTATGCGCTCGGATAGGAGATTTCCCGGGTTTCGCCTATTGGCGAAGTTGTGCAATCCGTATGTGCGTTCAAGTACCAAGGAGGAACATTGGACTAAGCTACACGACTTACCAGACCGCAAGATAAACTCTCATCTTGTGCTACTGTAGCCACCTCCTTACCGTCGCGGACTGTAGAGTTGGGCAAGAAGTGCGTGACGAGGTATAGGTGGGGCGATGGGAACGAAATGTGTGATTGTGAATGAGATTCTCCTGTTGAGACCGGCTTACTGATTTTCGATGGGCCACGACAAGTCATAGAAGACACATCAACACCGGAGGCCACAACCAGCAACATATTCAAAACTTCACGGGAGAATACGGATCACAAGCTGAATTGTTAGGGGTATATGTATAATCGCCACCTGATATATCAACATACTTTCTAATGTAACTCCTCTAACTCGCGCCTTCTGAAAGGGATGTTCAGAACCTCATGTCATGAGCGTTTATCAATTCAAGCCTTCTCCCCAAGTGTCAAACCTTTATACCCTGCATCCACCAACTCCCTGATCTCCCCTAGGTACGCTTTCATACCGCCAAAGTAAAACCGCAGCGCGATCTGCTTGCCCGCGACGTTGTTGCCAAAAATCCACGACGCCGTTTCCTTGAACAGAGAGCCTTCCGCCAGCTTCTCACACTTAGCTACCCACGCCGCCTCCGCCTCGTCCGTCGTCTCGACTACAGCCGCACCACTGCTTTTCCGCCGAGCTTCCGCCTGTGCGATCAAGTCTGTGTTGAGCTCGACTTGCACCTCGATGGCAGGGGGCTGGTTCGTGAATGGGCCCTGAGGGCCCAGTACCATGAGTAAGTTAGGGAAGCTGGCAACGGCCACACCCATAAAGCTGACGGGCCCTCGGGTGTCCCAGTGCTCCTTTAGAGTCTTGCCACCGCGGCCGCGGATACGGATACGGTTATAGCTGCCCTCAATGGCGTCGAAGCCAGTCGCGAAGATGATGAGGTCTAGGACGTGGACTTTGCCGTCGCTGGTCTGGAGACCTTCGGGCGTGCAGGCTGTGATGGGTGTTTCTTTAAGATCGACGATCGAGACGCTGTCGCGGTTGAATTGTTGGTAGTAGCCGTGGTCGCAAAGGGGACGACGGGCGTATAGGTCCCTAGGCTGTAGCTTATGGGCTTTCTCGGGATCGTCGACGATACTGGCGATCTTTCGCCGGATGAAATCGCAGGCGGCCTCATTGGCTTCGCGGTCACTCGTGATGTCGGAGAAGCCGCCGAACATGAAGCGGAAGGCGTTGCCCTTGTCCCATTGTTCTTGGAAGACGGCCTCGCGTTGGTCAGGTGGGACGGTTTTGTACGGCGTAGAGGACTCGACAAAGCCGAAGCAGGTTGCCGAGTTACGCATATCCTTATGGATAGTGTTGTAATTGTCGTTGACCCACTGGCGGTATTCGGGCTGTACAGGCCTATTGCCAGAGGGAACACTGTACTGCGGGTGCCGCTGGAAGCAAACTAGGGCACTGGCCTCTCCTGCTAGGGCAGTGATGACTTGAATCCCCGTTGAGCCACATCCGATCACTCCGATCCGCTTTCCTTTAGTCTCGATGTTGTCGCGCCATGCTGAAGTGTGGACGAGTTCTCCCTTGAAGGTGTCGAGGCCCGAAATGTCAGGGTAGTGTGCTGTCGATAGGAGACCCAGTGCTGTGACTATATACCTCGTGAAAAGAGTCTCGCCATTACTCAGTTCAACGCGCCAAACCTGCTTGCTCTCGTCCCAGTCGGCTCCGAGCAGCTCTGTTTTGAAGAGCATGTCTTTACGAAGCTCGTACTTGGCCACCACGTGCTCAAGGTATGCCTTCACTTCGGGGCCTGTGACGTAGTGGTTCTTCCAGGGATAGGTCTTCAGATCCTCTTTGTCGAACGTGTACCGGTAGAGGTATGATTCTGTGTCGCTCGTGGCACCAGGGTACCGATTCCAGTACCAAGTACCACCGACATCGCTGGCTCGGTCGACCACAACTGTCTTCAGGCCGAGCTCGCGTAATTTGTATAGCTGATATATTCCACCAAAACCGGCGCCGACAATCAGCGCATCAATCTCACGGGTATCCAACATGTTGATGAAGAGTTGATGTAAATTAGTGTCGAGTCTGGTCGTTACTTTCTGATTTCAGGAGAGACAGTTGCAAGCCATGGTGTATGGATTTTGTCCTTGTCCTCAGTTCTTTTTGAGGATAATCATCCATAGTAAAATTGGCTAATTGAAGATGCACCCTCCGAGCATCATATGTCTGAACCTGCGCTAAAACTCGGTAAGCATCACCCAGACAGGCAGGTCGGCTACTTCTTCTCTAACAAGGACTGTTAACCGAGGTGGGTCGCATGCCCCACAGCTAGCCTTATCCTTTTCGTTCAGATCTGTCAATTCGATACCCTGGGGTCGACTGGTGGAGGCAAGTGGCGTCCCTGAGAACACACTAGGTGCAGGCTTATCTTAACTTCAAACGCGTACAGTAGTTGTTGCGACAATCTTCCATTCGAACCTTGATAAGCTCTAGAACTAGAACAGGGTCGAAAGTCGTGTGGTCCCTATCTGTGACAAACAATAAAGCATATTCAGACGCTTGCGTAGATATCCAGACATAGAGGTGGAATTAGATTTGTTGTACTTGTGCTACCTTGCGATATGCCGACATGGATTGATGCGACGTATCTGTCAGAGGCCATTTTGGCAATGGTATGTCCCTGATTGATGAGAAACTAGACGATCACGTAGTTCACACATGTGTAAATCGCATCTTGTTCGGGCACATAAATTCTTAGTCTATTTCTAGCATAGGAAACCTCCATCAACGTTCCAGACGGCACCAGTCACAAATGTAGCTTCATCGCTAAGAAGGAATGCGACCACGTTTGCGATCTCTGATGCATCGGCCTTGCGTTTTAGCACTTGTCGAGCTACTTCGGTCGAATTCTCTGCAGGCTCGTCCTTCATCATGGGCGTATCGACGACTCCTGAGAATGTTTGGTCAGAAAAGTCAGAAGGAACAAGATTTCGGATCTGATGTACCTGGAGAAACACAATTGATCCGAATGTGCGGATTCTCACGGGCGGCTGATTTACAGAGCCCAGCAACAGCATGCTTACTGGCGCAATAAGACCCTAATTCTTCCCAGCCGATATGAGCGTTGATGCTTGCTGCAGTGACCTGCGGCCGAACCGAGTTAGCTATGCATGGCATTGGCACGTAAGGGGCATATCACTTACGATGCTCCCACCATTCTTCATTGTTCGTAGTTGGGCCCGAAGGCAATTGAAGACTCCCTTTGCATTGACATTCATGTTGAAATCCCAACCCTCGTCAGATTCGTCCACAACTTTTGCGGTACGAACAACACCGGCGAAATTGACTGCGGCGTCCAGACCGCCAAGAACTTGGTTTGTTCGCTCGATCCATGCATCAACAGATGCACTTTTGGTCACGTCCACGACCGTGATGATATGCTTGTCGCCGACGAGGCTATCTTTGGCGCTTTCTAAGCCGGCCTGGTTCAGATCGGCAAGAGAAAGTACTGCTCCTCGAGAAGCAAGCTGCTTGGCTATTTGGAGTCCCATCCCGGACGCAGCACCAGTGATGGCAACCTAGATGATTAGCAAAGTTTAACTTCATACTAAGATGCCGTGGGCATACCCTTTTGCCTGTTAGCGATGCCATCTTGACGATTTGTAGAGCTTCCACGCACACACGAATCATTTCTCCTTTACTACAGCTTTATATACCCCAATCTGACGGCTTCTGCATCTCAAGCACCTGAATTTCTCCACTTTGAAAGGTACTACGTCCAAAGGATCTCGCTAACCCTGAATCGATACCTTTACCGGGGTTGCATGGACAATGTCGGCTAGAATGACTATTCTAGGCATGTGTAGCTTTGACTGGGCGAGAACACAGTGGGTTGTCCACACCCATAAATGCATCAATTCTATGTACCAACGGAAGATGTCTACCATCCGACGGAATGTTGCTTATAGACCACATTTGGATTTGTTTATGCAATTGCCTTCGACGCTGAACCGTCATACCACCATTCCCTTCCAGCTTTACGATGGAGGATTTTCGAGGGAGAGTTGTATGTGTGTTCGAGTTGTTGCGACGTTAATGTGCCTATCAGTTGCTGATTATTTGGCGAAGATCGCAATCACAGGCGCCGCTTCCGGTATGGGGCTGGCGACAGCACGTTTGCTTGCAAATCGTGGAGCCTCTGTCTCACTTGCGGATCGTAACGAGGAGGCTTTGAAAGCAGCTCACAAATCATTGACCACCACACTGAACAATAAACATGCTTATGCAGTTGTCGATGTCCGAGATGCTAACTCACTTCGCACTTGGATGGAAATTACTGTCAAAGAATTGGGCCGGTTGGACGGTGCAGTGAACATGGCTGGGGTGGTACTCGACACCTGTCCTGTTAGCGAATTGAAAGAGTCCGATTGGGATTTTACTATGGACGTGAATCTCAAGGGTGTGTTTCTCTCCATGAGGGAGGAAATCAACCATATGCATACTGGTGGCAGCATCGTAAGTAGCCATACCTGACTTTTTCGTGAGCGAGTTGGAGCTCCGCTAACACGGCTTCTTTTTTTTGCTGTCCTCAGGTTTCTGCGACAAGCATTTACGGTCAAGTAGGATCTCCCGGAACTGCTGCCTACGGCGCCAGCAAAGCTGCAGTGATTGGACTTTCGCGTGCAGCTGCCAAAGAAAATCCCACCTTGAGGATTAATTGTGTATCGCCAGGTACGTACCACTCAGATACAATAAGACGGCTCTGCGCTCAACCATATTGCGAGTGGCGTTGACATATGCGCAGGTGTTGCCGATACCCCGATGTTGGCTGGGGAGCCAGAAGAGGACGTAGCTCTGGCCACATCTCAATCCATCATGAAACGGAAAGGCAATCCGGCCGAGGTTGCCAACGTGATCGCATTCCTCCTTAGTCGTGACGCAAGCTTTGTGACAGGCGCAGTGTATAATGCCGATGGGGGTTTTCTTTGTTAGCTGACGGAACATCTGTTTATACCTTTTAGTCTGATGGTTGGCAAGAGTAACCAATTGGTCCTTATTCAGAGTCATAGGCCGTTTTCCGAATGGACTAATGGCCTGATTAGTATCGAGAAACTTCACCTCTATGCTAGAGAAGTTTTCCTTCGACAGCTCAAGCAGTATCCTAGACATGAGCTCATAGGCCTTCTTCAATGTTTTGGCGTCGATGTTCGAATCCAAAACATCGACGCCATGTTCGTCTAGTTTCCATTTCCCCTTGGCCATGTCGAGACTGCACAGGGTAGGTCTTCAATGCGTCTGTTAGAGTAACACATAAACACAGCCTTGGAACGCTGGAACATTAAACTCGTCATGTGCAATGTAAACCACATTGATGTGTCCAAAGACTGCTTCATTAGATCGAATGGTTATATTTGCGTAAAGACTAAAGAGCTCTAACTATATTCATTTCGACATTAGCCAGGTAAATATCAGACGCAGTGTAATGAACGCTGATATGAAGAAAGGCTACGATGAATGCTTCTTCAGGCGGTTATGTAGACACGTGACTGCATGTATGTATATACCTCCGTAGTCCACAGGTCGAGCCTTCTCTCCAGGCAGCACCACGTGTTGCACTACTTACGGAGTACATAAGCAACGCGATTCCAGGCAGGCACCCACCCACCCCCACACCATCCACTCCAGGTGGCAAGTGCCACCATCGTCATGACCACATCGCGTAAGAAAAACCGCGGCGCAGATAAACGCGTTGCTCTCTTCAACTCCAACGACCAGAACTTGACTGTCGCCTTACCAATCAATCACTACCCTTACAACGCTCTCGAACCACACTCTCCTATCTTCACCTCAAGTCACACAGCCTTGTCACCGTTATGGACAAGTTATGATCAGCTGTGTTAGCCCGCCATGGGCTCCCGACTAGAGAAGAATTCCGACCTCGTGCGCAAGCGCATTGACAGCCACACCTTTGACAATGAAGAAGGCGAAGAATATGAGGGCTCCAAGTTCGGAGGGTTTTCAGACTATATGCGGAGGAAGAAGATCAAATTACAGAACCTCGATGCCGAACTAAGATCTGCCTCCAGCCAAAATCCTCCCATCTTTCGCGGTATTGTCGCCCACGTCAATGGCTACACTCAGCCTTCCCTCAACGACCTCCACCACCTCATTGTTGGCCATGGCGGTGGATTTCTCCAGTATCTAGATGGCAAAACGGCAGTCACTCATATCATTGCAAGCCACTTGACTCCTAAGAAGACCGTCGAGTTCGCAAGATATCGCATTGTCAAACCTGCCTGGATCGTCGATAGCGTCAATGCAGGCAAACTCCTCCCCTGGGATGCTTACCGGGTCGTTGATGAGGGTGTCACACAAAAGGTCTTGGCTTTTGATCAAGGCCGTGTCGTTAGCCAGCAGAGTACACAGCGATCGGGCTATAAAGATCAATCAGACACCAGTTGGTACGCTTCGCAAATTCGCAACGAAGTCGGCACGAGATATGGGTCACTACCTGCGCAGTCCTCGCCTCCTCGACAGCAAACCGACAAGGTGTCAAAGTCTCACGAGCAGGACTCTGAAGACACTGGATTAGGCAATCAGGAGACCACTGTTCTCCCGGATGACTCCGCAGCATCTCTTCCTCAGGATGCCCCGCCGCCTTTGCCTTCCAATAATCCTCCTCAGACCAAGCTAAACGAGACTAGACCACTACCAGAAGCCACCGCAAACCCAGAACAACGCCCACTGACAGCCGAAGAGCATAATGCCATACTCCTTTCTAATCCACACATGGCAAAGTCTAGCACTGCTAATCCTGATTTCCTCCATCAATACTATCGCGAATCCAGGCTACATCATCTGTCCACTTGGAAGGCTCATCTCAAAGCCCAGCTTCAGGCTCGAGCCCAGGAGAAGACCCAGACGCAAAAGTTTCCACACAACCGACTGCCAGGTTCACGGAGATACATTATGCATGTGGACTTTGACAGCTTCTTCGCCGCTGTCTCGCTGCGCAAACATCCTCATCTTGTCGACAAACCCGTAGTTATCGCCCATGGCAGCGGTCCGGGTTCCGAAATAGCCAGTTGCAATTATCCCGCCCGTAAATTCGGTGTCAAGAACGGTATGTGGATGAAGACTGCCCTTGGCCTTTGCCCCGAGCTCAAAGTTCTCCCATATGACTACAAGGCATATGAAGAGGCAAGCCGTCACTTTTATGACTCCATCCTGGCAATAGACGGAACCGTTCAGAGCATAAGCATCGACGAGGCCCTAATCGACGTCACAAACTTATGCATCAAAGCCGGTGGCTCAGATGGAAAATCTATCTCCGAGGGATCCATATACCGCGAACAAGAGGCAGCCGAAGCACTCGCTCGGTCGCTGCGTGAGTCTGTCAAAGAAAAGACTGCATGTCATGTTTCCGTCGGCATTGGAAACAACATCCTGCTCGCCAAGGTCGCTTTACGAAAGGCTAAGCCTGCTGGTCAGCATTTGATCAAGCCCGACGAAGTCTTGGACTTTCTTGGTGAGCTACTAGTCACCGATCTCCCTGGTGTGGCATGGAGTATCGGAAACAAGCTCGAAGAAATCGGGATCAAATATGTCAAGGACATCAGGGCCTGCACAAAAGAGCGACTGACCAATACATTAGGCCCTAAGACGGGGGAAAAGCTTTGGGACTATTCAAGAGGCATTGACAAGCAAGAAGTTGGCGATCAAGTTATTCGCAAGTCCGTGTCTGCCGAGATAAATTGGGGGATCCGCTTTGTCAATCAGCAACAAGCAGAGGACTTTGTGCACAGCCTGTGCGAGGAACTTTCTCGTCGGTTGCTTGAACAGCTTGTGAAAGGTAAACAGTTGACAATGAAGATCATGAGGAAAGCTGCCGATGCTGGCATGGACCCTCCGAAGAATCTCGGCCATGGCAAATGCGACACTTTTAACAAAAGTGTCGTACTTGGCGTCTCGACCAACGATGCATCGATCCTTGGAAGGGAGGCTGTATCAATCTTGAGAAGCTACGGGTTTCCTCCAGGTGAACTTCGTGGCCTAGGGGTCCAGATGCAAAAATTGGATCCCATCAAGCCGGCCACGACAAACTCCAACATGTTTGATAGTAGCCAGCGTCGGCTGCAGTTTAAGAAGCCTCAGATACCCGCCAAACCTATCGATGTCAAATCCACCAGGCCACCCGCACCAGCAAGTCCTACGACAACAGACCTGAATTCCGCCGTTGATTCGATCGAAGATGTCCCCACACCAGAGAAGCCTTCCCAAACGCTCATCATTCCGAGTCCGCTCGATGTGACCCCGGAACACCGCGATGATGTCGTAGACCGCACACTCTTGAACATTAGCGGGACGCAATTCATCATGCCCACTCAGATCGACCCCGAGGTGCTTGCTGAACTCCCCCAAGATATTCGAAACAAATTCGCACCAAGACAAGCCACCTTACACGATACCATATCACGCGTGAAGCTCGATGGTTCGAACAAGTCCAGATCAGCTTCCCCCCACCAGAGTGACCTCAATGTAACCTTTCCCACTCACAGTCAACTAGATCCGGAAACATTAGCCGCTTTACCTGAAGATGTCAGGGAGGAAGTACTGGCACAGTATCGGAGGGGTGAGAATAGCGGGGGGGCACCGATGCACAAAGCCCAGAACCAGATTTCCCCATCCAAGAGCAAGACCTTTATCGGCCTCAAGAAAGGCCCAACAACACCGACGAAGAGGCAAAAGATGTCGACTTTGCTTGGACGAGGCAAACAAAAACGTCCAACTGACTCGTCCTCCACTCTGACACAATCCAATTTCGTGTCGTTTCCTAATGTCGTTGTTCGTGATTCTAGTTCAACGCACATGTCGGACAACATCTCAGAAACATTTTTGAACGAGTTACCGGAAGACATTCGTGCAGAGATATTGGCAGAACAAAGGAGGAACAGAATTCAGGCCAAGTCAGGCCTCAACTTCGAAGCCAGTCGCAAGCGTCGAGTGAAAACCCCGTTGGTAGACAAAGGACAGCAAAAGTTACGCCTCCAGAAGCATGGCGACAGACCAACCTTTACATCACAAAAATTGAGTACGCTTTCAGAGTTGCGAGATGCAACGTCTGCCTGGGTTCGTGAGTTTTCTTCTGATGGAGAGGGACCTAACAAGGAGGATGTAGCAGCGCTCTCACACTACCTCGGTCAGGTGGTAATCGAAGAGCGTGATATGTCAAAGGCACTAGCTATCGTCAACTGGCTAGCGATGGTGATTGAATATGAGGCATTCAAGTCTGATGACCTAAGATCAAGCTGGGAAACAGCTTTATATTCATTGAAGAGGGATGTCCAAACAGCCGTCGAGAGTCGAGGACTGCCACCACTCGTCTTTGACTTTTAATTCGATGCCATGGAATGAAGACAGATTCATACGCCCTTGAGGCATATGTCGACCAGCGACAACGTGCCTTCCTCATCTTGTTTCAATTTCTAATTTATTCCCCTTTTTCCATTTCAGGCAGGCGCTACTGATACCCCATCAAATACTTGGTCGTTCCTTCTTCAAAATCGACGTCGGCTGCTGTGGTCAAAATCTCTTCTTTTCTCTCTTTTCTCGTCTTCTCTTCCCTGATTCTCCCTGTCTCATTTCTCACGTACTTCGTTCATGCATATCAGGCACTCATTTGTACACCTGCATTAAGAGTATCAAACCCACTTGGACTATCGTCCGCCTCAACTCACTCACCATCATGCCAATCATCAATACCGCCAGCAGAAAGCGAGATAGGTCACCATCGCGTCCCTCTCCACGCAGTCGATCTCGCCTTGGTACTTCGATGGCCAAATGGTCCAAGCAACGTCTCTCCCAAACCACCACACTGAGTCACTTCCTCTACGATGGCAACACCTCCCAATCCCTCGAGTCCACAAGCACTGGCCGGTCCAGGACTAGTGTCAAGAGTCAACTTAAGCGAGGCGTATCCAACGTCAAGACCATCTTTCATATCGGTGATCACCACAGCGCTGGTGATGCCCAGGTCATACCCGAGCTTCTCCCTCCCAGCCCCACGCACGCCCCAGAAGTCAATCTCCTTGGGAATGATTCCAATACTACCACCATACATCAACCTCTAAAACTACGCCTGATGGGCGTGCACGACATCATCGAGAGTGACAGATGCCGCCTCAGGCATCAGTCAGCCGAGCCGTCACCTGAGGTTCATGTGCCTAACAATGTTGAAGAGTCGGCAGGACTCCTTCAAAGTGATAGGCCGCGAGCCCAGGCAGACCCTCCAAATCAGCCGGTGCCTAGCCTGCAGCGGCGGCTGAGCCAAAGGCTTCTGTCGGCCTTCAACAATGGACCCTCGACAGTGGTTGTACGGCCAGAGATGCGCTCACGTCCGAGTGTTCAGACATTTGCTGTGGACAATCATTCCCCCCCTTCCGCCGTTGATTCATCCACTCCCTCTACACTGAACAGTGGAAGCTCCTCAACACATGGGCGCGCCGCCGCCACAGTCACGCCCCAAACTTCAGAGCCAGTGACACCAACTTCTATACAACCGTACGGTAGCGCGCATTCGTTCGATACTGAACGTCAACATTGTGTGGACGATCGTATTCTGACACCAATACCAGAGGCTGTTGTCGTGGAGACCGCAACCATCAAGACAGCCGAGACCGCTGCGTCTGCGAAACTATTCCTTGAGACATATTTCAATTCTCTCTTCCAGGCTGGCCCGACCCGGTCACTTCGCAGGCAGAAACTTCAAGTCATCTTGAGAGACCTTGGTCTGTCCATTGATGAAGAGTACAAGGTCCGAAAGGCTTGGGATCGTGAAGAGAGCAAGGCGCTCCGCCAGGCTAGACTACTTAAAAACACCAAGGTGTATGCCCGAGCAACGAGGGGATTGACGCCTTGTGGTTTCGAAACGGTCAAAGTCTTGGGCAAGGGTAGCTTTGGAGTCGTTCGCCTGATAAAAACAAAATGTGCAAAGCCAGAGAGTGCGACAGTAACATTTGCCGACCATAGAACATTTCTCCCTAGGCTAAACAAGCTGCGGGGGGCCAACAAGTCGAGGACCGAGGTGTTTGCCATGAAAATCATTCGCAAATCAGACATGATCCGAAATGGACAAGAAGGTCATTTGCGAGCCGAGAGAGATCTGCTGGTGGCTGCCGAGGAATCCACTTGGATTGTGCCTCTAATTGCAGCATTCCAGGATCACAAGCATCTTTACCTAGTCTTGGAATATTCTCTCGGAGGAGATTTTCTTGGATTGCTCATACGGAAAAACATCCTTTCTGAGGATGTCACCCGATTTTATATCTCGGAGATGATTCTTTGTGTCGAAGAGGCACACTCCATAGGATGGATTCACAGAGACGTCAAGCCTGACAACTTCTTGATTGGCAAAGATGGCCACTTGAAGATTTCCGACTTTGGACTTGCATTTGATGGACATTGGTGGCATGACCAAAGCTTCTATCATGATCATAGACAACCCCTCCTCGACCACCTCAAAATCAGGATCGATGGTGACGATCAAGACATCAAGGAGAAACGCGAGTTTGATGAGAGACAAAGTGCTGCCCGGTCCAACAAACAAGAAAGAAGAGCATGGAAAAACTCAGTCTTCTCAAAGGATCAACCGATCTTGGGAGAACCAATTCTCGATTGGCGCAACCGGTGTCAACGCCGTCGTCTTGCAAGATCGGTGGTCGGAACTTCGCAGTATATGGCTCCAGAGGTTGTACGTGGCGAACTTTACGACGGACGTTGTGACTGGTGGAGCGTTGCTATCATCATGTACGAATGCCTCTATGGTTTCACGCCGTTTGCCTGCGAGAATCGTCAAGACACCAAGCTGAAAATCCTTCAACATAAGCGAACGTTACAGTTCCCTGAAATGGCTCATTCGGTCCAACCAAGTGCCGAAGCTAAGGATCTCATGAAGTCGATTCTTGTCGAGAAGGAACGGCGGCTGAGTTGTCACCAATATGAGAGCAATGACTATACCAGAAAGATTGTTGGTGGGAGAGTTATGAGGCAAGCAGCAGACAAAACTCACAGCAACTACAAAGGTTACTTTGTCTTTTCTAACGATGCCCATGACATCAAAGCCCACCCATGGTTTTGTCCTCGATCTGCAACTTACGCCCACGTGTCACTCACTTGGTGGGACATTCTCGCAACGAAGCGTCCACCATTCATACCTCATGTTCGAGATTACCTAGACACTAGGTACTTTGACGATGAAGGACCCGTCTCCGATATTGATACGGCCTCTACCACAGATACCCACGCCCCAGGAGACACGCGTGGAATGGGTGTCCCACGCCGGGAGCCCAAGGTGAATTTTTCGTTACGTCAGAGCCAGCATCAGCAAGAGCAGCAAAATATCATACCGTCGGGAGCGTTGACTCTTCCATCAAAGGTTGACCTCACACCTGACGTACAATATGCCAGACATGGTCCACCTGATGAGTTGCGCATTCCACAGCACTCTCCTCGAAAGAATCCGCCGGAAGTTGATCACCCGGAAAGACCTAATGTGACTTTGGTAGACTTTGGCGACCAAGTTGATGGGCCGCCAGAGAATACAGTTGGAGGGGGGGAGATGTTGAAAGTGGTGAAGAGAGAAGTCAAACGACCAAAGGACATTGTTCTGCGGGATGCCGGCGCAGGGAAACAAGCACTGAAGATTCGACAACAGAACGCGTTCATGGGTTACGACTACCGCCGCCCGCCCAAAGTTGAAGAATTTGTCGAGAACATGATCTTGACGATCTGAGAATCAGAGGAGGTTATGCATTGTTAGGAAAGCGTATCAATAAGTAGGTATCAAGTTATAGCAAAGGATGCTTTGCGTTATCATGATTCCTGTCTCCTTGTCTCCTACAGTAGCTCCAAGTTGTCTTTGCGGTCGTGTATTCTTGTTGAAAAGAGAAAGTCAGCAGCAATGTGCCATCGTCAATCATGCTAGTGAAGTGGATGGTGCGTAGGTAGTGAATGAAGGGTGCTGTGAGTGCTGCACAGGATCATCCATCTATCATTATCTTAGGTAAGTAAGTACTAGGAGGTATCTTTCGATGTCCAACCTCAGATTGTCTCTTCTTGGTCTTGGCATTCCGCCCCCTTTCCAACCAGCCTTGCCAAAGCCAAAGCAAAGCACTGATGAGGATTCTCGAGGTTCAAGAATGAAAACGAGATGGGTTCAAAGGGCAATATCTCATGCCTGTTGGAAATGTATCCTATTCGCCCATCACTAATGGCAACAAACCATCAACAGTAATTGAACGATACTAGAACAATTTGAGAAAACAAAAATGAATCATCAATCTAATTATCCCAGCCCCGAGAGTCGTCCTATCAGTGTATTCAGTCCAACCCACTTAGCCGCAATTTGAAGTTTTCACCCTCAGAGAGAGAGAGAGAGAGGGAGGGGGGGAGAGAGAGTCTGAAGGTCTTGCTTGTCCTGTAGTGGACAGTCGAAAATGACCCTTTGGACAAGACAAGCCCTCTGCTCCACTCCATGGACTTTTAAAGGGCTACTCCCTCCCGAACCCCGTCTCTTTCATCATCCACCGTCGGATTACGTGGAAGATCGTCGTGGAGGGCAGAGAGGGCCAAGTTCCGAGCATTCGTCTCTGAGCAGAACCGAAAATAGACTTTCCAAGCCAGAGTGATTCCCAGACTTTCTATATAGTCATTCAACAACGCTAAAACATCTGCTTGTGGGCTTCGAACTGGTCCTCCCAGACGCACCCCTGTCATTTCGTGCCGAGTTTCTCGAGACATTACAAAACAATGATCCGTCATGACGATGATGTTTTCAAATTTGTCTGGTAAGCTTTCGGTGTTACTAATTGTTTTGAGTCGCATCAGCCCATGCAGCACTGCCAGTATTGTGATCCTGTCCAGCATTTGCGATGTCGGATGGGGTCTTGCAGATTCTGGGATTCGTCGTGCGATGTTGTTGGGCGAGCGTGCTCGAAAGGAAATTCCAACGGCGCGCCGCATTTCGCCTTGGACGACGGCTGATACCGCGCTGACCGAGAAGCAGACTGTTCTCCAAGGCTCAGGATAAAATCGACAGCCTTCGCAAGTCGCTGACAGTGGGAGATATGTCAAGTCGGGGTTGCGTGTTAGCGCTACTGCGATCCCGGAAGTGCCGTCTAACCCCCAATGATAGTCACGAAATACCCTGAAATTGGTTTCGGGTGGATCGAGGTCCTAAGCGTCCATCTCTTCGTGACGTTTGCAAGGGGTTTCCAATGTATGATATATGACAAACTGTCTCGTAGCTGGTGCGGGGGTTCTGAGGTTTGAGGGAAGCTGGGTAACAGGAGTAAAAACCAAAGTTTCGATTTCTGTGGGAGAGGTGTAGTGTTCCATGACTCAAATTGTGGGTGGGTATCAGCGGCTGGTGAGAATACTGGTGGAAATGTATACCCAAGAATATGTGACTGATGTTGGTTGCTAAAGACATCCTCGGACGAGAGAGGAGAAGGCATTCGAATCCTCGGTCGACACTTTAACGGTAGGAGCCACTAACCGAATGGTGGTGAATGGAAAGGCGCGATCAGCCAGCGTCTTTCATGGGAAAATGATGGAAAGAACCAATCGAACGTAGCCGCCAAGTTAGAGAGACCTCCCTCGTTAGTAGGAGTATTGTGTGAGAGCAGGTGGTACTCTCAACTCCGACCAGTGTTCATTTCCAAGCCACCAAATGGGGATGAGCTTTAGCCAATGCATCAATCAAGTTGACGCAGCTTGCATCTTGTCGGCAGAACAAGCGGCCAGATGATTCATTGGCCCCGTTGCGGGACAATTCACATTCCTTCAATTAATTTAGGTCGATGAGAACAACACAAGTCGTCAGATGGGTAGATTTTCGTCGGGGTATTGTTCGCTCAAGGCCATCCAGTTCCAGTCTCGTCCGTTGTCTCTAGCGTCCCATACCCGATCTTTGACGAAAGAACGTATCTGGAAGGATGTGGCGGTTTTCCGCGATCCGCAGATGACTTGAAGCATATTATCAGCGGTCATGCGGTCGGCCTCACTGCTAACCTCACAGGCGGCAAGAAAGACTGGCCACAGCGCCATTTTCACGTCATCTTCCGAGCCGGAGGTGTGAACCATAATCTCGTAAGCCATGACCAACGCAGCTTGGTCAGCCTCGACAGTGTCACCAGCCGGGCTGACCAGTCGATGCAGGTAGAGTAGGCAAGCGCTGCGATAGGCATTAGCATGCAGTAGGAACTGTCTGGATGACCGGAAGGACAGAGTGCTATCCACAGTGGGATGCCAAAGTTGTATGCGAGATTTCAGCTCGGAAGCTCGGTCGAGGAGCACAGCCATTTCATCAAACGAGCGCGAAGACTCCGGATCGTCTACTGTATTGAAAGTGATGGCTCGTGCGTGTCGAAAATCCTCGGCCAGGGCACAGAGGTCGCTCATGAGTGGCATTAACGTACATGTGTAGCCCATGAATCGGTCGGCATGGTGGCTTGAAATATCGTCAAGCCAATATATCGTGGGAATTCTGGGACGCTGGAATTTAGCGAGAGAAATCATCATGTCTTGTCTTGCCAAAGCTCTGAGAAAGTATTTGGATAACTGAGTCAGATCATAGCCCCGGCGTAAATGATGATCCAACATCATGGAGAGGTTCTCCAATAACACAGGAAGAGAAGTCATCTGCCGAGGTCGGTCTTTCGCGTCGATAAGCTACATGTATGAGCCTTACGAATGGGTGGACAGGAGCTTTTGATACTCACCTCTACAGCACATAATCCTAACATGGTGGTCAACAGTAGCTCTAGACTGACCCCCAGAGTGTCCAGGTTGCGTAAGCGCTGAAGGATCCGAGCCCTGCGATTGGGAATGTGAACCAGACTATCGCCCGAGCTATCCTTGAGATAGGCCTCTCCTATGGCAGACAAAGTATCACCGACAGCGACAGGACTATTCTGGAAGACCTTGAGCACCATGGCATTCATCTCATCGATGAATTCCGGACCAAAGACGGATTCTGCTGGGTGACGGAGGAAGTAAGCCTCGATGAAGGGTTCATCGGATGGGTTAACTGAGCCCGGAGGGATTGGAACCAGTGATTTACGGATTGGAGGTGCACTTGTAGATACTACATCGATTGTGGCGGGCGAGCGGAGATTGTAGACAGATACGTCCAATGCTGTTGGACTTCCCGGCGGAGTTGAACTCGCGAGAGGACTGCTTATCTCGGAGGCGATGGATCTGAGAGCACGATGTTGGGAGCCGCCATCAGTGGGTCTCGAATCTCGTGATTTGGCAGGCTTGGGAACGTCAAGATAGCCGCTGCATTGTCTGCCTCGTCGTTTACAAGTGCCACACCATGGATGGAGTTCGTCGCATTTGACTTTGGCCCGTTTGCAATCGATGCAGCCATGTCGTGAGCGAATAGCCATGCTCGCCGGTCGATGGGCTCACGAACGAGCTGGAAGATCAATTACATCTCCAGGAGGAGATTTGGTGTTTGGTGTGCTGAAAGATGTCCTACACCGTGGAATGTATGGGAGAATAGAAAGAAAGGTGGAAGTAGTATGATGCTAACGGTGAAATACCAAGCATCTAATCTGATAAAGTTTTCCCGGACTCGGTGCCGGAACAAATCAACGCGACTTAAAAAGAGGGGCACGAGGGGGTTTCAGTGGAAGGCGCGAACGACCGCGGAGTTGAGGCAGGAGCGATGGTCATGCCAAGCATTGTTGATCAGTCACGTGGTCGACGCCTTGAGTTTATAAGGTTTCTATGATGTACAAGCTGTTTGCCATGTCATGCACTACGGAGTCCGATAGTATCACGTCCTCTCAAGACCAGGTGTCCAAAGCTAATTACTTGGCAGTCTCACGATAATTCACAGTTCTCTGGTAACGGATGAGTTGGTTTAGAGATATATCCAACCATCACCCGGCGACTTCATGGTGGGGATTGTCCGAGCGACTGGAGCCTAAAACGACTTTTCGTCAGAGACGTGGTTGAACAGGAGCAAAGTGACAACTGTTGGCAGTGCATCAGACTCTCAAGCAAACATGGCTGGTCTCTTTACCTGGTTATGGGATTGGTTGTTGTGGGTATTTTGGGCGACTGAGATGGATGTGACTATCGTCGGACTACAGAACGCTGGCAAGACCAGTCTAGTGCGTGTACTTGCGGTAAGTCGTCGTCTCGTTGGATCACAATTCCACAGCTGCATGAGTCATGACTGACAATTTGTGGCAACGTGTACAGGGAAATGATTTTGCTAGTGACTCGCTACCTACAGTGGCGTTTAACAAGAAGGAAGTGAAAAAGGGCCATGTCTCGATCAAATGCTGGGATCTTGGAGGTCAACCTAGATTTCGTTCCATGTGGGAGAGATATTGCAGAGATGTCAACGCCATAGTCTTTGTGGTCGACGCTTCAGATAAAGACGCTATTCCCGTGGTCAAGGAGGAACTGCACGCTCTGCTTGACAAGGAAACATTGGAAGGCATTCCTTTGTTGATACTGGGGAACAAGTCGGACTTGGCCAATAAGCTGACAGTGGATGAATTGATTGACCAGCTCGACCTCAAGACCGTCCTGCACCGAGAAATCAGCTGTTATGGAGTCAGTGCCAAAGAAGAGACCAATCTGGAAGCCGTGCTTCAATGGTTGGTGGCGAGGTCGGGGAAATGATCAATGGGCGGATGAATCTTTTTTGAGACTTGGGTTTATTGTGTGATTGAGGTCTCAAGCGACAGAGCCGAGGTTGGCTATGCGTATTCACCGCTGTACTAACGCCTGAGTTGCATATACTTTTAATGATGATTGCATATGAAACCATTGCTGATTGGACACGTAGTTCATCCTCTGGTCTGAAGAGGTCAAAAGTGATATCAGAGTTCTCCATACAATTACTCCATACCCCGGAGTTCGATGATCACAGGCCTTTTGTATCTACGGAGTAAGTCGTTCGATCGACACCCATGATGGCCCCCTCGGCCTATTTTTGACATGCACGACAGGTACAAGTAACACCATAAGAGGTATAGGTTATTACATATGTACCTTCGTAGGCTGATAGCATGAAACGCCTCCCGATGCCGGGTTCGAACCGTGACGCGTAGCCAAGATCACTACCTCTGGTATTGGCAACAACGTAACCCGTTGGAGAGATCCTTACCGTACTCGCTGCGGCAAGAGAATGGAAACTGAAAAAGACTATGCCAAGGTTGAGCCGTCGCAGGAGATGGAGAGGGTCTACGAAAAGTGGGAATTGGAATTGGACTTTCAAGGCGTGGCATGGTGCCGTGCCGGGTCGAGCCAGAGGACCAGGAGTTTGACCAGTTATTATTACGGAGTACTTTGAATGAGCTCCCTCGACAAGACCAATGACTGCTTCCAAGTGTACCAAGTGTAGGCTGAATTCCAGGTATGAATGTGGCAAGGATAATTCCAAAACAAACTGGAGTATGGAGATTCCCCAAGGCGCAGTCAATTCACGTGAAGGGTCTATGCCCCGAGTTCTTGCCTACCTAGAACCTTAGGTAAAGTAGTACTCGTATGGAGATGACTAACAAGTCACATTAGGGACAGTAGGGAAGGTGCCAGTGGGTTTGTCTACCTCGAATACAGAAGGTACAGGCTTGATTAGAGTGTGAGGCTGCCCTGCGTGCCTGCACAGGCATGACGAGCAGCTCCAAACCAGCCACCGTGGGAATTGGAATTGACAACGACCCGCCCCACCTCCTTCTCCACCTCCTTCCACTTGACCCTTTGCCAAGTGTTTTAGACTGCAGCCTGAAGATTCTCTGCCCATTTCACCCAATCAAAGTCATCAACTTCGCCACTGATGATCCGCTGATGACGGCCGTCGACCTCTTAGCGACCTTGACGTCGTTTGTCCATGGAAAGCTTGGGGATTGGCATCAAGACTGAGGATGGTCCTTTGTGGCCTCTGGGCGTCCCTGGCGCAGACTAGTCCTTCCTTCCAGGTGCCATTGGGCTCTTGGGTTGGACTTGGTGGTGCATTCCAGGAGTAGTAGTGGTGCCCGCCCTTCCCCAAGAACCACCCAAACAAGCCTGTCACGCCTGCGACTCTCTCATCCTTTGACCGAAAGCCGTCATGGAGTGATTGTGAGTAATGCGCGACTTGCGCTGATGGTTGCTACTGTCCATTTGCTGCGCCTCTCACCTCTTCTCTTAAGTTCTTCCACGTCCCTTCCACTCTCTTCTAAGGCGTCCTTTATCCATGTCAGATAATATCAAATATCGTCGTCTTCCCCATCCCACAGCCTCATCGACATTGTTATCCACCAGCGTCATTCAGACTCAGACATTGGTTCTGTAACTCAACGAGTCCTTGAAAGGCCCGCACCCTGCTTGGCACCCAGCGCAATTCCTACCACCTTCACAACCTCATAAAGTCGATCGTCATCCACATCTCTTGTCCCCCTCCACTTTGACATCACCAGTCCCAACTTCGCCTTCTTCTTCGCCATGGCCGGATCGCTTATTGCCAGACAGTACTACCAGACGTAAGCTCAATCTTCCCATTGCCACCCTTTTCTTGGTCCTCTATAATACTCGTGTGCATCCCCCCCCCCTCCGTTGGGGGTTTTATCAGATTCAACGATCCGTCTATCATCTCTCTAGAAGGCCCACCCACTAATCCTCTTCATCATGAACAGATGCTACAATTCTTACGGTCAGCCGTACCGGTGTCGAACGGCATGGAACAGCTGGGGTAGATGGGCCGCCCTCGGCGTCATTTTGGCCGGCGCATTGCTCTTGTTCTTCCTGTGCGCGTAAGTTCATCCCTTCCTGTCTTGGCCTTTTCCTGAGCTGTTTTGATTGTGGTTGCAAGCAAAATCACCACAAGACAACAATTCTACAATTACCAGCATTTTCTAACCTCTTGTCCTCCTACAGATGCTTCAGCTCTCGTCGCAGACGCAAGCACGGTCGCCAGCCATACTACGGTACGGGCTGGGCAGGTCGAACGCCATGGGGTCACGGCCAGGCCCAATATAATCCCAACTACCAACAAACCCAACAGCCGCAACAGGGCTACCAAAATCCTCCCACCTACAACCAAACCCAAAGCACCGGTGGTTATTATGGTCCCGGGGCCAATACCGGCAACAACAACACTGGCGGCGGAGAAGCCATGAACTACTACCAAGGCCGAGGAGGAGACGTTGAGATGCAGACACCCAACAACACATACGGCGGCAGCGGCCCCGGTGGCTTCGAACCTCCTCCAGGACCTCCTCCCAGCAAAATCGCCTAGACATCCACAACCACATACACAAGCAAATAATACCTCCTCCACGCGCACAATTCTCCACACACCCATACACATACACACATACATATCTTTGATGAGCGCCTGTGCAAAGTAACGCCCCTTTTCACAAAGATGCGATACACGAACCGGGTTATGACGGATGGGAGGGGAAGCGTTGGTGGATATATTTTATTGGGGCGGAATTGAATTCGATCCTTTCGCTTGGATTTTCCCCCAAACAATGGCTGGCGTTGAGATGATCGGTTGGTTGGCATTTTGGTCTCTCCCCTACTCCTTTTTGGAGGTTAGAGACAGCTCGCGAGCCTTGTTCAATTGTGGCAAATTATTGCATTGATGCTTTTTTGAGCGCGCTCGACGCTCGGTGCACGTTGTAAGACTGACGGCCCATGGCATGAATGGCATGCATGCATAGGATTTTAATGGTTGTTTTGGACAGCAGGGCAACTCTTGTACAAAATTTCATATATCAAAAGAATTGGCTCTTCCTGGCTTACAAGACATACAATGGCCAATACCTGTTGGGCGAATCGACCCTTTTCTATTTCACAATTCCACACCTCCCGTCCTGCCTATTAACCATGTTTTTCCCGAGGCAGTGGACGAAACGGACATATACCCAATGCTTGACCCATTTCCCGCATATGGCGTGGTGCCCCCTTGATGTGATCCTGTATCCAATCCGTAGCCGGCGGCTGTATCCAATCCGTAGATGGGGGTTGTACCGTCTCGACAAGGTAATCAGCTGCGACATCTGCTGTACTACCACGTGAAAGCAATTTTTCCCTCCTCGCCATGGCGACATCCCAAATCTTTCGCCAATGACATCCAATTTCCGGTGTCCAGAAGAACGTCTGCAGGATCTTCTCTAATGGTTCCCATTGCCGTGCTTCCGGATACAGGTCCAATGCGCGATCCATGACGGTATGTGAGTCAGGGAGAGGCGCGATACGGAGAGCCAATACGCCGGCGACTGACATGCTAGTCCATATTAAAGCATGTTGTTCTTCTGGCGAGCTGGGTTTCGAGTGCTGAGGGAGAATGGTGACGAACTCTCGTAGTATGGGATCGCAGAATAGATTGAGCGGGGCTAGTCGGCGGAATTGATGGAGGAAGGCCACCAGACCGAATGATATGTAGATTTCAAACTGTTGGGGTTTCATCAAACTCATCCGCTGGAGCGCGGATAATAGATTTTGAATGACCATCTGACGTCGAATGTGCTCGTTTCCCGCAGGGTCCATAGGAGAGGTGAGTGGGGATGGGAGTGGGAGTGCTGAGTCGTTCGTTGACCTCGTCTGAAGTGCCCCGTGAATCGATGCAATGATGTTGACCATTTGCTCCGAGACGTCCCTCGTCAAGCAGAATGCTGAAAACCCGGCAGGTAACCTTGCCAAAATGATACAGAAGCCGTCTGAGAATGGCTTTTGGGGGTACGAGAGAGGTCTCATGAGGTCGAGCTCTTCGAAAGTTTCTCCCGCAAACCCCATGGACGAGTATGGTAGATCAGGTGCCTCGCCTGTCACAAAGGACCCGAGCGCCTTGTAGGCGACCAGTCCTGTCTCCACGAATGTCGCCCAGGGGGACGAGAGTTCGGATTCGTCATCCACCGGTCGATTACCACGGACTCGGAGCATTTGGTGTAACCCTTTTGAGTGCATCATGACACCCTCGGTGTTGCCAATGAGATATTCGAGCGTCATCAACAAGACTGCAGTCAACAAGGCAGCATCGTCGGTGCGACGTTTTGATCCGAGTCTGGAGTTGAGTCCCGCCATGGCCTGGCCGCGATGGTGGATAAATGCTTTGTCTTCAAAAGCCGACTGTCCGAGAGAAACAAGGACTGATGCTCGACATACGGCGATAAGAGACTCGAAGAGAACTGCGTGCTGGAACGTAAATGGTAAAAGGAGTGAGAGGTGTGCGTTGTGGTCAGCAGACGAGTTTTCTCCATGGAGGCCATGGCAGATGGTGACGAAATAATCCAGGCTCTGCTCGACGCAACGAGTTCGTTTGATGGGCAAGTTAGTGAAGGGGTCGGCCCTGGTGGCATTGCAGGGCAAAGGCGAGAGTGGTGATGGGATTGAGAGGCGCTGGACGGGCTGTCGCTTGAAACTTACGGGTTCCAAGGATGATGTGCGGTATTTGATCCTGGATTTAGTCAACTTTTCCTGATCTGTGGTATTGCCAGGTGTGACTGGTGGTGTCCAGACCACAAACGGGTCTGCTCCTGACGGTGAAGTCTTTATTTTCGGTTCATACTCTCGCCATCTGATCCGCCTGTAGTTTGTTGAGTGATGACGGCCATTGTCAGGGCCTGTTTTGTCCACGGAGAGTCTTGTTGGTGATAGAGTCGTTGCGACTGCCATTGAAGCGACAAGATATGGGGGTGAAGAGGGGCAGTGTATCGTATGACTGAACTCAATCAATCATGATATCTGAACATTGACGTCGTCTCCTGGTGAGCAAGATTAAGAGGATAGATTCCCGATTCGAGGTCTCAGTTCATTGGGTCGGAAGGAGCAGGAGTGACAGCAAACCTTGGGAAGGGACTATGTCATGTATTGTCAGGCATGACAGTCACGTGGAATCTGGCTTCACGTGACGTGTCAGTACCACTATCAACCCTCCAGTCTACCCGTGAATAGCCATGAGATTCTAGTCTTTTTGCGGCGATCCCACGGGATCGAGAAATCCAACTCGTTGTAGAACACTACAATATTTGGATATCTCATTGGTGGAGGGGCATCATCCGCCCTTGGGCAAGCCGAGATCATCGTGGCAACGGTCCATCGTGGCCGTGGGTCTTTTGGCGAGTAATAGGCACGACATATATATGTAGTAATCCTCATCTAATGCGACATAGTACATAAATATATACAGGGAACCCCGTACACTTAGGTTTCGTCATCTTGTTGGTCGTGGCCGGCATTATCCTCGTCTTCAACATCGCCATATTCTTCTCCAAGCACCTCGTAGTCTCTTGGTGATTGCATATCTTCCAGGTTCGGATCAATCGGGGTCATGCCTGCCACCGAGTTGGTCTTAGATAGCCTCCCTTTGCCGCTACCCCCAGACACAGGCACATTTCCGGAAACAGTTCTGCACAGCGACCGATAGGCGCTCGCCCATTCGAGTTCTTTTCTGCTTGCATGTTTCGGCAAATATCCAGCATCCAAATCCGAAGTGGGCTCCCACACTTCGGGCAGCTGTAAAAACATTGCTAGCGCATGGTGGTCAAGTGGCTCCCCTTCAATAAGAGCGTCGATCTTTGCCTTGACGGCCACCCGAATCTTGGCCATGGTGCCATTGGCATACCACCCAAAGTATCTGGTCTCACACTCGTGGCGGATATAGACATCAGGGATATCTACCAGGGTCTTCAGGTCTGGGTCGACGAGATCACACAACTGCCACGATTTGCCATCCGGTGGGATATTGGATTGGCCGGTAAATATGTGTGACTCGCGATCTGTACTGCGAACCCACGTGCGGCTGTAGTCTTCGCGCGCTTCTTCTTTCGCCTTGTGACGCGGCACCAACTGGATAAGGACGGTTTGGTATTTTCGGTACGACCGATCGGTTCGTGGATCAACCCCCAGTTTGCACAAGGTATCCCTCCAAGGGCCCGACCGTATCGCGAACGTGACATAGGCAATGGCGTGTCGAATGAGCATGGTCGAAAATGAATCCGGAAATTGATTGAGGAGGGCACGGCGAGTCCATAGTGGCCGTTTTTCGAACAGCTCTTCCAGCCTTTGACAGATTTGCTGCAATGCCTTGGGCTGTTGGTCAAGTGGCACACAACGTGGATGTGGCTTGTCAGGCCAGTGCTCATCGCTGTGTTGGCACTGATGAGTGAAAAGACGAAGAGGTGCCTGGTTGTTGCGCAGCGTTTGTTTCCCTGTCAGGGGATCGGCCACAGTCTTGACCGCTGGGTTCTGACGATAGGTGTAGTTGGCTGGTAGACCATGTGTGGACATTATCGGAAGTGGGAATGTTTCGGTGTTGGTCAGCCCATACGTCCTGGGCAATGACCAAGTTTTTAGCAAGCCATAGTCATGAGGCAGCACTTTACTATGAAGATCGTCCATGAACTTAGAGCCTTTGGTCGAGTAGACAAAGTCAGGCATGGTGCGCCATATATGAGATGATTGGATGCCAGCAATGGCTTGGACTTGACATCCATCAGGATTGTCCGCCAGGCTTTGCAACAGATACTCGGCGTTGTGTGGTGGAGGTGGAGACAAAGGCGACGTGTTAAAGAAAGGTTCATCCGAGCCTCGTTTTCTTTTGCGGCCGGTCCGCTTGGGAACTGTCAGCTTGAGCAAGACATTGTTCGTTTGAGTGGTATATGAGACAACGGGGCGACACTGTGGGTCGTCAGGTTGGAATTTGAGTCCGAGTGGTGTATCAGAGGGATCAAAAGAGTCTTGAGGCAGACATTGAGCAAGATCCTCTGCATCTCCCAGCATGCTTATTGCTCTATCGAGATCATGTCGTACAACACAAGGGTGTTCAACCGAAGTCACCTTGGCATCAGACACGGGCAATGTCATCGGTGCCATCCTTTCTGAGGGTGTGCGATGTGCAGTGTGGGTTAAGAAGCGCAGGATCGTGAGGATTGATCAGCCTGGATTTCTGGCTTTCCTGTCGCAATTCTCAGCAGGTAGGTGGCTCCCCTGATGATATTTGTTGGACATTTGGCGCAGATGACTGTTGTTGATGTAATTATTTTAGTGGATTCAAAGGCCTGAATGGTAGGTGATGGGGATAGGGTGACATGATCTATGCCTCTGAAATCTGATCTTAGTATGCAACAGCCTGCTTGTAAAGAGTGAATACTTACGACAAAGATCTTGTCTTGTGTTCTCAGATACTTTATATCTGTTAGTACGTGCCTAAGGTGTGTAGATGTTGAACCCTTTGATGTCGTGTTACAGTCTTTTGCTCCGCACTAGACTCCCCCGCACCTTTCCACTAATCAAAGTCGAGTTCAGCCCCCAAGGGATCAGTTATAATTAATGACTAACCTGGAGACTACTAACCCTTTACAGGCTTTGGCAGTGGCTAGACACGCCTAATGGCCTCGATCCCATTGAGTTGTTGGTTCAAGTGTGACACGCAAGCACTCGTAACTTAATTAGTGGTGGCAGCTACCACCGCTACTTGCTATTTGCTCCTGGCTGCTTGCTAGGTGCTTGTGGTGCTCCTCCAGTTCTACTTAGGTGCTAGGTAATAAGTGTTTAGTTGGATATTAGGTACCTTCTCACTACTAAAGTACTCTTAGGTACCTACCTACCTACTCAGTACCTGACCTACTGGCAATAACTTGTCACACTTGTTCTGCTACATTACTGCACCACAATCCATGATCCACCGACACCGACACCGACACAGACACCAGATTTCATCATCCAACTCCCTGCTACTCCGTACCAACATTACACTACTTCGCTCAACATCAGCTCAACCTCAACTTTGAACTTGATTGAAATTCCACCCTTGCTCCCTCTGCTCTCTCCGAATGTCATAGCCTGTGATTACACCGTCATCTCTCATCCACTACAGCCATCTCAATCCCAGCCTCGATCCATTGCACCAATCTAGGTTCGATCATTCTGCCGTGGAAGCTGTCATTGACTCCCTGACACACAACAGCCTCGAAACCTCCATCCCAATCCTCTCACCACACCCTCTGCCCACCGAGCGCTTCCTGCCACTCAACCACACCACGTCTATTTGACCATGTCGGATTAATTACACCCTCGCTACCTTCTGCATCACGTCCTCGGTCTTGACCCCAAGCCCCCCGAATCCACCTCCTCTATTGCTTCTCAGACTCGTCCTGTCGACGCGGATGTGATAGTCAATCCACCCGCCTCGGTCCTTGTCAATCACAACACCTCTGCATCCATCCGCTTGCAACATTGATGATAGCTTCCTCTTCATCACCCGCAACATGAAAGGTTTCAGAGCACGAGTGGTGCGTACATTCCCTCCCCGCCTCCTCGGAGCCCAATGCCTCCGCACCCTCCCTCGTGACCCTACTCCCTCTACCGCACTTACTTGCCTCAGCTCACTGAACTTGTAGCATGAACAGCTCGCTCGAGCCAAGGATTCCAAAAATTCTTCAAAGAAGAAAGATTCCAATTCTGGCACAGCCTCTCCTCTCTCATCCTCTACAACCTTGGCCGGAGCCGATTCCCGCTCCCCAAGCAACTCCAATGCCGCCACACCTACCTCCTCTACGACCGCTCTCAACGACATTCGAGGCAAAAATACCCCCAATGATACTGGCTCCGTGGGGCCCCAACATGGCGGTTCGTCCAGTACCGTCGCACAGCATTTCATGCAGCAAGGCTCGAGTCATGGCCCCACGTCAACCACCACACCTGGGAGACCTGGAGGGCATATGAACCCAAGTGTCATCATCAGCCCAAGCGCGCCTCATGTCCCTGGACCTGGTGCTACCGAAACCATGCCTGGTGATCTCGCTCCTCCCAAGGCAGGGCAGAAATCCCTTTTGTTCGATCGACTGCAAGCCACACCGAAAGATGTCCCGGAGGGACTTCGCACTCCCAAAAGACAGCATTCCTCACGCTTTGATATTTCAGATCAGCGATCACGCGAGTTGGAAAAGCTGTCCGGTTTCCATGAAGTACCGCCCAATCGAAGACAAGAGCTTTTCATGCAAAAGATCGACCAGTGCAACATCATCTTTGACTTCAACGACCAGACTGCGGACATGAAGTCAAAGGAGATCAAACGCTTGGCCCTGCACGAATTGCTCGACTACGTTGCTAATAACAGATCCGTCATCACGGAGCCCATGTATCCCAAAGTGGTCGAGATGTTCAGCAAGAACCTCTTTCGGCCTGTGCCTCCCCCGGTTAACCCCCAGGGAGAGGCTTTCGATCCCGAGGAAGACGAACCTGTGCTCGAAGTTGCCTGGCCTCATATCCAAGTGGTGTATGAATTCTTCCTTCGGTTCATCGAGAGCCAAGATTTCAACACCAACATCGCCAAGACCTACATCGACCACCATTTCGTCCTGCAGCTGCTTGAGCTGTTTGATTCCGAAGATCCGAGGGAAAGAGACTTTCTTAAGACTACCCTTCACCGTATCTATGGCAAATTCCTGAACCTACGCTCCTACATCCGTCGATCCATCAACAACGTCTTCTTCCAGTTCGTCTACGAGACCGAGAGATTCAACGGCATCGCTGAACTGTTGGAAATTTTGGGGTCCATTATCAATGGTTTCGCACTCCCTCTCAAGGAAGAGCATAAGCTGTTCTTGACCCGTGTCCTCCTTCCCCTTCACAAAGCAAAAAGTTTGAGCATGTATCACCCGCAGCTCGCATATTGTATCGTTCAGTTCCTGGAGAAAGATGCCGCCTTGACCGAGGAGGTATGATTTGCCCACTCGTCTGCTCCGCAACACACCTTCTGACACGATTTAGGTTGTCCTCGGCCTGCTCCGATATTGGCCCAAAACAAACAGTACCAAAGAGGTCATGTTTCTGAATGAAGTGGAAGACATCTTCGAGGTCATGGACCCTCAAGAGTTTGCCAAAGTACAGGAGCCGCTGTTTAACCAGCTCGCCAAATCCGTGGCCAGTCCCCATTTTCAGGTCTCTCCCGCCCAACCTCCAAGTCCGACAGTCCATACTGACGCGAGCCAGGTCGCTGAAAGAGCATTATATTTCTGGAACAACGAGTATTTCTGCAACCTCGTCAGTGACAACGTGGAGACCATCTTGCCCATCATGTTTGCTCCTCTCTATGAAAACTCAAAGGGCCATTGGAACAGGTATGTCTACCGCCTGCCTATACCATTCCCTATCTGACGTGCCTGTAGGACTATCCATGGTATGGTGTACAACGCAATGAAGCTGTTTATGGAGATCAACCCTCAATTATTTGACGAATGCTCCCACGATTATAACGAGTTGCAAAATACCGCTGCCCAACGAGAAAAAGCGCGACAGGCCAAATGGGACAAATTGGCAGAGACAGCAAAGAAGGTCAAGGCTGGAGCCGCTCCGAGCAGCAAACCCGCCTCGATCCGGGAAGAGGCTGAGCCGGACGCGACACAAGACAATCAGGCAAGGCTAGATGCGCTCAAGCTACACGATGAAGCATCCACGACGAAGACGAATTCGGTAAGCATGTTCAGCACATGAGGCGAAGCAGTTAGAATAAGTCCCCGTCCTCCTGATCTCTCCATCCATCGGTTGGCTAAGACATTTCTTATCATTATAGTGACGTGAGGATGATCTTTTTCTGACATGGCTTTCGATTCTCCAGAGACGGCGTGCGGACTCGCAAGGACAGACCCGGCCTCGCCGGTCCAACAGCAGCTCTGACGGCAGAACCAGGAGGTCCCGAGCCCATTCAGGATCAAGTTCTGGCGAACATCGGGTGGTGATGCCACACACCCTGCGACACGGCAATTCTACAGCTCATAGTGGATGATGACACTGTCGGGTCGATATCGGAACCTCTGCAACCTCGGCAATGCCGGTACTGAAGCGAGCGTACGGACTTGGCCTCTGGCAGGCGACGACCTTTGATGATTTAGTGTGTGCTGGACCAAATTGTGGCCAGTATGGATCCAGACGGAAGCGACAGGGTACAAAAGAAGCCACATTGGCCCATTTGGGGGATATTGGTTGACATTAGATCACGAGGAGGGCTAGACAGTCTGCCTCTGTATGAAGACACGAGCGGTGCAGCTGGCACAGCAGCATGATTTAATTTCTGATTTCATCATATCGTTGACCCGCGGATGTTGTAGTGATCAGAGATAACTGCAGTTGCTTGACGAAATGAACCAGTCCGTGAGTACCTCCTACCTCGACAAATACATTTGTATACGAAGTACACATCAAAATCCCGTTTCGTCCTAGCGTGCAAAAAGGACCCCCAGAAAGCAGGCGCACTGATTTGCAGCAATAAACATCGTCTGACCAACATTTCTATGCGACATAGTATTGGACATTAGTGTAATCCCCTTTCAATGTGTCGATCAGCGATGTCATTACAATTCAGCCAAGAAATCACACGAACGGTCCTGCTATTGGCGGAGTGTGGCCTTGAACTAGTACCATTATAGCCTAGTGCAAGTCGACTTCAGCGCGAGGCCTGCCCGCGTTTTTGCGATTCCTCTCTCTATCGCTCTGTCAGTCTCCAACACTCCTGCAAAATTCCCCCAGACTGTCCACTTCGCCCTCCCTCATACCCTGCAACGTGTAACGAAACCACGACGTCCAGGCCCTCACATACTCTAATTACCTTCCTTCGTTTCCTTCTTGCTGCCACGGACAGCGGCGTTGCATTGGGCCTTCTCTATTCTCCTGCATTTGTCGATATTCACCAGACGGTCGACCAACTCATCCCGCACCATATTGCAGCAAGACCATTGTCGCGGTCTGACACTTTGGCACATAATCTCTAAATGACTTGCGCAAGCGCCTGAATTCTATGAAGCCAACCAAGGCTACTGGTGTGCCACCGACTCGGAAGGGTGCTTTGCGCCGTGAGCCATAGTTCCCTCTCCATCACAAAATGACTTCCACCATGGATGCATCCCAAAAGATCGACTTGTATGCCGCGAGGCTCACAGATCCCAAGATCGGTATGTAGTGATTCTCGGCCATAGACTATGTCCATCTCAGCCAACTGACTTATCAACCCCGAACAGATACTCGTGCCAAAGCAAATACAGCCACCGAAGTTAGAGACTCGATCGAAAGCCTCTGCAGTCCTCCTGCTACATACGCCAAGTTTCTCGCCACACTCTGGCCGGTGTTCAAGAAGATCCTCGAAGGCAAGCCTGACTTTTCACCCACCTCCTTCGAGCAGATATTGCGCAACCAGATTCTTGAGATCCTCCATCGACTTCAACATGGCCCTGTCGAGGTCGAGCCTTACGCTTTGGAAATGGTGGATACCTTGCTGGAACTGGTCCGGGTGGAAAACGAAGACAATGCTGTCCTGTGCCTCAAGACTATCATGGACCTAGAGCGCTCACAGGTAAAAGCCACCAGCGGCAGAGTCCAGGACTTTCTTGATCTGATCCAAGAAATGTTCGAAATGATGGACCAGGCTGTCAAGGATACCTTTGATTCACCTACGACCCACCATCAGCAATCCTCTTCTACCCCAAACCCAGCGGGAGGTAGTCTTCAGTCTCCTCGGCCTGGCTCACCCGGCACGACGGTCTCGGATCCTGGAAGTGAGAAGAAGGAGCATGTACCTCTCGCAAAGGGCATGCAGTCTTTCAAGGTCCTCTCAGAATGCCCCATCATTGTTGTTTCCATCTTCCAGGCTCACCGTGCTTCGGTCCCTGCTAATGTCAAAAAGTTTGTGCCATCAATCAAAGGCATCCTGCTCTTGCAGGCCAAGGCACAAGAGAGGGCCCATGAGGAAGCCGAGGCCAACGGCACCATTTTCACCGGTGTCAGTAAGGATATTAAGAATCGAGCGGCTTTCGGCGATTTCATCACTGCTCAGGTCAAAACTATGAGTTTTCTGGCCTACTTGCTCCGCGTGTACGCCAACCAGCTTACAGACTTTTTGCCCACATTACCGGTTGTGGTGGTGCGCTTGCTCAAAGATTGCCCGCGGGAGAAGTCCGGGGCTAGGAAAGAGCTTCTGGTGGCCATTCGTCACATCATCAATTTCAACTACCGCAGAATCTTCCTCAATAAGATTGACGAACTGTTGAACGAAAAAATTCTAATCGGCGATGGTTTGACCGTCTATGAGACGATGCGCCCGTTGGCATACAGCATGCTTGCGGACTTGATTCACCATGTCCGGGACTCGCTAGATCGAGATCAGATCCGACGTACCATCGAAGTCTACACCAAAAATCTGCATGATACCTTTCCGGGCACCAGTTTTCAAACAATGAGCGCCAAGCTACTATTGAATATGGCCGAAAGCATTACCAAGCTTGAGAACAAGCAAGATGCTCGATACTTTTTGATCATGATTCTCGACGCAATCGGTGACAAATTTGCTGCCATGAACTACCAGTACAAGAATGCTGTTAAGCTCAGCAGGCAATACGCGGAAAAGTCCAAAGAAAACCACGTCGAGACCTACATGGACGATGAAGATCAGGTTCTGGACTGGGATGAGGTCGATATCTTCACTGCGACTCCCATCAAGACCTCGAGTCCCCGGGAACGCGGTGCTGATCCGGTTTTTGACAACAAGTTCTTGTTCAAGAACCTTGTGAATGGACTTAAGAATATGTTCTTCCAAATCAAAGCCTGCAACCCCCAAGGTCTCACCATTGACCCGGCCAACGTCCCCATGAATTGGGCCGAAGTGTCCTATGGCTACAACGCTGAGGAAACGCGGGTGATTACGAAGCTCTTCCATGAGGGTGCGCGTGTCTTCCGCTACTATAGCGCAGAGGCTCCACCCACCGATGTTCAATACACATCACCCGTCGATTTCATGGCTAGTCACTCAATGGCTCAGATGACCAGAGAGGAGAAGGAGCTGTTGGAAGCCTTTGGTACCGTCTTCCACTGTATTGATCCAGCGACTTTCCATGAGGTGTTCCAGGCAGAAATTCCACATCTCCATGAGCTGATGTTCGAGCACACTGCACTTCTACACCTTCCTCAATTCTTTCTAGCAAGTGAAGCCACCTCTCCGGCATTTGCTGGTATGGTTTTACATTATCTCATGGGGAAGCTTCCAGAGGTCGGCACTTCTGATATTGTCAAGTCCTCCATTCTCCTCAGGATGTTCAAGCTCTCTTTCATGGCCGTTACGCTCTTCTCTGCACACAATGAACAAGTCCTCCTGCCGCACATCACCAAGATAATCACTCAGTGTGTGCAATTGTCGGTGACTGCGGAAAAGCCGATCCATTACTTCATCCTCCTCCGATCACTTTTCAGGAGCATCGGAGGTGGCCGCTTCGAGTTGCTGTACAAGGAAATTCTGCCTCTTCTGGAGATGCTCTTGGAGACGTTCAACCACTTACTTCAAGGAGCTCGAGACCCGCATGATCGGGACCTATACGTCGAACTAACTCTGACCGTCCCCGCGAGACTCAGCCACCTTCTCCCTCATCTCAATCATCTGATGAAGCCTCTCGTGGTAGCTCTTCGTGCCGGTCCTGATTTGGTCGGCCAAGGACTTCGAACCTTGGAGCTGTGTGTCGACAACCTCACCGCCGATTACCTCGATCCCATCATGGCCCCTATCATGGACGAACTGATGACTGCTCTTTTTGAACACCTCAAACCCCAGCCTTACCAGCATTTCCATTCTCACACTACCATGAGGATCCTTGGCAAGCTCGGTGGCAGAAATCGCAAATATCTTAACCATCCACATCTGCTCTCCTTCCGGCAATACACGGACGACGCGCCCAGTTTTGACATTAGACTAATTGAGTCGAACCGTGATAGAGCTTTCCCCATGGACACAGCCGTGGACCTAGCCATCCGGAAGCTATCTGAAGTAACAAAGGCTTCAGCCACCAAATCCCTGGACGCGTACTACAAGCAACAGTCATTCAAGCTGATCAGCAATCAAGTGAGACTATTCATCGGATCCGACCACTTGCCAGACAATTTTGCTGCATTGATACGACTCCAAGCAAACGACCTTGTTGCTCGCCGCTTTGCAACATACACGGAAATGTTGGCGGAGAGTGATACCAGCAAGCCCGTCCAAAAGCGCAGGGATCAAGAAGACAATCTGAAGAAGCTGATGAAAGCAGTATTTACTGCTACGACGATTCCTGACCTGAAGACTCAAGCCGATGCCTTCATCCTGAGCATTTCTCGCCATTTTACCATTGTTGAACTTGGCCAAGCACTTTGTGATGCTGCGAGGAAGACAAAGGAATTCGACGTCAACTCTGGGGAGGGGGCTGTGTATCTCAACTCTCGCATTTTGGCAGACGTGATCTCTGACTGCCTCGCATCAGACAATATCACGGTCCGAGAGTCTGCCGAAGCATCAATGGTTGCTGTGGTAGAGACTGCTCGGACGATCTTCGGGAGTGACAGTAAGGCTGCCACACTACCCTTCTTCAGCTACCTCACTCAGACATTCTGCTATCGATGCCGCGAGGTTGAGTGGTTTACCAAAGCGGGCGCGACCCTTGGCATCAAGCTCCTTGTCACCGAACTTGGCTTGGGCAACGGCTTTGTACAGAGCAAGCAGCTCGAACTCATCAAAGCTCTCCTCTATGTCATCAAAGACACGCCGCAAGAAGTCCCTGCAAGTACGCGAATCACTGCACAAGAGACCCTCGAACACATTTTAAAGATTGGTTTGGCAGGCAGCTCAAAGGAGTCCATCACCAATGAGAAGAGTCCACTTTTCATGCTCTGTGCCACGTTCTGCGTTGAGTTGTCACATATGAATAAAAATGCTCGACAGACAGCACAGAAGGCATTTTCCATGATGGCTGAAATCGTTGGACTTGAGATTCATGAAATCCTCGAGCCTGTAAAAGATCGTTTGTTGCAGCCCATCTTCAACAAGCCATTGAGAGCCCTTCCATTCCTGTCGCAGACCGGCTTTATCGACGCCATCACTTATTGTTTGGGCCTTGGACACGATTTTGTCCCTCTGAATGACCAGCTGAACCGGTTGATGATGGAATCACTCGCTCTGGCCGATGCTGAAGCTGAAATTCTTCATCCAAAACCCGACGAATTCAACAATGCTCAACTAATTGTAAATCTCAGAGTTTCTTGTTTGAAATTGCTTTCCCTGGCAATGAGTCTTCCCGAGTTCGCAGCCGGAACACAGAGCACCAACAACAACTCCACTCGAGCACGAATCATTACAGTCTTCTTCAAATTACTCTATTCCAAGTCCCCAGAGATAATTGACGCAGCCAACGCCGGGCTAAAAGACGTTCTTGTCCAGACCGCGAAATTGCCAAAAGACTTGCTTCAGAATGGTCTTCGCCCAATTCTCATGAATCTGCAAGATTCAAAACGACTGACAGTCGCCGGTCTGGAAGGGCTTGCGCGTTTGCTCACCTTACTCACAAATTACTTCAAGGTCGAGATAGGTGCCCGACTTCTGGAGCACATGAGAGTGATTGCAGACGATGCTCTGCTTCAAAAGGTGTCGTTTGGCCTTATTGAACAGAATGCGCAGATGAAGATTGTTACCGCTATATTCAACATTTTTCACCTTCTTCCACCGGCTGCAACCAGTTTCATGGCTGATCTAGTGAATGGTGTACTTGACTTGGAGTCAAAGCTAAGGCGAACAGTTGCGAGTCCTTTCCGCCATCCCCTCGCTCTGTATTTGGACAAATATCCCAAAGAGACATGGGCCTTTTTCCAACCTCTGATGCAGGAGGAGAAATATGGTCGCTTCTTTGGTCAGATCCTTGCATCAGACCACAGTAATGCCATTCGAGAGGTTGTGATGGGTGATATCGAGACTCTTATCAAGGTTGCATTCGAAGTCGAGGAGGAGCCCGCAAAGCAGATTGCCGCCATCAACGGCATTTACGTCGTTCACTCGATCTGCAAGTCCGACTCTGCCAAAGTCTGGTTGCGTGGTCAAGAGACGCTGAGATCAAAGATCTTATCCACTGGCCGGGAGCTGGAAGGACAGCTTCGCCAGGATACCTTGCAACAGCCCCAGCGACTCCGAGCCGAGCAAGCTGGCGATCAAGTCATCGATATTGTGACCCAGTATCTGTCGGAGTCACTTGACGATACCACTTTCATGATGGAGATATTTTCTTGTGCTTCTCAGGGCAAGATCAAACCCTCGTTACAACTGACAAAGTACCTCTATGGCTCCGTCATCACGGACAAGTCACTCGAACGTCGATTCAACATTGTTGAGAAGTGTCTAGATCTCTATTCTCGCAAGAACGAGCCCCAGAAACTCAAGACCTTCTTGCTACACAGTGTGGTCAATCCAATCCTCGCCCAGAATGTCCAGAATACTCGTCGAGAAGACAACGAGGCCGGAAACCTTGCCGATAGCAAATTATTCAACTTGCTGCTTGAGAAGCTATGGAAGTCTGCTGCATCTCTCGAGTCGAGTGACGAATCGTCGCAGCCAGGCATTGACCACTCTCGAATGGAAGCCCTCCAATTGTCCGCCTTCATTTTGAAATATCACAAGGATGCTGTTTCAGAAGATCGTAAGGAGATTATAAAGTATTCTTGGGGGCACATCAAATTAGAGGACGTGATCAACAAATATGCTGCTTACGTTCTCATCTGCTACTTCATCAGATCCTATGAAACACCACCCAAGATAGCGGTACAGATATACAATCAGCTTCTCAAAGCACACCAAAACGAAGGCAAGGTGCTGGTGTCGCAGGCCCTTGAGGTTCTTGCACCAGTGTTGCCAATTCGAATGGGCAGCCCTAACAATACGCCTGGCGATAAACGATCCCCACATTGGGCTCGTCTCCCGCGCAAAATCTTGAATGAAGAGACGGGGAATCTGCAGCAAGTTCAGAGTATCTTCAACTTCATTGTGCGGCAGCCCGATCTCTTTTACGATTCTCGAGAGTTCTTCGTTCCTACCATTGTCCAGATGCTTCAAAAGATCGCGCCACCTCCCAACCCATCAAACGAAAGCAAGAAGCTGGCCCTTGCTCTCATATCACTCATTCAGCAGTGGGAGAGCAAACGCGTATCTGCCTCCTCTCCGACACAATCTGCCGCAGAGCTGACGCCGTCCAAAAAACGAGATTCTCAAGGGAATGCAAAGCTCCCCCCTCCACAAACCAAGGAACGCGTCGAATACCTCATTCCTTTGGAACACCGTACATTGGTCATCAAATACATGATCAACTTCATAACTGGATTGGCAGAGCGCCACCCTGTACCTGCTGCCGAACTCAAGGTCAAGGCTATGCAGAAAGCTCAGATACAGGCATTGCCCAACGATATGTGCAAGAAGGCCGTGCAGCTGCTTCGAGACTTACTTGCACCTAACATGTGGTCGGATGTTGATGTTGGGCTTTACGAAAAGCTCCTCGAACCGATCTTGGCGGGTGAAAAGGCCGACAAAGCTGACGAAAAGCAACTTACTTGCATGATCAATGCACTTCAGGTCCTCCGAATCTTAATTAATACAAAGTCGGATGAATGGATCTTGACCAACATGGAAAGAGTACAGAAGCTCCTGGAGAAGCCCCTCAAGATGGAGGATCCAGAGATTCAGGATTGTCTGCATCTCGTGACTGACAACAATAAACATCCGCCACTAGTGCGAAGAATTCTGGAGGCAATTCCAAACCAGCAGGCTGAGGACGAAGATGGAATGGACGTGGATTCTTCGCCGTCTGACTTCCCAACAACATACTCAAAGATCATGATAGGCGAAGCGTTATCCTCTTCCAACTTTACCTCGGCGATCAACAATCTTTGGACATTGTCATTGGTCCGCCCAGCTGATGTTGATGACCATATCGCCGGAGCCATGAAAGCCTTGCAAGGTAAGCTCGCCAAAGAGCATATCCACGCCTATGCTATTCCACCCGGCCCCCCACCTCAAGGCTGGCGGCTGGGCGAGCCCTTGATGGATCCCTACGAATTCGCACTTGGTGTTGATTTGATCAAGAAGACTATTGACATTCTTGCATTGCGAATGGGCGAGCTCAATGACCAGCGGAGACCTTTCCTCAGCGTTCTAGCTTCGCTCGTGGAGAAGTCTTTCAATGTCGAGATGTGCAACAAGGTTCTTGATATGGTCGAGCAGTGGGTCTTCAATTCCAACGAGCCTTGGCCGACTCTTAAGGAGAAGACCGCGGTGCTGCATAAAATGCTCATTTTCGAGAAGTGGCAAAATCAAACCCTCCTCGACCGTTTCCTGGAGCTCGTGATCAAGATATATGAAGATCCTACAGTGACAAGAACCGAACTCACGGTGCGTTTGGAGCATGCATTCTTGATAGGAACAAGAGCAAAGGATGTGGAAATGCGCAATCGTTTTATGAGCATCTTCAATCGTGCTCTGTCGAAGACTGCGAGCTATCGACTGAACTATGTCTTGACGTTGCAAAATTGGGATACCCTCGCGGACTCCTTTTGGCTGAAGCAAGCATCTCACCTGATTATGGACTCAGTAGAGATGTCTTTGCCCGCTCGGCTGCATGCAGAAGACCTCCGGCTCTGCCCAGTTTCTCAACTGTTTAAAGCATCACTTGTCAGTCCGGAGCAGCAAAAGGACGATCTTATCATCGAAGACGGCCTCGAAAGTCTGATCACCGCCGAGCGCCGTTTTAATCAAGAAATGCAAGAGGTCAAGGTCCGAGATCTTCTTGAGCCAATCATTCAACTCCAGCACGCGGATGATAATGTCGCCTACGACGTTTGGATCAAGCTTTTCCCCCTGTGCTGGTCCGCTCTCAACAGAGATGAACGTCTGGACCTTGAGAAAGGCATGGTGACTTTGCTTGCCAGAGAATATCATCAAAGACAACTTAACGCGAGGCCCAACGTCGTCCAGGCATTGCTTGAAGGCGTTGTCAGAGCACGACCGAGATTCAAAGTTCCGCCTCACGTTATGAAGTTCTTGAGCAAGACCTACGATGCATGGTATACCGCACTTATTTCTCTAGAGGAATCCACCATTGATCCGCTCATCGACACTCCTGCAGTAAGAGAGAGCAATTTGGACGCCCTCGTCGAGGTATATGCCGGCCTCCAGGAGGACGACCTGTTTTACGGAACTTGGCGCCGACGCTGTAAGTTTATGGAAACCAATGCAGCACTGTCCTACGAACAACATGGAATTTGGGACAAGGCACAACAATTGTGGGAGTCTGCACAAGTCAAGGCAAGAACAGGTGTTGTCCCATTTTCCCAAGGGGAATACTACTTATGGGAAGACCATTGGATGATTTGTGCACAGAAAGTACAACAGTGGGATATTCTCGGCGAATTTGCCAAACACGAGAACTTCAGCGATCTTCTCCTCGAATCCGCATGGAGAAATTACGAGGCTTGGTCCGGAGACGACAATCGCAATCAATTGGATGGCATGATCAAATCCGTCTCGGACGCTCCAACCCCAAGACGGACGTTTTTCCAGGCCTTCATGGCGCTCTTGCGATACAATTCGAAACAAATGTCTCGAGCAGAATTCCAACATGTCTGCGATGAGGCTATTCAGTTGTCCATCCGAAAGTGGCACCAGCTTCCTAAGCGCATCACCAACGCCCACATTCCGATCTTGCAGAATTTCCAACAACTGGTTGAGTTACACGATGCCAGCATCATCTGCGACAGTTTGATGGGTACGAATGACCGCAACCTAGATACCAAATCTCAGGAGGTGAAGATGATGTTGCAGGCGTGGCGAGATCGACTCCCAAATATTTGGGACGATGTCAACGCGTGGCAAGATCTTGTCACCTGGCGCCAACACGTCTTCCAGCTTGTCAACTCTACATACCTGCCCCTTCTCCCTCAAGGTGGTAATAACGTCGGCAACAATTCTTACGCGTTCCGTGGCTATCATGAAACGGCATGGATAATTAACAAGTTTGCTCATGTCGCTCGCAAGCACCAGATGCCAGATGTCTGTATCACGCAACTAGGAAAGATCTACACACTTCCAAATATCGAGATCCAGGAAGCGTTTTTGAAGTTGAGAGAACAGGCGAAATGCCACTACCAGAACAAATCGGAACTCAACAACGGCCTGGACGTGATCAACAATACGAACCTCAACTATTTCGGTGCGCAGCAGAAGGCCGAGTTTTACACCTTGAAAGGCATGTTCCTCGCCAAACTTCAACATGCAGAGGAAGCCAACGAGGCTTTTGGCGTCGCTCTCTACTATGACTTGAGACTACCTAAGGCTTGGGCAGAGTGGGGACAATACTCGGACCGTAAGTTCAAGGAGGACCCCTCAAACATCGAGGCGGCGAGCAATGCAGTCAGTTGCTACCTCGAAGCTGCCGGATTGTACAAGAGCGCAAAATCGAGGAAGATGCTCAGCCGAGTTCTCTGGCTCCTGAGTCTCGACAATGAAGAAGGCCATATCGCCAAGGCCTTTGAAGATTTCAAAGGTGAAACACCTGTCTGGTATTGGACTACGTTCGTGCCTCAATTGCTGGGCAGTCTTGAACATAAAGAGGCACAGCTAGCCAAGTCTGTGCTCGTGAAGATCGCAAAGGCATTCCCTCAATCATTGTTCTACCATCTCCGGGCCACTCGAGAAGAGTTTTTATCCAAAAAGAAACAGTCTGAGAACCAAAAGCGTGCACAGCAGGCCAAGCAAGAGAAATCAGAAGGAGGGTCACGACCAGGAACGGCCAACGGAGAGGCGGGCGCCAATGCCAATGCCAATGCCAATGGCAGTGCTTCGCCCAAGCCAAAACAAGAGGCTAATGGCGAAGCTTCGACGAACGGTGCTGAGGCCGAGAAGAAACAGGAACCTCGAAAGCCTTGGGATCATACGGATGAGATCATGGCTGGACTGAAGACGGCTTTCCCACTCCTTGCGCTCTCGATGGAGACCATGACAGATCAATTGTCCAAACATTTCAAATGTCCGCCAGACGAAGATGCCCATCGTCTCATTGTGGCTTTGCTAAACGATGGACTGGCATACATCAGCCGGGCCCCGGGCACATATGCTGAGGGTGCGAAGTTGCCGCCGAGTACTGAAGCCAACATTGCGCGATTTGTGACGTCGGTCCTTCCGGCACACATCCGCAAGTCGTTTGAAGCCGACTTCGTGCAGACGCGGCCGACGATGTACGAGTACATTCACAAGCTGAGGAGATGGCGGGACAAGTTTGAACAGAAGCTCGACCATAAACAACAGTGGAATCCCCTTGAGTCATACAGCCATCACTTGAGCGAGTTCAAATTCTTGAAGTTTGATGACTCGGTCGAAGTTCCTGGACAATACCAGCAACACAAAGATAAGAACACTGACTTTGTCCGGATTGAACGTTTCATGCCAACAGTTGAAGTTGTTCGAGGAAATAGCATCTGTCATCGACGACTCACAATTCGGGGCCACGATGGGTCACTCCATCCATTTGCCGTTCAGCACCCGACGGGCGGCAAGGTACGGCGCGAGGAGCGGATCGTTCAGCTGTTCCGGATCTTCAATCAAACCCTGGCGAAACGCAAGGAATCTCGTCGGCGGAATTTGTACTTTCACTTGCCCATCTTTGTGCCGATAGCACCCTACATTCGACTGGTGCAAGATGATGCTTCGTACGTCACGTTCCAAACCATTTACGAGGACTTTGTCCGAAAGGCACCAGGAATGTCGAGAGATGATCCAATGATGTTTGTCTTGAGCAAGTCTCGAACAATTGCCGACCAGCAAAAGACCAGCCCACGCACGGCGGAGCAGCTGGCGGTGCTCAAGACAGAAATTTTCAACACGATCCAGGAGCGGTGGGTTCCCAATACTATCCTCCTCAAATACTTCCAAGCCGTCTACCCGAACTTTGCGGACTTTTGGCTTTTCCGTCGCCAATTCTCGTATCAGTACGCGGCTACCACTTTCATGACATATGTGATGCACATCTCTGCTCGCTACCCGAGCAAGTTTGCCATCTCCCGATCAACTGGGGACATTTGGGCGAGCGATCTGTTGCCCAACCTCAACTCGGCTCGGGCATACTTCTTCAACCCAGAAGCGGTGCCTTTCCGACTGAGTCCCAACGTGCAAACATTGATGGGCCCACTGGCGGTGGAAGGGATATTCACAGCAAGTCTGATGGCGATTGCAAGATGCATTGCGGAACAAGATCAAGGATATGAAATGGAACAGCAGCTGTCGATCTTTGTGCGTGATGAAATGTACAATTGGGCGGGAGGACGATCACAGAGCGGCAGTGAGAAGATGGAGGGACAGCATCTTCGGGAATTGGTTGGGCAGAATGCCGATTTCGTGGTACGGCGAGCGCTTGCATTGGCCAAGACTCAAGGCACAGTTGGTGGTGGTGGGGAGAATGGAGGATTGAATGGAGTGCTTCCAGCATGCCAGAATGTGGTGGACTTGGTGAGTCGGGCTACAGACCCGATGAAACTGAGTGCGATGGACCCATTGTGGATGGCTTGGTTGTAACCAAGAGCAATGCGGATAGGATTTCACGGTTTAGGGTTGAAAATCAGGATTCAGGATTCAGGATCCAGGACGACATCGAACAAAGGCGTTGGCAAAGTACAGGTACAGGTACAGGTACTGGCACTGGCACAGGCAGGCATTCTGTCAGCGACTTGAGAGCTTGATGGTGTTCAGGGCTATCATGGGAATGCAATTGTTTGATTATGATGAGCCAGCCTCTTGGAAGAAGAGCTGATGGAGGAGACTGTATGTGTATATTCACTGGACAAGGCGCGATCATCAGTGTATTTTAGCTTGAGCCAGAAATGATGATTATATGCGAGATTGAGATTGAGATTGGATGAATGTACACATGCTAGACATTGAATACTAATCATTCTCCTCGTGACCCTTTTTCTGTTGCGATGAAAGCGAATACGGATTAATAATAGATTGAAGCGCGTATAATAGAAGAAGCCCCTGGAGGGAGTTCCATCACCACGGTCAATAGTCTTCTATTGCCATCAAGGTCGTTGCCACCAGCTATTCTAACTTTCATCTTCAATACGGTTTTTAATCTTAGCCAGGGTCTCGTCGATGCGTTGATTGTCTGAAAATTGTTGAGCCACCTTGGAATGCATTCACAGACACAACAAACCATGTCAATTCTCGATAATTCACCACACAAACCAAGTCTTCTCCCTCGATCTCCCGAGATGAACGATCTGAACGATATGAACGACATACAAAACGAAGATTTCACGGTATTCAGGAGCTTGAGGCCGGTTATCACGATCGAATCACATCTCGAGACCACTACTTCAAACCACCTCGGAACTGAGAATTCCCCCTCCCCCCCCTTGAGGAGTAACAACAAACATGTGCTCACCAACCACCTCTCAATGCCAACAGGCGAGTGAGTGGTGGGAATTCCTCTTTTGGAGAGACCCAATGTCAGCTGTCCCTTGGCCAGGTGTGATCTCATGCACACCTGATACGGAGTAGATCGAGTGGAAATATCCCTGGCACTCAAATCACCCCATGAATGAATGGACCTTACCAGTGGAGGACGGTACGAGGCGGGATCATGCCCGATGATGGTCTGGACTTGATGAATGGAAAGACACACCCCACAAACCTAGGTCCCTGGACCAATCGCCCGAGGCGCCCCAGAGATGTCCTCCGCTTTTTGGTCAATAGGGCGAAAAACCCATCGGTTCCGCTGGCCTGTATGCATTCTCCTGAGGGGCAATTCCAGTCAAGTGTCGTTTGCAAGCATGGGCCCATCCGTCCAGTTAGTCGCCCGCCGGCGGGCGGCCGTCCCTTGGAGACAGACATCACCAGAAAGACATCCAGTCCCACTGAACAAATGAAGAAAAAGCACAGGACAACTTAGGAACCAACTGGGAACATTGGACTCTGGGACACACCTAACAAGACCCATGATGGAATTCACAGGTTGGCCCTGGGTATTGTCCATCATCTCCGCTTCCAAGACAGCCCTAAGACTTGGAGGCGTCCGCTAGGGGCTCTATACCCATGTCATGCCTTACTCCGTACTGCGCAGACCCGCCACAGTTGGCTGGGTGTTGAGTTGCATGACAGAAGCACCACTCAAGCCCCAATTGCCGTGTCTGTCGTGGTGCTTCGGCTGCTTGATGATCCCTTCTTCGACATTGACTTTCTTGGCCTTTGACAGAGGTTTGAAGATCAAACTTCGGGTGAGTTCCGACGGAGGTGATGATACAGTATTGATGATATTACAGATGATATTACAGATGATGGCAATGATGGCAATGATACTGTTGTCGACGATCTCCAAAGGTCAACTTCGGCGACAACAAGTTAGGGGACGACGACTACTAACTGGCTAGTCTGAAAGAGAAAAAAAAGAGACATGCTGCATGTTGGCTGAATCATCCATCCAAGGTTGTCTAATTCGACTGGACTGGGCTGGCTTACTTTGCCATCCAACTGGGCCAGCCCACTTTGTCAAAGTTGGCTTCCGAGACCACCGCTGATCTCTCTTTCATCAAACAATACCCTGTACTCTGTAATGTTCACCCTTGCTTGCCATGTTTTCCCACCTCATCAATACCCCAGACTCCACCGGATCCTTACCGCTCAACTCTGGGGTCTGCTCGAGCGCTTTTGGCGCCCTTACGCCCTCTAGACTCCGGGGGCCAGAAAGTTGAGCTCTTTGATTATTGGATAACCGCCCCCACGAAGACTGGATCCATTTTTCACAACTTGGCCGTGCTGGAGCACGCCTTGCGGAATGGCTTGTGGATGGGTCGTGTTGGTGTTGGTTCCCCATTTCCATATCCATTTCCATTTCCATCATCCTTCCAAGCCAACCCAACGGCCACCACCCACCCTACCACCCTACCACCCTGCTTATCTCTTCGGGATCATGCAGGTTCTAAAAGCGAACCCATGGCAAAAAGCCTTGTCCTTCCCCATCCCACCTTTGGCTTTGGACGCTCTGGTCACCGTACATGGCCGGTATTCTAGTGTACCGCCACCTTGTCCTGGCCCCATTTATTTTCTTCGTACCAGGTATCTGAGGTTAATTAGGTTACTAACGGATGTGTACACATGTGTGCTTTTTCAGCAAAAGTAGGTACAGTACTGTAGGATTGGGTGATGGTCCTCTTCGAGCATAAAGTCTACTCGACTTCCCTCTTGAATCAACTGGGCTCCTCTTTGATCTCTCCCCTTTTCAACTCGGTGGACCGTCTGTGCCTCCCCGTTGTCAATCCATTATCACATCAACATCCTTGATCACACCCCCTTCCTCCTCCTCAATTGTGCTGTGTGCCACAGCAACCAGACATTCATCATGGCCACTCACTCTCCCGTCGAAAAGGATCACAACATCGATCAGCTTGAAAGCGCCGATGAAGCCAAAATATCGATCCAAGGCTCCGATGGCGAAGTCGATGAGCGATTGACCTACTTTACTCCAGAAGAGCAGAAGAAGATCATTCGTCGCATCGATACTCGATTGGTCTTGACTCTGGGCTTCTTATACTGCGTTTCTTTGATGGATCGAACCAATATGGGTATTGCCGTCGTTGCCGGCATGGGTGTTGATCTCGTCCTTACTGGCAACCGATACTCCATTATTGTCCTTGTCTTCTTCATTACCTATGTCTTGCTGCAACCCCCCGCGACCGTCGTTCTGCGCAAAGTCGGTCCTCGCATCTTCTTGCCAAGCATTGTTGTGCTCTGGGGATTGACCATGATTGCTTTTGGTTTTATCAAGAACTGGTGGGATCTCATTTACTTGAGATTGATTCTCGGTGTTTTTGAGGCTGGTTTCTTCCCTGGTAAGTAATTATCCAATTTTTTGATTTCCTCCGGTTTAACCGATGTTTCTAGGATGTGCCTATCTCCTCAGCTGTTGGTATCCCCGCTACGAGCTACAGAAGCGCAACGCCGTTTTCTACCTGATTGGATCCATGGCCTCTGCCTTTTCCGGTATTCTCGCCTACGGTTTCTCCCAACTCAAGAACCACGGAAGTGGCCCTGTCTGGTGGGGACAGCATTATGGACCAACCCCCACCAACCCCGACGCACCATCTGGTATTCTACCTGGTATTGCCGGCTGGAGATGGATTTTCATCCTGCAGGGAGTCATTACCTGCGTTCTCGGCCTGGGATCTCTGTTGTTGATTGTCGATTTCCCCGAATTGTCCGTCAACACTTTTGGATTGAAATTCCTCAACCAGCGAGAAGCCGACTTTATCGTGGCGCGCATCGAAGCCGATCGTCAAGATGTGGTTCTGGAGCAATTCAACATCTGGAAATATCTGAAGCATGCACTCGATCTCAAGGTCTGGGCTTTTGCTGCTCTGTTCGGCTTGACCACCACCAACACGTACGCCATTGCCTATTTTTTGCCCATCATTTTGAACGTCGGTATGGGATTCAACGTCGCTGCTTCGCAGTGCTTGATTGCTCCTCCCTACGTTCTCGCAGCTATTGTCATGTACGCATTTGCCTGGGCGGGTGATAAATACCATCTGCGAAGCCCCTTTATTTTGGCCAACGGCGCTCTCCTCCTGATCGGTAAGTACATGAATCTCTCGCGCACGCGCACGCAATATTTTTATTTTATTTTCTCTTCTCTTCTTTTTTTGCTGACCCAAGATGCCCGATTCTAGGTCTCCCTCTCCTCGGCTATCTCGACAACGTGGGCGTTCGATACTTTGGTGTATTCCTCGCAACCACCGCATGCAATGCAAACGTTCCTTGCGTTTTGACATGGCAAGCCAACAACATCCGAGGCCAATGGAAGCGAGCACTCTGTTCGGCGACTTTGGTCGGAGCCGGTGGCATCGGTGGCATCATCGGCAGCACCGTGTTCCGTGAGCAAGACAAGCCTGAATACCATCCAGGTATTCTCACCTGCATGATCTCCAGCGGCCTTATCATCCTCATTACCTTGGCTCTGGACTACAAGTTCTGGCGCGCAAACAAGCGAGTCGCGGCCGGTGGAAAGCCGATCGAAGGACTCGAGGGATTCACGTACACGTACTAGTTTTGAGTGACGCTCTATGGATGTCTGGCTGTCTGGCCGTCTTTCTTGCTGCGAGACCCTCTCGTCTGGACGCTTGTTGTTTCCAGTTTTCTGGTTCAACGTATGTATGTATGTACCTATCTCGAGGTAGCCTAGTTGGATTCGCAGTGGGAAACAAAAACACCACCATGTGGATTTGGCGATGCTTCTATAATACGAAAGAAATTCCTCATAATCATCTCACACTCTTGAATTTCTCTATCAATGACGGATGTGTCGTCTTGATTCTGGCCCCCAGCCTGAACACCTGCCTACACAGACATGAACCCTGTAAGGATCGTCCAGCGTGATCGATCAACCGGACCTTTGGACCCTGAATCGCGAATGTATGACCATCCCATGAGTAGACAACCCTGAAGAAATGCCACGTGGAAGTCGGATTGGACCGAATTTGTATGTATGTACTAGGTACTTCATATGTCGACCTACCTGGTCGTGTATGTATTGTATTATTGTCAATGCAGGGACCGACCTCAGCATTCATCCATGTACGAGTATGTCAGAAGGATGTCAGTATGTCAATATGTACGTACAAGGACATTGTGTCGTTCTGGGTAGATGGACTAAAGAGTCGAGACTGTGAAACAATCAAAAAATGAATTGATCAGATGAGCGCACTGTGTGCCAACGGAGCCGCCTTGCCACATTCCAAGGCCATACGAACAGCAAAGCACGCACTCGCACTCGCACTCGCACCGCACCAGCGCACCATACCATGTTCTGGAGTTCTTCACTATTCGAGCACTGCACTGCACTGCACTACACTACACTACACGCACGGTCAAGGTCAGGCGTGCAATAAAAAAGCCATATGCCGACCCCAGACGCCGACATGATTAGGTACTTTTAGTGCCCCACGTTCCAAGCCTTCAAATATTGGTGGCACTGAATGGTCGACGAAAGGACACTCTCCACTACTTACTCCGTAAGTTTACTTTTCAGAATCCCCCCTGCCACCAGGCTACCATGCCATCCATGCCATCCATGCCACCATGGTCCTCGCCTAATGCCTAATGAAGCTGCCTTTCCCCACCAAAAGTTGTTGTCTAGTCCTGCATAGTCTCCGCAGCCGCCGCCCAGTGTCACACAAACACATCACAAGGCGTTACTTGTATACATACAGCTAGTCTCTACTCCGTACTGGACATTGTCAGGCCGGTGGCCTGCCGGTGGGTGTCCAACCCAACCCGACCCGACTCGGCCTGCCTTTCCTTTCCTTTCCTTGCTTTTGCCTCCTCAGTTCCACCGTCCACCGTGTCCGTCCCCAGCTCTCCCACTCCCATTCTCCATTCTCCATTCCCCCATCTTGTAACTAATCTCTAATCAGCATCTTCTCCGCTGTGTGTCGGCATCAGTCGAATCGAATCGACTCGACTCTCGAAGTTCGACTATTCGTACGTCTTTGGCATGGCATGCATGGGCTGATTGCAGTTCAGTCGCGTGTTCTCGAAAAAGAAATGGCCGGTCACGCTGGCATGACTGGTTCGTACATGGATGGAGTTTGTTTGGTCCTCTTTGGATGTGCGTGCCCTGGCAGCCTGGGTTGCAGCCTGTTGCCTGTCGTGTTGTTGAAGTTGCATTATTCATCCGTCTCATCTCATCTCATCTCGTCCAGGGATGACGGACGACTTTGGTTTTTTCGACCGAACACGTCGCGGTTCATCATTCATGCTTGCTTTCATGGACATACACGTGGTATAGTGCGGGTATCCCTGATGATGCCAGCTATAGGTACGATAGTCTCCTCCGATACAGGCCTGTAGTCAGCTATGCATAAATGCATAAATTCTTAGACATCTGCGCACCGCATATCTCGCTATCTATCTCTCCTATCTCTGGGTACCTACGGAGTACGGAGTATTAGTTAATCTAGGCCCAACCCACCTCTATCCAGGCCTATCAGATGAAGAGTCGCCAACAACAACACCAACACTCCTTCTCACCTTCCCATCCCCCCTCCATTCTTTCAACATCTACATAGATGATAGAACACAAACCCTCAATCCTTCATTTTTTGCATGACGTCGATTTTGGTAATTGCTTACCGAAGCCAATCCTTTGGCGTGGTTCTTAGCACTCGTCATGAAATTCTTGTTTCTGTAAACCGAAAAACCTTGACTTGCGAACACGAACAATGCTTGGGTTGTCTTGAGTTGATGCTTGCTACCGAGTACGGAGTACTGTCCTGTGAGAAAGAAGAAAGAAGAGCTTTCCCCGGTCAAAGCACCCCTGTTCCCCCTCGTCTTCCCCCGTTCCCACCATTGATTAGGCGGGGTCGCCTGTATTCTTGGCCTTGGCCTTGGGCGCCGGGGGCACCGCCAGTGGATCGGCCTTTCGGTCCAAATCGATCGCCACGGCCCATTCACTTTCGATCACCGATTGCATTCATGCGTACAGAGTGCACTGCACCGTTCAAGCATTCGTTGCATTCTCGTATGTACCATCGCTAGCAAGAGGCAACAAGCATGATGGCAGGTCAGTGAGTCCAGTCTTAATTTTTGCCAAGGGTTTTACTCCATGTCAAGGCCCATGAGGTTGTCCAGCGTTGGATCGCCACCCATGTCTACTCCGTCAAGCCATCATCATGCCCTATCTAAATTGGTTTCTGCATCCAACTCAATTCATCCGTGCGAGTGTCGGTGCCCAGGCCGACGGTTTCACTGTGTCTCCATTATTAGCTGTCAAGATTCAAGTGAATGATGAATGATGTACATATACTAAACAGAGCCTAGTACTCATGACGCTGTGACTCCCGTAACTAACTAACCTGTTGTCGGCTACTGAACTGATGATCGCCCATCCCGACACTGGTGTAACAACCCGACCAAACTTTGATTCGGGAAGACTTTACAAGAAGAAGCTTGCTGTTCTTCTAGACACTTGTTGACACTTGTTTTGTTTACCTCGGCTTGAGGTCCAATCAGGGCTGGTCAATCATGGCAATGGCCTGATCGGTTCCAACTTTTGTTTGTTCCAGAAATGTGTTCCTGTCAGTTGATGAATCTATCTTGGAACAGATAATAGGTTTGGTCACGCAATCTCCCACTACAAATATACATCACTGTACACTAGGTTCAAAATCCTAGAACCTTACCGAGTCCCATATTCATATGTACGAAGCCGTAGTAGAGATGTACATTTAATCTCTCTAATCTGGTCGAGACTCCCGTCTTAGTGGGACTTTCAAGTGGATGGATAGATCATTGATGATGAGATGAACCCCCATGTTTTCTTCTCCACAAACCATCATCCTGCTTTAGGCCTAAGCCATGCCCTCTACCCATGAATCCATGATGCAGTCAGCGGCAGCCAGCGGCCACTCCGAAACGGTGCATATGCATTCATGTACGTGCGCAGGATATACGAACAGACCTGGTTCAATGAGGCTTGCTCTTCCCCGCACGTACATCGGTGTCATGGCCGAGGCGTTCGTTCAAATCTGGAGTGTACATATATGGATTGTAGGTAAACTTGAAGCCTCGGTATCTAGGTCGACTTCCACATGTGGCAGTGGTGACCGAGATGCATCAACATCCCAAAGCAGGAAAGGCTGTACTCCGTATTATTACAGGACATGGCTGAACCTGGTCAATACATCTACGGAGTATGTAGGTATGTATGTTGATATCTATCCAGGGGTGTCACAGCCTCGAGAGAATCATGACCCCAACGGATTACCTCGGAATGTTTGAGGCTTTCATTCTCGGCGGCGTCAAAACGTTGAGCCTACGCAGATATCTGCGTTCAACTAGTCCTCAAGATCTTTGACTTTCTTTCTCCATCGAGTCATCTACCTCATTATCGTGGCGCAACGATAAAGGCTCGGAACCTCGAAACACCTTGAACGAAGCGGCCAAAAAGAGGAGAATTCTCGGTGTTGGGATTGTCGAGCAAGGCTACAGCACTTCCTCAAGCCAACCGAGGGACCAGACCGCGATAGAGCCCAGCCTTTGGAAACACCTCCTCAAACATGTGAACAACGAAGCGACAGCTATTTGTTGCATAGAGCATGCTATGACAAGGGAGAGCCTGCATCCTCCTTGATCCTCGTGTCCGATAATTGCGTGTCGACGCTTTCATCAGCTCGATTATTTCAAATCGTTCCATGAGATGAGCCTCGTGTAAATGTGCCGAGGTGTATAATTCAAGATTCGGAGTTTGGTCGGTTCGAGCATCCTCAACTGCGCAAGTTCGCAAAGGGATGGTTCTCTTTGTGAGAACATGACTGTTGTCCCCAACACCAAGAAGGTCGAGCTAGCCGATCAGAACAGGCATCTTGGTCGAGAACGGGTTGACAGAACCTCAATCGCAGGAGCATGAAATGCCATTGCGGCACCAGCCATTGATGAGCCCTCTTCTGGGCAATTCAATCGAGTCGCATGATGTTGTCATGAGCCGAACCTTCCCACATCGCCTTGCACGCCGTTGTATATCGTCATATCAGACACACGCGATTGTGATGAACTTTGTCAGCCTTCTCTGATGGACCGCATCTGGTCTGTCAATAAAGTGGCGTTTGGGCTTCATGATCCTGGCTGAAGAGTGGGTGGCCTGTTGGTGCGTGATGACAACATATTGGTAGGTGAAACTGGGCGTTCTTCTGAGTCGGCCACACTGGGTGTTGAATCACTTCGCTCAGAGTCTTTCGATCCACCCACATTGCGGATATATGTCGCTTTCTCCGTCTGTCCCGCCTGCCATGACCAAACCGTGCTTCCCGAGCCCATCGGCCTCGCAGAGTTCATGCCCGATAGTCCGGAGACTGGTGTCCGGATACTGTCGACGCCAGCGTCCAACTCAAATACTGACCTTTGGTGCGCTGACTTCTCTGGCAGCTCGACTCGTATTTCTGAATTACCAGACATCTCCAGACGTTCACGTCCGTACTTCTCGATCGGCTCAACCATTCCACCTTCCACAGAAGCTGTCACGCTTGTACCAGACGTGGGATTCGGAGGATATGGCGTCGCGTATTCCCGCACCGCTCTTTTTCGACGCCACCGAAGAATGAAAATAGCCAGGCCCATAAGCAGTAAAGCAAGGCAGATTGCTATGCCAGCTGCGATTCCAATTATAGCGCCGGTGTTTCTCGACAAGTCTCTTCCTCCAGCCGGTATGCCCACTGCCGCTTGGGTCGTGCTTGGTTCTGATACGATCGTGGTGGTGTAGACCACATATTTTGTGGTTTCGACCCCGTTAGTAGGGTTGCTCTCGATGATGGCGGACTCGGTCACAAGCACAATGGTGCTCTGGCTGAGATCGCCGTTTCCACGAGCGGATGAGATGCTGGTGGCGGTTGCGTCACTTTGTTGGAACGAAGATACCACGTCTCCGGTCGCAACTGCGCCCAAGGAAGTAGGCGAGACTGGGTCTGAGGATGGGAACGCGGAGTCTGCTGCGCTCGCGTCGATGCTGGTGGGAGAGCTGGTCGAGACTGAGACGATTGATAATTCCGTAAGGGTCGTGGTGTTGGTCGCAGCTTCCGACTGCCGCTTCCATAATCGGTGGAAGTCCATCTTTTCAAGTTGAACCGACTGGAGCTTGAGAGATGGAAAGCCGCGTGGCCTATTTACTTCACTTGCTAGAGAGTGAAGGTAAGTTTCTCAGAATGAGGGCCATGGTCGACACGAAGCCATGAGGATGTCCGCACTTTGGAGGAAGAGAGACCGCGTCACACAGTGTTTGACCCTGGTTCTGCCGCATTGAATGGAGTCAAGAGCTAACGGGTTTGTGGGTTAGCGGGTCAAGAACAAAAGGCACGATTGCGAGAAATGGTATGGATGTCTTAGAATTCTTCCCAAATTGGTAAGGGTCGTTTTCTGGGCCGAATCCTCTTTCGATATTATCATATCTTTCAATGATGGACCCATGGCAGTCCAGATTTCGAATGTCCATGGTGAAGCCATCTGCAAGACTTACCCTCTCCTCTTCCTATGGCCTGTACTGCATGCAATATGTCTAGTTTCTTTGATTGACTGGCAGTGATTGCAAACCTGGAACTGAGTTGACAGGTCTACGGAGTAGTGTTGGGGATTGTCGACGCTAGGATTGTGGAGCTGCGTAATCTCGGGCTCGGTTAGCATTGGGCAATCAAATTTCGAGATCCCATATAAACCTCGACAGGGAAATAAAATCGACGAGTCATTCTTGTGTATGTTGCCATGATGATGCTGATGTCGATCATGCCTGGTCTATCCAGCAAGTGATGAACCCTGGTATAATTCACATGTAGATGAAGAGTGTTGTTGAACTCGTTGAGAATTGTATCGAGATGCCAAGACTCATGAATCCAAATTTGGAATAGTTCTTCTTAATATAGACTAGTGCATTTTCCTCCACAACGGCCAAAACGGCACATCATATCACGTGATCTTTCGTCGTATCTGAACATCCAGAACTGGACCTCGCGTCTTCTCCAGAAGCTCTCAATAACTCGTCCATGCCATACGCTGGCCCTTTGACACAAAAGGGAAGTGAATGCGATGCACAAAAAGAGGTAAGGGAGCCTCATGAAGCTCATCAATCCTGCTATCAAGTCCATGATGATAATAACTGCGACATGGACAACAATAATGCCCCTGCATCATCTAGACATCAGGCTCCTATCTCCAACCAGCCTCATCTCATGCACGTGACACAACATCTCTACACTAACAAATCACCCAGCCAGCCAGCAAGAACACGAGCAAAGAACATAAGATCTGACGTTTCTGATTGCGCAGATATCGCCCCTCGTGCCTCTCCCAACGGGGTTTTTCGTCACATACGGGGTAATGCATTCTACAATGGGGTAATAATATCGACACCTTGCCCAGGTAGTGAACCGTGCGCACGACACAAGCACCAACCATGGATCACAACCAAGGTTTATGAAGCACAAACCGTTGGCTGATTTGCCTGTCACAACTTGTTTATTGACGATATGAAAAGCTTCTTAACGAGTTCGAGATCGAAGAACCTAGACCATCGGCCCTCGACCCTTGGCGGAGATTCATAGCAACCATGGTGGCGAGACAAAGGTAAGGCATCTTTTGGTGTCGTTTTTCTTTCTCCTCTCACCTTCGAGATTAATCCCCTCGAAAAGACTTTACGACGCATGGAATTCCAACGGTGATTATCCGTTCCTCGAGAGGACGGCAAGGCGACGGACGGTATGGCACGGGGCTGGGATTGGGGCTACACGCTCATTATTGTGCTTTGCTTTTTATCGATTACTGCTACAGCATTGACAGCGGTAGAAGAGGAGATTCCAGAATGCTCGGTAGGTGGTTCATTTCAATGACATGGGCAAGCTAACTCGACAAAAAAGACCAGCAGATGTCTAAGTCGATTCTCCGACCCTCCTTCACCAGCGAACCAGACGATTTTCGACAGCTTCTGTCGATCAGTCGTCTTTGACGACCAGCTAGATAGGTGTCTCTATGCATCATGCACCATCAGAGAAGCATTAGGTGAATTGCCATTGGCTGTTCCATTCACATTTTTTCTCCTTTTCTAACCAAGAATTCCCATCCACAGCAACCAAGAACGTCATCGCCAGGAGCTGCGAAATGCCCGTTCGAAACGGTGGAACAACAACCAGAGTCATCTGCTCCACCTTCGGCGTCATAGCCTTAATCTCCGTTGCCATCAGACTAACCACTCAATGGACACGCGAATCTCGATTCGGCGTCGACGACTGTCTCATTGCCATCGCCTTCATCGCCTCGATACCCACCATCGCGATAGCCTTCCGCACCACAGAACTCGGCGTCGGAAAGGATATCTGGATCGTATATGCAAATGCAACTGAAATCCTCAAGCTTTGGTATGTCGGCATAATCACCTATTTACCTGTCGTCGTCATCACACGCATGTCAATCTATGTGTTCTATCTACGAATCTTCTCTGCGAGTACGACGTTTCGCCGTTGGGTATACGTGTTGATGATACTCAACGTACTTGCGGCAGTTTTGTTTGTCTTTCTAGGCATATTTCAATGTCGACCTATTTCGTACGCGTGGACATTGTGGGATGGTCAACACCGAGGAAAATGTTTGAATGTGCGGGCTTTGGGGGTGTCTTCGGGGTTTGTTAATGTTGTTTTCGACTTTGTTACTTTGGTTCTCCCGATGCCTATTCTGTTGAATTTGAATATGCGCATCGGTCGCAAGATTCAGGTTATTGCCATGTTTTGTGTGGGAGCCTTGTGAGTCTTTACCCCTGTTCTTCTCTTCCAGACAGCACATCCCTAGAGCTAACAGATCATCATTCATACAGCGTCGGTATCGTCAGCACACTCCGAGTCACCAGTTTGTTTTCATTCTGGAACACTCGAAACTTCACCTGTAAGTCTGTGTCCGAATTCTCTCTCTCTCTCTCTCTCCCTCTCCCTCTTCAAATCCCCCCTCTCTAACCACTCTACCATCCTCTCCTTTCTAGGGGACTACAACCCTGTTCTCTACTACTCAGGCCTCGAAATCTACGTCGGCATAATCTGTGCCTGTATGCCCGCCATGCGACAACTGGTTGAAAAAGGGTCACGGAAACTATTTTCCGAAAAGCGAGCCATTCTCTGTTTCGGCACCACCCCGAACAACACCACTTCCCCCTCCTCGCCTTCCAAAAACAACAAAAACAACAAAAACAAAAACTCCAATCGTCATTCACGCCAGGAGGCTCACGACTCATATCTACGACCTAGACCGTCAGTCAAAATAGAGATTCTTGAAACTCGCGAAGTTCGCGTCACGAGTGAGTATCGAACACTAGAGGAGCAATTGTCGCAACAGTCGGATGGGATTGCGCCGAGTAATTGGCAGACTTTGTCGACGTTTTCATCTTGTTCTTCACCTCCGGTTTTCCGTACTCCAGCAGAGGGAGGAGGAGGAGGAGGCACTGAGTTGGATATGGAGCTTGATTTCATCACTGCTCACCCTGATGTAGAGAAATCACCAGTTGTTGCACGTCAGGATTCGGTTAGTCCTTCGACGTCACCGCATAGAGGGTTTAAGGCACCAGATTGAGTCCACTCGAGCTGGACAATGTCCACATATATTTCATCAGAAGGGCTGTCCTTGTGTACGAGACATTGCCCTCACTGAAAGGTTTGTATGAACAACAAATCATGGATCACCCTTCTAAAGCCCTGAAGGGAATATCCACCAGACATCAAGTTGTGGATCTTTCTACGTTGAGACGGGAGTCAAATTCGAGGTGGATTCCGAGCCACGGAATTTTCAACTTCTAAAAGACATCTTCATACCACCTCGTCGGATGTATATATACTAACTCAAACATATCGACACCGACACCCCTCTCTATCTGAATGATTAATTCCAACAGTGTGCCGAGGAAATACACCATGAGGGGCGCAACTCTGTACAGACAGTCTGAGATGGCTCCAAAGAGCGACAGCGATATTCGAGTCCATACCTCTTACAGCCTTGTGTCCTGACCAAATGGCAGACCCATCTGGTTCATCAAGCCGTTATGAGGGACACGTATCTGGCTTTTGAACTCAGACTTCTTCCTATTGGAATGCATTACATAAGCCTTCAGGGACTGTTTCGGTTCTCCGATGTTGTCGTCTATCTTGGGTTCGTCTCTCAGTGATTGACTGAAGCCGAGCTCGCTGGCAAGATGAATGTTAGCGACAGGATCTTTTCCAGGGCGATATTGATGGGTTTCCTTACTAGCCAACTCAGGAGACACAGCAGAGTTTCTCCGAGAAATGGGACTATCCTTTTCTCTGCAATCTTCCAGTTTTCCGCGCTTCTTCTTTGTTTTGTCGGAATCTCCCTTGAGCTTGGTTCGATACTCCTGGTCCTTGCTCTTTCTTCTGGGTGTTGCTGGAGCTTCAACGTCGGATCTCTCCTTTCGCATCTTGGTCTTTTGACACGATTTCTCAGCTGTATCTGCACAATCACGTAGACCCTCACCTCTTCGCGTACATGATGGCTCTCGGACCTGGTTCGATTGTGGTTGCTTTTGCTTCCAATGTGCAGCCCGGGCAGGAACAAGAACGTCTCGAACATACTTCTTTGCAGAGTCGGACAAGGTGAGTTGAGAACCTGGTAACGGTGTGGTCGAAGTCTCTCCTCGCACCACTTTTGGTGAGGACTTGCGAGATGTACATAGACCCTTCTTTCTCTGTGCATTACACCTATCCGGAGTAGAATCTTTACGCTGTTGCTTTGCGAGGTCACTCTTTCTCTTTGAAGCTGAATAACCTTTTTCTCTAGGAATTGATTTCGAACTCGATGCATCTCCACTTCTAGATGGCATTTGGATATTTTCGTTTCGTTTTCCGTGCTCTTTCTGCTTTTCTGAAGTGAGAGGCGCCATCTGCGTTTGAGCTTGCTTGTCCTGGTCTAGGAGGCTCGATCCAGACAATTTTGGTGGCTTCTGGCTCGCTTGCATCAAGGCGATGCCAATAGCACCAGTGTCGTTGATTACTTGAGTTAGCAACTCAGATGTGCTTCGTGGGTACGTCACATTTGCTTTTCGAGCAAGCTCAGTCTTGATGCGAGCTGTTGCGTTGGGATATCGTTTCACTGGAACATCTTCGACTGCGGTCTTTGCACTTATAAGGCTTTGATCTCTTGAAAGACTGTTTTCCGGTGAGAGTGCAAGTACATTCGGTTGTTCTTCCCGGTCTTTATTGACCTTGCACGTTGGTGAAGAATTCGGTGGCAGGACATGTCGTGAGGGCATCTGACCACTCGACAAGGGTTGAGAAACTCCAGCAGCAGCTTTGGGGTCGACGGCTCCCCTAAATGGACTACCACTTGGTTTTACCTGCCCTTGGATAATACTTGTCGCACTAGAAGACATAGGTTCGGCATCGGAGTTGGAGTCAGAATCTGACGAAATGGAGAACGCTTTCAACGAAGTCTTTAGTGTTTTGAGTTGGTTTGCCTCGACATTCGACACATGAGTTTCGTTCTCCTTGACCTTATCCGTAGAATGGCTCTTTGCGCGGAGGGCTCTGTTGAACGAGGGTGCCTTTTTGGAGTGCTTTTTGATTCTCTTCGTTAATCTCTCTTCAGTATCAGGGCTTTCACTAGGCAACCTATGCGGAGAATGGCTTGATTCATCCCGTTCTGATAGTTGAGATGCTTTTCTCTTTTCTGCTGACGAGCGCGTCAATCTATCGTGGTGCTTGTTGGCCAAAGGCGAACAATGAGATGCCTCGTACTCGCTGAACCGATCGTACTCTTCGTCTTTGTAAAGGAAATCCAAGTCACCGCCTGGAATATACTCCTCAATGGTCATAGCATCCGAATCTTGATCAGAGTGCTTGGAGGAATCAGGTATATCCCATATTGAATCGTCTAGAACAGACTCGCCCCGGGGCTTCTGTCGACGCGTAGAAGGGATATGCTTTTTGGGAGTTGGATCTCTGGGTTCAGAAGCAGACAAATCTGGATGTTCAGTAGCATCAATAGGGCTCTCAGAATTGGAAAGCGGAGGGGTCAAGGTATCCATGAGATGGTCGTGCTTTCCTCGCTGCGTCTTTGAGGAGTGGTTTGGGATGCTGGGTATCTGTGCGAGCCACTTCCTGGTGGAATTCTCCTTGGATGCTGTCTGCGAATCCCTCTTTCTCTGACTTTGGGTGCCCAGAGCATCTGCGTTGGTGCCTTGGGACGAATTGTCATCGCCAGTGAGGTCGACAACAAATGGAGTCGGTCTCTTGTGGCAACTAGGGTCTTTTGGTTCGGTAGGCTTCTGCACCGACCTGCTCTGCTGGTTTCTCTTTGGACGTTTCCGACTTTTGTACTTCTTTCGATTCTTGTATGTCTTTCTCAAATTTCTCCCCAACTTCTTCAAGAATCTCGGTCTCTTCAGCTTCTCTGCGAGTAAAGCTTGTGCAAGCCTCCCTTTTGCATCAGTACTGGTGAAACAGAAATTTAGGCCGTAGTGGATGCATTGGCCTAACCACCAAGGAAACGGTTTGTCGTCTTCTGTACGATAATCATCATGACGATCGAGAAGTCGTTGCCTTAGCTGGGTCTTTCTGGCCCTCGATACGAAGACTGTTGTGTCGTCGGTGGGGATTCCAACCTCGAGCCCATCAGGAGACGCCCAACGGAACCGTGAAGGGGCAGCAAGGGATTCCATGACTCGCTGAGGGGAAATAGATTCAGTTCCTTCAACGCAAACACGGTCGAGGATTTGTAAAAGGTAGGACCGACGGAGGTTTGGGGAAGGCCGGCGAGGCCTTGATGCAGGAGTAGAAGTCATCGTGACTGAATAAGTTCAAACACAGTAGAGAGGAGATGGAATCTACACTTGGGAGACACTGCCAACTTCAGGATTGAGTCTTTTTGTGGCCCGATGAAGGAGCGAGGAGAGCGTGAAAAAGTTGGTAGATCAGGAGAGGAAGAAGGGAGTTAATTGAGCAGGAGAGATGGTTCTCAAGTCTATCTGCACAAGTCAACCGCAGGTTGGTAGATGAGCGGCAAGGTGAGGTGCAAACGGGGTTGAAGATCAGCTCAGACAAACAGATGAATTGCGAGTCAGCCACGAAGGAAAGAAGGAAATGGGGAAACGCAACGATGAAGGTGCGGATGAGTATCAAAGGACGGAAAGACCAACTAGATATCAGTCAGCCTTGTATGCCTTTATGAGAGTGTCGTTCACAAATTTCTTCATACAGAAGAGACATTAAATGAATGGTAGATGACGGATCTTCATTTTGACACTGCATCTCAGTCCATCTCATTTCCTCCTCTGAAGTCCCCTAAGCACTCATTTTGAGCTCAAGGCCATATTGATCTGCTGCATAGCTCTTAACGAGTGCATTTCACCCATGTCAGGCCACGCAACAGCAAAAGCCCTCATCAGCTCTCATTCACATCAATCCTTCTCATGTTGTTGACACTTTGTAATCCCACTCCAACTGTGTCTTTCCACCAAGGTTTTGACTAGTAACGAGGAGACGCAAAAGCTCGTGCGTAGGAAGGAGTGCTTGACCCAAGAAGGGCTGCCCTCATATCTTTGGCCTTCTTCGATACTGCCGGCATGATTCTCAGAGCGGGGTCTCTTGGATCGCGTTCTGCCATGGTCATGTACAACCCTTCGATCTTTTGAATTAACGAGCTCAGAAGTTGCGGTGCGTGTTGAGCAAGGTCAATCATCTCTGAATCCTGTGTATTTGGTTAGTACATGGACATGCGCAGAGGTTTTTGCCACTTACCGTCAGATCAACAGCGTTGAAAGCTGCCAAAATCCACTCCAGACGTTGTGCGATGTTGGTGTTCAGTGAGTTACCAATTGTGACAGCAATGGAAAAGGCAATCAGTGGTGACACATCAGTTTCCAGGTACTCAGGGGTAAAGCGGATGAACAATCGGTCAAAAAGCTCAGATTGCTGACTTGACTGGAGCCATCTGACCGAGGCTTCCTCATAACGTCCATCATCCAAGAGCTGAGAAATCTCCTCTATCTCAATCTCTTCACGAGACTTTGGCTTCTGTGGTGGCTGTCCAACGCCTTGCAGCGGGGATGCACTCGCGCGTGCTGTTGAAACTTGGCGGGACCCAGACGCAACCATGTCGTCACCCAGTAACGCAATCTGACGGCGATCCTTCAAGATCTGATTCTGGAATGCCAGCTGAGTGTCAGACAATTGCTGGAGCGTCTGCGCCATGCTTTGCATCACCTGACTCAGCTTTTCCAGTCTGACCGTATCTTGTTGCTTTTCATGCTCAAATCGCTGGATTTCATTTCGGAGACGCGCTTCAACATCCAAAGCCGCTTTCTCGGCGGCCTCAACTGCGAGTGTCCGGAATGATGGCATGATCTCTTTTTGTACAAGACCGACCAATTGATGTTCGGTTTGCTTTGACACTTTCTGTGAAACAGTATCTATCAAATTTCGTGTGACCTGCGGACTTTGCAAAGCACTGCTCACGGCCGCTTGGAGTTGTGAACTGAGCTCTCTGGGAAGCGCTGAGTGCATTGATTTCGTCACAGCATCGCCAACTGACGTTGTCACTGCCTGAACCGTCAACCCAGTGATTGCTGGGACCACTACTTGCTGCATTTGTGAAGCCAAAATCCGAGATAAGCTCTTCTCCACGTTAGTGGTCAATGTAGAAGACACCAATCGAAGAATTGCCTCTTGACGAGCCGCAGATGATGAATCTTGAACGAGGCGATCGTTCTGGATGTTGGTATACAGTGTGCCAAGTTCCTTTCGGAACTCAGCAGACACGCCACGTTCAATCTTCTTCAACTCCTTGTCAAGCCAATCTCCTGAGATACCAACCGAAACAGCTTCTGACTTTAATGCAGACTCGGTTGCCGCTGAGGGCGCAGAAACGGGTGGGGCGATCGCATGCTCACCGTTGGCACTCGTGGAAGCATCCTTTGCAGTGGCCGCATCGAAAGCAGATGGTGGCTGAGCATTCTTCGAAGGCGAGGCGTTCCTGGAAGTTGGCTTCTCGGACGCGAGGGCTGCCGCGGCGGCGGCCGCTGCCTTCTTCTTGCTCTTCTTACTTTCCTTGACTGGGGGGACATCTCCATTGACGGGCTCTGGTGCAGAGATTGGTGCCGGTGGCGCACCGTTCGTTGCCGACTGAGACGGTGCGTCTTTAGTTGTTTCTTCCTCCGTAAATGGAGCCTCAACAGTAGCAGCAACAGCAGCCTTCTTCGACTTCTTTTTCGTCGATTTTGCTGGGGCTTGCAACTGGGCATCCGACACTGGACTCTTAGGCCGTGGGGGCTCCTCAATGACACTGCCCAATCGGAGTTCTTTTAGACTGATGAGGCCTTCCTTGTTCGCATCAATGCCATGAATGACTTTGCTGTCAGCTGACAAACCAAGATCTTCCTTGATGATGTTGATGCACGTCACACCCTTCGAGTGAACGACATACAATTCGAACAATGGAGCGTCAACGTCGACGGCTTTCTGAGCCTCGGTCGATCGGTGCACAGGAAGCAACTCCACGCTTCGTAATTGTCCTCTGCCGGCAAAGGATAGTTCACGAATGCCACTCATACATGCCGTCGATTCTGGTTGTGGTAATTCTGGATCCTTCATTGCAATACGGTTGACGAAGGCCGCTTGTGTCAAGGCTCCGCTCAAGGTGTATCGTGGGGCAGACAGATGGATGAAGAAAATCGAGTTCCGAGTCGGATGACCCACAACAATGATTCCGCTGTTAGCATGATAATTGACGCTGCAAATGCCATCGGTTTCGTTCTCATGAGGGAAGTTGATCTCCTGAACCGCTTTTCCCAGAGCGATATCCCACAGTTGTAAGGTGTGATTCTGTCGAAGGCCGACCAGCACATAGCGCAGCGGGCCGCCACGTATATAGGGACGAACCTTGTCGACAAAGTGAACCGAGGTAGGCCAAGACTTTTCTGACGGAGACGCAGTCGACAGCGACAAGAGTGGCATGTCAACAGTCAAAGCGGCCCGACCACCGGCATCAGCTTCCTCGATCAACTTTCGGATGTCCCAGAAGCGTAGTCTGCCAGTCTTGTCAAGCGACACGATCAGACTATCATCTTCACTGAAGCTAAAGTCTTTCCCAGCCTTCCCAGTGGAGATTTGCAATGACCGTTCTTGAAAGAAGGTGTCCACATCCACGCGGCGATTGTCTTGGGTGATGCCATATCTTGGAGACATTGCAGTTGCTGGCCAGATGAGATGGATAGCTTTGCCGCGACCAATAGCAAAGAATTCGGGATGACGCGAACTTCGTTTGGCACGGGTCTTGAGTACGCCCCCAGCAGTGTTTTCATCAGCTGGTGGATAAGGGGGGAAGATCAAACTTTGAGAATCAAGATTGTTCTTTTCAAATAGGTCATTGCCATCTTTGTTGATGGTGGCATAGTAGACGGCGCCACTGACACCAGTTCCCAGGATTCCATGATCAGTTGCATGTGGGTCAGTAGGTGTTTCCAATGGGGCAGTGGAGCATAAAGCAACATTGAAAATGCGATCGTGGGAGTTCTTGAAAACCTGACGGTCGCTTCCGTCATCCTGTCGAATGATGCGCATGCCGCCGTTCTTGACCAGCGCATATGTGATATACTTTGTGGTCGCGGCAGCAAGAGATCGGTCCAATTGATCAAACTCTTTCTTGAGTCGTGATATCTCCATGACGCCATCATCACGGATGCTGATGGTGGACGGCTCCAAGTTCAGAGTGATGGAAACGAAAGGTTTGATGGGAAAATTGTACACTGGAACCACTCTCGATTCGGCCTCGGGTGAGTCGTCTCCATCGTCCGCGTCCTCCCATTCATCGCCAGCGCCACTGGTTGGGTCATTGAGTTGCTCTGGACCTTGATCTGACGGATTTTGATCGTTACTGGCGGAACTGGAATTGTTTGCAGCATCTTCAACGATCGGCTGAACGTCAGTTTTGTTGAACCCAGAGTCTTTGGCGCTTTCTTTGACAGGCTTTTCAGAATTTTCTTCCGGTCCTGGTGCAGAGACAGAAGGTTCTCTCGACAGCGTAGTCTGCCTATTAATGGAAGACAGACGCGGGGTGAGGATCTTTCGCATTGCAATGTGTTCGGGGGTAGCCATGACGGGGGAGCCAGCCCAGGGTTGTTCAGCAGAGGACTCAACACTAGGTTGAGGTACGTCAGGATCTAGTGGTAGAGGTGTGGAGGCAGGAGCCTTAACGTTGGGAGTTTGAGATCGCGAGGCTTGCAAGGCCTCAAATGGATTGGTGTAGGTGAAGAGTGGCTTTTTGGGGACAGATGTCGTGTTTTCGGGCTTCGGTTCTTCAGATGTGGGGATTGGCTCTTGTTGAGATTCTAAAAAGCGTAAAGCCAGGTCGGCACTGCCTGGAGTAGCAGATTCGGCTTTGACCTGACTTGCTGCTGATCGAGTTCTCTCGACCGAGCCTTGTCGTGCAGACGCACCGGCAGAGGAGTGATTTGAAGTGGCCCTGTTTAGGAGCTTGAGCAAGGCATCTTGAGAAGGATCTCGGCCGTAGTGGGAACCAGAAGCCAGGCCACCGCCGCCCTGATCCTCGAGCTGGGAAGGGGCATGAGGCTGGGGTCTTGTCAAAGTTGAGGTGGCAGCGGGAGAAGGGCTCATGAACTTTGACAACAGATCAGAAGCAGTGACAGAGGGCGTTCTTCCAGCAGCCTGCCATGAGTTATCATTTCCCTGTTCTTGAATATTTGGCTGAGAAGGTTGTGGAGCAGTTGTGGAAGCAGATGAAGTTGGTTGGGCAGGAGTTGCAGAGGAGCCAAAGTTCAACAGGCTGAGCAGAGACTGAGCATTGGTTGAAGCCCCGGGGTGGGCCATGGAGGGCTGGGAATTGATTACCGCCGCATTGATCGGAGATGTCAATGGTGGAGGGCTGGATGGAAGGCCAGCAGGCGTCTGGGAGTATGACTGACTGGCATAGGAAGTAGATCGGATAGGTTGGGATGGAGGGGCGGGAGAATCACGAGGCTTTGGCTTCAGGTTGGCAAAAAGAGCTTGCAGATCATTGGAGGACATTTTCAGTCAGGACCGTCGATAGGCAAAAGCAGGAATCGAGTTTGCTGAAGTCAAGCGCAGGTGCGGCAGAGAAGAAAAGCAAGGCAGCAAGGGCTCGAACCCAAGGATGTTACACCTGGGGGAAAGAGTGCACTGCAGCCGCGCGGAAAGAGTGGCAGCACAGAATGAAGTGCGAATGCTCAAGAGACGATACAAGGATGATCGGGGGAGGATGTGGTCGACACAAAAGTGAGTGAGCAGATGAGAATGAAGGGAGAGGAAATAATGGACAAGTGTAGCAGTATTATTGAAGTTGGCCTGGCTGTAAAAATCATTGACGTTTAGGTTACGCAGGACCATCAGTTGGAGAACAGCGAAATGAGAAACCAATCATGATCCAGTGCCGGACATTATGCGGACGTAGCTACAGTGGATTAGTACCTACTTATTAGGCTATGCAGCAACTAAAGTGGACGGGGTTCGTTTGGGGCCTCTTTGCTTCTCTACGAAATCCAGATCGAAGGAGGGAGGTGAGCCGACTACAGAAGAGTAAAGCAGCGTTACGCAAGATCAGCAATTACGCATAGCCTATAGGCCAGGATTCTAGGTACCTAGGTACCTAAGGTATGCTTAACACATTCCAATGGCGGCATTCTAGGCTGTGGTGAAAGATGCCGAGGAGCTGCATACACTGCATTAGGTATCTGGGCACCTGAATCGCTATCGTCTTTAAGAAATCCAACAACTTATCCTTCTTGTGCGCCTGTGCTTTTAGGCCAACAACCGACATTCTCCTTCTTAACAACCTGCAACTGATTGTATGTTTTACCATTTACAGACAAACATGAGATTCATATGAACAACTACCGGCATCATCCCATCTATTGCAAGGCATACATCTCCATCACTACCGGACCACATTAACCACCAACTTGATTACATCACATACACACCAAGCAAGCCTTCCCGCACGTTGCCAATTCAACTGCACTCAACTCGAAAGTCTGCTCAGCACAACTGGCAATGATGTATTGCCTACGCAGGTACGTGTGCAAATCCTTTCCACCTCGATAGATGGCGAGTCTAATCTGTTGTGTTGCACAGTTATCTTCCCCTCCTCCTCCTTCCGCTTCCATTGTCGCTGTCGCCGATTCACCTGATGCTGTTGCTGGGTATGACCTATATCCTCAATCGCCCTTGCATCTACTGTTCCCTGTTACTCATCATCCTCTTCGCCTCGTCATGTCACTGGTCGAATCGCTGTTTTGTCGATTTCTCCGGCATTGACAATTCATCCGCACCCCATGACACTTCGCCCATGTCGTGGTTGGTTCCTAGGCTGTACACCGCGAGTGTTAGATCACAGTCTGCGCCGACAAATGCGGATCCGAGCGTTCCCACAGGCGATATGAGTGCCTTCATGTCAGAAATTGTCAACACCACCATTGCTGGGCTGGCGGGCGCTGTCAAGGATTCTGCTGTGGTAGTGCTGGACGAGGTCAGACAGAGAGTGGCGGGAAGCAACACCTCATCAATACCGGGCGAGTTTGGCGTCGGCACACAATGGTTGCGCAATCTTCTGGGTCGGTCTGAATGGACCTTGCCCTGTGTCAATATCAAAATCGTCCTGTGACGTTCTAGTCCCGCCCAATCAGTTATAGGTCAAGGACAATTGATCTAACTTAAGAGTCAATCACAAATCTCAAGGCCTCATTTGCCTCTCATAGTCTTTTTGTGCCGGGTTTTGTACCAGTGAGATGGCCATGGTACCATGGCCAGTAGATGCCATTAAAAGTCCCTCAATATGTAGTTCTAGTCTAACCAGCGTGTCCCGCTGCTGAGAGTCGGTGCCCAAAGACACCCAGGGACACAAGAGTAATAAACATTGGATTCACCATAGCTTGATGGCACCGAGTTCGTCTCTAACTTTGTCCTTTGGACTTTCCAGCTGCAAGATGGAGTCCTTCCGTTAATAAAATGGCCGACATGAATACACATTTCAAGACGCCAAACGCTGCGTAATTTTCGTCAAGCTCTGCGCCACCGCCTGGGTTGTTATGGGCAAAATGTTGTCCATGTCACAAAGAGCCAAGCGCCGTGTTCCAAGATCAGTTCATGTCCCCACCCTTGTCCCTAATATAAACATGTCACTCCACGAGCCGGGTACGAGTCGTGTTGTTTCCAGCCTTGCGACTCGGCACAATATGCCGCTAATGGATTGTTTCAGGCGCAGAGACGATAAATCATTGGATCGGCCAATCGTCTTCTGTAATGGATGACCAGAAGACAAATAACGCGACCACACTCAGTACTGTGAAGAGCGATGCGAACATGGCGCCATTGATCTTGCCGTCGGTGGGGTTGCAGATATGGACAGACACCACATATTGAAATATTTGGCCAATGGCGAATAGCAGCGCTGCCGCGACCAGATAGACCATCGGTTTCCTTTCGCCAAGGATCCTCAGGACTAGAATGGCCTCGAGGACGAAGAACAAGAAGAAGAAGACCAGGGGAACCAGTTGGTAGAGCACATAGAGCGCGATGTTGTGATGCGGGTCTTCCAAGGAGTCGTCCCAATAACCAGTCCAGCTAAATGCCGTATCGAGTGCGATGTAACCAGTTCCAACGAAGAAGGCGACTGCGCTTCCTCCAATCAGTGCCATCGACAGGGGAGTGCCATCATCGAGTAGTTGATAGCCGACGGCGGCGTTCATCAGGAGGAGCCATGATGTTGCAGTGATTGCAGCGAGGTGGACGGCGGTGAAGCCTTTGCGGACATCGTTGTCCAAAGGGAAACCTCCCTGTGTGAAAATTTCGCATATCTCGATTATGAGAAAGCCGAATAGAAACAATTGCATCTCTCTTCGTCCGACGGCAGCTGCTTTGCGGTTGGCCCGCCATAGGAGGAAGAGTGTGACGAGGATGCCGATGAAAGCAAAGAGGATGGAACCCAAATTGGCCAGGTTTCTTCCACCACTCAGGCCAATGCCTAATAGGGCACATCCTCCATATGCTGCGTTTGGAGGTTGGTTGTTTGCTGTGAGGATCTAGAAGCTGTTAAAGAGGTGATCGGTGAAGGGTCGATCGATTTGTCCAAGACGTACATTACATATTGGAAGTGTCGAATCGCGACAAAAGTCCTGTTGGCAAACTAGTTAGATGCGCGCGTCAGTTGCAGGGAGCTCGTCTCTTCTCACCTGGAATTTGCCAAACTGTGTAGAACCCATCCTGAGAGCTTTACGAAGGCTCGTGGAGTGCGATGAAGCGAGTGTGGTCTAGCAGCGGTGTGTCGTGTCAAGATCGGAGCAAGGGTAGCTTGTGAAACAGCATGGAATGGGCGTCGAGGGGCGCAGACGGCGTGATGGAGCGAAGGCGACGAGCAGAGGGAGGATGGGCAATGTGCGCAGGTGCAGGTTCGGGAGTCGCTGATAGAAGCAAGGAATAAACAGGTGTCGAGCTGGCCCCAGCGTAGGCGAGTATGCAGCGGCGAGTCAATGCTATCTTTGGAGGAATTGTCTTGGGTTGGACGAGGAAACTGGAAGGTGATGGACGGGCTAAAAGGGACTGCGGTGGTAGGATTGGCTGTGGAAGCTGCAGGGAATAAAGTTGGCAGGGAGACTTGGTGAGATGGGATCGGGGGAGGCACTACTGGAGGATCCAAGACTTGGAATTGGTGCAAAGTGCAGCTGCACGGCACTACGGAGTACTTCAGTGCTACTGGCTGCGCCCGAAGGACCGCTGGGGCATCTCCATCGGCCTACCCAGTGGCGTTGCGGAGCTGCTATGCACTGCAGCGCTGGGCAGTGACGTGGTTAGTGGCCAGGTGTTGAAGGCCGGCAGTTAAGCAATTGATTGTAAGGAAGGTGGCTCTGAACATCCGGTATTGGGCATGCGAAGAGGGGATGGCAAGGAAGGAGCGAGACCCAGAGCCAGAACCAGTGGAAGGTGTCAGAAGCTAGGGAGCGTACGGAGTAAGTGACTCGGTTAGAGGAAACACGAAGAGAGCATAACACCCTAGGGTCACGTTTGACTACAACTATGCCCAACACGCGCTTTATTTCTCACAGTCCCTCCAATAATGCCAGAAATTGAACCTGACAAGCAGAAAACAGAAGCATGCAGGATGCAGGAACACTTGGTTCCACTACTGCCACCATGATTACACCACTTGCTGCTGAGGCGCAACCCTAAGAGCCTCTCAGGAGGGGTTGAGCTTGACCTGCAGGGCCGTTGGCTCAGAAAGGAACCCATCTGCAATATGTCATGGCCAACTTCGCAGGCGTGCTGCTTTTCAGGTTCGTAAGAGACTACGGCACATTAAATTAAGACACGATAAACGCCCAAGGTGTCTCAACGACTTCAGCATCAAAAACGGGCTCGAGCTAAAGAGCTGAGAGAAGTGATGAAGAAGATTTGGTGGGTTACCTTTAAGATTGGATGTGGAAGATCCGATGAATTGAGACGCTCTGGGGTTTTGGATTTTTGCTTGTCGCCACATGTTACGGGCCGTCCAAGAGTCTACGGTTGTGGCGGCGGGAAATTGTTGTGGTGCGGATAAAATGTCCTGGACTGTCACTGTTTCAAGTTCCCAGTCAGCAACATCCGACTTGACAGCTGAGGTGCTACAATACTACTATTGGATACCTAGAGTTACCTATATTTTAACTATGGTGACTGCCTAAGGACCTGAAGTGCGTGATAGCCGGCCTTGCCACGTTTTGAAGATCTTGAAGGGAGGCTGCGACCAGCAAGACCCATGACGCATCTTGCACGTGTGCACCCATAAAATGATCTGCATCTGCCGGCAGGAACAACAATTGACCGTTCAGCATCGAGTCGCAGCCATTCGTATATTGATTCAGATGCCATACAGCAACACGACCCGCATTGCTCGCCTCGAATTTCCAATAGAAACCTGCAGACCCGCATCTGTCCATCGCTTATATGGTCCGCTGACGTTTTGCTGGAGCCAGCAAGGTTGTATAACCTAGCCGCCGCCCACAAAAATGGACAAGGCAAAGACATTACTGCATTTTCATGGCAAACAGAATCTCTTAACCCCTTTACCATGTCTAATGCTATGGCTGTGACGAGAGCACATATGACTGCAGAGGACAAAATTCAAGTATCCCATCCAGTCATAATATTTCAAGCCCAATATGCTTTCCTAGAGACAGTTTTGAGGTCAATCAAAATGATCCATTCAAGATTCACCTCTGGCCATGATGAAATGTCAGACAACGGAACATAGATCATTTTGATGGCTTCACATTGGCACTGCCGTCGCGAATGATTTCTCAGTATACTCCAATCGCTGGCTTGCATATGTAGTGAGGATTTGTGATCACGTGAACAGTCGCCATGTGACCTGTACTCTAACAAGCGACTCTTCAAACCCAAGCGACAATGACACTCGTAAATTTATTTCTTACTGGTAAGCAGAACGCCGATCGTCGACGATAAGAGACATCAATCAGCTATGTCACTTATGTGGTGCTTGGGCTGTTATTTGTTTCCCCGCGTCCAAGCACGAGTCTTTATGGACAGAACATGTAAGACAATGAAACGCGCTTGGGCGGGTGATGACCACCTGCACTGTCTTACCATCTTATCATGCTGCACGTCATAAAATTAAGCTCTCGAACCTGGGACCCTGGATGAATCGACTGTCTGACAACAATCGCCGCCACCGAGATTCAGTGAAACCATGACCTTTCAGCTGTTTCCCCACCTGTCAAAGTCCAAGCAGATACACATAACGTCTCTTTGCGGCACCACAACAATGCATGCTTTGTGAAATAAGCGAGTTGTTCACTGTGGTAAAGACATTATGGCCCATCGGTCTCGGCACACCTTCTGTATGAACTCGAATATGTACTCCGTATATCTGCCAAGGCGCCAACATTGCACTAAACACGGGTAGATCCGAGGTGAAGTTCCTTGCAGCTCCGACTGTCACAGTCATTGAAAGGTCAGATCTTGAGGCTGTCACAACATTCTGCATGTGAATTCCATTCATGACCGCAGGCAGCCCATGACACATCGTCCATCCCTCCACTCGTCGTTACTCATTCGCACGCACTCGCCACCTGTGATGACTTCTTCTTCCAATAGGCATCATTCCATCTCGAAAACGCCGTCTACGACAACCCTGGCCTGCTAAACCGCGAAGCGAAACCCCGCCACCAAATCCACTCATTCATCACACACAATGCTTTGTTGACCTGCAATTGCTGTTGGTATCATCCGCCGCTCTTTCGGTCCATCTCCACCATGTCGCGAAAGAGTATCAGAACTCGGCGAAAGCCCCGAGTTTCATACCACGACCTCAGTGACTCGGATGATTTTGAGTTTATGACCCAACCACAGTCGACCCGACCTTCCCGTGCGGCTCGCCGCAATCAGACCTATCGCGAGTCGAGTGACGATGAGTCGAGCGCCGACGACGACGACGACGACGACGACGACGACGACGACGATGTTAGTTCCTCCTCCACCCCCGATGTCGAGCCTGCGCCGAATCCCTCTCGAGCTCCCCGGCAATCGCAGCCAAAGCCTAGGTTGCCTCCAAAATTCGATAGTCATCTTTCGGCTCGTCAAAACATCTTGAAGCGCCAACGTGAGGCTGAGGCTTCTTCGTTCTCATTCTCCACATACAAGCAGAGCAAAATTCAGAGGACAAACCCTGTCGCAAAGGTCATTGTGGAGATCAAAGCCTCAGAGCCGGAGCCAGCCTCGACTTTCAAAATTCCGCCCTGGCAGGAGCTTCCCTATCAGGTCCTGAAGAACATCATGACATTTGCATCCTATCCCCTCTACCATCAAGCCTCGCGCTCATCGTCTTCGATTCAATGGCTATGTGAGACATCAATGCTCTGTCGTTCTTTCCACGAAGCCTGCATGGCTGCCTTGCTTTACAGTCCTCCATTATACCCCTCTCGAAGAGCTCATGGGTTAATCGCACTTCTTCGCCAGTCACGAAATAGACCAGTCATCGAGTACCGTAGCAAGATCCACCGACTGGACATCGAAGTTAAACAACTTTTGGTGAAGAAGAGCGGGATTGATCTTGAGATTCTCCTCAATCAGACTCCCCTGTTACGAGAGCTGCGCTTATATTCTAATTATGACGACCTGAACACCGTCATATGGGCCCAGCGTGGAGCCACCAAGTCGAAATGGTCTTATCCCGACCGACTCTTTGACCTTCTCCAGGAGAAAAACATAGCTCTCAACAGTTTCGAGTGGAATGGCCGTTTCCCGAGTGCGATCGAGGCTCTAGAAATCGCAGCTAAGGTTCATTCTCAACCTTCCTTCTTTCGCTTGAAAGAGGTCGCCTTCCTCAACTTCAGCATGCCAGACAAGGCAACGCCAACAGACATCTCCAGGGCACACAGCCTGTTTGAATCGGCTCTGTCTCAACTTCCCGAACTTCGACGACTGACTCTGCGAGCATGTCCCATGGTAGGACCTGCACTTATCTCAATGTTACCAGGGTCTCTCCACCACCTGGAAATATCCAATTGCCTTTATCTTGACTCACCGGCTCTCCAAGCCTTTCTCGTCACTGGAGGTGCACATTTGACAAGCCTCCGACTCTCTGGAAACCAATCAATGTCCCTAGAGTTCATGTCGTCCTTGAAAACACTATGCCCTCGTCTCCAAGACCTGAGGATAGATCTGTTGTACATCGACCCTACCTCATACAATGACCGGGAGCCGTTGTACGACGAACTTTTGCCTAGTGGTCCACCTACATGGCCAGAGAACTTGACCAATATCGCTCTCGACAATCTTCGTCAACTTTCCGCTGAGGATGCCGAGGGTTTACTGGCGTCTCTAGTGGACGCTGCCAAGGACTTGCAGAGCCTGAAACGAATCGACATCAAGGCGATTCTCAACGGCTCCAGCTGGAGAGACCGAGCCGAGTTGAGAAGAAAATGGCTACCAAAACTACAAGAGGTGTTTCTCAACACAAGCGAACCACCGAAAGAACTGAATCGGCGAAAACCGATCAGCAATATGATGGCGACACAAGCTCGATCATTGAATCAAAGACAGAGTCAACGCATCGCGACAAATCTTCTGAACAAGGCGAGCTCCACAGATGCCAGCGATAGCGACAGTGCAGCTAATAGCACCTCCAAACATGCACGGTGTGACTTTGTCAACCTGATTATCTCTGACCAACGACCGGCTCAGGATCAATACCGCGAAGATGATTTTCTAGACGATGAACCTAGCGGGGATGAGGAGTGGAACGGACGAGATACAGATCCGACTTTGTCCACGAGATATGCTTGGTGATTGATGCGTTTGGGTGGTTACTTGATTGACGGATATTGGGTTATATTTCTTGATGAACAAAGTTATGCGATATGATGGCAAATAGGAAATGGCACAGGCACAGGCACAGGCACCGGTTCGTAGGACTCGAATGCGAAAAGGGCTATGGTAAAGGATAGTGTACGCACGGATGCGAATGAACCTAGGGAGCTAATTAGTTGGCTTACTGATGGATTCGGGAGGGTTCTGTTGTCAAATCAGTTCAACGAGCAACACCTTTGGGAGGCACATGGAGATAGCCACCGAGTGAGAGTAGCTGTTACAATAGCGATAAATGATGTCTCCCTGATCAATGTTATGCAGCACATGTGACCACGGCTCCTCAGACAGCAGGGGGGGGGGGGTGGAATAAGTGTTTCTTGCGCACACACATACACACAGTTCGAATCAATCCATCGGTAAAAGAGAATTTATTTCATCCAGCGAACCCCCTTCTTGCTTCCCTTCTTAGCTCACATGGCATCGATACGGTACGTAGGTATGTACAAAATTTTACACTCTTGAGTCTCGAATTTTTCTTTTTCTTCAACAGACAACACAGATGAGTAGATGGTGAAGCAATAATGTTTCACTTTTTAGGAGAGGGAATCAATTGCGTTAGCAGCTTCTTTTGGTTTGTTTGTTTCCAGTTGTGCGTCCGCCTTCTTCCCTCTCCCCTAGCCACTCACTCGTCGTTGTATCGGTCTAATACCTTACCCGAGAAGGGGGGGGGGGGGTTTTCAACAGCAGGTGAGGGTTCATCTACACTTTCAATCCAATCTCCTCAGCCCAGGGTAACACAAACAGATCTCCTACGGATGCCACGGATGCCTTGGACTCGACGAGGGATTTGGCGGCCTAATTGGTTTGTTAGTCTCATTATTCTTCATTGATGGTGAAAATGTGGGAAGGGGACCGGCAGGGGTTTGGGACTTACAGCCTTGACTTTCTCAGAGGAAACCTTGTCAATGCCTGTGGCAACCTCATCGATCTGGAATGCTTTGCCACCTGCAATCAGACCTGATCCAGTAGCTTCGAGGCCAGCTTCTGTCTGCTGACCAGCTTCGAGGGCCTTGAACTTGGCAACAGCGACGGCCTTTTTGATGTCTTCTTCGGCAATCTCTCCCGCTGCAACCTTCTTGAGGGTGTCGACGACATTCCGGCTAGCCTTGCCAATGCTGCTAGCGCTTCCAGTGATGGTGACGTACAGAAGACCGGCGTCTGAGTATGCGGCGTGCTGTGTTGAGATTTGAACGTTGGGGATCTCAGCGCCAGCCTTGGCCAACAGGGCAAAGCCAGGGGACCATTTGATGCTCGATTGTCCTCCTAGCAGAGCGGCGAGAACGGCAATCTCGGGCTTGTACGAGGATCCGGCTGTGAACGAGCTTGATCCTGGGAAGCCGAGGATCATAACGTTGCCAGATCCGTGTGCGATTCTTTCTTCTCCACCGTAGTACTTGGAAGCAGGGCTGGACAATTTTTGTTGTGAAGACTGGACATCTGAGAAGAATTCGCCTACCCATTTGGACAGCTCCGAGTGGGCGGCACCGTTTGCGACGACCGCGAAATTGTCCTTTGCGTATGCGGCGTCTCCAAATTGGGCGATGCCTTCGGCGTCGAGGTATTTGAGAGGAGAGGAAGAGGTTGGATTTAAGGGCTGGCCCAAGCCGCGGTGGAAAGCAGTCCCATGAACCGAGTTAAGGGCCAAGGATAATGGGGAGCCCAAGAGAGCCTTCTGGCCTAGCTTGATAACGTGAATCACCTCCTCGTTGAGCTCGTGAGCTGTAGCATTGTCAGTGTACCTCCGTGGGAATTATTTCGAGCTCACGTACTTGCATATCTTGTTTTTGTGATGATCTCGCCCAACAGTTCGGTAAAATATGGCAGGTCTTCTCGCAGGAATTTGGCTCGGAGGACGAGGCTTTCTCGGGAGTGGTAGGCTGATAGCTCACCACCTAGAAGTTCGGCTTCTCTGGTGATTCGAAGGGCCGATCGCTTGGTGGTGGACTGTACTACATGGTCAGCAGTTTCGTCGACGGGGAGGGTTGATCTCGTGGATGTGTCTGACCTTGAAAGCAAACTTTTCGAGAGCATCCGAGTATCCTGGTAAAGGTTCGTATCGGGAGCCAGCTTTTGCGACAACGGCCAAGGTCGTGGTCGCTCCTGGGATGTCTCTGCCGGCGTACTTGACGCCAGAGGCATTTCCAGTCTCGTATTGAAAGCTGCCGGAAGCTGGAGCAGCGAGGCCTCTGGTTTGAAGGGCAACTCGAGGAATGCGGCGGTGGCTAGCTCGCAAGGCTTTGGAGCCTAGCGCAGCTGGTGAAGCCATGACGAGGTGATATGTTGGTGATGTGGGTGCGGTGCAGGAGGTGCTGGCATCGAACAAAAGCTCCCAAGCATGAACTTTGGAGGTGGTTCACAAGTTGTATGCGGATGGGATGAGCTTGCAACACGAGGATGCTGATTGGTTGACGTCTAGTGTGCCAAGCATCTTCTCTTTATGGCTCCACTCTCTCCCAGCAAACCTCAACCACGACCATATTTCTCTTTTCCTTCTGGAACAGCACCAACTTGTTGAGCGAAGCCATTTGCTGCTGCACGCTGTGCTCGGTCAAACAGCCCTCACTTGAAAGTCGACTGACTCGACTGTTGTGTGCTGTCTGAAATATCCACGCCATCATCCCTCTGCCCGCAATTTCCGTGCAGCCGCAAAGTACACAAACTATGGTCACGTGATATCTCAAATTCATGGCGACTTCCCTGGAGGTGAGAACCAGTGCAAGACTTCTGGTTGTTCGCCCTTGGATCTAACCTGGCACCGATAGCATGCGAAACTCTGCTGCCTTGTCGTCGAAGATGTCTACGGCCCCTTCCTATCAGTCAGTCCTTGAGGCCAATTCCTCTTCTCTCCCATCCCTAACCTCTTCTCACAGCATATTTTTCAAGTGCTCGCCGAATGTGGTCGATTGGCTGGTCCACAACTAGCTCAGAAATGCAGACTTCCTTTACGCCAACTCCAGTCCGGTTTAGCAAGTCTGATACAACTACGACTGGTTTACCATCATACTCCATCTCAAGGGATCACAAGCTATCAAGCCAACACGACCAATGCATACAATCTAATCAGAACTGGGCAGCTCATTCAGCTAGCGGAACAGAGTGAAGGTCACGATGCCGCTAGAATACTACAACAACTTGCCTTGCTAGGATATTCCACCGCGCGAGAATTAGAGGCTCGGATTCTTGAACTGCCACCACATGAAGAGCAAAGTGATGGGAGCACGAATCCGAAACCAAACGGACATTCTGATCGCATGTCTCTCGACAATCCAACTACTCTCCAGAAGGACTTTAAAAGCAATCTGCGTCGGTTAATCGACAACAAGTATATCTGCAGAGTCCGCGACTCCCACTTTTCGTCGACGTACGATGCCAGGACCGAGGTCGAGCGTGAGTTATTCGGTGGTGGCGGCAATTCTTCTACAAAAAGCAAAAAGGCACAAGCAGAAGCGGATGAGATGGTCTCTATTCGACTCGCTCAACGTCTGGATGCTAGCGTGTCATCATACGATGTCCTCAATGAGCTTTCATCGACCAATCTTGACCGTCGGACCTTGCTTTGCCTCGATTACTCCAACTCGATAATCATGCACCGCAATAAAGCGCTCGCATCTTTGGCTGAGACGATGCTCGGCGCTCAAACTGCACGGGTTCTGCATGCCTCTGCTAAGCAAGTTGACCTTGGCTCACGCGCAGCTGATTCAGCCCTTGACAATAATGTTAGCACAAGCTTGCGTACAGTTCTGGACGTTGCCGAGATCGAAGATGAAGTAGAACATGGCGAAGAGGCGATGATGCGACCGTTGAGGATTTCACAAAATGGCAGGAGCAATGCCCGAGCTCCTAACGGGAATCATTCGAGCTTCACAGGAAACGGGTCACATACCCACATCAACATCCAAGACCATTTGGCCATACTGTCCGAGAGTCATTTTTCTTTCATCCAGAATGACCTAAGGACGGGTATGTGGAGCATTGACCATAATCGGATGAATCTTTTTCTTCGAGACAAAGAGATGATGCGAATTGTTCAAGACGAATATGTGAAGCATGGACCCAGTCTCAGGATCCTCCGAATGCTCAGTGAAAAAGGCAAATTGGACGAAAAAAGCCTGCAAGAAATCGGTCTTCTAGGCGCCAAAGACCTCAGAAAGACCCTAGGCTATTTGCAATCTGCGGGCCTTCTAGAACTTCAAGAGGTACCAAGGGAGCCACAGCGCCAGCCCAACCGCACTATCTTTTTGTGGTTCTATGATGCGGAAAGGGTCCAGAAATTGCTCCTCCACCGACTTTACAAGTCCATGTCTCGGCTTTACCAACGCCTTCACATTGAGAGGCAGAAGCTGTCCGCTCTCACGAGCCATTTAGAACGGGAAGATGTCGCCCAAGATAATTTAGCCAAGAAGCAGCTGGAAGAGTTGGCGGAATTACGCCAGAAGGAAAGCTGGTTCGCGTCTGAAATAGGACGCTTGGACCAATCAGTTGCACTGCTGCGAGACTTGTGACCTCGAGACCCTCATTTCTCCAAGCCGACTCTCGATCGAATTTGGATCTGGTCTGATAATAAGAAAACAAATGATCCTTGAGTCACCATGCATACTACAATTACAGATGCGAGCATCGGATGTACTTGCCTGACCGGCTTTCCTTTGAGTGACACTGTTCGCCTCTGTACTGGTCTATGTCGACCAGGGCGGCGATCCTAAGACAATTCGAGAAGCTCTAGCGAGGTGCGTGGCCGCGATTTGGATGCAAATGTTGGCATGCATTCCAGGGATCTTCAATCGAGATTCTGGGCCGCATGTGAGACTGTGTCTCGTGTTCGAACTCGGAATGCTCGAAGGCTACCCACCCAAGGGCCCGAATTTTACAGCTCCACCAAGAGTTAGTCGCCGGGACTAGTTGATCCTCCATGGGACGGGGACCAGAGCCCTTTACAGGAAAGGAGCCACTTTCTGCTGGCCTGACATCTCGATCGGCGTCACAGTTTGAGGGGTTACTTCTTGCCGTTTATCCTGTACACGTGGGTAACACCGGAGCTATGAGTTCGCCTCTGGTGTCAGGAGGCCAGCAACAAGGCAAACTCCGACCGGGTCGCCCTTATCAGCGTCGACACGTGTTGATAGGAAGGCCGTTTAAGGGATCACCCAAGCAGTCACCTTTACAACTTCGAAAATGCCTGGTGCCAAAGTCCCACGGAACTCGCCACTGCTGACGAGCAAACATGCTTGAGGCGACTGACGATCTCCAAACTCCGATCTTTAGAACTTTGTCAACCATGCATACTCCGTAATGAACCACGAGATTGTCAGGGTCGACAAGCGAAAGACTCGCTCACAGGGGCGCATCTCAGCACGGGTAGCATGGAAGTCTTGGCAGAGGACGTTGAAGCAGCCAATCATAATACGAGATTCACCCACGCTCTGATGGATACTATACTCATTCGCGAACCTCAAGCTCTCACAAGATACTTGGCTACCGTCCTCGGTCTCGATGGTGCCTTAAGACGTGATTGACTCTCTCGTCGTAACAAAGCCTCACATCCAGCCGTCCCATCGAACGTCGCGTTGTCGCCAAGTATTCACGTTTTCGCTCTCCCCATCGAGGTCCCTTTCAGTCCACTCGTCCTGCCTATCGTCAACGTCTCAAGCACCCACGTGTTGCTTGAGAGCATCTTGGCTCTCACGCTCTCGTGGGTACAATATCTCGGCGCAGACCCTCACTTGCCTCGATTGACACAAAGTGCTACCTCCCAAGGCTGAAGGGCATATTGGCAAGGCTTGGATTTTTTGGCAACTGTTGATGACACTCTCATTCGCCTCTCCATGGAACGACAAGGTATAGTGGTCTTTCCACAGTGGGGGTGTGAGGTCTGCAGTGTGAAAAATGTCTTCAGAAGTCTTCAGATGTATAAAACGACAGAGGGGTCCAAGAATCGGTGCGTTTCTTTGGTCAAATATCTTCATTCTCGAACTCTTTGCGACCGAGTTTTCATCGTTAAAGACGAAAAACCGCCAAGATGGTGGCCCTACCTCAATATGACTACATCTTTGCCTTTGCTATGATCTTTTCGTTCCTGGACGCCTGGAACATCGGAGCCAACGATGTCGCCAATTCCTTCGCCACGTCCGTTTCCTCGCGGTCTTTGACCATGCTTCAGGCCATGGTGATAGCCACGGTATGTGAATTTGGGGGTGCTGTTCTGGCTGGTGCTCGTGTCTCGGGAACAATCAAGAATGGAATCATCAGGGTCAATGACTTCACTGAGAACCCCTCAGTTCTGATGCTGGGCATGTTGTGCGCCTTGGTGGGATCTTCCCTCTGGCTCACGCTTGCAACCAAGGTGAGTAGTCGTCAATCCAAGCTGGTCGCTGGCACGAGAGCTTACAACTTTTCAGATCGGTCTTCCTGTCTCAACCAGTCATTCAATTGTTGGTGGTATCATCGGAACAGGTTTTGCGACACTTGGAGCCAGCGGTGTCAACTGGTCCTGGAAGGGTGTCAGTCAGGTCTTTGCCGCCTGGGGTATTGCACCTGGTATTGCAGGTGGTTTTGCTGCCATCATCTTCTTGATCACCAAGTACGCCGTGCTCGAGCGCAAGAACTCTCTCAGAAATGGATTGTGGATGGTGCCCGTCTACTTCGGTGTGACTGCCGCCGTCCTCACCATGTCCATCGTCTGGAAAGGAGGTATGTCTAGAATTTCCAATCGTATAGTTGCGCCACATGATTAATCATTTGCAGCTGCATCTCTCAACCTCGACGACTGGGGTGCTGGTGAGACTGCAGGTACCATCTTCGGTACCGCCGCCGGTGTCGTCCTTCTCTATGCCATCTTCCTTCTCCCTTTCCTTTACCGACGCCTCGTCATGGAAGACTGGACACTCAAGTCCTGGGAAGTCATCAAAGGCCCTCTCCTCTGGCGACGCGGACCTGTCCCACCAATCCCAGAAGGTCATGCTGGAGCCGTTATTCAAGATTACTACCGTGGTCACAACTTTGGCACCCCAGGAGCCGAGGTGCCTGCCGACGGCAGCCTTGAACCCTCCCCTGCTGCAGGTGGTCTCAAAGAAGCTCAGGCTGGCGCTGATGGTGCTGCCTCGAACAGCTCAATCGAAGAGAAGGGACCTGGAGGACTTGACCCCTACCTCAGTCTGGAAGACCGCTCTAAGCTTAAGGCCCAGGAGTACCCATGGAAGACTCCACGAGGATTCTGGGATCGATGCGTCTACTACTTCATGCGCGGAGTCAATCGCGATATTGTCGAGGAGCAGACCTCCGCGAAGCCCAAGGGATTTGCTGCCAACATCCTCGCCAAAGATCTGTCCAAGATCCACGTCCATGTTCCTCACTACGACAACAAGACCGAGCATCTGTACTCCTTCCTTCAGGTCATGACCGCTGCCGTTGCCTCTTTCGGCCACGGTGCCAACGATGTCTCCAATGCTGTCGGCCCCCTCTCTGCCATCTATGGTATTTGGCAAACCAACGAAGCCTCGTCTCGATCCGAAGTCCCCATCTGGATTCTCGCCTACGGTGGCGCTGCCATCTCCATCGGTCTGTGGATGTATGGATACAACATGATGCGAAATCTTGGTAACCGCCTGACCCTCCACTCCCCCTCTCGAGGTTTCTCCATGGAGTTGGGCGCTGCGTTGACTGTCGTCATTGCCACTCGTCTTGCCCTGCCCATCTCCACCACCCAGTGCATCACCGGCGCCACTGTTGGTGTCGGTCTCTGCTCCGGAACTCTCAGAGCTATCAACTGGCGCATGATCGCCTGGATCTACATGGGTTGGTTCATCACCTTGCCCGTTGCGGCTACTATCTCCGGCGGCTTGATGGCCATCATCATCAACGCCCCCCGATGGGAAATCATCCCCGTTGCTGCCAACTAAGGGATTGGGAGATGAAATCATCTTTTCTTTGTCTCCAGTCATTACGGTAATTGCTTCACACTTGGTGACATAAACACCAAGCATGAAATTTCACAGAAAGTCTCTGTATCATAAAATCGTCCTATACAGACAGTCCATGATATTGATTCTAATGGGTATCAGAGGGGACGGGACGGATGAGTACAACGACAATGATCAGGTTTAGATCACACTCGGAAGTGACACCAGTTATTATTGTCACGAAAAATTGCAGGACTACGCAACCATACGTCAGATAGAGATTGATCTTTTCCAATAATGTCATTCATTTATGTCCCTCGAACAATTTTGCATATTTCCTTTCCTATGTGGAATTTAAGGTCGAACCTAAGGTCCTCCGTGGGAGATATGATCTATTCAACTTCTTAGATTTCAGTGGCAGTATATATGAGGTCACGATGATCATCATTAACCCCCTACCAGAACCTAATTCGATCCGCCTTGACACTTGATCCTCCACCCTCCATTCTCTTCGGGTAGCGCAATGATGACGACTCCCTCAAGACTTGTCAGGGTCTATATAGACGGAAGACCCATCCACCCACCCATCCACCCACCGACTCCAGAAACAGAGGCATTTATAGCCAGCCATCCTGTCTGATCCTCGACCCGTCCTTTCAACCAAGCCCCTCCAACAGAGAGATAGAACCAGAGTGATACCTCGATCACCATGTGTCAAAATCAATGTCGACGTCAACGTCAACGTCAACGTCAATCTTTCCAATCCAAGCTGAGCCTTCCTACAAGGAAAGCCAAGAACTAGAACCAAGATCTCGAATGTGCAACGTTTCTGATTAGGCATATATTACTGGCTACAAGAACTGGGGAGACGAAACTGGGGGTTTTAGATCCAAAAACGAGGATTTGTAGAAAGAGATTGACAAGAAGTTTTTCTTTTCTTTTTTCTCTCTCCCTCCTACAGGAGTGGCTTGAATTGAATGTACACACATCTAGAACCAAGATGTCATTACTGAATATTTGAGTATTCATACACGTGTTGTGTTGTGATGTGATACCTATCCTATCGCGAGACGTGAACCTCTTATCCAAGGAATGGGAGCTTCAAAGCCATGCATGCATATGTTATTAGTGACCGATCACTCGATCAATGAATCATCAAGGATTTATTTAATTCAACAAAGATCAACATTAAGATCAAGATGCTGGGCGCCGCAGCTCTATAGCATTGAGTCTTCTTCGTCCACATCATCACTATCCACGATTCGCCTCGATCTTCCTGGTGCCGGTGCGTGACAACAAGTGCCTTTTGCAGATGAATTGTCTTTGCTTTTTTGGATGGTATCTGTGTGACGTCTGGTGATGATCGCTGCTAGGTCAGGCATATCATCTCCATCGTGAAATCCAATGCTTTCCTGGGAGGCAATTAAAGGAGGATCTTCCATGTGCCGGTTAGGCCGAGATTTGGTGCTTTTGTCTTTTTTGTGAGATGTGATTGTCTGGTGCTCGGTCGAATCGTAGTCATCATCGACGATGAAACCGTCTAGATCATCCTCATCCTCATCGTCGTCAATGATATGGGGAAGTGATCTTTTCTTGGTAGATGAGGGGGCTGTGCGTGATGCATTGCTATGACGTTTAGTCGCACTCGCCCTCGCCCTCGCCTTACTTCCCGTCGCTTTGACTTTCACTTTCTGACTCTCAGAAGAGTCGTCTTGTGTCTCCGAGTCTGCTTCTTGGGGTAGATCAAAGACATCGCATCTCGATGGTCGTTCCCAATCATGAGATGTGCTTGTCATTTTCTTGAATGCCTGTACCAACCTTCTGGTCGTCCGAGAGTGCCTGATTGCATCCGTCTTCCCCAGCCTCCGTTGCTGATGAGGAAACTCTCCCATCCTTATTCGCTGGGTATATTGATCAGCAGTGCCCGCCACTCGAACATATTGTAATTCGAGCTGCATTTCCTCGGCCTCGGTTAACAAGACCTCCTTCATAGGTGGAACATTGGCAATCTCAATGTCTCTCGTTGTTTTCACCATTTTCGGCTCTTGTTTCGATTTGCGATCTGCGGATTTGCCGTTTCCCAAGAACGCAAAACCGGTTTCAACGCCATCTGGCATGTGAAATTTCTTCGCTGGCTTTTTGGCGTTCTTGGGTTTTCTCTTCCTGGGTTCGATTGAGCCCCCTTGGGTGTTTTCAGCTGGAATCTCGACCACGCACTTGTCCACCACAGGAACAATATCTTTGGGTACAATTCGAGGAGAAAGATCTTCATGGAATTGAAAGTCCCTTCCATCCTCAATCTTGCCCTGAATCTTCTCATAATTGTCTTTTGCTTTGTAATAGTCATTCTCTTCCTTGCCTCGCATCAGCAAGAGAACAATGATTCCGGCCCTTTTGCGGCCTGTTCGTCCCATGCGCTGTAGCATTCGAATGGGTGATTTGTGGCAGTCGTAGCACACGATCATGTCAACCTCACCGATATCAAGACCTTCTTCGCCAATAGAGGTGGCCACGATCGTATTAATCGTGCCAGCTTTGAATTTATTGACAATGTCGAGTTGAGTTTTCTGGTCCATGCCTTCCGACCCTTTAGTTCCGGACTGTCCCACGAAAACATGAGGCTTGATCATTGGTTGGTGTCTTTTGAGAACTCGGACAATCTCCTCAGCACTGTCTCTGTAATGGGTGAAGATCATAATTCGGGTTGACTTTTGTGTCTCGCTCTGCCCATTTGCGGCGTCCATGAAATGATTGAGCACAACAGTTTTGAGGTGTGACAGTTTTGGATGACCAACGAAGTCAGGGTTGGCCATCCAGCTTCGAAGTCGATTCATCAGCTTTACGAAGTTTTCGTCCTCGGCAAGTTGTTTGTGGTATTTTCCCCCGGAAGACGCCCCTTCGGTAAATGTCCGCATCTTGTTGAAGAAAGGACCGATTCCATGATATTTGAGAAGTTCCAGATTGTGAGCCAGACTCATCAAGGGCGTGAAAATGCCTCGCAGCATACCTTTGACCGGGAAGCCAGCATTTCTGCCAGCCTCTGACCTTGACCAGTCTTCCCAAGCCTTTTTGAGACCAAAGAGAGTAATCTTCTCTGGGTCACTGGACCAATATGCGTTTTGTGAGCAAAGCTTGGTCATCAGTGGACGAGTCGCAGCAGAGAACATCTCCAAGGCCATGGTGATTTCATCCGAATAGTCAAAAACCTCCAGCTGGACATTTTTTGAGTGAACGAATGGGCGAATATCCAACGAGTCTTCTGTCCTGATCTCGACTCTACCGATACCAAGACCGTCTATGACTGCTTGAACTGCTTCCACTGTCGAACCGGGCGTTGCGGTTAACGCGAGTACGCGGAAGCTTGAATTGTATCGTCGCAAAAACTTGACGACTTCGACGTAGGCAAAATTACCGGTAGCTTTGTGGGCTTCGTCCACCACCACAAGCACAATTTTCTTGGGGTCGCACATGCCATTCTTCAAATCGTTGATTAGTGTTTGTGGGGTCATGAAAAAGACACGCTTTTCCTGCCACTCCTCTGCACGAAGGGCAGGTGAGACCTCGCCGGTGAGCATTGTCGTTGTGGATCGGGGAATGCCAGCAATGTTGAAACAGGCATCGATTTGTTGTGCGACTAGGGGCTTAGTAGGCGCGACAAAGACGATCTGAGCCTCCTTAGTCCAACGGAACCAGTTTAACATGACGGTGGCAGCAATGAATGTTTTGCCGAGGCCGGTAGGAAGGGCGACGAGGAGATTGTTGAATAGGCTCTTATGAACGATGTTATATTGGTAGTCTCTGATGCGGCCTAGATTTGTAGGGTAGACCCAGGTTTTCATGGCTTCGCGGTTGATTTGGTGATGTGTAGGGGGCTCATTGCGGTTGGACATAGGCCAGTTGGGGGCCCTTGACTGCGTTTGATTCAACGCTGCCGGCTGCTGGGTGGTGTGCAAGCCATGAAGTGTAGTCTGGCGGAATGAATTGGATTTCTGGAGAGGTGCTCGAGTGTTGGAGGAGGTTTGAGCGGCTCCATCCATTCGACTCTTGTGTATTGCCGATGTTGCGGTAGCATTCTCGAACGCTTCCAACAAGGCAAGATCATCATCGTCATCGTCATCAAACTCGTCGATAATGGTGGTTTGTGGCGCTGGAATTTTGTCTGGTGAAGGGCCTGGGGACGGGTTTGCATTCTGCTTTGGTTTCATCCATCGAGGCCCTCTGATCCTGGAAGGAGATGAGAATTGTTGTTGTGTTAACTGGGTCACAAAAGTGTTGCCGGCCTGATCTTCTGCGAGAGGAACATGGATGTGATCTTCATACTTTGATTTCCGCACTCCCAGATTCTCATTGAGCTCGTCGACTTCAACATAGCTAGAGGGTAAGTCATAGTCGCTCTCACCGACCGAGCTGTCAGTGCGGCGGCGCTTTCGCGACCGAGGAATGTCGTCTGTCTGAGAACTAGGAACAAGGATTTCACTCTCAGAAGTTGACTCGGCTTCGTCATCGATAAAGTCCATTGTTTTGAGTCATTTGGATTGAGGGATGACAGGGTATGTTAATGAGAGCGTCATGAGGTGGATGTCAATGCGGGGTTGGAGATACGCTTTCGAAGTTTTTGTGTCTTTGGTTGACGTTGGCTCTGAGGCCTTGATCGATATTGGGAAAGGCGCGTGGATGACGCGTTGAATGACGCGAAGTCACATGATCAACATTGAAGTCACGTGATAAGTCGCTTCAGAGCCTCTTTGGTTATGAGGCGCGAAAATCTGTTTAGTTTACCTCACTCAACGATTGAATTGATGCTGGAGCATTAGAAAGAACGATCTAGCCTCGATCATGTTAAAGCTCGGGCATTCCAGTGTAGAGGCAAGAGTGTAGCTGGGTAGATTTGGATTGGTTGACTTTGAGAATACGAGGTAATTTCCCTTGTTTGCCAATGTTAACCAGCTCAGGGCCATTCAGTCTCTCATCCCACACAAGGTAAAAGGGCGTTGGGCTTCAAATTTTCCATCATGTATGTGCTACGCGTATGTACTGGATGTTCCTACAGTATTATTTGAAGCACGTGGTTGATGGCGGGATGTGTCGATCTATTGCCGACATATGATATGCTGCTGTCATTATGCTTGTGTGTGCCAAAAACAGATGTACGACGTTTCCAGATCTTTGGTCGTCTTGGTTGTCTTTCCACAGTCTCTGCCTGGCCTATCGACGCCCCGGAGGACTGTTTGTTCGAATGTCACATTGTGGGCGTTTTTTAATTTTTCTAGTTAGGTCATGGCTAAGGATCTACCAAAACCAAAATTGAAGGGTCAGAATTTCAGTCAATCAAGAAATCGGTTCGGGCCTTGAATGCCCAGGGCAGGGAACCACCTGGCAGCTGTTTATTGGAATCCAATCAGCAAGCTTTCAGCCACTATTTATGCCGGCAAGGCTTACCTAACTGTATGCAAAAGCTGCCCTAGCGGCCCCAAACTGATCCCCTCTGTCAGTCCACTGCTTCACCACTCCAGGGCCCAAACCCCAGGCAGCGCGAGGCGGACCCAGAAGGCCAGGGATCCCGTCACCTAACGAACCAACGACCTGTCTCGTGGTACGCCACTTGCACCTTTCCGAAACACTAACCTTGTAAACAAGCATTGCCCATCATCTACGGAAATTGATAGAACGAAGTGTATACATCGCTGTTGCCAATGGCCACACAACAGCGTCTCTTCATGGAAGGACGAGGGCTGGCGTAGGGCGGCGAACCAAACTCGATATGTACATATGTAGGCATCTCCTTCTGTCGCGCGGGATTTCCCATGCGTTGATCCTCCATCTCACGCGTTTGCATCTGGTCTGCTTTACGTTGGCATTTACTCGATGCCGTCCATTCATTTCTAATCACGACGTCAAATCTTGACCTGATTCCGACTCGACGCTCGCTTTACTCTCTGTCTGCCCTCGACGGTGTTTTCCAATATATCAACGTAAAACCTTGACGGCATTTCTCACCCTCCGAGGCAACATGCGCTTTTTCACGGTTTTCACCGCCTTTGGCTTTGCTGCTCTGGTCGTAGGCCAAGAAGCCAGCAGCACAACGAGTTCTCCCACGTCACTTGCCTCGATCGACCCTCAGATTGGATGTCTGCAGAAGTGTAAGTGTACAGGAACAAGGTAAATGTTGTAGAATTTGTGGCAGCTGATGGAGGTGGTTACATAGGTGGATCTGCAGATGTCTGTTGTCAGGCTGCTTGCGTCAACGTGCCTTGTCCGAGTCAATTGCAGGCCAACGCCACGACCGAATGTGCCGCAGCTTGTCCTCAAGGTAATGGAACAGCCGAAGAGACTAAGGAATATGCCGATTGCCAATCGGCGTGCATCAGCTCCTTGTTTATGACAGCCACAACAACGGGAGGTTCAACAGAACCAACGAGCGGGAGTAGCAATACAGCATCCGTTGGGTCAAATGCGGCAACCACCACCGCTTCCTCTGGATCTGGTAGGTTCCATCCTGACATGGTTGTGGACTCCGTTACAGGACTGACCGAGACACAGAAGATTCAGCAGACACGACCTCATCGGGTAATGCCGCAGGTGCAACATCAACAGGAAACAGTGCACCAGAAGCTATCCACAAGAACATAATTGGACTTGGATTCATTGGGCTGGTTATTCTGGGGGTGGCTGTATAAGCAGCCAGGAATTCTCGCCGATGACACATCTTACTTATCCTTCTGAGTTGTCAAGTCTGGATTTGTTTGTGTTCATGATGACCTGCGGATGTTTTGTTCTTACCTTCTGCTGAAGCTGGCGTTGCGGATTCTTGATACGACGGGCTCAGGAAGCGCGATTAGAGAAAAAATTGAGAAAAAAGTTTCCGACTGGACTCAAAGCTTGTGACATCAGTGTAGATCCATGAGTGTGTCTGTATTGTATATGAAATTATGTGGTGTTTCATAAGTGCCATGAGTGCCATGATTGCCCAGTTGGAGGATTGCACGTCAAAACCCATCACGGCAAGGTAGCACGCGACCGTTATTTTTCCGGAAGGGAAGGAGCGGCAAGGCAGCCTGACAGCGCTTGGTTCCTGCCTTTTCACTGGTTTATCTCTTGGCAGATGACGTTGGCAACGTGCTTGGCTTCCTGGGCTTCTAAGCGAACCTCTCCTCTGCCGCGATATCGCTCACTACGCTACACTTGTTATTTCTTTGCTCGGTAGGGGTCTTTTTATCCATTTTAATTATTAGCTGACACTCTTGTGTCTGCCAAATCCATGGAGATGATGCCAATCCCAACGCGGATAAGGTAGGTGGTCAGACGACTCGATATCCAGACCCGTTTTCTCCGCCCAGAGCTTGAACGTTTGAGCAACATCCCAAGTCCTGACACCCAAGGCAAGGCGTACACACCATCCATATTAGTGCCACTCTCTATTGATTGCCATTTCTCAAGTCAGCCTCTCCCTTCTGTGAAGCGTTCATCTCTCCATCCTTCCTGCATTTACAGTTCATTTCATTTCTTGTGCTTGAACATTGCCAGTCAATATCAACTCCGAATGGCGCAGTCATTTTCCCAGCACGGTATATGATTCAGGAGTCGGCTCGCAAGCGCCATGCCTGACCCCAACCATCCCTCCCCGGACTCAACCCTTTTCACCGACCATCGCCTGCGAAAGTCTTCGATAGACCACCATGCAGATCAATGGCGACCACATCCATCTCGCCGATCCCTACCCTCTTTCCTACGACCATCCTATCAATCCCGCCTTCTCCACAAACTCGATGCCTTTACTGATAGGCTAGTGGCCATATTGAAAGCTCCTCGGCCGCGGAGGTATCTGGCAACCTTCCTCGTCGCTGGCGTGTTCCTATTGCTCTTGTGGACGCAGTTTCTTTCAAACTTTGTGCAAGAGGAACGAGCCGTGTGGGAGGCTTTGAAGGGAGACATGAAGCCCTCCACAGCCGACCACTTCGGCATCAACATCAGGCCCCATTTCCCCAATATGATACACATGCAGGATTTGGATCCCAGGCTTCTGCCAGATTCCTCTAAGCATAAGTCAGGCACAACATCGGAGAAGAAGCGCCTTATTTTTGTAGGAGATATTCATGGCTGCAAGGCTGAGCTGGAACAATTGCTAGCAAAAGTCAACTTTGATCCGAAGACAGACCACCTGATTGCCGCTGGAGACATGGTGGCCAAAGGACCGGACACTGCCGGTGTAGTAGATCTTCTTCGGGCGTACAAGGCTTCTTGTGTTCGAGGAAATCATGAAGACCGCCTGCTTCTGGTCGCAGATCAGGTCAAGTCAGCATCATTGAGGACCAACAAGCCGAAAAGCGGCAAAAGTCCAGATAAGTCTCTCCAGGATTCATTCACTGCAGACACGCCCGAGATGCAACTTGCCAAAGCTCTGAACGCTGAACAGCTTGATTACCTGAGGCGTTGTCCGGTCATTCTCCGGGTTGGGGAAATGAAAGCATTTGGTGGGCAAGTCGTGGTCGTGCATGGGGGACTTGTTCCTGGCGTTGGCCTTATGGACCAGGATCCGGCCTCTGTGATGAATATGCGAGTCATTGATCTCAAGACTCATGTTCCTTCCAAGAACCATGAGCGGGCGGGAAGCGTCCCCTGGTATCATCTCTGGAACAAATACCAACAGCTAGTACCTGCGAAGCAACGCCTTGCAGGATACAGAGACAGCGGAAGATGGTCATCGCCAACGTCTCACACGACTGTGGTCTATGGCCATGATTCCAAAAAAGGTCTCCTACTGAAGACCTACACCAAAGGTCTAGACTCTGGATGTGTCAGGGGGGGCAAACTCACCGCTTTGGTTGCGGGGGACAATGGCAAGCAACACATTGTTCAGGTCAAATGTAAAAAATCTGCTACTGGTGCTCTGGCAGATTGAAAGTTGCAGCCAGGGCTGGTCCTCTGGCCACAACCTTGAGATTAATTGTGATCAAAATGAAAATTTAATCCATCACTCCAGCGAGATCTGAATTGTGTGGACCATGACAGTTTTTCTGACAATGGAATGTGTGGGCACGTGTTTCACCAGCCTCTTTGTTGCTTTTGAATCAAGAATGTGCCCATTCAAACCTGAAAGCGGCCACTCTCACTTCAGTCGCACATTGCAAGATACCTATTCACTATGGCTGATCCGGTTGCAATCGCTTTCAAGCTCTCATGATTCACGTTTCTTTGTGCAGATTCAAGCCTCTCTGAATGGACGAGCTTGTAATTAGGATCCCAAGTGGGCACATCGCAGGTCGCAATGCCGCCGATCTTGACAATCGAATTGCATTTTACATTTTCTCTGGACAGTCTCAGATGTCACACCGATCTCAACCGAGACAACCTGCTTCATTCTCATACTTGTCCTCAGACATGGGTTGAGAAACCCCATCCACCCTGTCCTAGCGTGACAAAGTCAACATTCAAATATGCCCTCCACAGACCCCGATGAATGCTTCGTCAAGTCAAGTCCCCGATCTCAATCACCATCAGGAAGCCGTCAGCAAACATCGATTATGCCTCCCACGATTGTCGAACAAGGCAGCCCACTCGAAGCCTCATCCATGTTTTCCAAGAGGCAGTCGAGCCCTCAAGTCCCTCACGAAGATGCCGGGAACCCTATGTACACCTCCCCTTCCTCCAACAGAAGATCGAGGACACCTAGACCGAAAGCCTTCAGACCTCAATCACAGTCTCTAGAATTGGCGGCAATAGTTGTTACCCCTTCACTGTTACAGACCGCGATGGTCGATCCGCCTCTTACCTTGGACCGTTTACAGCCTGAGCCACTAGCACCACCTCACACCCCGTGTCTGCGATCAACCATCGACTTCGATCATTCAGCCAAAGATGTCCCTCTCCCTGTGACGCCCGGAACCGCGGGTGTTGTTCCCCTAGATGAAGGCTGCTGCTCGTCGTTGCAGAATGACCTAACTGCACGATTGGAAAATACCGAGCACGCCCTCGTCGTTCAAAAGCACGAGTATCAAAAGACAATTGATAAACTAGAGGTGTTGATCGAAGACCTTTCAAGGGACCTTCATACCACCAATCGTCGCTTTCAGCAGAAGAGCGACCATAATGGGGTACTAAAGATGGAGACTAGACGTGCCACCCAGGAGAAAACTGATGCCGAAGAGCGTGAGCGAGTTACGAAGTTAGCTCTGCAACGCAGTCGAACGGAGTCCCGAGAGCTACGGTCTGTCATGGACATGCAGCAAAACATGTTACGTGAGTATACCATCAAAAACCAAGATCTAACATCACAGCGCGATGCATCTTGTTCTAAGCTCAAGATACTGGAGACTAGTCTTGCAGAGACTATCATTGTCAAAGAAACATGTCTAAAGGAACTTCAGAAATGCAGAGAGATTTGCCAGCGCCTTTATGAAGAGAGGAAATATATTCGCCACTGGACCGAGAAGATCATGGAACTGAAATCCAAGGATAGTGCCGACTACATGCTTCTCTATGATCACCTAAAGAACCAGTCTGTCCATCGTACAGATGAAGATTACACAATGAGCATCTCCCCTCTTGTGCCTCAGCAGACCCTGGCCAAGGCTCTCGAGGTCGCATCATCATCATCACCATCACCAATCTCAGAAATCTCGCGCAAGGAGAGTTCTCCTCATGAGACTAAAATTGAGTCTGGTCTTGATCACGAGCTGGTAACAACCAAAGTCTTCAAAGCCTCCTTTTGGGACAAATATGATCTCAAGCAAGTTCCGCACAGTGCTTTGGAGATGCACAACTTGCAGCCATTCTCAAGCAACATGATCAAAACCTTGAATTTGCGACTTGAAACCGGCAATACCCCTGTGGAAGTGATCGATGCTATCTTAACAGATGCATTGAACAATTTCCATGCTCTGGCAAAGGCGCGGAATTTAGCCTCGCATCAAATATTTTCTAGCGATGATATGCGAATCAGCGAGGTGTCCACATCATCGAGCTTCAGTAGTACAAAGCCGACCCTGAAGTTGAGGATCCCACGAGTTGCGCGCCCAGTTCAACCAGTTAGTCAACGGCCGATCATGCCTTACGTACCTCGACATCAGCCAGCTAGAGCCCCAAGAAAAGACTCCACGGTATCGTCTGCTACAAGTAGCGATGTCTCTTATCACAACGACAGAATGGGAATCAAGAGACGCGGCAGCTCAATCTCGACTACCCCGAGAACAACCCCCGAGTCCGAATCGCAAACATCTGCATTCTCAGCAAGTCGTTTTCCGCGTCTGCTTGGCCTCAGAGGAGGAAGTGGTGGGTCGAGACGATCGATATTTTCATTTTCCTCGTCGGAATCATGGCTTCCCAGCATCACCTGGAGTGAAGATCAAGGGACACCCAGTACAGGCAGCGAGCAGGGCATCCAAACTACCACCAAGTCTCCACGACGGACACATGGTGACGGTGTTCTACGGGTCCTGGGCAAATTGTATCTCCATGCTGAATCGTTGATCCTCGCATTTGTCATTGGGTCGTTACTTATCACCCGACCATTCAGCAACTCCTTTAATGGGTATGAGGTCTTCTCGCGACACACCCAGAATGTGACGATGTCGCACCCGGTAGTCGACACAACTGTGAGACCACTGGGGAAGATGTTCATCACTAGCAACCCTATGACGCTGATGAATACCACGGAATTGCTTTTGTGCAAGAGTGCCAACAAGTCGCTGAATGAATCTCAGATTCTGACCACCCAATGCGCAAATCTCATTGAAGTGGATGATGGGATTGGAGACAATCAAACCACAGCAACAACTAGCCTGCAAGACATCCAGAGGATGGTCAAACCGGTGGTTGAGACCCAGTATATCACTGTCTTTGCAGACGGAGCCATTCCCCCGTTAGTTTCATGCCCTGCCCCGCCACCACTACCACCAGTTGAATGTCCGAAACTCGAACCCATTGCATGTCCCATTCAAACTCCAGTGTCGAGATGTCCACATCCATATTCCTATCCAGACCCTTGTCCCTGTCTCGAAGACATCAATCCCAAGAAACCATTTAACCCGACAGCCCAATATGGCAAAATGAAGGCCAAACCCATGCCCCCTGGTTTTCCCAGCAGTGGTTCACAGCGGTCCGATTCCAAAACCAACATGACGTTAGCGGGCGAGCAGAATCAGCAAGATCGTACTCTGTCGGACTCCGCGGCGATTTCCGGATCTGGATCTGGATCTGAATCTTCATATGATCGTCCACGGCGTCCAACGAAAGTGGACATTATCAAATGGGGTGATCACGTTCGACCCGGACGTTTGGGACCTATACCGCCAATTCAACGATTATTGAGTGCTATTCGAAATAAGTTGCTTAGTTGAGATGATTTAGGGTTCTTGGATGACCGGAAAACGTGGAAGAAACGACACTGGAGGAGGGTTTCTTTTTTTCTTTTCTCTTTCATCTTCATTTCATTTCCTTTTCTTGTCTTATTTACCATGGAAAGCGAAAATGATGAAATATCAAAGAAGTAGGACATTGGGTTGCAAAGGGCACGGAATGAAGAGAAAGAGAGAGTGAGATACTTAATAGGTAGCTATGTGAATGGATATTAGGATGGATATTGGGCGACATACCTGGGTATCAACACGGACGTCAAACGGAATACATCAGTGCGCGATATGTACTGTATGTACATATGTGTACCCCAACTCTACAGGACAATTAATTACATACTAGATGCTAGGTTGATTGAGAGATCGATGCATAAATCTAAAATCTATATGCTGACATTTCCATGGATATCCAAACATGAATTGATTGATTTTCCCATTGGATTTATTAGAATGCTGGAATCGTGGTCGTGGTTTGGTCGTGGTCTGATCTAAACGTAAGTTTTGTAGTATCATTTATCACGTGGTAATTTAAATCAGAAATCCTATGATCGTGAGAAACGACTAAGCTAAACCCTATACAAGGTGCGGCATTACGTTTTTCAATAATGATTGCTCCCGACCCAACCCCTCAACTCTTAAAAGTCACTACTTGTCATACAGGTAAATAAGTCAACTAAACTACCCTTTTTCCTTATAATCCGTGCGTGCGAAACAAGAGTCAAACTGGATAAACGCCCACAGGATTCATCTCGATGGATTCAACGCCAAACCCAAACCTCTCGCCTTCGCTAAGTAAACCACACCCCACTAACTTGATCTGGGCTGGAGTGGTGAATTGTCCAAATTCGATTCGAATCCTAAATAAAATCCGACGGCGTTGGTCTTTGATCCACAATGGACCGCCGGAGTGTGCCAAATATAATGGTGGCAGAGCCCAGTGTTCCAGTGTTCCAGTATTCCTGCCGTTATCCCTTCGACCCAACACCTGCAATGCCGCGGGGGTATCTATTGTTTACGCATCAAACGTTGTGTCCTAGGACGATGAGAGGAGTGTCCAATGTGGTTTGTGGATAACATCTCAAGTGCAGGTGTGGTGGTATGACATATGTGACTTGCATTCCGTGATTTTTGCCTGCGCTTTTCGGGTTTCACGACTTTTTCTCATCTTGGTCTGCTTTCTCTTCCGCTGCGACATATTCATATAACGGTGGCTGGATGTCCTCTCTGGCTAAGAGTGTGTCCTTTTCATCCTCTTCAACCACAATCTCGACAGCACGGCCGTGTACTCGTCCTCGTCGATCACCCCGATAGAATCGAACCCAGATGAAGACAATCAACTGGCCAACCACCATACCGATGGCACTGGCGACAAGACCTCCAATGACTCCGAGGAGGGCGGGGATGACGAAGAATCTGAGTGTTTGGTGGAGTAGGCGGCCAAGATGGTGGGCATGGTAATGGTGGCGGTGATGAGCGCCCTTGGTAACTGACTTGCTTCCTGATTTCATATGACAACCGGGTTTCGCGGGAGGAAATGATCCTTGAATACCATAGCTGATCGGCCGGGTCTTGAGCCCAGCTGAAACAATAGCATGGTACCGACAAGCAGCCCAATTGGAGGCAGTATTGCAGGTTGTGGCACCTGGTGAGTCTTTGAAGGGAAGGGTGGAGACGACGGCAATCGAGGTTTGTTCTGGGGAGGCTAGGAGAGAAATAGATACGGTATCGGCCTTGACGGGGTGGCCTTGAAGGGCAAGGATAGTCAGTCGAAGAGGAGTGACGGATAGATCTGGAGTGTCGTGACTGTTGACGGCGGGCAACTTTTCTAACGCGAAATCGAGGTCAAGGATTGGTCCTAGTTGACCATCGTCTGGGCGAATCTGTCTCGCTGTGAGGGCAAGAGGTTGGTTTTTGGAAAAAGGTGAGTGACCATTCACGGTCAGTTCTTGGTTTGTGTCAATACCGAATTCGAGGTGCTGTTGAACAAAGGACCAGTCAGTATACTTGAACCACTTCAGTCTTTTGGCACGTGCTCACAATCTTTGTCCGAACATCGTTTGGAGAGGGAGAGCCGTCGGCAGTAAAGTAAGGACAGTGAGGGCAGTCAAGGTCGAATGGAGAGATGGACTCGGAGAGCACTACTGTTGATATGGCGGACTTTGGGGAGGTGACTTCGAGAGGGACAAGAAAGGCAGACGCTTGTAGGGCCCAAGCACTGGCGGCCAGCGCGGAGGTGAGATGCATATTGCTTGGGCTTGGAGGTCTTGGTCGAGAGCAACAGGTCAGAATGCAAGAATCGAAGTAGAATGGTTGGCAGGGATAAGGAAGAAGGGCAAGGTTGGCGGAGAAGAGAAGGAGAGGCTGAATAATGGGAGAATGGAAGATGGGATTGTGAGAAACGAGAGAGACAAGATGCACCAAAGTTGTGCAAGGCCGACCAAAGTGGCAGTCACCTTCACTTGGGTTCATCGGCGCGGGCGAGGCTCCATCCGGGGCTTCCGGTACACGTCAAGGGCGCCTCGAGCCCCTCGGCCAATTATGGAGCTGCCTTTCTGATGTGCAAATGTTGCACAGCGGGCCATTAGGTCATTTTAGACTCTGTGCAGGTGTGCGCTTGTGCGCTTGTGCATGGTGGCCGTGGTGGGCCTTGGGACCTGGCAGTATCTCCAATGGGGCTTGCCTTAGGGGGGTCCTCTCGCCCGAGTACCTGGCCAGTGCTGACTCGATAACGGTTGTTCTATTTGATCCCTGGATGTCAGCCGTCCAGGGAGATGATTGTGCCTGAGGTGTGTACTCCGTACTGCATATCTACTTAGTATTTGTATATGTGGTACAGATGTTGAAAAATCTAACCGATGCTGTGAACCCATGGGAAGATACAATGGTCCCTGTACCAGCATCGAACTAGGGCCTCTTAAGCATTCAGGGTCCACGACAGTAGTACTCACATACGGAGTAGGCACGTAGGTACCTACCAGGCGCGCCAGGCTACAGATTGCCGTGACTGCCTAGGTACCTCTCCACAGCTTGGCCTTCAAACGAGCCCCCGAGACGTCTGGAGAACGGAGTACAAGGCCTTGGGACATATATTTGGCATGCACCAGACGCGCGGAGCATTCATGGCACCGCCTGGGCAGGAGATTTTTATCGTGCCACGCGTATGTGTTTCCATTCAGGCTTGGGGGAGAAGATATTTGAAACTTCGTGCTCGGCTGCCCACACGAGAACGCCACTCGTATCCAATTTTGGGCCCCTCGGGCTCTTTGGCCCTCTACTTAGCTGTGGGTGCGTGGGGAGCCTCTTGTACCTCATCCACACATCTCTATGCCTGCCACCAAAAAACCAGGATAAACTTTGAAGTCGACTGAGTCATCATGCTGACATGATCGACCTCCAACCAACCGTGGCGCCGACTGTATACGGAGGACAGGCATTGCTGCATTCACCCCTTATTCAAGCCACTCACAACCCTGTCGTTAATGAAGCTCGCACCATCACACCGTATCTTGCTCCGGATCTCTCAGCCTGGTGAATTATGTACTCCGTAGTGTTGAAGTCTCAAACCACCCATGTCATTGTATTTGATCACTTCGATGCCACTCAACGATCAGACACCTGTCAACGTCAGCTTGAAAGATCCCTCAGAGCGGATCTTATGTACGGTCCATACTCCGTACAGTAGGTACCTAAACAAGAGCAAGGAAAGCTGCGCGAGATGACTTCTCGTCCACAGCACTTATTCAGCCATATTATCTCACGCTTTGCTTGTTCCGCCCACCTTCACGTGATTCATTGAAACAAGCTCGTGTGGCATTTGATGGTCTAGTACAGCCAACACAGACGTCGCATCTACGCTATGTGGTCGATTTGCCGAGATCTACGTAATTCACTTGTGCTGCCTGTCTTGACATCTGCCCATTCCTCTTAAACCTCGTATAGCCATTGGCCTGTAATCCAATATGTCTACAAACCATAAAAACCGCAGACTTGTCATCACCGGCTCTTCTTGTGAGATGCATCGTGGACCTCATTTCGCTTGGCTTTCTGACGAGATTCCCATCGTCCCCATCCAGCATCTTGAATGTCCTCTGTCGCGATCAAGTCTCGGAAACGCAGGTGCCTGGAAACCCGCGTGTCCAGGGCCCAGTTAATGACCCCTTGTTGATGCAACACAGACGTCAAAACAAACCAGAACAAAGCGAACGCAACCCCGGCGGCAACACCAACCAAAACCTGCTTGGGTGTGTGGTAATTAAGGTACACACGGCTAGCGGCGACTGCGCCGGCACAGAAAATGGCCAGAATCGATAAGAGAAGTCGTTGTTGAAAAGTTGAAGGGGAGTAGCTGGTTGAAGTAGTCGGCACATGACGTACCAGGAGAAAGAGGGTCAATGAAACGGAGAAGAAGGCAACAAACTGGGCATGTGAGGACGGCATGCCATACCCCTTTCCAAACATTTCTGAAGCAGGTTAGCAAGAACACTAATGAGACGAGGAGGTGGTCCTTTGAGTACGTACGGCGGGGTCTCTCTTCTCGAATCAACCGTTTGAGACCAAAGTTGAGGGCCTCGCAAGCCAATTGACCGGCAAACATGAGAAGAACCTCGACTTCACGTGTTGCCCAGATCAAGGTGACGTAAACCACACAGAGACCTTGAGGAACCAAAGCTAGCCATGCTGAAAGGTATGATATGGGATCATCAGGATTCTGATAATATTAGCATCACTGTATGCTGAGTTTAATGGGAACACCAGAGCGTACATATCGAACATGGGTCAGAGACAAGGATGCCAAAACTGGGTCGTCCATAATTGCAGATAACAGCAGACAAGAATGGTTTTCTTCAAAAGATCATCGTATGAACCACAATGGACAAGTTCCTAATGTCAAAGACGGGTATAACCGAGATGTCTCGCTAAAGGAATTGTGTGCAGTGTCGCAATAGAAGCAAGCAACGCAAGGCTGGAAGGTCGAATGCGTAGGTAAGCATCAGAAAGAAGACATTTTGCTGAGAGGCAAATTTGGGATTTTGGTTCGTCTTGCTGGTCGGGCGCTTGCATGTTGGCCTACGGTCTGGACAAGCCTGTAAACCAGGAACCCGGCGTAAGTGGCGCTTGGCCCGAGCCGTACAGTCGGTGGTACGGGGGGTTTGCTAGTGGTCAGTGAGTGGTCACTCTCCGCCTACTGTAGGTACTGATGCGCCTGGAACCTGTAATCTTGGCTCCTAGGATGACCGTTGGTCCAGACATCCTTGAGGCCCATCAGCCCTGCGCACCTGGGTACCTACCCTGATATCCTGTGTGACTGTGTAGGCCTACTTCCTCCGTACTCTCGAATTATCTGCTAGCGCCACTAACAACCCCTCTTGCCTCACCCCTCCCCCAGTAAAAAACCCCGAAGCCAATATTTTATTTTCCTATGCGTCATTGCTAATCAGTCATCACCAGCAACATTTCATTCTGTCGTCTACAACCCACAGCCAAATCATTCACATTCAGAATATCGTCCCTTCCAAACCCATTTGGGTCGAATGACGCCTCTCATCTATTCTCTGCATCTCATCGTCTGCTTGGATCCCATTTTAGCGCCATCGTACTCTCCTCTCAACTCTTTCCCCGCCATCATTACACCCCTCGAGGATGACCGATGACAATGACTCTTCCGAGGATGAAAGAACCGAGGAAATCTCCTCCATTCGATCTATTTTTCCCGAGATTGTCATCGATCCTTCCCAGCCATATAAACTATCTCTCGATCTGTCGGTAACACCACTTCAGCCGTTGACCGTCTTCTTCAAGCCTCCGACCGAGACCACGCCACCCGCCCTCCCTCAACTCCCCCAAGTCCTACGTGACCAGCCTGCAGTCCAAGATGAGTCGCACCAGATTTCTCACTTGCCGCCTCTCTCCCTCCTCATCACATTACCCGAAGGCTATCCTGCCACCAAACCCCCTTTCGTGTCTATCTCCTGCCAATCCAAATGGCTTCCTCAACAAGTCCTGGATAGGCTAATCAAGGATTGCGAAAACAAATGGGAAGAATACGGACAACAACCCGTCGTTTTTGCTCTCATTGCCGATCTGAAAACCGAATCGGAAGATGCATTCGGCCTCGCTGGAACCAAACTCCACTTGTGCAGCGATCTTCAACTCGCCCTCCTCGACTTCGATCTTAAGGCCAAGCGTGAGGAATTTGAGAAAGAGACATTCGACTGCGGAATTTGCCTCGAACCCAAAAAGGGCACATCTTGTCACAAGATGCTGACCTGCGGTCACGTCTTCTGCGTTTCTTGTCTGCAAGACTTCTACAATTCATGTATCACCGAAGGTGACGTCGACAGCGTCAAGTGTCTATCCCCGGATTGTGGCAAAGACGACCCAAACACTCAACAGCGAAAGAGAAGTAGGAAACAGGACCGAGGTCTCAACCCTAGTGAGTTGCTGCAAATCCCACTCGAGCAAGAAGTGGTTCAACGCTACGTCTATCTCAAGCGCAAGAAACGCCTCGAAGCCGACAAGAACACCATCTACTGTCCTCGCGAGTGGTGTCAAGGTGCTGCCAAGTCAAAGAGACATCCAAAACCTTCCGACCCAATGAAGGAAGAAGATTTCTCTGACGAATCCGACGACGAAGGCCCTGACCCGACAAAGGTTTCCAGTGAACCGCTCGACCTCGAAGCCCTGCCCATGTCTCAGCGCCTGTCCGTCTGTGAAGACTGTGACTTTGCCTTTTGCTGTGTCTGTCGCAAAGGCTGGCATGGCGAACTTGCGCGTTGCTCTCCTCGTCGCCAGAAGGAGATCACCGAAGAAGAAGCTGCATCATTGGCCTATCTCAACAAATACTCGACCCCCTGTCCCACGTGCAATGTTCGCGCACAAAAGATCCTGGGCTGCAATCACATGAAATGCTTCCAATGTGGAACCCATTTCTGTTACCTCTGTTCCGCCTTTCTGATGCCGGCCAATCCGTACGCTCATTTCAATGACGTCGCCAGTTCTTGCTACCAGCGTCTTTGGGTTCTTGAGGCCGGCGATGGTGAAGGTGTCGACGTCAACGCACATTTCAACCCGGACGAACTGGCTGCGGAGTTGGCAGTGGAGGCCGCTGCAGCCGAAGCCGACGCTCACCAGGAAGCCCCAGCGCCCAATGCGCCCCCTGTCCCTGAAGTGCAGGCTCCAGCCGATCTACTCCTAGAAGAAGACGACACTTCGGACGAGGAGCCTGCTCCCGATGTTCGACGCCACGAACGAAACATGCACATTGAATTTGTCAACTTTGCAGGTCCCCATGGTCAGAATGCCCAACGAGTCATGCTTCCTGAGCGACCACGACCTGCTGGTGCTGATGCAGTTGCACCACTCGGACCTGGTCCACCTCCTCCACCTGCTCCAAACCCACCAGCTCCTCGTCGCCGCCGTAGGAGAGGTGCTGCACAGCAGAGAAATCGCAATGCTGGTCCTGATATCAATCATGCACATGCAGGTAGAAACAATCATCCTCCAGCCGGTGTCTTAGGTCGAAATGGAAACAATGGCCCCAATCATGCTCGTGGTGCCCATGCAGATGGACCACGGCACATCAACGGCGAAGTCAACGCCGCGGCCGTGCAACGAGGAAACCCAACACCTGAAGCACCTGAGCCAGCAGCACCAGGCCATCAGATGGCTGGAATGCCTCTCGAGCTGAGGCCCTTCAATGCTCAAGCATTGGAGAACTTCTTGCGTCTGGCGGAGGCCGACCAAGAAGACGAATGGGACAGCGATGAGTTGGACGATGACCACTTTGGCGACATCGACCATGACCCGTTGCCATTAGAGCCCGCTGCCCGGCGACGAAGATGGTAATGTGTGAAATTTGTCGACTTCATTATCCGGACATATCCATCACGTGGTTGGTGGTGGGTTCGGGGCGGGCGTCATGCACGCCGATTGACCTTCACATCGAAATTGCGGCGGGTGACAATCATACCGGTGCTTAGGCATATTGATGCTGGGGCGGGTGACATGCTGCATACGGATGTTCATATCGATGCTGGGGGCGGGTGACAGTCATACCGGTGAACAGTACATATTGTTTCATGAGCTTCGGCATGAACATTCCCATGTTTGCTTTCGATACACATGTTGCAAATACCTACCTATAGGTATGGTGCATTCGCTTGGCTAGGCGCCAGAAAATGCCACCGAAAATGAGATGTGCAGTCACCTCGATGACATGCATACCGGATCACGTTTGGACAACGGTTATGCAACGTGTGATTGATGATTAACACGACATGAGACCTAATGATGAAGAATTGCCACAGCTTTGTGAGTTGCATATCACAGCTCAAGTAGCAATCATGGCATAGCATTGCACAACATAGCATAGCATAGCATAGCGTGGAGAGCGTGGAGCGGAATTCTTCCTGCACTATTGAATCAAATTCCCAATTAAGTACCTAATTCTAATTCAATCCGGTGAAATGTTCAAAGCCATACCCTCATCTATCCGACCACTCCTCTGAGTAACTCCTTGATGACCTGACCCTTAACTACCGTTTCCTCGAATATACCCGGTACATGTTTCGGTTCCACACGACCATACCAGATTCCTTTGCCCGCTAGTGGATGGGGCGGTGACGATGTCCCAGAGATATCCGTGTGTGGTGGGATGTAAATGATCATGTTGCCTGCCCAGACATGTCCACCGATATGAGATGTGAGACCAATATTGATATTGATATTCATATTGATGTCGGTTGGTGTGTTTGAAATAACTCCCGGAGAAGAGTCGTAGAAATCATCTATCCGAGCAATGTAATTCTCCTCCTCCTTCCCCTGGCCCTCGGAACTCTGGCTCTGACTCTGTCGATTCCGCAAATCGATATACTCGACTAATTGGTCCCGCAAGAGCGGGCCTAGAATCCCGCATCGTGAATCTCGTGACATGTGGCTACAGATCAGGATTGTCGGGGTGGTGATTGGAGTGATGGACAGCGGAGAAGGGATTGATGAGGAATCATACTGCTGGTGAAGTGGCGCCGATTCACCTAGTAGGAGGCTGCGGATCAGGAAGCGGAGATGATCTGATTGCGATTGCGAGGCATTTTGGACGGGAATGTTGGTGATGCTCTTGAAGGATGGAAAGAGCACAGCTGACAGGGAGGTGGTGTCCTTGCTTTTGCCGGTGAAGGATGATGTTCCCAATATGATATTGTTATATGGCTAAGAATGTTCAAGACTTGAATGTGAGTCAGCTTTTCTGGGGAAATGTGGGGGAGGCCCCCTCGATGTAGGTACAAGGGTACATTGGGACCGGGGCTGGCGGGGATGTGTGGGATAGATATAGTATCGCAAGTGCTGGCTACCAGTGTGTATGTACCTACATCGTGATATTCTCCGCCTCGTCCCAAAAGACCCTTGAAATCCGCCACTAGACGTCCCCAGTCTGCGGAGTCCTTTTCGTCCTCGATGCGGCTTTTCCAGTCTGCTTGACCTGTGGAGATGATGAGATGTTGCGAGTAGCGAGGAGCCGTGCCGTTGAGATGTCGTGCGTGGTCGATATCGAGACCTTCAGGCATAGGCGAACATTGACACGTTGGTGAAGGACATGTTTCAATGACTGGGTAGGATGGCTGTGCGGAGCGGTTTGCGAGTGTGGCGCGTGCGGCAGCACGAGTGCTGGATGCTAGGGACGTCGCATGGCGGATGAAAGTTGGCCGCAGTCCTAGCATGGCATTGGGTGTGATGCCGTGATGTGTCACTCATAACTGGTGGGAAGGTAAGGGGGAATAGGCAGAAGGAGAGTCAATATCAACATTTTATTTTGGTTGATGCTGAGTGATGATTTGAATGACGTCGGCAAATTATTATGGCCTGCTCGGATTTAATTCTGGACCTTAAAGCCGAAGAAAGTATGGGGAAGCGACGATTGTGTACGAATAAGTGCGCAGGCATATGGAAGGAGCAGAGAAGACGCTTTGTGTGGCATGAACGGTGGCATTCGGTCCCTCTATCTCTATACCCCCATATATCGTATACAAACTATCTTCTATCATCTCGTCTTTGACACTGCGGTTGATAGATTGTCAAGTGCATTATCTGAACCCGTCAAAGGCCACAGTCCTAGGTAGAAAGCACATGCCCCACCAACGAGCAACAGATAGTACGCAATCGTCCATCTCAACCCCAGGGCCTCGGAGCCACCTGCATGAATCGAATCAAGATCATTCTTGCCCCTGATCGCAACCGGGGAAAGAGGATACAACTCTCTTCGCTTAACCCGACCCCAGAACCTAGGTAGTCCGACCCAGTTGCAGAACGAGTGGATAACAATTGGCGAGTAGATGGAACCAGTTCTCAGATATATGAAACCAGCAAACCATCCAAAAAGAGTCGTGTATCCGAACTGGAAGACGGACCTGAGCAAAGCCGGTGCCAGAGGTGTATGAGGATGCGTCAAGGTGAACTCGTAAAAATGATGGACGTGAGCGAGCCCAAAATAGAGGGGAGTGACAAAGATGATCTGAGTGGGCTGAAACCTTGCAAGTAGATGCAGAGGAATCAAGACGGATCGAAAGATAACCTCTTCGGTGATAGGGCCAGCGATGAAGTTGCGATAGCCTTGCCAGCTGCTCAACGACTCAACCAGTCTCCGACCCCTATGGAAGTCTTCCAACTCCCTCTCGACGACAAGCTTCTCGAACAAGGGTCCAAGGAAGAGGAGGATGGTCAATGCACAAGATTTGACTATATCGGTCGGCTGGATGGGCCACCAGCCAAGAAAGTGGAGTGCAGTCGCAGGCGTCAGTTTGGCCGTCACAACAAGTAAATACAGCGTTGCTAAGGATGCCACGATACAGGCCAACGTGACACTTTGGATGCGGGCTCTGATGACTGAGGGAGCATCTCGATTGAGGGTCGGCGATGGCCGAGTCGACCGTGACAAATAGAATGGTAACACATATATTAGTGTGAAGAGTGTCTGAAGAAACCCTAGGTTAGTCCACAGTTGAAGCTGGGTCACAGTGAGGCCTGACACGTTGCAGACTCAACCCCAATTGCTTCGTGAACAGCTTCGACTTACGGATAAAACGGCAGCCGTAGTGGTTGATATGGCAGCAACATGTTCCTGGTCTGAGAATATTGGTGGTCAGTCCATGACCAACATGCAATGTACGTTCTTCAGCGACCGCAACAAATGAACGAAGAAACACAACAAAGGGGTGATGAAGCGGTCAATGAGGCATCTCGACCAACATAATAGGGAAACGAGGTCGACGTCTGAGAACTAGTTTCAGGTGTTCATGGGTTGGACTCCCATGATCCAATGGGTTTGCGACTAACCTTCATGGCCGAGGTACTCGGTCCTCAATTTGTTTGAGAGACCTGCAAGAGCCATCGAAGAGTTCTTTGAGTCAACTGTTGAGTCAACGGGCTTCGGATGGGTCGAGCACGGTGGCAGTCTTTGATGTAGTGATGATCACCAAAGACACAGCCAACTCATCAAGGGATGAATGGTGGTTGTGATGGTGTTTGTTGCTGACGTGGAGGCTCCTGCCACTAAAAGTGTCAAGTCAAGTCGTACTTGCCATCTGAAGTGCTTCGAGTAACACGCTAATCCAAGTTTGGCGATGTGACTGAGAATGACAGTTGGAATGACTGTCAAATGACATCCCACATTCCACTCTCGCTTCTGCCTCAACTTCTCTCAAGACTTGATTGCGTATCGATTGACGCCGGCATCAGGACCCGTTAGTATGGGTCATCTGCAGAAAATCTCACACCGACAAGAATCCCAGGCAAGCCTCTCGAGATATTGAGTCGTGGCTGGACCGAAAGGGGCCTTGGCTATACATGTCTCCGACACTTCAGCCCACACCGCAGTGCCCCTCGCTTTCGCCTAATCCCCCTGTCCCAAGTCAAATTGACGCGTTAATTTCGCGATCTCTTCTACGCCAATGGGAGACTTTCAAGCAAATGGAGCTGCGTCTGCCACGCGATCAATACGCAACGCGACCTCCTTGACACAATTTCAATAATCTGCCACATCGATGCCAATCGAGCCTTGTTCGCCATTCGAGTCCGAATCTCTGTCCACTTCGTACCCGTACAACCTGTCCCAGTCTGCTGAGCCTCAACTCCTGGTCCCAAAGTCAGCGGAGTCAGGGTCCTTTTGTCTTTCCTCGACACTTCTCCTAGAAGTGGCTTCAGAAAAAGAGAATTCTGAAAGATTCCAATATCACAATATTGTGCAACACTCATCTTTGAACGGTGGCCTCATCACTCAATTCCTCAACTGCACTTGTCTGGCCTTGCCCCTCAAAGCCTACGCATTCCCACAGGAATTCGACACTAGATCACCTGTCACGAGAACAAGCTTTGACCTGTGCTGTCATATCAATTTAACCCGCCCTGCAGTATGCAGATGCATATCCGCACCGGGACCACCCATGTCTTACACTAATCCACCATCCTCAGCTCATCGTTCATGACGCTTTTTCATACACAGTGTCTCTCTGCGTCTTGCAAACCAAAGTTTGTTGACTCTGCACAGCTCACCCTCAGTCGCTCGTTACTGCACCAACATCTAACGTTTATGTACGTTGCGTAATCGATAACTATATCACCGTCATCTTTCAAACCCGGCCGCATTCACACCTTCGACCGGACTACTCTCGATTACGACCTTGATCATGAGATAGCAATGTCCTCGTCCCCTTCGTCGACGAAGCAGACCTCGCCGAAGCGGACGTCTCCCAAAAGAACCCCATTGCAGGAAAGGTCCCAGTCTCATGCGAATGAGATCTCCCAGAGGTTGTCCAAAGACAGCAGAAACGATCAAGAGAATTCAAGCATCTACAACACCACTCCATTCCCGACAAAGGCGTCTCATATCCTGCTGCCGAGCTCTCTTCGTAATAGAAGACCTGGTGCAAGTCCTGCCGCCGATGCCTTTGGCTTGAATTTTCCCAACGACTTGGTTCGAGGAAACGCGAATGAATCATCCGCCCGCCCCGGCTCCGCACAACCGACCGTTCGGTTAAAGCGATCAGTGAAGGCCCTGAGGGATCTTTATGAGTCGCAAGAGGAAGCTTCTCGCCCTTCGACCGCCACCTCACCGCCGCCTAGACCAAGCACAGCAGGTTCTTCGAGACTGAGAAGTATCAGCTCAAGCGATAGCCTGACAGGGCCTTATGCTTGGGAGTCGTTGCGCAAAATCTCCTCGGATGATCTTGCTCTTCTACCAAGCCTGCCTCAAGGAGGACGAGCCGTTAAGAGGTTGTCGTCGCGATCATCATTTACCTCCATAGCAGAGAAAATAGGTGCCACTTCAAGCCCAAACTTCAGAGTCATAGGCGCAACATCCAGTCCTAGGCCGCCTGCTTTCCAGGAAATCACTAGTCCTGTCCTCGAGCCTTTTGACGAGGTCGACGATTCCAGTTCTGCAGAAGGAAGTTCGTCAAGCCCGATCGTAGTCCGCTTGGCTCGCAGCTCAAGCACTGATCAATTCACAATCACTGACTCATCCTCAAGCCCGAACGTCATCAGACTAGGAACCTCGTCGCCATTCCCGCCTCGATCGCGACAAGCCGACTTTTCATCTCATTCCCGGTCGTCCTCGAGCTCGTCGAGAAAGCGCAAGCGGTCTGATGCGGCAGAAATTCGGCCGTATCCAAACAGAGCTGGCGCCAGAAACCCTCTGGCCTCCAGTCCTCCTACCAGTCGTTACGCTATGTCTGAGATGATCCCCCCCTCATCTCCTCCTGTGCCAATTGGCTACGTTGGTATGGGCGAGAACAACAGAGCCAGAGGACTGTCGGTGGAAGAGTCGAGCCCTATGGTGCGAATGTTGGCGAGAAGCCACTCTAGCTCCGATGCAACAACCAGCTCGCTAGCCGAGACCCACGCACATCTCCAAGATATCCTCAGTTCCAGCCCCCCACAGATCCAATACCCCATCATCAGGGCTCCTCATATTTCGCAGCAGCTTGGACTTGCCGTTCCCAAGCGAAACTCGAGGTCTTTGTCTGCCGAATCAACAATGCAAAAACTTTCTGCAAGATTATCTGCCGCACCTTCTGAAGGAGCTTGGGATCGGAGTCGATCGGCTAGTCAGGCATATTCCCTTGACATGGACGACATCAACGATCTCCTAAATTCAGACGACGTCGCACCGCCCGCGAACTACCTTGTTAACGATACGGCGAATCGATCTGTGATTAGACTGGTTCCAAGTTCCGACCCATACGAGCATGATCCTCATGAGGCCACAGACGAGGTCTCCGCGCTGCCGTACGGATTAACCTATCGCTCACCACCTTTGCGACCAGCACGAAGCAACAACCTTCTCCACGCCTCTTCTAGCACATCCCTACAACGAATGAGTTCCATGAAATCACTCACACAGTCACGAAAGTCGAGTTTCCTGTCCCTCCGTCCGTCATCTTCCGGCAGCGTGGCAACTGAGATTGTTCCCTCGTGGGCTCAGCGATACTATTCAGGCTTCTACCGTGATTCCTTTAATTACTTGTATGCCACAAACTCTCAACTTAATCAGGGTGCGGTTTCTCCCGCCAAATCCTCTGCCTCTCCAACCCGTGCAGACGCATCGCGAGCGCAAACTGGCCACAGCAACAGAAGCTTCGCCGACGTCCACCGGGCTATGAGAGACCGCATCCAAGCAGCTTTCAGTCCACAGCGCCGTCCCAGAGTCGAAGCGCGCCGATCTCATACCCTGCCCGGCGTTGGCCCTCTGGTCTCAAATCCAGCGACCAGTGATCTAAACTCTACCCACCGCCAGTCCCATCCGGGCGGCGCATCGCCTGCACAACACCAACGTTCGTTTTCCACGCCTTTGGATCCAAGAACCCACTGGGCAGGCATTGTTGAAATTCACCAAACTCCGCTCAAACACGGGCGAGGCTCAAGCTACACGATTCGTCAACACGTGGTGAACAGCAACGGGCTCTACGAACAAGCAAGCCTCAGCTCATCTCAATCGGTGATTCATTACTACGGCGCAGGAGGTCTTGCCAACACACAGCGAAGATGGTCCAGCTCACCTCACCTACACCATGACCACCGATTGAATACCGGTTCGTCTGTGAGCATGGGATTCGGCTACCCATTCAATACTAAATCGAAATGGAACGCGCCGAGCATTGTGGACGCACACTCACGCTTCTGGAGCGGGATTGATTTGCGAACAACGCAGATCGCGCTGTTCGCAGTGGGATTTCTGCTCCCTCTGACATGGTTCGTCGGAGCGTTCTTGGTACCACTCCCACAACGGCCCGAGGGGCTAGGAGACCTCGAAAAGCGTGCCATGACAACGGCCCAGCACAATGAACAGTTGCGACAAGAGTACCAGGCCCAGTTGCGCCACCACCGTTCCGGATCGTCCTCACTACTACACGCACAGGCGCAGCAGATCGAGCAGAACGAGTGGGAGCAGATGGATGTTGTGGCCAAGTTGCGCCTGGAGAGACATGCACGGGGCCTGGAAGAGCTCAAATTCCAGAACGCCCGCTGGTGGCGAAACCTCAACCGCTGGATGTGCGTTGTCGGCGTTGTCGTCATTGTCATCGTCGTAATCCTGGCCGTCCTGGGCACGAGGGGAAATTTCTGAGCTATTGAGCTAGAATGAAGAGGAGGACGTGTGTATGAAGGAGACCCGGAAATCAACACCAACACCAACACCAATACCACTACCACTACCAATTCAAACTTGAAGTTACATATACCCACGAAAGCAAGGTGAACACAGGAACCGGCCACCAATCCGGCAACCACTTGACGACTATTGGCATCGACCCCATTTCCCACATTTACATCTTACGAATTTCCTTGGATTGAACTGAACATTCCCGGCCGACCAACCACAGCTAGACAGACATTGATTACATCGATTTATACCTACCTACATACCTACCATCCATCATCCGTCCGATTGATCTATATTCATTCACCTTGCTCACAATATTGGAGCTGCTGAGCGTTAAGAGCGGGCGCTTGGGTTTTTTACTTATTATACTAGATGTATGACCTGTATGCATGACATGGAGATTTTAATCTGAAATGATCAGTTCCTTTGTGTAATCAAGAAGAATGCTTTCATTCAATGGGTACTGATTGGATTACAATAGTATTTGTAAGGAGTCCATAGAGTGTACCCTCATCTCAATCACATGATGTGTTTGTACTGTGCGATCATCGCCAAATCTGTGTTGAACATGGATCCCATGCTTGTCATTCGTGATTAACTATATTCTCTATATAAAACATCGTCTCGGAGAAGGAGAAGTGGCGCTGTTTTGACAGCAACTTGCAGAGGCTCACATCATCCCGCTGAATCGGATCCCTTGGTCTCGTTGAACTTTCTTGTGGCCTAGTCGGCAAATAAGTCGACTATGACGGAAATCGAGTGCTCATCCTCCGGCATCCTGGTGTTACATCGAAGTTGTTGCTCCTAGGCAGAGAGTCATCCTTGATATCAGTTTTACTCTTCTGCCTCAACATACGGTCATTCCGCCATATGGCACAAAGCATGCGATATGACTTCCTCTGGAAACATCACTAGAAGTGACCCAGCCATTGCTGGATAGAAGTATCCTATCTTGCTTCCATCTTGACCGGTCGGCGCAACGTGCCATGTTCGGCCATGGCCCATGTGAACTTGGCATGATTTAGTCGGACCCGGTAGGAAGCATGTGTCTTCCGACTACAGAGTCACGAGATGTCGTTGGCATCTATCATTGTCGCACGTGCGGCGCTTTTTGATAGATGCAGTGCAACCAAGAATACATGGTTGAAAGCTTAGACGGGCAGCTTGAAGCTCTTTCCCTTGAGGACCCTGTTTGAATTGGATTAGCTGAGGCTCTGTGAATTTAAAGGTGATTGTGACGCACTTTGTGTAGTACACCCAGAAAAAGTCCGAATATAACACGGTCTGAATGATTCCTGCCATAACTGGAATTGGATCGAAGTGGCCTTCTGCAAAATATCTGTAGATCCAGTTTGGAATGTACAAGGCGCGGTAGATGCCAAGGGCAAAAAGGTAATGTGTTGTGATTGTTTCGGCTTCTCCTGTCCTTTGCAGCATGAACAGCTGTGGGAGGATTGCCACGCTCTCGAGCCATAGAGAGAATGCCCACAAGATCTCCGAAATGGTGTATTTGTAGGGGAAAAGAATGGCTAGGACGGCGGAACCACCAAGCAGGTAGGATACGCGGAAAGTATCGAGATTGGGGTCGTGAGTCGGTCTGTAGTCATTCAACATGACATACAAGGTGTATGCAGAAGAGGCAATAAAGATGATTTTGAAGATGGTGTTCCAAGCGCTGTCAGTGAAGGTCCAGAATAAGTCTACATGATGGTCAGCCGGGGATCAAGTTGTACGGAAGTAACGTGAACTGACCAAGGTATCTGGAGACATAGACGAAGAAATACAAGGCTTGCGACTTGAAAGATATACCTGCGCAAGACTAATATATGTCAGGAGAAAGTCCACGGGAGGCTGAGATCGAGGGAGACTCATACATTTGATACTTTCATCTTTTGGAGCAGAATAAATATCGACAGGAGATGTGAAAGGTCGGCTAGAAATGGAATTAGAGCAGTTCTTGCTGGGAGCCATAGACAAGCCTCTTAGACATACCGAGCAACCTGAAGATATTCATGTTGGACAAAGGATAGGCAGCTGCTCGCTGCGAGGCCTGGGTGTGAATCTGTGGTCCAACTGATGTGCGGTTGTGTGTGGGTAAAAGCGCGAAGCGATGAGCAAAGGTCTGGGGGTAGTAGAGGCGTAGAACAAGTCGTTTGTGAGGTTGTGTAGAATGCGAGGGAGTTTGTGTCGAAGTGACAGGCTGTTCAACCAGTTTTTGGAAGTTGGGAATATGGATTATTGGGGCAGAGACGCGCCGCAGTCACATGTTCACATACTTTGCAGCAAATGGGATTTGAGGAAAGAGCACCCCTTGCGCCCTTCCCAATTGGGATTCTCTGATGGAAGTTAATCGATTCGGAAAACTTGCCTTTTTCCACCCCTTAAAACACGTGAATTAAAACCAAAACCACGTGGTATCAACACCTGATATCACTCTTTCCACTTACTCCGTACATCTCAAATCTCAGGCTGTTCCCTTCAACATCAGCATACAGCATACATGAATGAGAGAAGAAGACTTGGTTAGACCACCCTGTCGCCCCTCTCTTGTATTTGCAACTGCCCATTTGGACCTAACACATACCAATATATCGCCCGGGTTAGCACACATCAGAGGTCTGTTTTATAACCAAATAAACCCAGGTCGTGAACGTCAGAATCCACAAGATTCTCTCATCACAACCAAACAACAACCTACTCCTGAAAAGGGAGTATTCGAAATGGACGAGCATTGAATGTATCCCTTCAACCTCGACTTGTAAAGGGGAATTAGACCAACAACATGTCGTCTCGAGCTTCCAGCACCCAATGGCCCCATGCATAGGGTAACTCCTGAAGGCATTTCCATGAGAATCCATTGGCAAATTCTCATTTGTCCTGATGACTACTCCAAGCCACTCTCTGATATCTCCAATCAGTTATTGCATAGCCCGGAAAATACGTTGAGTGACGCTGTGCCATCTTTCATCCACGGCTCACAGCTGTGTGGACATGACAGGCAATCGTGGTGGCGCACATTGCGCCATATCATCACCTCGTTAAGTTAAGCGAAGGTCGTCCATGTATCATCTCGGAAACAACATTTGTTGAAATACGATATCGAAGATACCAGTGGATCAAGCTAAATTCCTCTGCATGGATTGCTTTGACACGTATTCATTTATGCATGTCTTAGTTGAGTTCACCAGCAGGATGCTGGCTCCCGATGCTTGGCGATGACAACCACGATGGATGACGGATTTTCCTCGTTGGATCGCCATTCGTGCCATTGACCTTGACTCGCAAAGTGGACTGGTCAAGCCAACGGCGTCCAACGGGCCCGAATAGCCTGAGGAGCGTAGGTAGCATGTCCATGTCCTCGCTGTACGGAACCGACCACCTCGACATCCCAAACCACCGCAAGCCACTTACTTGTCTTCTCCAGGAACCGTGGTCGTCTGCATCACCAAGTTTCAGAGTGTACAAGAGAGCAAAAGATGATCAACGACACGACAAGACACGACATGACTTGCCTCCTCCACCCCCCCTCTCTCCCCTCACTGCATGCACGATCCCGGATCAAACCAGCATCTTTGCTTCCAAGGCCACCTACAAAACCTCCATATCGACAGGTCGAGACATTGTGTAGACAAACATCCATGCAGCTAGGTATGGACTTTCCAGGAACAACGCACAGCGCACAACGCACGACGCACATCGCAGGCATGGGGGACTACCAGAGCCCCGCAGATATGCATGCATCAGCGACAGGTTTTCTGGCCAGTAGACAGCAGACAGTTTGAGCTGCGCCATGACTACTCTACTCCTACCCACCAAGGCGCCTCGGATTACAACCCGTTGCGTTGCGCCACAAGGTATGCGTTTGTGTGCGTCGTGGACCAACCCTTCGCCTTTTATCTGTACAAATCGCGAGGTCGCACCGGCAAAAGACAGTTGCCGCGCCCGCCCCCCGGCCACACATTCCCAACCTGAGATCTCGATGGGGTGAATTTGGTGTTTGTTTTGCACGTGCAAACAAAGACTAGTAGTCGCTTTCAAGTTTGGCGATACAGGCGAGTACCCGGGGCGAGAAACTTGGATTTTAGCTCACACCCTATGTATGACCACCATATCACACAGAGACTTTGGTCCATCCTCCTCCTCCCTGCTACTCCTCCAACCCCGTGGAGTACATATGATGGTTAAAGCATAACCACCAAAAGGACCATTGCTTGATTGTAATGGTATGATCTGCCGTGTTCGGTAGTTGTTATACTGCACGGTTAGTCCAACTGCAAATGCGTTTCATGGGGCCAGTATCAGAGAGAGACAAACAGACAGACAAGATCTCCCAAGCCCAATACGTGCGGTGGGTGCGGTGCGCTTCCCTGTATCTATCAGACAGGATATCCCTGGCTTGGATAGCTGTCGTTGAGTCCCAGGATGTTGGGAACTTGGAACCACTGTTCCTGAAATTTACGTCTGTTTTGATGCCTGTCGCCATATGAGATTGGAGCAAATGTGAGAGAAAGCTAATCTGCAATTAAGAGGGGCGAGTGCACGCAGGAGGGCCGTTTGTTTCCATGCAGCTTGTACCTGGCGATATGATGAGTAAGGTATTTGCGTGTTGATGCGATGGCTGGCGCGCTACCGCACTTGGAATCTTGGAATCTGTGGCATCGGTAGACTCCGGGCTAGTATGTCACACAGGAGAATCTTTGCAAGTCTCTCTCTCTCCCCCCATACGAGTGCTCCCTGTTGCAAAGAGCGGGACGCTTATACGCTTATACGCTTATACGTAGGTGACAGGCAGCTCATCTCATTGATATTGTGTTGAACAGGTAGCTAGAACCATCATGTGGAACACTGGTGGTACCAGTATTTGTGCTTTCGAACTGAAGCCAATTCGAACTACTCTTCATCTTATAGTTCTGTCACCCCGAGATACATCACCTGTGAAGAAGAAAGAAAAAAATAAGGAACAAAATAGGCAAAGTGAATACAAGAATTTTTCCATCCCTGCCAACCAAACATTTGCCCCAAAAGCCGAACTTGAACCCCATTTATCTCGCCTTGCTAAGCTGTCCTACTTGGACAGTTTCCACACATCGAAGGCCATTTTCTAGGCGAGTTCACTGAAATGATGTTGGTGTCACTGTTGGCTCTCCCCCGGCGCCTCGTCTGGCAGAGCATGGCACGGGGTGGTCGTCGTGTAATCGTTATGTCGTAAATCGTCAAAGACTTGTCAAGATGAGTCTTTTAGGTTTGTCTTTTGCAAACGTGGGTCGTCGTCCATGTCTGGTGTTTCTGGGCCCTTGATTTCTTGGGTAAAATTTGTGCAAAGTCGTAAGTCCTTGGGTTGCGCCGTTCCTCTAACCTCTCTAGTCAATCACGCTTCGACGACATTCACAGAAGGTCGACGTTATCGGTGGTAATCCCATCCAGCCTTTCTCCTGAGGCCATCGATCGGGCCCGACTCCTGACATGGTTTTATGCAATCGGACGCCGGAAAGTTTTGTCGATACCAGGGATGCATGATCACGCTCGCTAAATCCATGTGAAGGCTTCACATATATGCTTGTTCATTCTTGATGGTATAGTGATGACTGTGTGACAGCCCCAGGTGGGATACCTGAGCAGATGAGCAAACAGTCGAGGATGGAGAGTTTTCGCCATACGAATTCGACGGCAGGAAGTTCACACCCTGCGAATTGCCGTTGGAACAACTCGCCATTGAGGGAGGTACGGTGTTGTAAATCTCGCTGGATATAGTGTTGTTACGGGTGCTCGCTGTCATGGCGCTGTCGCGATCTGGCATGGTTTCTTGTGGTGAGAGAGGCGTCATCCAACGATTTTGTTGCTCAAATGTCGAGGTTGTGTTGAATCCAGCTGTTTTTAGGGGCATGGCGAGGCTCGAGCTAGGATGAAGAAGTTCAGAAGATTTCTTCATAGAAACTTCAAGCGAGGGCTTCTGGGACATTTGAGAACTCGGCTCATCCTCGCCAGTATCAAAGGAAGATGAAATTTGGGTGGTTCCTCTGCGTACCTGACAAGTTGGGCACGACTTGACAAATCTCGAGATCAGTTCTTTCGGAACCCTGCCGCCACATGTTAGAATTTCAACTGCGAATACAATTGCACAACCGACCAAGAGTACACTTGACGAACTTGCGCAGAGGTTTTGTCTCGTCCGCCGTGCTGACATTGTCGATGAGCCTTTGTCAATATTTTGAAGAGTTTCTCGCGGACTGCTACAGGCTTTCCCTCATGGCAAATCTTTCTACGAGCCTATCAATGTTAGAGAAATCCTTTTGGGATTCGAGGAAACAAACCATATTCACTTTGGGGTCATCTGGCTCCAATGTAAACATCTTTTTGACCCAGAATCTACAAAAAGTCAGATCTGGTTGAATTGCTGAACGATGCTGGGGCAGGGCGTAAAAGGGGGAGCTCGTCGGATTACCGGAACTGCGCTGATTCTATCTGGGTAGTTTTCTTGTCCAGCAAGACTGTTTTGATGTTGGCTGCCCTGGCAGCGTGAATGAGGGCTTTGTCTTGCTTTTTGGGAGAAAGCTCCTTGACGTATCTAACACTAAAGTCAAATCTGAACTGCAATTAGGCTTAAAGACAGAGTCTTACCGGTCCATCAGATTGTCGAATGCATGAACATCAGGAAATCCTTCTAGGGCCGGATGAACTGGCTCCGACAGCATCGTTTTTGAGTTTCCAGAGTCTTGATCTTCGGTAAGGTCAAGTTGTGCATATTCTTGTGGCATGGAGCAAAGCTGCTGAGGATGGGCACTGCGATCGAGGGACATGGGGCTTGAAAAGTAACTTCGTGTGCTCAGCGGCCGAGATTGAGAGGGTAACGTTGGAGCTCTCATGGTAGTGCCTGGATAATGCAGGCTGAATCCAGGGTGGTCAGACATGAATAGGGGCGTTGAGGGTGCACTATGGTTTGGTAGATAGGATGCTGGGTACGTTGAACATGGGCCAGCCACGGTCTGATATGGAGTTTGACCATTGTAAACAAAACAGCTCAGACCGTTGCTATTGGAATAATGCGGCATGGCTAGATGCGTAGTTGAGGCGAGCAGATTGCAATTTTGGCTGGAGCGCGGAGCATAGTCGGTCATTCTTGAGGGTGCAACTCAAGAATTTGATTTGGTCAAACTTGAGGAAACGGATCGATGCAGACGACGTGATTCGACTTCTGTATAGCAGATGAAGTTGAGGAAGCAGAAGATGAATGAAATGATCGGCGTCTGGACCAAGATCGAATATAACCTGTGACTTTGAGCTGATGATGCGACAGTCGTTAACCTTTTGACAATTAGATATCGACGCAGCTGGCGATGGCCAAATGGTATCTCCTTTTTAAAACAATGTCTGAGCTCGACAGAAGACAAATGTGGAAAGGGGACCGTCTGAAGAGCAGACGGGAAAATGAAAGTACAAATATTGCTTGTAGAGATGAATGAGACGATGGTGAAGACGAAGATCTGAACTGGAAATAGCATCAATATGATAGATGGCCGGTCGGCGCGGCTGGAACCCAAGGACCACATGAGGACGGCTGAGGTCACGCAGCAAGAGCAAGGGTCAGGGTTTCTGGATGTACAGAGGGCCGCGGCGGACCCTCAGCGAGAGTGAGGGTAGCCCACGTTCAACATCAGCACCTGGAAGTAGGCCAAGGCAGCGGGGTAGGATGAGTCCGGGTACCTCTGCTCAAGGGATGACAGCCATAGGCCATGTCTTCGATTCGACTTCGGATCGTCCCGTCTCGGCTCACCAAAGTAGATGGAGTTTTTAAGTGGAATGGGCATACAGGAAGACTGCATACATGACATCCTTGCACCATCAACGTTTGGTCTTCTCGACCAGTACATCTGATCGCCCTAAAAAGTTGAATAGGGAAACGCTCGTAGCCGTAGGGACCATTTAATTTGTATGGTAACAGAGAGATCCATTGTTCACGAGGGAAAACAAACCTCTAGAATACCTGTAGGATAGATGTGGGAGGATCTCGTCAGCCAAAGACTGCCAAAGTGGCGGTCTTCGCGGGCCAAGCAAACCGTCGAACCTGGCTTGCTTGGTGGTCGTCGAGGAGCCCGAAGGCTTGCGGTCTGTGTATCGTAAAATCATCCAGGTGAGGATTCTGAGGCTCTGAGGGGCGCCTCTGGCCAAAAGCGGATGCGCTGCTGACAGGGGTGAAGATACTGTGAGACATCCCCCCTTGGAAACGGGGATCTTGATGACGGGCTTTGGGCATTTCTGTTGGCCCGGTCCATCAAATGTTACTAGCTTGCAGGCTGAACTTATGATTGGCAGCCACATCCCCTTGGTACCAAGGTACTCAGGACGCAGCAGATGGGATGCATGTTTGCTGGCTATTGAGAGACTCGTGAAAAGTGTTTGCTGTTTTGATAACAAACTTGCGCCTGCCACCTGCCATGCATTGACGAGAAGAATTGCCAAGCCCAATGTCACGTGGATTGCATTTCGTGGCTGCCTCCTTTATCATTGATCACGTGGTATTGGTTCATCCTAGAAAGTGGAAGGCACTACTGACGTTGAGTTGACATTGACGCTTCAACTCATCATCATGCAGCCCGACAGGACTTCAACTCGCCATACCATGCGATCAAAGCCTTCATCGCCCTCCTTCTGTGCAGCCGTCGGCTCACATCCTTGTCGATCCATCTATGATCATCCTCGAAGAGCCTGCAGCCGGATGACTTTCATGTACATACGTACCAAGCCACGTTCTCCATCGTCAAACGCTGACTACGAACAAATTGTTTGGCCGTCGCCGTATCAGATTCACCAGTAGTATGTGGATAAATCCCTTTTACGAATCAAGCTAAATCTCGCAGACGATGCACTCCTCGAGACTGTGCTGGACACTCATGCAACCTGATGCCGTTGCCCGCTTTGTGGCCCCTTGAACTGCTTCTCCCTCAGCCAATCAGTGAAGCTGCTACTGATTGTCACTTCGCAGGTCACAGAGTGTCCGAGGCCAGAGCGGACTCTTTTGGGGCCTTACCAACCACCAGTGGAGTCCGATTGACGATCGGTACCGAGATTGCCAACGTCTGGCCCGCGAGATCTTCCTCCATCCCTTGAGAACATGGCTCACATCACATTATGTCTATCAAGGTCATGGTCTGGCTGCCACAGCCTGTTGACATCTCCTATCCTATACTTCATCTACAGTTGCTCGGGCTTGCGCCACTGACGAGTAAAAGGCTGCTGATGCCACGTGGGCATTCGCTATCGGCTGGACCACAAAATAAGTTGAGCACTGCCCGGGTGAAAGCTCATGGCCGCCTCGAGGCAATCTGTTGGTCAGGACCAATCACAGCTGAAGTCGAGAACTCTGGCCAGTCAGGCTTGACTTGGCCTCACTAGGTGGGGCCGATTCAACATGTTCCAGTGTCGTGCAACCCATACCCGCAATGGCCAAATCAAGACGTGGTGAATTCCTAGGTGCTCTCCCTTGAGAGTTTCGAATAGTGGTGCTGCGAGAAGCTTTAGTGCTTGAGCCACTTACAAAGCCATCTATATCGACATGACGCAGTGATTTTCGTTCTTTTCAAGTGCCTGTTTGGAAAGCCGCTTATATTAACTTCATGGTCTGAATCCCCTCTATAGGGTCAGGCTCAAGCTGATTGACGTGTTTCCCTCATTTCATATTTCTGGGCGGCCTAAGATCCTATCCCCACGGATTCATGATGTGCCACAGCTTCGGACCCCCAATTACTTCATGTGAGTTGCTTGGTCTAATCATACTTGTGCGACTCCAGCAAGCCAAAATTGGCTCTATATCCCCGGCCTTGTTTGCCGGCATTCGAAGCACCAGTCGCGAGAGACGCCGTTTGATTGAGGCTTACCACGAATCGCATCCTCATCAAGAGAAGCCACATCCTTGACAATTGATGAATCGTTCAGAAGAGCTCAATGGTCCATCATGATTGACCAGTCTTGCCAGGTATGGGTCTTCTGTTATCGTGTTCATCCTCTGACAGGAAAAACCTCATTTGCGGGCCCCGGACTTAGCCCATCAGATGTCGCCGTAAAGCTCGCAAGTGAGTCCACCAAGCTCTCTAGCAGTAGGCAGGTCACGATGGCAATAATAGCGTCTGTCGGACATAAACTGCCCTCCAGTCGACATCCTCGGCCTCGTTATCTGTCTTGGCGCTCATTAGTTTGCTTATGTGGTCGCAAGGCTTCGTCAAGTCCAGGCCTAGACCTACCCCTTATCCACCATGGGTAAACGGCGCTTGTGCGGACTCTATTCAAACATACGTTTCAATACCAAATGCCATGAGCACACTGCTGGTTCGAGAGGAACAAGGGCTCCTTCTCCATCATCATCAACAACAACAACAACACATGTCAGGACCCCTGAGGCACACTTTATTCCGAATCCGCGCTGTAGGGTCTTTCATATCACAGTCGGGTTCTAGATGTGGCTTTGTCGTTTCCAACCCGGCGTGAAAACGTCCACAGTCCCCGCGGGTACAAGGGACCGTCACCTTTAAAGCCAGCCTACACATTACACGAAGCAGCTCGCGTCTGACTCGAGCTGGGTGGTTGTGTACGCCACATGTCAATCGACAATATGACAGGCCTCATATAGTATGTTGTGGCCAGACAAGATGGCTAGCCTATTCATCATCCTCCTACATAACGAAAGGTGGGCGCGGCAGCTCGAGACGGTTCTGCCTTTATCCTCTTTGATTGTGCACGAGTCTCGGCCGTCTTCCAGACCCATGAATGGCAAAGTGACTGCTCACCGCCATTTTGCACCACCTTAAAGCGTGCACGAATTGCAAGAGCCTTGTCTCGTAAAGAGGCAATGGAAATTTTGCCGCGAATGAAGTATGCGTGTCCAGAGAGACCAAGGGAGTGTTTGATCCCACGCCGTAATCGTCGTCATCAGACTGAAGGTTGACCCCATTCCCGGAAAAGCCCATACAAAACCCAGCGCTCGTCCATCCCAGAACGTTTCACATCCCCTGGTTCAAACTCAATCTCTCTTTCCTGAGCTGGGATGCCAGGAAGTCAACAAAGATGTCGTGGCTGTTTCACAACATTCAAGTACATTTAATAAGAAATCATCGAGATTCAGGTCGCCATACCTCTCTTAGCAATGCAGTGGCCTCGACAAAGGTACGCGCAGCTCGACGGAGACCGGCGTCGTCCGGAATCTGGGACCTGGGGTAAAGGAGATTATGGGGTTGATCAAGCAAGAACGGAACTTGTCAGTCTTCTCTTCGATCTTCTTGCTTGATGAGAACGGGTTCTCTGTTTCTTGTTGTCTTCATGACCTTGCTTGTGAGCGGCGCCTTGCCCATGACTGGGCTCCATCATATGACCATGATCGTGTCGTGACTTTGAGCTTGTGATGAGCTTGCCGCCATCAATCACAAGAACTGGATGTTCTAACCCACAACCTGGCAAATATGATGATTATGATCCAAGAGATTTCCTATGTGTTGATGACCAAGTCAAGCCCCATGCCATGTGCGTCGTGCTAGCGAATACCGTCGTTGCAGGTGACGCTGTCAAGGGGTGGCCCACGCACGAATTGAGCTTGTTGGCAGAGAGGGACCATGTTGCTTCTGCTGGAGTATGCGCCATCATTGTCGTTGGCAAACCTCGATGTGATCATAGAGTTTCTGATTTCATTCTCTTTTCGCCGCCGTGGCTAACCCGAGTTCTTCGACTTATCTTCTTGTTCTTCATGCTCCGCAGCACCATTAGCCAACAATGCAGCACGCTCATCGTCGTCGATGACTGAATCGTCTGAACCTAGGGCAGCGGCTCCCCAATGCTCAACGTCGACAATATGTGTCTCGCCGAGCTGCTCCTTGACGATGTGGACCATTTCATCGATTGCACTCAGAAGGCCGACCATCGCACTAAGGACAACACAGTACTTTCGAAATCCTTCTTCGTCTTCCTCGAGTGCTTGTCTAGTGATGGGGCCGAGAAGTCGATTGAATTGCAGTTGTTCACCCTTGTCACTTTTCACCCATGTCGTCGCAGCCTGACGATTCCATCCAGCTCCGGGTGCCGTCATGAGACCCGGTCCTGACCCAGTGACGCCAAGGACTCGATCACGAAACGCTCTGACCATCAATGGGGCGGGAAGGACGCTGGGCAAAGCGTGTCCGCTCTCCAGACTATGGCTCAACAGACTCATTACGGCCATGAAATCACCGACAAATCTTTCTTCGAAACAGCCGCTCAACAGAAGGAATCGTTTCTTGAATGCTGGTGGCATTTGATGCGTGTAATAGAAGAGCTGGAACATGTCAAAATTGACGTTGGTGGCGAGAGAAGTCAGACGAGACAGCCCGTCTGCGGTGAAGTCGGTGGAAGAAAATTCAAATTTAAGGAGTTGGATGGGGCCCAGGATGGAAGACAGAGTGTCGGCGGTGGTGATGGTGTCTTTCTCTAGCGTGCTGAGAAGGGGACTTGATGTGATGATGTTGCGGAGAGTGGGCAGAGGTCGTAGCTGAAGAGGACGGCCGTCAGGACCCTTTTCTGAACGGTCGAGTTGAATGTTTGTCGTCACTTCCTGGATCAACAAGGCATATCGATCCTCGAAACTCGACACTGTTCGCGACAGGACCCTGCGGTAATGACGGCTTGCGGATTGTGGTCGTGGGAAATAGGTGACAACGGCAGAAGCGGCGAAGCCGACCAGGACGAGCAGGGTTCTTCGCCAAAAGACCGCGTAGCCGACTCCGGGGTGGCCATAGGTGCGCATATGAGTGTCAACCCAACTATAACTTACGGTGAGATATGCAGTGACGGCGGTCAGGATCACCGCTTGCAACAATGCTGGGGACCCAAACAGCCGCATATACATGAAGAAAATACACAGCGGGGCCATGATGGCTGCGATTCCGTATGGATTGCCAGATCCGTTGCCAGCTCCAATGTACCATGCGACCATTCCGAGCACACCGCCAAGTATGGTGCCAATGACACGGCTAAGGACGCCCCAAAGAAAGTCGGCGGCATAAGGAACCAGGCCTAGCTGGCCCATGATCAGTGCCCACAGGCCTTTTTCACGGTAGTAAAATCCAGAACTGGAGGGAAGAGCAGCAGGGATGGCGAGGGCGATAGTGACGATCACAACACGAAGGGCATAGATGCCGGCGGTGTTGGAGAACCAGTGAGTGATAAAGAGAATAGCTCGGCCCAAACGACTGCGCTTTTTCCCGCGTTGAAGTCGGATGAACGCGAGCTGATCGGCAGGATTGATGGGCACATCGCCCTCGCCGTTGTTTCCAGGGGTCGTAGACCTCTTTTGGGCATTCCGACGGCGAGGCTGAGACTTCTTCGTCTCTTTTTCCATTTCAGGGATCACAGCAGAAACTCGGGGCACTTCTTCATTGCCAAAGATCCAGACACCGAGATTCCGTAGACTCTTGGGCAACCACAGCTGCTGCTTGGTTCGTTCTTCCTCCAGGGCGACAATCTGAGCCAACAAGTGAACCAAAGCCCTGGCGAAGCTAACGATGCGCTCTTCCAAGATAAGACCCAAGACAACACCACGTAAGGGAGCAACACCAAGAGACGGGGGGGGCTCAAGGATACCGTCCTTGTTGAAAAGATGTGCGTGCGGATCGAGGATCCTGGCACTAGTGGTAGCCAGGAAGACGTCGCACTCTGCTCGCAACGTCTTTAGGACGACTTCATGTCGCTGATGCATGGCTTGATAGGCATCTGGAGATGGACGGCCGTACCATTTCTTGCCGTTCACCAAAGTAATGGTCTCGACGGAGGCTTCCAACGCGGCATTACAGGCTCGAAGGAGGGGCTCGGCGGATTGCTGGAGAGCTGCCATGCTTTTAATGATCAGCTCCTCGGTCTCTGTATTGCGGAATAAGTGTGCAAAGTCCAATTGCTGAGAAAGCTGATGGTGGCCAATTTTAAATTGGACTTTGTTTTCACTCCGTTCCTTTTCATGGTCATGAAATTTAGCGGTGCGGTCTATAGACACGCTGCGGGTAATTTGTGTCTCGATGAGCGCTGCCCAGGTGATGAAAACCAGGCGGAGAGGCTTTTTGAGGAGGAGAATGTCATCGGTGTTCCAACGACAGACTGAGATGTCAAGTGGTAAGAATGCCAGGCGTGCATCAAGAGTTTTGAAAGCGGTTATGCCTTGGGCTTTTGCTTTTCTTAGAGCTGGTAGGGCCATGGGTGCTGCTGAGTGATCGAGACTGATGCGACAAGCATCGACAAAGGCGACCATGGGAGTGAGAACTTGCTTAACATTGTCCAAGAAGATATGAGAGGTTGACTCTGGAAAGAGGAAAATGTTGCAAACCAAACCAACACCAATAGCTGTGGCAGCGGGCTTGATTAATACCTGAGGAACTTTGCCATTGAAGAAAGGTAGCAGCGGGCCACTGGTGAGAAAGACATCGGAGATCACGATGCCAAAGATTTGAACTGCAACGAATTTGGGGTTGCCAGCTCGAACTCGGGACTTGTGAAAGAATGGTTAGCATGGGAGAATGGTGACTAGCACAGGGGTCGGTACCAAGAAATAGATAAAAACACAAATCATGACATAGTAAACAGCGGTGACTCTGGCATCAAGCATGAAACCATTCAATACCAAGACCTGGCTATATGTTGTCGAACCCCAGGATGACGGAGGGGGACTGGTATTGTTCTCCACGGCTTGCTGGAGTTCGAGTAAACGGGCATTAGTGTCGGCCGCGGGACGAGCTGCGAGGGCTGCTTTCATAGTGATGACACCCCATGCCCATGCAATACCCATACCGAGGACCATTGTGGCGCTGATCAGGAGTTGGAGGAAGACTATGCCCGACGGTGGCACAATAAGAAGAACGATGCAGCCAAAGAAGAGGGCTTGACCTTCGGCTCTCAAGACAGGGTCGATGACGATGAAAACGGTGATGATCCATAAAGCGACGGAGCATTTGAACAGTTCTTTCAAATCCTTGGAATTGAGGTGATCAAGGACATTCTTAAGCCTGAGAGACTTAGATGTGGATGAGTTGTCCGTGTTGGCAAAGAAGGGATTATTTTCGAAGGTCTCATCAGGGGAGTTTTGGGGAAGTGGAGGGTCCTTCTCTGCGAAGCCATCTTGATTCTGACCGTGATCGCTGTGGAGTGACATGTTGGGTAAATCAGGATGTGTCTATTGAGCTCAAACTTGAGAGGAGATGGCTGGTGAGGGCGTCTTCCTGTCTGCTAAGAAGCTCCCATTGAGATAGTAGGGGAGGTGGCTTGGGAGCGTGACTAGAAGAGACAGTCTAGTCCAGCTGCATGAAGGTAAGATAACAACGTCGCGATATAGTAAGCGGATTGGATTTAATTATCGAGAGAACTCATTCGACTGATGGATAAGGTGATGGTAGACAATGAAGAGCTGAAGAAGGAAGGAAGCTTCAGAGCTGAAGTGCATGAAGAGAAGTGTCAACAAGGTTAACGCGGTGGGGGAATGAGATTGCGGAAGGAACGGGAGTGTGTGTTTTCATCTTGATGGGGAAATGATCAAGCGGAGGCCGAAGGGCAGCGAAGATCTGAAAGAATGAATGAAGATTGGAGACGAGAAAGCTGACATAATATGCAGCAGCTCGCTTCGAGTTGTCTCGCTTGTCGATCAGTACCTTAATCACTTAAGCCTTTCGGAGAATCGGGAGACGGGAGACTAGGAAGAGACGAAGGATGCTTGATCTCTCGACACGTCGTCATGTCGCCCGGATCTCTGGACTAAGACTGCTTCGAGTGAGCAGTACATACCTCGGTACCTAAGGTAGACACCTATACGGGTTAATAGTACTTGTAGTACCTTAAGGAGACACAGAATATATACCTACCTTAGGTACCTACCTCAGGGAGGTAGCACCTAATGTTAGGTACCTAACCTAATATAAACACACCCAACGTCGGGGCATGCCGAACGACTCGGAGGTGCTACTACCACCCATTAGGCCCGAACGACCGAAGGACCACTACAGGGCCACGCGGCCCTCACCCTTCTAGCCCGAGGGCCCCAGGGCCTGCCGACACCTAACTTTCGCTAACTCTCAGGACGTCGACAAATAGCATACAGAGAGGATGAACGAATGCACTGATAATAGCAGGGTTATCTCGCCCTACAGGAACTGTTTTGCTAATTAATTCTCTTTGCGAGATTTATTTCTCCCCAACAAATGGCTCGGCTGTATCCAGCATCGACTTCAATCCAAATGCCAACCCATACATCGCCCGTCAGGCCCGTTGTGTTGATCATTCCATCCCGCATGACTTGCAGAAGTTTTGTTCGGCTTCATGGAGGGCGCCCGCGAGTCCCAGGCTCACCGCAGAGAGCTGTTTGCTTTGTCCCTGGGAAGGCACCACCTCGAACGCTGTCAGGTACTGGTCATGCTCGATGTTGGGAAGGACAGCATCCTCGAAGCTCGCCACGGCTTTGGTGTTCGTGGTACGCCGATTCATGGCGGCTTTGAAATTGTAGCAGAGTTGTTGTCCCTCCGGCTTTGGGGTGTGGCTTACCGCGTCGTGTTTCCCCCGTCATCTTTTCTGGACGTTGTTGCGTTGGGCTGTTGTATCTAGTTGACGTTGGGGGACTGGGGTGCTAGCCTTGCGTTTATTGCTCGCAACACTTGTTGTGCCGGAGTCAATCAACTATCCTCAGGGATTGGAGGCGGAATGCTGTCGGAACCCTAGTTGATGGCATTCTTTAGTTCCATGAGGATGAGAGCAGCCTTGTATATTTCCGCCTCGTCTCCGTCTTTGGCTTGGGGTGAAATCAGGTTCTCAATTCCCATTCTGGTCTTGATCTCTGCTGGACTGCGAGAGATTCTGGTGATGGGCTCCAGAGGCTCAACTTCAACTTGATAGTCACCACTGGCCGACTCCAGCGGTGAAGAGAGACTCTTGGGCATCCTAGTCATCCAGTCGGTGTTGAGTAACCAGTCGCCCCTGTCTTGGTTTCGTGCTTCTCGGCAGTTTTTGTTTCGGCATGGGCTGTTAAATGGCCCAATCGCTGATTTGCATCTGTTTCAAGAAGCCATGTTTGATGCTTCCTAGATGAAAGTGTCGTTAGCCTTTGGTGAGAATAATGACATTTATCTAAGGGAGATTACCGATGCTCGTTCGAAGAGAGATATCTGATCGTTGCCGAAGAGAGATGTCTGACTGTTGGTCCGACTGCTGGGCAGGAGCGCTCTGAAATTACAACAGATGGCAGGTTGGCACCTGGGTTGGTCTCCTGCAGCTAGGTAGACTTAGCTCGCTCCTTCTCTCCTGGCGAGATGAGAATAGATAGATTGACAGAGAACTTCAACACTGATAGTTCTCGAAAAGAGGTGCTTGATAGATCTCAAAGAGTTATACCCACTGTCTGATGCTGAAACACACCACCTGATTTGCCACGATAAACCTTCGGAGAAATGCAGAGCGCTGAGAGCAATGCTTCAAGTGAGTATAGCAAGAAGAGATGAACAGGCAAGGTAGACAGTCAAAAGAGCCTGTCTTATACCAACTTTAGATAGTGGGACCAGCCAGTCAAAGCCCCCTCGACCAGAAACCAATAGAATCCAGATATCTCCAGGGTTTCGCGACTCCGTCGATGCTGGTCCACACCTCTCTAACGCATAGGTCATGAGCAAAGGTCCAAATGCCTCTATAGACATTAGATCCGGCCAAAAATGGGGCAAACCACGACTGTAGCGGAAGTCAGTGTCGAAGAGCCTCACGAACCATGTCCTTCCGTAGTCGACGGGGAAATTTAATCCAATTAAACCATTGGCGGTCCCGGAAAAGGATTGGAACCACCGCAAAAGTACAAAAGGCAATGATCCATGATTGAGTTCCCTGCCCAAAATCGCTCGCATGACCAGCCATATGGTGGGTCGCCGTCCCGACTCCTGTTGCTTAATCGTCCAGCATCATGTTTGCCAATTGTACCCATTGGCACATGACTCAGTGGAGACTGCTGCATGTTCCTTTTTGAAGTCTGCCTCAGACTCGGTGGACCGGACGAGGTGTGTCATTTTCGAAGTGCGTCCTCACGGTTCCAAATCATCAGTTAGAATGGGACCAGGAGGCATGATTCGTGAATCAATTCGCCTCAATTGCATTGAACTCGGAAAGTAACGCAAGCGCTAGTGATTCTAGCATTGACTCGTCCGTATGAGATAAGATTGATCAATGAAAGAACGTTTCATACCATGATGCCAGTTGTAGCTCATAATACACAATTGTACTTCTGGTATGAAGTTGAAGTTGAAGTAGACCAACAAGACCCACAGATCTACAAATAGCTTGGCTCCCACGGCTCCTGAGGTGGATGCGACTCTGATTGGCCCAGGGAATCTACGTCGACGCAGACATTACTCCAAGCGCAAAAACGCAGATCAATCACGTGAAAGAAAACCATAGCGTTCTATCTACAACAAGATGGTCATGAATTCTAATAGAAACAGTGACTATGTGGAATGGGGCCCATCCTCGTACTGAAGCCCTCGGGATCTCTCGCCGAAGTGGACCTGGCTGTACTCCGTACACCTCTAAAGGGCGTGAGCAGATACCATGCCAAGTCGCCAGGGTCATTGCCTCATCCTCTCTGCGATCTGCTCTATCCCGCATCTGGCAATTCTACCCAATTCGGCATCGTCTCCAATTTACTTGCCATTTCCAAGACGTGCTCTCCAACTCTCATAGAACTGTCTATAAAATGTCGACTCATAATCATCCAACCCAAGGGGGAAAGTTCTTCTTTATCAATTGTGCATCTTTGTGTCTATCGATCCCATCCATATTCATCGTTGGCGTAAAAGTGTTACTATTTGAGGCTGTTTAGCGTTGTAGCCCATCCAAACATGGCTCCTCGCACCCCACTTAACTTCCTGCTCGCCATTTTCCCTGGCTACCAATTGCTCGATCTTGCTGGACCGATGGACATCTTCAACATCCTCTCCCTCGAACAGCCAGACACAGAACTCACTTTGACTTTTATCTCTGACACTCTGGACCCTGTAGCCTCGAAGCCACTACCACGAAAGAACGCAGCATGGTCATTTGACCTGGAGTCCGCGTTCCCCCATACCAAAGGCAAAGTCAATACAACATTCAACCAGTATTTGACCCCAGATACGACATTCGACGAGTACCTCAAGGCAGCCGAGGCCGGCGAGCTCAACCAAGAGGGTCGGCTCAAACCCGTCGATGTTTTGTTCATTCCGGGGGGCTTCGGGTCGAGGGTGCAACGAGTTCATCCTGACGGGTCCAAGACATCAAATGTCCAAGCATTGGTTGACTTCATTCCAAAAATAGCCCCCCATATCCAGGAGGCCATCATAACTGTCTGCACCGGTTCAGATATTCTCGCCCGGACAGGGTTACTGGACGGCCGCCGAGCCACTGTCAACATGTACCGGTTTCAGAGCGTTGTTGAGCAGAACCCGACTGTCAAATGGCAGAACTGGGCCAGATGGGTGCGCAGTCAAGCTTCAGAGGCAGGTGACAAGGGGGTTGCAGTGGACATATGGTCCTCAGCGGGTGTGAGCGCCGGTATGGACGTGACGCTAGCCTTCATCACTCACCATTACGGAGGTCTCAAAGTGTCAAGAGAAGTGGCCAAAAAGCTCGAGTATGACTGGCGAGAGATTGAGGAAGCTGCTGTGGATCCCTTGTACATCAAACATTACGCAAAGTAACTTGCATACGAACCATAGTGTCGAAGGTTCTCAAAAACCCGCAGAGAATCAAATGAGCACTATTGTCGTCTTGATTTTGTGTGGACCCAGTTTCTCACCCCCGCCCCACTGTAGTCCGACCTACCTAATGTTTGCGTCCAGCAATTGGCCAGCTCCTGAAGGTTGGCATTGTGAACACAGGATGACAGGCAGCTCTTTGAGTTCCATGAGGAGCACTGGGTGGATGCTCACAAGATTGTGGATCGACCCAAAAGAATTGGGCTGGAGACTAATCGACGCTTGTGAAGTGAATCAGCGTGAGCTCACACATACTTTCTGACATTCATTGCTCTTCCAGGGCCATGTTCCAAAATCTTTTCGTTGTGTCTTGAGGCAATGAGAGATATTTGAAGATGTCGTAGTATGGGAGAGGGGAGAGGGGACCCTTGCAAGTGTTTCCGGGGAGAGCAGATCGACGGATAAGTCTGGAGTCATCGGTGGTAGAGGGGATTGACGACATCATCCACAGTGAACTTCAGGGAAACGGAGAGGTGTGCAACAAGGGCTGGAGCATATCCTCCGGTTGACAGTGGGATCAGAAGGAGGTCGAGAGTAAGGTCAGAGAAAGTGCAGGATCAGGCCAAGCACAGTCGAACACTATGCTAGTGTCACTTCTGCTGTGATCTGATCGCTTCGCCGTAATGTCATTTCTTCCACTTTGCCCTCTGGACTGGCAGCCACGGAGTTGTAGCCTGTTCAGGCCCTTAGGAGGCAGTGACGATGCTGCGGGAGCTTTAGAGCGTAGAACCTCTGTCCCTATTCTTCCAAGCCTGTCAATCCTGTGATCGCCGGAGAACGATAAGATATTTTGTTTGAGTAGTTTTCTATCATTTCAACGTAGATAGGTGCTTTCTTTCGATGAAGGCATTGATGTCTCTCTGCTCGAGAAGGTCGTCGTTATTCACACAATTATGTGTCGACACGTAATGCTGAGAATGTACTTGCCTCTCTTTCCCTGAGAGCTCTTTCTAGCCAACACGAAATCACGTAGACCTCTTCATTTCTGCAATACGGAGAAGTAGAACAGAAAATTGGATTTTATCGACGTCGTGTTCTCAACCTTGTCCACTAGATGTCCTTGCATTTCTCGTCTTTCTCTTCCAAAGTCATGTGATCTGCCTGTAAATCTTGATTCAATCTTAGAAAAATGATACCTTCCTTACATTTGTGGCGGATCCCTTCTGAGGTCATGCACTGGCTTATTTCCGGTACATGACCTTCCCAGTCCGACTTGAAAAGGACGATTAAATATCGGTATTCTGTTGCGATGCATCGGGTTCAACCTGCCAGGATGCATCGTATTTGTACCTGGCAAAGACATTATTGAAGTGGCATGAAGTCCCTTTCGAATTTGCCTATTGAGAACTTCTGCTCTCACCTGCGCAACGATCGGTCGCCTTAACTGTGACGAGTATTGGCGTCGTCCAATTGAAGAATTCCCAAGAGTTGTAATTGAATGATTGACTTGCATCTGAAAAGGTTGAATATCACCGTAGCACGGTGGGCCATAGGCGCCCGGAAAAGCCAAAGGAGCCATCCACTGTGCGGTCGGCCGTGATCGCCAGCTACAAACAAGCCACCCAAGCCTGGAGGCTAAAAGTCTAGGTGCCTACGAGAGGTAGGTGCCTTAATTGTAAGTACCGAGATACCGAGATACCCACCGAGACGCCCATCTCCCGGCTCACTCTGCAACCATCTCTGTCATTATTGGCAATACATGGTTCATTCTTGACGTCGTGGAACACAGGACTACTTTCCCATTGGTCTAAATCCTTCGGCTGAAGCAGAGAGACCAAAATTATTCTCACACAGTACTCTCGGCACGATAACACAACGTCGCCGTGGAGGTAGTACTCGTTGGATGATCAATGTCCACGCCATGATTGGCTAGATCAACCTCGGGCGTGTGCCCGGTAGGCATCTCGGAACCTCGTAGTTCTCTCGAATCTATCTCCCGAGATAGTCTCGGAACCTCATCTCTCTGTTCTGTTCCCCTCCCCAAGTTTGGTCTTTTGGTGACGCGTCGGCCTTTCGTTGTATGTTGTCGATGTGTGGCAGCGGCGAGGGTGGTGCAAGACCAACACAATGAAGCTATTGACAAGAATACCCTCTGTCTTGTCGACATCTTTGTATTCAAGACCACTACAGCAAACGTCATGGATGTCCCGGCCGCAGATCAGACGGTTCCATCAGCGGAGGAAAGCCACAACATCATCAATAAGTGGTCTGGGAACAAAATATCAGGTTATAGACCATCAGTATGATGCTCTTGTCCTCGGTGCTGGTGGTGCTGGTTTGCGTGCCGCCGTTGGCCTCACCGAAGCAGGTCTTGACACCGCTGTGGTGACCAAACTATTCCCTACGAGATCTCATACCGTGGCAGCTCAAGGAGGAATCAATGCTGCTCTAGGCAATATGACCGAGGATGACTGGAGATGGCACATGTATGATACCGTCAAAGGCTCTGACTGGTTAGGAGACCAGGACGCCATCCATTACATGTGTCGTGAAGCTCCCCGTGCAGTTCGTGAATTGGAGGGATATGGAATGCCCTTCAGCCGGACCTCAGAAGGCTTGATCTATCAGCGACCTCTCGGTGGACAGAGTTTAAAGTACGGCGAGGGAGGGCAGGCTTATCGAACAGCGTGTGTGGCTGACAGAACTGGCCATTCGATGCTGCACACCCTGTACGGGGAGGCTTTGAAGCACAACTGTCAATTTCACATTGAATGGTTCGCACTAGATCTCATCATGGACGGCGAAGATTGCGTCGGCGTCACAGCTCTTGACATGGAGACGGGCACTTTGCATCGCGTATTTGCCAGAAACACAATATTGGCCACGGGTGGGTATGGACGGGCTTATTTCTCCGCCACTTCGGCGCATACTTCGACTGGTGATGGCTTCGCAATGGCTTCTCGGGCCGGACTGCCCCTCCAGGATATGGAATTTATCCAGTTTCACCCCTCAGGAATTTGTAAGTCTGTTCAGCAGCCGCTAAAGCACCCCCTTGGAATGATGGAACTGACTCTGGCGATACTCAGATGGCGCAGGAGTTCTCATTTCAGAAGGCGCAAGAGGAGAAGGAGGGTACCTCTTGAATGGACAGGGAGAGCGTTTCATGGAGCGATATGCACCAACGGCAAAGGACCTTGCCAGTCGCGACGTTGTGAGTCGAAGTATGAACATGGAGATTCGAGAAGGAAGAGGGTGTGGACCTGATAAGGATCACGTATTCCTCCAACTCTCTCACCTACCCAGAGATGTGCTCATGGAGAGGTTACCTGGCATTGCAGAAACAGCCAGCATCTTTTCAGGAGTTGATGTCACGAAACAACCAATTCCCGTTATCCCTACTGTGCATTACTGCATGGGAGGTATCCCCACGAATTGGAAAGGACAGGTGCTTCGAGTAAACACCGAGGCCGGCACAGAAACACCAGTCAAAGGGCTCTATGCTGCGGGAGAAGTCGCCTGCGTCAGTGTTCATGGAGCGAATCGCCTTGGTGCGAATTCTTTGCTTGACATTGTTGTCTTTGGCCGTGCCGCAGCAGGTCACATTGCTGAGAACAATGAACCTGGAATGCCAATCTTCAGAAACGGTGGACAGGTAGACTCGGAAACCGGCATGGAGGGATTCCGAGACCTGGAGCGGTTTCGCAATGCCAACGGTAGCAAACTCACCGCCGAATTACGAGGCGACATGCAGAGGGCCATGCAAACCGACGTGGCCGTATTCCGCAATGAAGATAGTCTCGAGACTGGTCTGAAGCGTTTACGACAGGTTGAGGAAACCTTTGTCAATGATGTTTGTGTCAAGGACAAGTCGCTGATCTGGAACTCGGATTTGGTGGAGACCCTGGAGATGCGCAACCTTCTCACCTGCGCAGTGCAGACAGCAAAAAGCGCGCTGGACAGGAAGGAGTCTAGAGGAAGTCATGCAAGAGAAGACTTTCCGGACAGAGACGATAATCAGTTCCTCAAACACAGCTTGAGTTGGCAACAGGACGTTGGCAAGGAGGTGCGAGTTGGTTATCGAGACGTCGTGATGAATACTTTGGATGATTCCGAGTGTAAATCAGTACCTCCGAAAAAGAGATCATATTAGACTCATAGTCTGTAATGAATGCAGAGATCTTGCATCGTGCCCACTTGTCAAGCAGCGTCACTCGAGTAAAGGATGTCAAATGTTTGCCATTACATAGTCATGCTGTACTTTGCTGCAGTTGTGTATATGATCTACCGTAAATACTTAGGGCGGACCTCATGCTCAATGAGCCGCTAATATTTTCCTTTTCGGAGTCGTAAAAGTCGTGAGCCAGCACTCATCCTCTACCTTGAACTATCACAGCCATCTCCAGAGAACCTCCAGAGAACAGCACATATGGGTTTCTAGCATTCGAATCTCTCCTTAGCATGCCTCCCAACTCATCGACCCCCCTCCGGGCAGCCTTTGATGTGCTGCGACCCGTTAGACCCCGTCCGCTGTGCAAATGCCTCAACTCTCAATCTCTCCGACACAAAGCTCCCTCCGCCTCCACCTCCCGCCATGTCTCGACTGCGAGTCCCAATCTCTCTGAAATGGAGGTTGATGCCCAGCCATCCCCGCGATGGGCGCAGACGCCTCCTTCAATGAAGGCACCTGTAAAGTCCCGATTAATCAACCCCGATGTTACTCCTCTCGTCTGCAATTCAGATCCGCGCAGGCTGGACGACATGTATATACGGTTTCTGGGGAAAGGAGGCGATAAACTTCTATCGGATGAAGTCAAATGGCTTGCAGTTACAGCAAAGAGCTTTGATCATGGCCGGCGTGGTTTCAACGATCGGTTGGCGTTCTTGGGTAAGTTGAGAGACAATATCCCAGTCTGGATGAATCACTAACAGGCGGCAAGGCAAGAGAATACTAGAACTACAGTGCTCACTGGGCCTGTTGAGTATGACGGACGATGCGAAATTTTACCTGAAAGATGCCCAGCATGACCCTTTTGGGCGAGAACATTTCAAACATCCTGCAACCAATGCTGTGGAGGTTATTTCTGGCGGCAGCCGGCAGCATTTCACTCATTACAAGTACCTAGCAAGCGTGGCTAAACAGTATGGCATTCCAGAAGTTGTCCGATGGCATCCCAAGAAGGTGAGTTGATCGTGACATTCTGCGATGGTGTTTGTGAGAGCTAACAATTTGCAGCCCGACAATCTGGTTGCATCTGGGTCTGAGGTGATCCACGCTCAAGCACTGGCAGCGATCATAGGCGCCCTGGCTTTGGAACAAGGCAGTGCTGTAGCGAACCGAATAGCGAAAGAGAAGGTGCTCATGCTGGGGTCAAAAAGATACATCAAGGAAAGCAAGGCAGAAGCAGCCTGAAGATGGGACTGCGCATAATTTGTGTGCGACACTCTCGACACGGCCAGAAGCTCGTCCATGTATCAACACTGCATTCTATCATAGATATCTCGTCATCAAACTGTATGGAGCCTCTGACACCGCCTAAGCAACAGTTGACCTCGCAGAGAGATCAAGTACTCAGCCAGCTCTTATGGCGCCTTCTTGATAAAATCGTTTGATCTGCGCGTCTCTAAATCGCAAAGTCTGGCAACTGAAAGGCCCATGTCGTTGCAACAGAATGTCACAAGTCAATGAAAATGCTGCATTGCACTGTCTTTTGGACGCGGATGTAGGAGAAAAGAAAGAAGGGAAGACATTTGGGAATTCTGGCTGGAACATTTCAATTGCGCGCTAGTCTAAAGCTTGGCATCAGCATGCGGCGGACAATGATGGAAGGCAGTCACCGAAGTGGCCATGTTGCGCTCCTTCCTTCAATTCCACCTGTCTACAGGCATCCACCACCCACACAAAAGAATACCAGATCTGAGCGTTGACAATTCACCATATGGCTGCCGTAAAAATCAACAATTACACCTCTGCACACGACCAAATCTGAAGAAACCGTGCATATTCAAAGTGTCCTGAGGAACAAACTCGTCCCACCCCCTCCTCCCTGAGTGATCGCCCCTCGAACTGATCCCCCCCTTCTATCATGGCTTCCGCTTTGTTTTTCCTCGATCTCAAGGGCAAGGTATGCAGTCACCGCAATGATGTCTTGTTTCAAATACTGACATCTCTCAAAGACCCTTCTTGCCCGCAACTATCGAGGTGACATTCCCATGTCCGCAGTGGAGAAATTCCCTATCCTACTTTCAGAAGCCGAAGAAGAGTCCTCCGCAGTCCCTCCCTGTTTCTCTGACGAGGGTATCAATGTGAGTGAGGTCCAGAGATTGGCTGTCATCATGACTGACTGGGCTGCAGTACCTATATATCCGACATAGCAATCTGTACCTCCTCGCCCTTACCAAACGCAATACCAATGCCGCAGAAATCCTCCTTTTCCTCCACAAAATCGTCGAGGTGTTCACCGAGTATTTCAAAGAGTTGGAGGAAGAGTCAATACGAGACAACTTTGTCATCATATACGAGCTATTAGACGAAATGATGGATTTTGGCTACCCCCAGACAACCGAGTCGAAAATCTTGCAGGAATACATCACGCAAGAATCCCATAAACTTGAAGTCCAAGCCCGACCGCCTATTGCTGTCACCAATGCTGTCTCGTGGAGAAGTGAGGGTATCAGATATCGAAAGAACGAGGTCTTCCTGGACGTTGTCGAGTCACTCAACCTTCTCGTCTCATCTACCGGCAACGTCCTACGTTCGGAGATCTTGGGTGCGATCAAAATGAAATGCTATTTGTCTGGCATGCCTGAACTGCGCCTGGGGCTGAACGACAAGGTTATGTTTGAAACTACCGGCAGGGCTACACGCGGCAAGGCAGTGGAGATGGAGGACGTCAAATTCCACCAGTGCGTTAGATTGTCGAGGTTTGAAAACGATCGAACGATAAGCTTCATCCCACCTGATGGCGAATTTGAGCTGATGAGCTACCGACTAAACACGGCGGTCAAGCCGTTGATCTGGGTGGAAGCAGTCGTCGAGAATCATTCAGGATCACGCGTCGAATACATGCTCAAAGCAAAAGCACAATTCAAACGGAGGTCAACCGCGAACAACGTCGAGATTATCATTCCAGTCCCCGACGATGCAGACAGCCCAAGATTCCGGACCAATATTGGATCGGTGCACTACGCTCCGGAAAAATCTGCAATCGTGTGGAAGATCAAACAATTTGGCGGCGCAAAAGAATTTCTGATGCGAGCGGAATTGGGGCTTCCAAGTGTTAAAGGCGATGACGAGAGAGGTGGCGGCATGACAGGAGGCTTCGGAGGCAGCATGGGTGGCATTGCAGGCGAAGGCAAGGCTAAGAGGCCCATTAACGTCAAGTTCGAAATCCCCTATTTCACCACCAGTGGCATTCAGGTCCGGTACTTGAAGATTATTGAGCCCAAGGTAAGTGTCTGGTGCCTTTCATCAAGCCACGTCTTTACTAACATTACCAGCTGCAATACCCTTCTTTGCCCTGGGTCAGATATATCACTCAGTCAGGTGATATTGCTGTACGTCTTCCAGATGTGCAGACCTGAGGATTGAATGTCACTCCAGGTGTCGACCCATTACATCTACCATTTTGTGGAAGACCCTCTCCTCCATCCATGGGCTAACTGATCAACGTTCCGTTTGGAATACTCGCGTCAGTTGCTGCCATTCTCTTGACAGACATGACAATTGTCATCCTTTGCAACCACACTCGAATGAGGAATCCCAAATCTGTCATCAAGGTGCTAGGCCGACACATCAGTGATCAGGCCTGGATCAAATTGCTCCCTCCGGAACTCAATGGAGACAAAACTCGTCCCTTTAGTCCCTCTCCCAAGTACTGGCTCTTTGACCTCCCATCACGCATGTCCGGCCACTTTTGTGGATCAATATAGATGTCATGCAGCCCCGGGAGAGTCATTCTGGACCATCAATGAGGTTGCTGATAGGGAAGAAACCACACTATAGGAATGCCAAAAACCCATGACCATGATGCACAAACACACATGGGTCCTGAACAGAGATCATCCACTACCCATTACTCTAAGCTAGGATCACCCACTATGAGATGCAAACAATTGGTGTAGTTTGCGATCGCCATGCACGAGATGCGATACCGACGCAGAGCTTGTCCACATCCCAGGATTATATTCGGATGGAGGAATCCCATGTCCACGTCCCATATCTGCCCAGTGATATAGTCAAGTACCGGGGCCGATTTGGTGAATGGCGACACTTCCTTGTTTTGATCGTGGCAATGGGAACGTTGCTCCTTTGTGTCCCACTAGTTTCCTTGAAGAATGAGTAACGGCGTGTTTCCCTAACAGTAATCATAACATCCTGAAATGCAAAGTTGGCACGTTGGTGATACTGATTGCACGTGACGTGGTATTCCAATTTCAAATGACGTCAATCTTGAAGTCCAACGCCAGAAAAAAAGATTCACAGATTCGAAGCCTCAAAAACTCGAGATCTCTCGCACCACGATCATCTCCCAAGCACAATAATAACCTGATAGGCTAGGACAGTGACGAGATATCTATGAGGAAGAGAGTAAACGAGTCTTAACTCCTCTGAATCGAATCCTAGCCCACGCACCCACGACTACATACAAAACCACAGCCCAGCGCAATCATCATGCCGACCGCAACTCTCCCTACACCCACGCCAGAGGAACTGGAGGACCTGATCTATTTCTCACGTACAGGGGACGTGGAGTCATTAAAAGAGACGATAGAGGCAGTGAGCACAAATCATAAATCTCCTGCGTCAGTGATACTGGCATCGGCGATCGACATTGACGCCGATGGACTGGGGTCACAGGCCTCGCTACTACACTATCCAGCAGCCAACGGCAATCTCGAGGCTGTGAAATATCTCCTTTCGCTACTTGTGGTGGAGACGCAGCCTACTGGTGAGTCTACCTCGACAGAAACTCAACCTCCAGTCGACAAATCAGCTCCTCAACTAGTCAATCATCAGAACGTCAGTGGAAACACCCCGTTACACTGGGCCGCTGTGAATGGTCATCTTGAAGTTGTCCGTTTACTGGTCCAGCATGGCGCGGACCCGACGATTGTTAATGCTGCAGGGAGAGATGCCGTCGTCGAAGCTGAGTTCAGTGCAAGAGAGGGTGCGGATAAATGCGCGGAGTGGATGTTGAAGAATTGTGACGGGCTGGAAAAGGGTATTGGTGGAGGTGCTGGGGAAGGGTCAGCTGGTGAAAGAGAGGGAGATGATCTGGCCGAGGAAGAGGATGGAGAATCAGAAACGATTGACACCGCCGCCGACAAGCAGCAGACATGATGATGATGAAATGGGTTCTCGACTGGAAGATCATCCCCTGGGCTGTGTTCATGGATCGACCTTTTCGCACACAGCTGCAGGAGTCAATCAATGTATGCATCCACGCAGTGGGCTGTGTTTACGGGTCAAAGTCACCCAAACATGTCCAGAAAGCCTCCTTTACCAAGGCCACCGGGGTTGGTGACTCAACAAACAAATCATCCTGTCCCAACGGTAGACTGATCGGTCGATCCAACGGCGAAGTCAACAGGCTTCGCCGAATACTGCCGAATACTGGATCGCAGCCACATTAGTCTGAGCTGAGGTTAGCCATCTACCCATGATCGTGGTGTCGAATCTCGCCAAATCTCCGATACCAAGCCCGAAATAGCTCGCGCCGAGTGACAGAACAAGGTTCGGAGCGAGAAGATGTGGTAGTGGAGTCGAGTCTAAAAGGACTCTTGTGGTTCCCGCAGACCATAGGCACTGTATGTCGCAAATGTCGAACGTGGTCGGGAGTCAGGCCTTGCCCTGCGACTAGTGACGGCCTGTTCGGGGTCGCCGGCTGAACCGCCAATGGCTCTTGAGTCTACACTCTGCAATGAGCATGCATCAAGGGTGGCAATCGTCCCGCGATAGAATAGGAGGTTTAGCTTATGCTAATTGAAAGGCACCTGTCCTTTTTCTCTCTACGTCAGAGTCAGATCGGCCGTGGACTTGGACAGGGAAAACCACTGCAGCTGCGGCGACAGTTGGAAACGACAGTATCCGAAGTAGATTAGGCGAACAATAGGTGAACAATAGATATTTCATGGACGTGGATTTGACAGGCGTAGTCTGCTCACGTAACAACATAACGACTGCAAAAGTCATAGTATTGTACCTAGGTATTTTAGAGCGCTCAATTATATTTATCCAGAAAGGTACAGCATGATCCCTTGTAGGCAAAAAGGTCTCTATGCTTCACCACGCTTCTCTCCTCGACATGCGCACCTTGACCTCCTGTTTCGGACTACCGGTACCCGCGCTGACGATGCGGCCAGGATGCACCCATTTGCCGCCGTTGTCAACAGGCGTTATATCCCACTGAGAGACGATAGCGGCAGCAAAAAGGACGACCTCTCGCTCGGCAAAGGTCTTTCCTTTGCATGACTGCTTACCGCCACCCCATACCTTCATCGTGCCATAGTCGACTCTGATGGCGGAATAAGAGTCGTCATCCATATCGACCGCGACGGGTTTGCCATCTTGGTCCGTCTTTGTCCAAAACCGTCGTGGATCGAATCGCTCAGGGTTAGGCCAATATCGTCCGTCATTCTGGTGGACATTGTGTGGAATGCAGAGGTATTCGTCCTTGCCTAGGACGTAACTGTCGGCGTGCGCTTTTCCCAAAATTCTCGCATCTTCCTCGCTTTCGGACACGACAAAATCGGCTTCGATCTGCTTGTAGCTTACGGCTGCGGCTTCAATGCGCATGGTCTCGAAGAAGGCTGATTTGAGGAGTGGGCATTTTTGCCATAGGCTGTCAATGTCGATGGATAGGCGGGGTGCCTCGGTGATGGGAAGGCCGTTGGATGGTGGAGGGACGAATTTGACATAACGACTCACTTCTCGCCGGATATCGGAGAGAAGGCCCGGTGTTGAGTATATGTACCAAACTAGCCAGAAAATGACCTGGTTGGCATTGACATTCATGGCCTGGAACAGATTCTTCGGTTAGCGGAAATGGATATGGTCATGGGCAGGGGTCACAGCGTGGAGGATTTGGGAGGCGCTGGGCGGAAGTGTCAAGGATATTTGCTTACCCAAAAGATTGCAGCATCGCCTGTTGCAAAGGTGCGTGGATCAGCACCTCCTTTGCGAAACTCAATATAGCGATTAACGATTACTGAAGACACGTCGGACATGTCTGAGTAGTTGGGACCAGGATCTTGACCGTCGAGGTATCTTCCGAGAGCCTCATGGTGCTCTTGGACGGCATCGACGATCCGTTCACGTGCCGCAGTGGCGCCTCTCATGCCAGGGAGCCAAGTGGGGATGGCAGCGATGAATAAATTGAAGTGACCGTCCGTTTTCCACAAGTCAGGCAATATGTTTGGATTGTTTTCGGCAAATTGGTTGCCCATGAAGACTCTGGTAGCGATGTCGCCGACAAATTCGCGAAGTAAAGGGTGAAGACTGGCTTCAGCAATGAATGGATTCGTGCCAGTGCTGTCCCCGGCAGAGATGACCTCCACCTTGCCGGATCTCTCCCAGACCGATTGGTCGATGTAGCTGTGTGCACCAGAAACGAGATTCCAGGTTTTGGTCTGGACACCTTCTACGGCACCACGGATCGCCACCGTGACAAAGCTTTCTCTGACCATGATAGTCAGGGCTTTATGGACGTCACCCCAGAGAGCGGTCTGGTCCATCTTCTTCAAACCACCACGGTCGTCCCAAAAGTGTTTCATGATGTGAAAGACAAATGGTTCCATGGTGAGTGGAGCATTCCTGTCGAGAAGGGTTTGCTTTGCCGAGCTGGGGGATGTAAGAATGTTGTGCTTGGAACCCGCCATCCACAAGGCAAAGGTGGATGATGCTGGATCGAGGTTTCGAGCAAAGCTCTCAATCCAGAGAGGACCGCCAATTGCAAACGAAATTCCATGACCTAGCCATGGTATCCAGTAGCTAAAGGGGGAGAAGGGCATTCGTCAGCATTTTTGGCATGTGATTGAAGTCATGCGACCTGATTCTGTCAAGCAAGCAAGGAATCAAAAGTGAGGCCAATGTCAATGCATATATATTGCCTTTTTGGGCATGGGGCGACAGCATACCAAATAAGGAGCGCATATTTCGCTGACCAACAAGGTTAAGAAGTCAAGGTCAAACTTACGGCAATATAGGGACCGGAACAGTTGCCCCTGAAGAACTCCTGATCTTGGACAAAGTTGAGCGGTAATTCAGCTCAGTTATCAGTCTGGTCGAGAGGCATATGAAGACGAGGACTAGAGCAGCTGTCGCAAAAGGATGCTGGACGAGAAAGGGCGTGAGATGCAGGCTAGCCATCTTGACTGCTGAAGGCTGGCACTAAAGTCGCCGGAGAACAAGGCGGGGAGAAGTTGGGTTTCAACCTCTCATGCCTGATAGAACGTTTACTGTCTGTCTAGACAGAGGCGAGCAAAGGAAGGGAATCTTAAACAAAGTGGAAGATTGTATGGGCGGGTGGTGTCAGCTTTTTGATTACTTCTCAATATAGGCTGAAAAGACGTGGCTCTGAGACCCCTAGAAAATAGGTGGTCGTCTATAAAAGTTGATTGGAGGCCTGACATACATATGATTAGAGTGATTAGAGTGATTGGCGAGAAGTGAGTGGAAGGATTTGGGCTTGGAGGTTGAAGTTGGCCCTGCGGTGATCTTCGTTTCAGATTACGGATTACGGAGTACGTGTACCTGATGTGAAAATGATGGGAATCCGAAACCGAGATATTGTGGGGGTACAGCGGAGTACTCATACCTGATATGAAAATGCTGGGAATCCGAAATCGACGTATTATGGGGTCACAGCGGAGTACACGATCAACATACGCAAGGGAGTTGTGTACTGCGTAGTCATCCATGATTAATACTCGGTGACGAGGTGCGGGACAGGTTGGATGCATAGTTTTTATATTTCCAGTTCCCAGCGTCTAAAGATCTATGAAAACTACCCAATATATCAAATCATCTGCCATCAGACGGTGGGGAGAATTGTTTGATCGAAGAAGTCCTTATGTTCTGCAGTAATCGGACATTCGGGGATTCGGGTATTCACATCGCCCAGCCACGTGATATGTCACATTACGTGAGCATGCTGTGCAACGTCTCACCAGAACAACGACCATCTCGAGTGGCGACAATCCAGGTTCGAAAACATGCCTCTATCTCCCCGCCGCCGGCAATGTCTTCCTGTAGTAACATCCATGCATGACTCGCCAAAACCACTGAATGTCACGAAGATCAAAAGTTCGGCAATTGCATCTCGGACCTCATCTCCGGTGCAATAACCGCAAAACTGATGATGTTACCTCACTGTCGTGAATTGTGATGTCATGATGAAAACATGGTCTCTGCGGCATTGGCCATCATTGCATCAATGTGACCGAATTCCCACGCGTGATATAACGACGCTCAAATCACAGGTGAGTTCTGAGTAGATACTTAGATCACACTTATCGCAGGGAACAGCTTCGCAAAGTAGTCAATCCCTTAACTTTCCTCATTTTCTCCTTTCAATCTAGATAGGTATCCCGAGTTAATACCTCTTCGATTACTCACACAATGGCTCTCTCTCAAGCCGCCGCAAAAGTTGAACAGGCAATTGGACATACTGGCGATGCTACTACGGAACAGAACCTGAGCAATCCGGCCAAAGATCCTTCGAAATATGCCGATCCGTCAGGAGAGAAAATGAAGGCTTTGGTATGGAATGGCAAAAATGATGTCAAAGTCGTCGAGACCTTCAAGCCCGGTCGCGTCGAGGATACAGATGTGATTGTCAAAGTGACGGGCTCGACCATCTGCGGGTCGGATCTTCACCTGTACCACGGTGCGGTAGTGGAGTTGCAAAAGGGAGATATTCTAGGACATGAGTTCTGCGGTGTGGTCGACAATGTTGGACCGAGTGTTTCAAAGGTCAAGCCGGGCGATCGTGTTGTCTGCAGTTTCCAGATTGCTTGCGGCAGCTGTATGTATTGTCAGAAGAAGCTGAGCAGTCAGTGTGAAAGGACCAATGACAACACGATCGAGAATATCATGTATGGAGGACGAACCGCGGGTATGTTGGGATATTCACACTTTACGGGCGGCTACGCCGGAGGCCAAGCCGAATTTGTTCGTGTGGCATACGGGGATGTCAATCTTCTCAAGATCCCCGACAAGGTACCTGACGAACAAGCTTTGTACCTGAGCGACGTGCTGAGCACCAGTTGGAACTGTGTTGTCGACACGGGAGTCAAGAAGGGAGACGTGGTCGCCATCTGGGGAGCGGGTCCAATCGGACAAATGTGTGCCGATATGAGCTTCATGAACGGTGCGAGTCGGGTCATTATGATCGATGGCGGACCAGCCGCATGGAGACTCGACTACGTCAAGTCGAAACTGCCTAAGGTGGAGACGATCAACTTCTCCGACCTCGCCAAAGGAGAGAGCATCACATCAACACTCAAGAAAATGGAGCATGGCGGACCAGACGTGGCATTGGAATGCGCCGCTGGCGAGTACGCCAAAGGATGGGCACATTATTTTGAGATCCTACTCGGTGCCGAGACAGACACATCCGAGATCTTGAACGAAATGATCACCAGCGTCAAGAGCTTCGGCCGCTGTGGCGTCACAGGAGTGTATGTGGGATTCACCAATCACTTCAACATTGGCGGCTTGATGGAACGAGGCATTCGATTGATTGGTAATGGACAAGCACCGGTACATTTATACTGGGAGGATTTGTTGAAGAAGCTTCAAGATGGGTCCCTGGATGCCCGACATATGATCTCTCATCGTGTCAAGCTCGAGGAGATGGAAGAGCTGTACAAGAGATTCGATGCAAGAGAAATGGGATTGCAAAAGGTCTTTGTCCAGACGAGGTTCAGTCAGCCGCCGTCAGAGGGCACACCACAATTGACGGAATGGGGGACAGCATGATATGGAGGATAGATGGACATTGGTAACCATGGGTTGGGTCACTGAGGTGGTTTGGTATATGTGTGATTGAGTTATAGGTACAAGGTACATAATGTATTTAATCTTTTGGTGTCGTGATCATGAAGACATGGATCCTAACCACTGTAATTCTCGACAACGCATCCACGAAAACCACCCTATTACCTCGTCACCGTTCAAACACCAAAGTAGTACATTACGTCCACTTCCCGATAAGGTTCTCTGGTAGCTGTTTCTTTAATACGTGACCGAAAGAATCAGTTCAATACCGTCAGGTTGCAAGACTTCTATGACACCTAATGACACATGCCTGTATCAAGCGTATATTGTGATCTAGGCCACGAGTTGGTCCGAGAAAGGGGGGGGGGACACAGAATGGATTGAGAGTCTAGAGAACCTAGAGAACGCCATGCATGAGTACCTCCGTACTGAATTGATGTCAAGACGAGTAGATTGATTACATGGACGTTGCTGACAACAACGAGGAAATCTAGCCGGTAAACAATAAACACAAGTCAATAAACAATTGGTGGAAGAAAGTCGAGTTTATCTCTGTCGAGACAGAGATGGCTCGTGCTACCTTTACTTACTCCTTAGTTAAGAGTATAATTACGGGCGTACAGTACTAGGTACGTACCTAATCCACCCAGCACTTCAAACCCAAACACCAAGAATTAGGTACGTGAACTCCCTGAGGTCCCTCCGCTCAGGTGATGTAAAGATTACTTACCGTCCTTGAAATCTGTCACTACCCGTCAATAGTTTACGCGTGTAAATTTGCCCAATTAATTAGATTTGCCAGTGACCGACTACGGAGGTACCTAGACTTGACTGACGTCTGTAAATATGTACACAGTTCACCTACGGAGTAGTACCTACGGAGTACTGTACACAGTCAAATCGCACTAACTTACAACGCAGGGGCCTTCAACAATAACAAACCAAGACATGTCATGCATCGCGTTGCGAGATTAGGGAATACACAATACTCCGTACACTCAATATGGTTTTGTGTGGTGTTATAATTGAGGCCCGTGAAGGAGCCAACTCCCTGCGATCCTAGGCCGAGCGGTAGGTTTTGTTAGGCGCATTGGGTACCCGTGGGCTCGAGATTGCACTTGTTCTCTAGGTGCATTTCCTACCCACTATAGGGGACACATGTACCCATATCGATCCAACTACGAAGAGCAGCTCTCCCTTTTCCCTTTACAAAGTCCCCCATTCACTCTAAAAAAATGACGTCCCCTCCTTAGATGGACCCATCCCATCAAACAATCGATGCGAAGCGATGCGATGCCGATGCCCTGCTCTATCATATACTCCGTACTGTTACTGCATTCCCGACTGCATGGGATCATATGCACGATGCACGATGCACGATGCATCACCATTCCAAGGATCCCCTTACCTACTACTACTACTGGTGCATCCAGTGCCTCTCAATATCTTATCTGGTCCCTGGCACTCAGTCCAGATACTAACGGTGAAGTGAGACATGCAGACGACCAAAGTCCGTAGTACATACCTCATGACTTCATTATCCGTCCATTCATCCATCTCCAAAAATTACCAGGCTTGCCAGTACATCCTTGTCGCGTCTGATAGATCTGCAATCGGCATCTATCGATATCGATTTCTATTTCTGGTCCCAACTTGAATCATCACGATCATCCGTCCCATGCATTAGTCCACGGCTTGACCACACCTCAGATTCCCTCACTGATGCAAGCATGTACAAGCGTAAGCATATCTTCAAACAATGGATTCGTACAAATGTGGAAATGATAGCTATCAATAACATTCAAGAGGTTGGGTGCCAATAGACATCCCTCGTCGCCTGCAAGAACCGTCTCAATCTTTGATGCGCGAACCTTGGTTACTTCAAGGCCACGCAAAACGCCCCCATCCCACCGAGTAACAGTAGTACAATTTGTAGGAGACTCGCCACGAGGTCCCCGTCCAAACGCATCTAGTCACAAAACGCTTTGAAAATGCCCAGCAAACTCGAAAGAAACCGCTTCAAACCCCCTTGTCACATATATACCAAGGGGTTGACTCGCGACTCTTCACCAATTCAAGCACCTCTATAACCCAATTGTTTCCATGCCCTCTATTCACAAATCTTGCTCACTCGTTGTCGCCCTTCACAAAAGAGCTTCTCGGATGTATTGTCCAACGCCCTTGGCCTGTAGTAGTCATGTTAGAACGTGCTCATCAATCATCTCGAGGAAGAAACTTACCACTGGAGGCTTCATCATTGTAAAGTGATTGCCCTTGATGGTTACCATCTTGCACACCTCAGGGCTCAAGAGTTTGTCCCAACCATTGGGTCCAAAGTCGGTGCGGTTCTCCAACAGCCATTTCATGCTCTTTGGATCATCCGCTTGTGGGGGTGGTCGTGGGTCATTGGGCCCTCCGCACACACCGTCCGTCGCCCAGATCAGGAGCGTTGGTGGTGCCTTGAAATCGTGTGTTGACTTGAGCTCTGGTCGGTAGGCAGTCAATGCCTTGATGCTGTACTCGAAATGGGGCAGAAGCCAGTTGGGTGTCTTGCCTGTTCCAGTTCCCAACAATCCTATCTCATCGAAAAAGTGATGAAGGCGAGCTGGCAGGGGCTCCAGTCTGATCGGGCATGGAGAGTCGATCAATACCAACTTCTCGACGTAGTAGTTCTTGTCGGGGTAGATCTTGGCAAGATCGCTCAATTGTCTCGTCACCTCGTATGCCACCACACCACCAGCAGACCAACCGCCCAAGACATAGGGTCCAATTGGCTGTCGACGCATCACCTCTTCAAGGTAGAGCTTGGACACCCCTTCGATGCCACATGTGTAGCTCGTAGGGTCCTTCATGAAGGGGCAGTTCAGTCCATACACAGCCAAGTTTCTGCTGTCAATGGCAGGAATGGAAACATACGATGTCGCTGATCCAGATCCGTCAGGGAAGAGGAAAAGGTTCTTGGTGGCCGTCTTGGGGTTGCCTTGGAGAAGGACGGATGTAGCAGGAGGCATTTGTACCACCACCTGAACAGGGGGGGCTGCAGGAGCCACTGTCGTTTGAGCCACGAATGTGGTTGGCGCCGCGGCCTTTGGTGCTGGCGCAGCAGCAGGAGCAGCCACCGGAGCAGGCGCAGGGGCAGCCTTGGGCTTTGGCTTGTCCAGGCCCAGAGCAGTTCGCAAATGTCCCAGAGATGGATTGTCTGCAAGGATCGTGGGATCGAGGTCAATTTCGTGCTCCTCGCGAAGCTTGCCGAGCACAGTCAAGGCCATCAAGGAATCCATTCCCAAGTTGCTGAGATCGGTCGTGTCAGTGATCTCTTCTAGATCCATGTCCATTTCTTGGGCAATAACCACTCGAATGGTCTCGATCATATCCCCAGCAGGGGCACCCGCGCTAGGAGCTTGTGCGATGGCTTCAACTGCCGCAGACTTGGATTGCTGAGACTTGACAGGGAAATCCTCAGTCTCTGGTGTCGTGATTCCAGATTCCACAGACTCCTCGTCACTTTCCGAGTCGGAATCAGTGGATTCGACAGAGCTGGCATCACCACCGCCAACGTCCGCTGGCGAAAGACCACCCAGGTGTTTGCGAAGCTCGCCCACAGATGCGTAGTCAGTGAAAAGTGTGCTCTCCACTTCAAGATCAAGATCCTCTCGGAACTTGCCGGAAATAGTCAGAGACATCAGACTGTCCACACCCATGTCAGCCCATTGGATGTCGTCGTTGAGCTCGGACTGGTCAACATCGATTTCCTTGGCGATGATATCGAAGGCTTTGGTGACCAAGCTACCACTTGAAGCCTTCGGTGGAGAAGGTGCCTTGACCTTGGGGGCTTTGGCAGGCTTCTTCGCTTTCGGCGCCTTTGGTGCTGGAGCAGCGACTGGGGTGGGAGCATGAGCAACTGGAGCTGAGACTGGGCTCACGGCTTTCGCGGCAGCTGGTGCCGAAGTACCGTTGGTGACGGCGCCAGATGATTTGGGTGCAGGCACAAGCACACTCATCAATTTGCGAGGAATGCACTGGAAGCGAATGCCACCACCGACACCAACCACTTCCTTATTCTCGTTGAAGATGTAGACATCGCCTTGTCTCATTTTGCCGCCAGGAACAGGCTGCATCTTGACATATGCATGATAAGGCTTGTCATACTTCAATGGTTCCAAGAATCGGAGATTGCTCCAGCCATGGCTGATGTAGCACTCGTCTTGAGGATTGACGGTTGCGTTGACTGTGAATCCGGACAGATGGCAAGCACTGTCGATCAAGTATGGGTTGAAAAAGAAGTCGCCATCATTGGGGCTGGCCTTGAACCGGATGTTGCTTGTAGCCTCAAATTCTGGCCCATCAAAAACGACACTTTGCATACCTCTGTATGTCTCTGAATAGTCGACCAGGGCTGAGAACAGCTTGTACGCCATCTTGTTGCTGACTTTGTCGGCTTCCCCGTTCTCCATCTTGTGCTTGAGAAGGTCAATTCGCGATTGAATGAGGTAGGATGTCTTTGCCCATTCTGCCTTCCACACGTTGGGATCTTCGAACGTCAAGACACTCTGGGCATGAGTGATTTCCTTCTTGCCATTGACGGTGTAGATGCGGAAATCAGCCTTGTTGGCATCGAGATCAATCTTCATGTTGATGGTGAAGATTTGACTCTCAGGCACCTTAGGGTTCTTCAAGAGCAGTACGTTGGGGTTTTCCATGGATCCGATGTTGGCGTGGACCTTGTGACCAGGTTTCAGGATGTTGACACCATAGTCAACCAGGGTGAGTGCGATATCAGCGTAAAGAGTCGATGGGCACATGCCATTGCCATTGATCAGATGGCCAGCAATGACCGGGAACAGCTTGGGGTGAGCGAAATCAGACTCCGCAACAATGGTTAGAGTATTGCCCTTGATCTTCTCGGAAACGATTCCTTGAACAGCAGTGGACAGATACTTCCTTGGCTGGGAGGATGCAGTAGGAGCGGCAGTAATCTGAGCAGGTGCAGCAACCTTGGGGTAATCTCCCTTGTAGAGAAGCCAGTCTCCACTATACTGTAGCCAGTAGTTCTTCTCATCGAATCCATAGCATGGCAATTCGTTCAACACACGAAGCGTCTCGTTCTCCTTGTGGAAGGCATCCCAGTTGATGGCCTTGCCAGCAGTGTACAACCCTGCGAGGGAAGTAGAGATGATCTTCCAGGGGTCTTCATCACGGCGCATAGTAGGAAGTGTCGGGGCTGACAGGCAAGACTTGATCATGCTAGCACAGAGCGGGTGACCACCAACCTCGAGCCAGAGTGAAGTGTCGCTGATTGTGGCAGTAGACATGCCGGCGGAAAGACCCCCGACAAAGTCGACAGTCTTGCGACAGTGGCGGCTGAGGTAGAATGCGTCAAAGACTCCTCCAACGCTGACGACATCGCTCAACAGGGGTGAAATGACGGGTACTCTTGGAGGGTGATACTTGATCGACGAAGCCAGCTTTTCGAACTCGGACAAGATTGGATCAACTTGTGATGAGTGGAAAGCAAAAGGAAGCTTGAGCTTGGTGCACTTCTGACCAGCATCCGCAAGCTTCTGAGCGACCACGTCGATATCGCCCATAGTGCCAGATAGGACGGTGTCTGAAACGCCGTTGATGCAAGCAATCTCAATTTTGCCGTTGCTGTTGGCAATGACGTCTTGCAAGCCAGCCACTGGAGATCGAACTGCAAGCATGGCATGGGTTCCTGCGGTGCACTTGCGCTCAAGGAGTTGTGCTCGCATGCCCACCAAGTAAATGGTATCAGCAATGGATAGAACACCGGCGGCCTGCAAAGCAGCATATTCACCCAAGGAATGGCCAATGACTACACTCGGTGTGATGCCCCATGTGGCCCAGAGACGAGTAAGGGCAATCTGAATGCAGCACATGCCGAGCTGGACGACTGTTGGAGGCAAGTGTTGGACCTCAACGGTACCATCAATCAATGGCAAGATCGATGGGAGCCCTTGTCGAAGAGCAATGTCGTTAAACTCCAAGACATCATCTCGGAATTGCTTCGATGTCTCAAACAGCTTCTTGCCCATGGCAGTGTACTGAGAGCCTTGTCCCGTGAACGCCATTGCGATCTGTGGAGTCGCTAGGGGAATTGGGTTGTGAGTCTGCTCTTGGAATGTCTTCAGCGAGGCTTGCAGCTGAGCAATGCTTTGAACGGGGAAAGCACCTCGGTAGTTGTAGTGCTGCCTTCGAGCCGTCAAGGTGTACGCAAGGTCCGCCAAACCAGTCTCGGGATGGGTATTGAGATAGTCTTCGTATTTTTGAAGAGTCTTTTTGAATGCACCCAAAGACTTTGCCGACACTGTCACAACCTGGGTCGACCGAGCATCGGTTGAGGGCTGAGTCGGAACTTCTGGGCCATCTTGCAGCAACATGGCAGTATTGCCGCCAGCAGCACTGAAGTTGTTGATGAAGACTGTCCGCTTGCCACCTGCGGGTCGCAGGAACGGAGTGGTCTGGAAAGCAATGTTCACATTGCGATCCTTTAAATCTGGAGCAAAATTCTTGTTGATTTGCTTCTTGATACCCGTGTGAGGGGGGATCTTGCTCTTCTGGAGCATCAGAATCACCTTGATCAAGGCGCAGACACCGGAGACGGCTTCACCGTGACCAATGTTAGATTTGACTGCACCAACATACAGGGGCTGATCAGGACGTCTGCGTGGAGTTCGGGGTGCAAACACAGAAGTCACGGATTCCATCTCGATACCGTCACCAGCTTGAGTACCAGTCCCGTGCATTTCAACATAGTCGACATTGTTGCAGTGAACGTTGCACTCCTTCAGGACCTTGTCGAACAAAAACGACTGATTCTCAGCACATGGATGGGTGATGGATACGGCCTCTGCTGAATGGTTGGTACCGATGCCACGGATGACACCAAGGATTGGGTCACGATCGGCCACAGCATCTTCCATGCGTTTCATGATGACAGTGCAGACGCCATCACCACGGCAGTAACCATCGGCATCATTGTCCCAAGTTTTGCAAGACCCGGTTCTAGAGAGGAAATGGCCCCTGCTCAAACCGGAGAAAATGTCAGAGTTGGTAAGAACATTGGCACCACCAGTGAATGCGGTATCGCACTCGCCTGCACGAAGAGAAGTGATGGCTACGTTGATGGCAGCAAAACTTGAGGAACAGGCGGTATCAACAGAGAAGCTGGGGCCGCTGAACTTGAAGAAGTAATTGATGCGACCTGGACCGAACGCTCTGACACCTCCGGAAATGAAGTATGTGTCGATGTCCTGGGCGGCGTTCACTTCACGCCAATCATCAGAGGTCTGGCCGTAGAAGGTACCGATTCTGTCATGCTTGGTTGAAGGTGTTCTGCCAGGCACGATACCTCCCATTTCCATGGCTTCGTAACTAGTTGCCAACACCAGACGTTGCATGGGATCTGTCTGAGCGGCTTCTCGTGGGGACATGTTGAAGAAGCGGGCATCGAACAAACCAGGCCGTTCGATGAAGTTGCCAAAGGGAGTATGGGAGGTGTTCTTCTTCTTAGATGTAGGATCAACGTGAGAGTCGACGGGAAATCTGTCCGCTGGAACGGGTCGGTGCACGTCCAGTCCCTTCTCGAGCAGTTGCCAGAAGAGCTCGTGATCAGCAGCGTCTGGGAAGCGGCCGGAGTAGCCGACAATCGCAATGTCTGCTTCTTTCTTCGAGTGCTGGGTTCCTGCTGGAGCAACGACAGACCAGTGGGAAGCATCCTCTAGGGAGACTTTGGGAATCGAGGCCTTGAGAGCAGAAACAACACTGCTAGCTAGATTTGTGACACCAACTGCAAAGACCTTGGCCTCTGCAGCCTTGCTTGCCGCAGTGTATTTGAGGACCCTGTCCCATCGGAAGGGCTCGATAATGACTTCCTTCAAAGCTTCCTGGAGAAGCTCGTAGCCGTTCTTGCCAGTATAAGGCTTGCCGGAAACACTGGAGCAGACTGGGAATCGAGCTGTGGCGTACTCGAAGATTGCCTTTGTCTGTGGGCGAAGAATCTTCTCCAGGTCGGAGGAGGAATGCAGATGGGACGCATGATAAGGGGCGAATATTGGTACAGAGACGCTCTTGTGAGAGCGGTAGAATTCAGAATCTTCGAAAAGAGACACCTTCGTGGAAGGAGGACCGCTAATGGTCACGGAGCTTGCTGAGGAAGCACTGATCCAAAGTTTGTTGGTCGGGGATGTCCCTTTTTCTTGGTGAAACTGGTCGAGAGCTGCTTGGGCAGATTTCTCGTCAGCGGCGACGATTGTTGACCAGGACTGTGATTTCGAGTCTCCTTCGATCTGCAGTGCAACCTTGCCGACATGAGCACCAGCTCTGAATGCGATTCGGACAGTTTCAACGGCCAATGGGATGAGGGCGGTCAGGGAGTCGGCCGAGGCAATAGCGACGGCGGCGAGGAGGCCAGTACACAGACCAACCAATTTCACGTCTGCATTAGGCTGAATATATGATGGCACTCTCTCTTCGAAAGCACTGTTGTGAGAAAGACGCGTCAGTTGATGTCTATACACGTGATGGCGGCTCAGGGGTCAACATACCCGATAAAATGAGTGAATTGAGCAATGCAAACCAGAGCACTCTCAATAGCGGCGTCTTTGGCCTCTTGTTTGAAGTAACGATCGACGAGTTCTTGAATGGTGGTGAAATTAGGGACTGCTTTTGAAGGATGGGATCTGTATTTGTTTTCTGTTCGGACCGCTTCACCAGCTCTCTCGAGGAAGGACTGTAGCAAGACATCATCTTTCCGCGAGAAGACCTTGTTGAAGAAGGACCGCACGTCGGCGGTTTGATCGCCGAAGACGTAGACTTCCGCCATGTTGCTTGGTGAAAGGTCGACGAGCTTCTGACGAGCGTTTGCTTAACGAGAGAAGGACACGGGAAAAATGGGGTGGCCGAGTATCATATAGGAGGAGGAGAGGCGAGGGTCGACCAGTTGAAAATAGATTGGAAAGCCGCAGGAATGACAGCGCCCCCTGGTGGGTCGGTAACATGCACGAGATCTGCGTTGGAAATCAGAAGCATGGCCAGCGACCAAATCTGGAGAGCTGTTGGGTTGGTGGCCGTGGGCCTCGAGTGTTGCGGTCATTCAAGATGATCCACTCGTCGAGGTGAAGGGTCTCTGGCTCTCCCTTTTGCCAGGCCAGCAAGTGTTCGGCGCCCGAATGCGGCAATGAAGAGGGGCTGATCCAGATGAGACATGTCCAGATCACTATTCGGGCTGTAATCTTACACTGCCATACCAATACGGACCCTGGTAGGAGGAGGCCTAGTTTCGGGAGCTGAGGTGCATGGACTGGCCCACCCGCCGAGCCCCGTCCCAAGTTATGGTTGTTTGATCGATACTCGGGCGTGGTATTCTGTTTCCTTACCCTGGGTTGGCTGGGACCTGGGGCTGACGATAGGGCGACGGGTAGACTAAAAGTAGGAGGCTTGGGCAATGAAAATAAGTTGTAGTCGGCTCAGCCGCAAAAGGGAGGAGAATGATGCTAAGGTACAGATGCAGAACTGTCAGCGCCAACGTTCACACGCCTGTTACTGATGGGCCAGGTTGAAGGCCCTACCCAGGAGTACAGGATGGAGCGGAGGCGTGGGAGGCCAACGAGCGGTATGGTGTAGCGGTGGTGGGAGTAACTGGTAGCGCAGGGGAATGGAGCAGGGAGCGCATTGAAACTGCTGTTTGGGAGAATCGACAACTGCACAATCGACTGGGACAGGGGAGTTTGCTGCGTAAAGTTGGAGTACTCCGTACTTGTCGCAGTTGCCGCAGGTGCAGTGGCAGCGGGGCTGAAGGAGCCGGAACACAGGGTTGCGTCCACTAACAGAAACCTCTAGCCGAAAATAGGCTGACATGATCTACTAACCCTGGCTCCGGATCACTTAACCACTTGGCAGCTAGCCCGGTTGGTTCAATGCACGCGTGAGAAACTCAAGCCCGCTGTTAGGCTGAGATCTAGCTTGTACTGTATGTTTTGGTGACTTATTATCGGTACGCTCACTCCCAGGGGCAGTGACAGCCTATTAGTTTATTATCATTAAGTCCAGTAGGTGCCTCTGAATGCCTAAGTCGGGTAAGGTTGGGCCTTGGGTCACAGCGCAGCTCAAACCTCTGCCAAAGGATACGAGCAAACTCTAAAACTAATTGTGCTTCCTCACAGCTAGAGAAAAGAATCTACAACAAGGCGGGAGGAAGTGTCCAACCAGATATTCTGGACAGGGTTCTTGCATGTAACAGTACGGTGCAAACACGAGTTCATGAATCCCGTTGCCATGAGGCCGGAGCAGCAGATATGTTGGATTGTCGAGACCGTGGATTAAGGAGGTAGCACAACGCGGCACAATTATTCCGGGAAAGTCACAATGCAAAAGAAGTCGGACGGAATGTCTCATCGAAGGTCTGGAAGGCTGGTCCGTTTACGAATGCTGTTCAGTACTCGCTATGTAAGCGTGTCGTGCCTGTGTGTCACTTCAGACAATAATACCCGTGTGTCCAGATTCATGGTCCGTGGCACAATCACAATTGTTTACCAAGGTAGCAGAAGTCAGGAAGAGGCCTACGTCCCACAAGAGATGTTGCTTGGATAGGTACCAAAACTGCTATTTTCCCTCCCTAGGTACCCACTGGGCGCAAGAGGATACAGCTTGTAAAGACATGACGGTTATTGAGTTACGCAACATTACCGCTACTCGTGGGATCATATCCCTGCCCCCTCGGCTGAGGCTGAGAAAGTTCGAGAGGTGGCGGCAAGGAGATTGGAGGAGAAGATCCATCCAACGACCAACGAATGTGAATCTGGGGTCCGCCTTGTGCCAAATGATGACCGCACTGGCCTGGCATACTGCAGGACTACTAGGACCTCGGCGGCATCATCCTTTGTTATGACAGTTGAGGCTTGCGTCGGAAATTCCAAGCGGACGAACTCGACATGCAACAGCTCCGTACGTGTGGTGCGAGGGTGGCTGCAACAATTCCGTCCACGGATATCATAAGATGGTGGGCAAGGCATGGTGACATGGTGTTGATGGCGGCTTCAGGCTTGCCCACGATTTATTTGCCTTGGGGCATGCATTTGATAAGGAGGTCCCTCCCTAGGGATTTTTCCGAGCCTGCTAACTAATTTTTGACGATGGCTGACCCTGTGTGAAATGGCAAGCGAGTGGTGGATCCTTATCTTTTCCAGTCCAATTTTACACGGCGGGAGAGTTTGCGTCAAGCAACTTGCAAGTGTGCAAGTGTGTCTGATACTGTCTGTGGGTGAAAGGGGTAGTGCGGGCAGGAGTGAACACGCTGGGTCAAACGCACCGCCAAGCCAACCATGTCCGCAATGGCTCAAGCGCGTCCACCAGGTACCCACGTACGCCACGCACTTGCACGTCCGTTCTGGTGTTTTGGGGGCACTGGGGTCAATACCAACCCCTGCTCAGTATGACCGCAGTTGCAAGCCCTTAGCTCCCTTAGCTCTCCACTTGACTCCACTGCTCTATATTTGGGACCATCCTGTGCCCCTAGGTTCAACTAAGCATTCTGTCTGCCGCCTTCGGACTACGGACTAAAACTGATCAATCACCAATACCATGTGCACGAACCATACAAACCGTGCTTTTACAGGTACTTGTTCCCTGAACATCGTCATCATCAACATCCTCCCAATCATCATGACTCTGACTGTGATCATGCACAGGGTAGTATTGCATTCACCTGCGAATGCTGACATGACACGTAGATGGCCTTACAGGATGGGTATTCTACAGGTCAGCAAGAGTGTACGGGCAGTATGAGAAAAATAGCGAGGGAGTCTTGTACAAGAGGTAGTGCAGGTGCTCACCACTGTTGTCAGTCACGTTATGTTATCATTTTTTTTTTTAATTTCTTAGTGAGACAAGCATTTCGCCTGCCCACTCACGCAATGCACGTGCATAACTGTACTTTGATAATAGCGGCAGGTGCTCCCCTATCAAGATACAGTAGTCCCTCTTGTACGTATGGAGTACCTACCAACTTTCACCATTTTACCTGCCAAGAGCAGCCAGAAACCTGCTCAGAACCCAATGCGCTCCTTCCTGTTGTGCAGATGGATACGTGTTCCTGTCCTCAGGAAGGCAAGTGCTTTCCTGAATGGCAAGCAGCACCCATCAACAGGGGACTCGGTTCCTCTTCCTGACTCGCATGACCATCTGTTCTGTGCCATGATCAGGCTGATGTTATAGTGACAAACTAATCAAGAAGCTTTCATGACGCCTGAGACTGTATCACCGTTGCATCATCCACCCGGCAGCCTTGATCCGAAAGCCCAATGAACGATCTCAAAGTATGGATTACACGACTACGGAGTAGGTCAAGGTGCCAACGGATCAACTACCAAAACCTCTTGGTTCAATGTCTCAGAAAGCTCAAGTGTGCATGCTGTAGGTGGAACTCGTCCTCCTATGAGTGAAGAGAGGCTTGCAGGCTGGTTGCCGTCATTTTGAAGCGAAGTGACAACTCCACCTTGCAAGAGCCTCATCGGGTGTCAACCACGAGCAGTCAACCATTCGTACCCCATCTACAAGCCTCACCCGCACATGCCACCCTGCGTATTCGTACTTTACTGCACATACAGTAGGTACAAACAACATTCTCGCCTACCCATGGCTTGGAAGCTTGGGATGCGGATTATCGATAAAATGCGGCTCCCAAAATGGGTAGATCGGTTGTCGATCTCCTCGCGAACTTTCACTACTCCATATGGAGCTCTGTGGCGCCGGCCATCATCCTTGCGATCTTCCTGGCTTGCTCTCACACCGCATGGCCACCCCTGATGGTTTAATTTCGCGTCTTCGATACCGAGTAATTTCTGCAGCACCCACTAACGGTTCCATATTCAGGGCTGATCAAACATTGGCTCGGCAGCAGCGTCAATGCTAAACCATCTTGCAACCAACCCCTGTAACTGGATAGCCTCCTATTGTCCGCAATAGCCATCAAGCCAAGCGATATCTCAATCCCACGGTACAACTTGCAAGATTGAAATCCATACACACCGGGTTTCCTGTTGGTTCAACACTTCCCCTTGCTTATCTGACTTGTGACCCAGCTAAATCACTTGTGCTCGTGCAGTTGATCATCGAACATTCTCAGGGTGGCTACTGCCACCCTTACCCATAACCAGGATCCCAATCTCTCCCCATCCAGCCGAATGTCTAGGCGGTCATGGATGATGCTGTACTTCTGTACCTACGGAGTATATGACAAATACGCGAAACTCGGTCAATGCTCTTGTGGTCTGTTTGCCTCGAGCGACCTTATCTTCACTCGATAACATGCCATTACCACATTGCACAATCAATCAATGGACAGAAGGGCTCGGATCCGCATATCTACCTCATCTTCTATATCTCTAGTCAATCGCGACGACCATGTTATCCTTGTAAGGACTATTAATAGCAAGTTTCCCTCCTCCAGCTCTCGACGTAGGATTTGTGGTACATGAATATTGACGGCAGAAATCATACGTCCTTAAGATTACTATCAGAATCAAGTTTTGCGATTAGGAGGATGCAACTTGAAACTTGGATATGCGGAAGAAAGTGCAACAATTCAGCTGGATCAGGCTAAGCAAGCTGACGACATTTCGACCACGATTACGTATGGTTGCAAAAAGGGTTCTGTTGCCTTGGGTAGTATCATGCAGGCACAGCAGGCACGAGAGCATGTTGTAGGGGTGGTCGTCGATGGATTGGACTATCGGGACTGGATTCTGCATTATTCACAGGGATTCAGGCCAGCCTTGCGTACCATGATTCACGACAATGGCGGACCTGATGGCACCGTGGGACGAGTCATGTCGTCAAGATCTGCCGTGAAACCCAGAACATGCCATGTTGACTCCGACAAGGGGAAGATAGCCGGAGATCCGGATTCTGTGTCATATATGATCGCGAGTGATACCAGGAGTTGGGATATCCGCATTAACACAATTGGTCTTTTTCTTCCTGTCCCTGAACACGGAATGCAGGTTTATAGCAGTCGGCAATGCCAACTCGGTTCCCTGCTTATTTCCAAGAGTGTTCAACAATGGCGTTGGTCTCGCCTCCATCCCTCGTCCACTGCACATCTGCCCATGTTTGGCTTGCGCAACGCCCGACAGGAGATGTTGAAACTTGTGTCCCTAGGACGCTTCATCCGTGATGAGTACAAAAGTTGCGTGGGAGTCTAATTGGTGTACTGTTTGCCTTAACGTAAGACCTAGACAAGCGAACCGATCAATTGATGTGATTTCTGAGTACAACGACACATCGGTGTAGGTACACCACATCCCCCGCATGAGACAACGCATGAGCCGGATGGTTGGCTCTGTCGCACACGGGAACGACACGACTTTGACAGCTGCGGCATGAAAGTTGGAAGGGCAAAGAAGTTTGGTCGTATGGTATGATGGTATCAAGATCGTCGCCTCGTAAACCCTACTGTGGCCCCGTATCTGAAAACGAAAACGTGGTTTCCAGATATAGAAACACATTAAAACCCAAACGGCAGTCACGATGAGGCCTGGCAAAGGCTTGGCGCACGGGCGGAGTTTTGGTCTCTCTTATTTTTGGGCTCCATAGTCAAGACAAGTTTGGAGCAGCATGCCCACGACCCGCCTACGCCCCCCTTCAAGGCTCGAGCCATGGGAGGCAGTGGGAGGTCACTGAAAGGCTCAAAGCTACAGTGAGTGCCCTGAATTCCTAACCTAGTTAACCCTCTCATAGGCTGGAACGAGACCTAGCCAAAGCCGGAGGAGCCCTCGGCCCTTCACCGCCGCCTAGCTGCTTGCCACTTTATTCCCATGCCCAGAGAGCCACCACCACCACCACCAGGGCCGCCGCTCAGCCGTCCAGCCTCACAGCCCAACAACACGAACTCGACTTTTCAGCCGAATCACACCCAAGGACACCGGGGAAAGACAGATGGAATACTCAGTCGATTACCATTGCCAAACCGTCTCGTAAGAGTCCTGATTCAGGATCAAGCAGCATACTATACGAATCACACCCGGTTCGACCTTCTGACCCGTCCCAGACACTTCGCTTGTGTCGTCGCACGACCGTGCTTGTGTCTTGAACCGAGTGGACAGTGGATGGTAGAAAGTGGGATGTTGACCTCAGGCTCCCTGCAGTGAGCATCAGTGCATCAATACCCATCCGCATTTGCACATACATAATTGTTCACTACTGGCTCTTCGGAGCAGTGAGCATCAAAAGGGGACATAATGCATGCATACTCTTCTGGGTCAGCAGTACGCTAAGGTCCAGGCTGTGTGGCAGGTTTTGGACAAATTCCGCCACGTTTCAAGCACCCGGTTTTAGAAGCACGCCTAAAGATCCTATTCAGGTGTGGTAGAGCAGCCTGCGCATCACTCGATTGGACACGAACCTCTCTTGGGCGTCCATTTACCCCTGCCATGGACCGGTTCGCTTGCTCCCACTCAAAAGCTGGCAGCCGAAAGTCACTGCATGCCCTAGGGGCCTGACTGGCTCAGTACCTAAACTGCCTACTTTTAGTTGCCCATACCTGCCCCAGTTGTCAAAAGTCGGGATCTCTCTCTGCAATCTTTTTGCTATCCACATTCTCTCCTCTAAACCAACCAAGTGGCTGCCTGTAAAAGTGCATGACACTTGACTGGACCCAGGTCATTACCTATTCATTCATTCACTCACTGATCTGTTCAAGTTTTCTTGGGCCACCGCGCCATCAGTCCCGTATAGCGACAACGACACTCCTTCCACGTCCTCGGTTCTTGCCGCCAACCTCCTTTCATTTCCTTCACTTCCCCTTCAACTCTCCCTATCAACACGTTTCCTATTTCCTGCTCCTACAAAGTTACAGCAATGACGAAACTGCAAAAGAACGGCCCTCCTGCATACTCTAACGCGTCGTCGGCTGCCGGACTTGGTGTACCGTACGAAGATCTTCCTCCCAGTGCACAACTACCAGTGCCGATCGCCACCCCAATCCGCCCAAGCTCGTATAGCGAGTTGGCGTCGACAAATCCTTTCTCACCGAACTTCACTCCTCCTCCAACGGCATCTGGCGCGTCATCCTCCAGTGTCACAACGCCTCAAGTCTTTTCACCCGTGTCTCCCCTCGTCGACTTGACCTCGATGGGGCAACCTTCACAGACCCTCACCCCTTCGCCTGTTCCTCAGAGACCATCGGCCAACAAGAGTCCCGTCAATTTGCAACGTCTCGACGGGTCTCCTTACTCTAACAAGGAGGCGAGACCCAAACAAGTAAGGGTCGCGAAGGACATGTTCGATGGCGCGCTCCCTCCTAGTTATAAACGACAAGGCTCCGATCCCGCCAGACGAGGTGACTTTACAACTTCCAGCCTACACGAGTGCACTCACTGCGGCAAGAAGCTTTCAGAAGGCCAAACAGGCCCTTGCACTGGATGCGGGAAACGAAAATCCTCGGCTCCGGCACCTGCATCCCACAATCGAAACACTTCCGCTGGAGTGGCATCTCAGCGATCCCTCGCGTCTTCTACCACAGCAGGCCCGACAAGTACTGCCGGATCCTCGTCATCCCCTGCACCGTGCTGCTCAAAATGTGGACGGCACAAGCGACCAGGCTCCCTCGGCCAGTCTCATTCCCCTCCACTTTCACACAGTACCAACATGCGACTACAATCCGCAGGATTAAGCATCCAGCCCAACCATGCCGGGCAACATACTTCATTCTACCCCCAAATTGACATTATTCCCCCATCTGCGACGACTTTCCGCCCCCAAAGCACATTTGCAAGCGTTTACGGAGATGAAGCCCCATTGGTCGATCATCATGGAGCAGAGCCCAGGAGACACGAGAGTGGCCGTTCGTCCTTCCGGAACAATTCAATTGTCCGCTCCTTGTCGAGACGTTTGAGCAGGAAAGAGAAGGACAAGGCTCCAGTAGCTCCGGACGCGCCACTTCCCAGCCAACAATTTTCCTCCCCCTCCAACCGACAGTCTGATTCTCAGAGTGCCGGACGCTTGATCAACATGATCAGCAGTGCAATGCCTAATGAGTCCTCGAGCTCGCGTGACGGGCCTCAATACTCTCAGCTCAAGGCTGCAGATGACAACCGCCCCGGAACGCCCTTTTCGTTCGTGGACGGACCTGATGAGGACGGTGGCTTCGAGATGACTAGTCTCAAAGACAACCCGAAGTCGTCTGCTCAAAAGAGTATTGAGGCTGAGAGCTACTTTCCTCGTCCTCAGACGGGCGTCAATGGCGAGTACATTGCCAATCAGGAAGAGCGTCTCGATGTGATTAGTCGACCCAAGACCGCAGATCCTCACCGAAACTTCCTCAGTCCTGATGATGCTGATGCACGGCCTCAAATCACACGATTCAAGAGTCTCCGAAGCGGTGTCAACAAAGTGAACGCTGGCATCGGTTCAATCAGCAGAAGCCAGAGCTTGAGGAGATTGGGAAGTGTCAAGACAGTGCACCATGCTTGGTACCGTGACGGCACTGATGAGAACTCCGTTCCGGTGTTTTAAGTGGTGATAGCAAACGGTGTCAGCACATACACTCTGCCTAACTAGCCTTTACACAAGAGCAGTCGGTTTGAGGGACATGAGACATGCAACATTCTATAAGCTGGGACATAAACTAATGACTTTTTTGGGTTTTTGATGGTTTCTGGAATTTCCTTCACTTCGCCATATGATACCACTGTTGGAAGCGTTGATTTTATGCAATGGAACTTGTTAGCTAGTGATATATCGTCAAAAAATTGTTCACCTTGCCTATCTCTCTTCCAGTAAATTCCTATTCGAGAATGCTACGTGAGGGAAATGTTTGTAAACGATCAATTCCATAGTCTAGAAAATTTAAAACCGTGGTCATGCCTCAGAGATGTTGGAGGGGTAAATTGGTCTGTGAGGATACAGGAATATATTATTGTATAAATTCCAAAGTTCACTTGCTACAACATAACATATGGAAACTTCGAACTTCAAACCACCAACATAACTTGGATCTTTAATATGAATACACCGAATGTGAATGACGAAGAAAGGTCTTGAAAGAGTGTCATATCATGGCTTTGGTCCTCGTGGCTGCTAAGAATACATCTGCACCCAACTAATCTTGAGGTTCACGTTGTAAGGTACCCAGGCACGTCAGGCTGCCAAATCCCCCGCCCTGCACAACAATGTTTCATCTCTGATACAACAGATACAACATACCTATCCATAGAGCATAGAAGCGGTGACTGCCTATCTTCTCGCTTACAATTTCCTAGAGATACCCTAGGCATAGGCAGGTCCATATGTATCCCATCTCCTGTCTCTCTAAATTCCTAGATCCTCCATGTCACGAACACCACCAGCCCCAGTTCCTGAATCAATCGCTCCTGATCCACTGGCACATCCACCACCCACACCGGTAGTGGACACTTCAGCTTGCCATTGCGCCATGACAGCATTCTGTTGCGTCTCGCCTTTGTTCTCTTCCTTCTCCTTCTCCTTCTCCTTCTCCTTCTCAACCATGTCCTCGTTCCATGCGTAAACTCCACCTCTCTCTTCGAAGCTCTGCGTATCCCAAAAGACACTTTTGAGAGCATTGTCGACACCAACGTCAAGAATACTGCCACTTGGTTTCTGACCCGTCCGGTCAAGAAAACGGAGATATTCATCGAGGATGAGATAACTCTTTGCCATGACGCGATTACTCTCAGGAACAATTGCCTTCTGAGCACGATGACGGTGACAAAACTCGTCGAATTCAGCATCAGTGATTTGGAACTTACGTGCGTCTCGCTTAGTGGTGGCAGAGTCGTTTTCGCCCGCGACTAGCAATACCTGGAAACATTTCCAGCGATAAGGGGCCAGACGAGCAACTTGCTCATTCATGTCTTCGAGCATGTTGGGCTTGCATACGACGGTGTTGAGTTTGAACATGATGCCAAATTCGCGACACCATTCGCTGACCTTGAAGATTTTGGGAATATGTTGACCCGTGCCTCGGCCGATGGCGATGTTGGTCTCTTCGTCGAAGCTGTCGCATGACACGGCGAGGATGTCTAGGTTTTTGGCGTGTGTCTCGAGCCATTTTCGTGTGATGCTGGATCCATTTGATACGATGCTGACGGATTCAAGGTGTAGTTCTTGTTTGCAGAAATCAACCATCTCACCCAGCATGTTCTTGTACAGAAATGGTTCACCCCCAGCGAAGTTGATCTTCTTCATCCCTGCTTCCGCCAGAAGTCGCAATGCTGCTTTAGCCTCGCTGAGTTTCACCACGTGGCTTGTCAGTTCAGTGTGGAAACAGAAGCCGCACTTGTAGTTGCATTTGCGTGAGAAGTGGTAGTTGACAGAAAGTGGAATTCGGGCGTTGATTTGGGAAGATCCAACGAGACTGTCCTCTTGACTGGTCAACGATAGTGACTTCGTGGATGCTTTTGATGGGTTCTTGGGAGTATTCTGAAGATGCTCGTCATTGGTATGAGCTTGTGCTGCACCAGAAACCTGACGATTGATACAGAGTCTCGCGAGGCCAACACCTAGCAGGACGCCGACAGCAATGTTGTTCGGGGCGAACCCTTCTTCAATAAGGGAATTGAGCAGCATTATGATCATCAACCTTGCCAACTGTTTTACTTGTGTACCGGAAGCAGGTCGTTGAAGGGGAAAATCTAGAGCAAGATGTTGTCAAAACTTTTGATGGCGTTGGATGGAAATATCCTTGAAGATGTACTGTCTGATGGAAGCTGCTCAACTCTGGTGGAGATAGTAACAGCGAGAGGGTGGTTGTTCTTCAAGGTGATACTTATGGTTCAGGTACCGGGTACTCAAACAGAGGGCATCTTGCGGCGGGAGATGCAAACTGATTGTGTACCAAGGACACAATGACATGTGTTTGGTAGTTGTTTTGCTTCAACATCGTCCCTTTGTTTGTTGATGAACTGAACATGACTTCCCACCTGGTTCACAAGTTCAACGTACAGTAAAGGGGCAGAGTATCTTCAAACGACAATGGTTCAGACGGCAAACGCCCGCAGACCATCCCAATATGTTCTGACAGACACACTTGGTTGGGTGTTTGGGGCTTGCGATTGTTGTGAAGATCATCATGGTCATATTTGTTGTCGCTATCACCCTCCTCCCGCGAATTGAGCTGTTCCTGGTTCAACTCGTCGCTGCCTGAATGTGAAGTTAGCCTGTCAGTCAATGGATCTTATTGATCTTATTGATCTCAATCGTTCATTCACTGCTCACCACAGCCTATTGATACCCTTCCACTTCCAACATCCTAACCCTTCATTCCTTCCATTTTTCATCCAACAATATCACCCTTTCCAAGCAATATCATTACGAGACCAAACCTCCTCAAAATGGAAGTCCCCAAGGACTATGTACCCGTATTCATCTTCGTCATCGGCGCACCGGGGGCCGGAAAAGGCACGCTTTGCCAGACTTTTGCCCAACAGCTAGACTTCTACCATCTCTCCCTCGGCGACTCCCTCCGCAAACTGGTCAAGGAAAAGCCAGACTCTTCATTTGCCCAAGCCGTCAAACCATACATCACCAGCGAAACATTGATGCCCAATGACATGCTCCGCGAGTTTTTCAACCAACACATCCTCCCTGAAGCCTTGGCATGTCGACATCTAGGGGTATTGATCGACGGATTTCCCCGAGCTGCATCACAAATCCCTTGCTGGACAGGACCTGCACCGAGATTAGTCTTGTTTTTCGATTGTCCGAAAGAGCTTGCCTCCAAGAGAGTCGTCGACAGAGGTCGTGGAGGTTTGTCTAAAGAAGAGTTGGCCAAGATCTTTGCAAAGAGATACGATCAATTCGAAAAGGAGAATGGCAGGATTCTGGATCATTTTGGATATGTGAAAAGCGACGAGGGTGTCTTTTATGGTCCGGAAGGAGGGATCCTGCAGGACCCTCTTGAGGCGGAATTGAATAAAAGAATCGTTATCCGCGTCGATACCAGTGGAACATCCGAAGAATCTTGGCAGACTCTGCTTGAAGAGTTAGAGCGGTCGACGTATTGGACATCAGTGGAAAAAGTCTTCGATGACTTGTTGGACAGAAAAATTCAAGAGCGGAAGCGGCAGATGAGAGAACTTGACCGTGCATGGAATGAGAAACGCAAGGAAAGTGGAAAAATTCAAGCAGTTGGTGTTGGAGCTGGAGCTGAATGCAAGAGCACTGCGAGAGATCATGACGATGGCCGTGAGAAGGACGTGGATGGAGATAAAAACGGCAATGACAACAAGATCCAAAAAGACGAGAAGATGGAAGATGGATACGATGGCGATGATGATCAATCGGAAGTTTGGTAGAAGACGGATGACGATTGAAGGACCAGCGCTATGATCCAAGGACAAGAAATTGGATCTTCCCTGGTCTGTGTTTGAAAGCCTGCAGGATTGGTGAAAGCGACTGCGAAGATACCTCCCATTGAGAGCGATTGAATCAATTATCCCGTCAACGTCGATAGAAGTGCTCTGATTGAGATACCCATCTGTCAAAGGATGACGATCTATGTGCCTGATATTGTTGGTCAGGCATCAGTAGCATCCCCACCATTTTCTTCAGCGTTTCGTTTCCAATTGAAGTATGCAGACAATTTGCCCTTGCATTCAGCTTGAGGAAAGGCCATTCTGTGATCAGCCATGAAGGCGTCGAGGGTTGCTTGCATGGATTGGATGGCCTCGCTCTGGGTCGTTCCTGTTATCAAACCATCCTCCTCAGTGTATGGTACTTGAAGTTCAACTTCTCCCACCTGATGACCAAAATCGGTGGTGTCAATGACAATGCTGACGTCGGTCTTGTCATCCACAGAAGCAGTCCAAGTCTGTCTGGTAGTCGTAAAGCTGGCAAAGTTGGTAAAGCCAAAAGGTTGGAGTTCAGTCGGGGTTGAAAGATCCGTTAGATCAATCATATTGGACGTCATTGGGATATGTTGGTTGAGCATAGCCGCGATCTTGCCAGGAGTATCGATCTCACAAAATTGTGAATGAATGTAGTCTCCGCCCAATTTGATCTTGGCTTCCCATTTCTGGTCGCGCTTTCGTACCCAGATTCCAGTACTGCGGAGTTTGTCGGCTTGATCGTAGTAGATATCGGTGAAGGTGTAGGTTGGAAGGGTTTTGAAATTCCTGAAAGCAGGGCTGGCAGCGTTCCTGGCAATGAGATGGGCCGCGGAAGGGAGGAATTTGCGTTCAACTTCAAGCATCATTTTGAGATTTGGGCAACTGGATCAGGGGATGTGTTCACCTAGGGTAGAGTTGCGTTGTAGGTGAGAGGTTCAGCACGCCGAGGATTTTGTTTTCAAATTTATGTGTGGGAGAAGGAACCACAAAGTGATCATGATGCGTCAGGGTCAGGGAAGTGTAGTGACTCTTCACCAGGACATACCTGACTTCACTGCACAACCGATCTGCAACGTGGATAACCAGATCTTCACATCTTCAGATTCTCGTACCTGTTGACTGGACCATTTCCTCAAGTCGTCACCCACACCCTTTTACCTTTTGATGGAATATTAATTGACGAGGCGCAGTATTGATGTTTTGTACAACATGAGAAAGATTGAAATTTACATTCATGTCGGATAAGGCTGAAGACATGGGGACAGGAAGATGGACATGAGGCAGAGTCACACACATTGTCACAGTTTGTTGACGGATGGAGCCAGTCAGGTGCTATTGATGCTCAGTCTGACAAGATTAAAAAAGTTCAGACGCGTGAATTGGCAAAGAAATTAGCCAAGAGAACGCGTATATACATTTTGTCATACAAATTATATTCCACTCCACTTGGCTGGGCCTGTTGACATATCCTTGGCCTCCATCTGAGTCAGGTGACTCTTATCCTCTTATCCTCTTATCCTCTTATCCTCTTATCCTCTTATCCTCTCACCCTCTTCTCGTAACTCAACAACTATACCGTACAGTAACAGGCGATCATCCTGCGGTCTAAGTATCGTGATCTAACCCTAGACATCGCATAACAAATTCAAAGATCAAGATTCAGCACGGCGGCGAATAATGATCAAGATCAACAGCGTAAGAGAATGAAAGACCAACAGGAAAAATATCATTATTTACTGTTTCCAACACCCAGATATTGATAACAGAAACCCAGCCCCTCGTATTATGTGATGCGTGCTTATTATAGTGTAACGTCATACTGGTAACAGAATGGCCCCGACGTGGTACTGATGAGGTCGGCAATTGTGAACGGCCGTTGCTCGAAATATCCCCAGTCGGGATGCACAGTGTCCAGTGTGACATTCGGGCTAGGTGGCAGATTCTGCGCTGTCTCGGTCCCGAATACTGCAGTGGCTTGATCAGGGTGTCGAATTTGCCATGAGGTATAGAGATTGTCGAGCATGGTGTGCAGTGGCCACCAGATTGGGTCCATCACAGAGACAAAGATTGATGAACCAGGAGATCCGACGATAAAGTGAGCCCCAGAATGTAGGCCCAATGAACCTCCACCAACGACGCCATTGATGAGCTCCTCAAAGTGCTCGAGATCTGGAGCCTCCAATGCCTCTTCCAGAGCAGTAGAGTTGGTCCAGGTCTGGGCCACAAAGGTGTTGAGATCTCGAGTGAGGCAGGATTCGTTGAGGTTGAATGCTGTCTCGGGAAGCGGAAGTCCTTGAACAATGAGAGAGGTGGGAATATCTGCCATGGTCCTCTGCCAACCAGCAAAGGGACCACTGGTGATGCAACCGCCGCCACTGCCTTTGGGGATGCTGAAAGTCGGCGCCAGCTGCAGGGGACCACTGTCAATGTACTCCCCATCACCTGACATGGAGTATTCTGATCCATCAAATACTGCACTACCTTGTAGGTTGTCGGCGGTCGCAGGCCAATTCCAGTATGGGAAGGCGCCTGTATACCCGCATGTCTCCTGGAGATCTTGTTCAAAGAGATGGAGATAGTAGCGGTGCCAGGTGAGAAAGAACCCGTCAAGATGCACCACTTTGGTTCGGTTCACGTGGGTGACGGCATAATCGAAATACCTGTTGATCGCGGCCGGATACTGGGTTTGATCGAGCTGAGAGGGTTTTGAAGCGATACACTTGATGGCGTCGGTGTATGCCTTTCTTTCTTCTGGCTCCATGGTGTCAAAGTCTTTGCGCACTTTGATATTGTCCTTGGTGCATCTGGGCCACTCGCTGGCATGTCGACCGTTTAACCACTCGTCAGTCACGGGCAAATGCGGTGACCCACGTCCTGGAATTGCTGCTGGAATCGCCTGGACAAGAGATGGTACCATACAAAGGGCCAAGGTGGCCAGGGATACGATCGTGTTGACCATTATGAATACGAGAAATGACAGTATGGGGGTGGACAAACAAAAGAAGCTCAAAGAGAAGGACTGCGCTTCTTATCCAACAGTGAGCAGCGCGGAAGAGGTTGAAAAGAGAGGAAGCTGCTTCCCAGATGGCTTTTTATCAGCTGAGCAGCTACGATGGAGACGGTTACTGTGATGGCTCGTGGCAAGAACTTATGTTCTACGTACTGTGATGTATTGTCTACTGCCTGGTTACTACGGCGTCGGCTTCCAAGAAGTGGCTGCCGGACATGTCAACGATCAGCGGCACCTATCCTGGAATATCGCAAGGATCATGCTCTGAGTCTATGCGTATTTGCAAATACATACCCATGCATACATGGTGGCTTTGCCTTGATAGTGGAGGTGTGGACCTATTGCTCGGAAAGACTCTGTACTGAATATACCTACTCTGCTGCTGTATGTATGTATGAGCGTCCTGTAGGTAACTCGGGGAAGCCAATGGCGGCCCTGGCGGCCGATGTGAGAGACCCTTGTCGTCAATGAACGATCAACATTAAAGATGACGAATACATTTCCACCATTGTGACTGCGGAGAGAGAAAAGTGGCCCCCACCATCTGGCCTCCAGCCATCATTGTCTCAAGATTGGTAGGGTTTCTATTCTGGTGGTGGGCGATCTGATCAGTGGGTTTAAAAATAAACAGCCCTGTGGCCCTACAGCTGCGAAGTTGCAGGCTTTGTTGATGTGATCATCACATTTAAGTATATGTGTTGAAGGCACCAGCCACAGCTGAATATTAAAGTCCCAGAATCTCAATTTCCGCTATGCACACCGGGAGAGGGTTCTTCCTTGATCTTGCCTGTATTTGCGATCCATGCTTGTTTGATACTTTCGTGAAACAGTTCCATATCAACTTGGTTAAACAGGTCAAAGACGAGTGTGATCGTGACGCCGTAGTGACTGGTAGCTCCACAACTGTCTACAATATTGTAGACAATGTCGGCTTAACGTACCTAACGATGTATTTTCTCCGTGCAATACGGGTTTGTGTGGGCAGGGGACTCTTTCGTGGCGAAGCTGTGGAGTTGGTGACTTTGCAGCGAGCATATCGACAAGGCACCTCACCGGCCACTGGTCTCGGATCAACCAAGCGTTTTAGTTTGTTGCAAAGCCTCGACCCCGCATATGCAAAGTGACTTTATTCGTTTCAAGCCTCGAAGCATGGAATTAGTCTTCCGTACAAGACGGCATTCAGTGTTGATTTGGCTGGAAAGACACAACATGAACGGAAACGATTCTCTCCAACATGTCCACAATCAACTGTCATCAGGTACAGAGTGCAGATGGGACAGCGTAGGGGATCCAGGATGAGGCGTTAGGTATTGCATCCCCCCTCACAGCCCTCAATCTTTCCCAACGCACGCTGTCCCGGATTTCGATGACGCTTTGGACTAGGTGGGGACTTCTGAAGTTCCCGGGGGGATCCATGTCAGCTGCCAGGTGACGTTTACACTTTCCTCCTATAGTGTTCGACTGGTTCAGGTCAAACGCTGTCCCTGGCCGCCGACTGGAGATGATATTTCTAGTGCCGGGCATATGTATGCATGGTTTCCTACGAGGATCCGCTTTCGAGAAATCTTCTAACAAGAGAGACATGCAGAAAGTATGACATGTTTAAGGTCGCGTGGGGAGAGAACAGACCTGAAGATTGTCTTCGAGAGGCTAGACTGGTATTACCAGCCGGTATTGTTTCTCAGGCGCATGATGTCCGGTTGGCTGTCCAATCAATGATAGAGGGCATTTGAAGGGTATAATCTCATAATGTTTAGGTTATATTTCCAAAGCTTCTCGGGTCATTGGACCTACAGTCCTGAGTAGGGCTAGGCTTATGGAAGACCAACACAGGGACGAGGAACATGGGCCTGGCGGGTGAAAGGTAGTTGCGGCCTTCCTGCAACGCCCTGGATGGAGGGTGGTCGAGAATGGGATGAAGTGGAACTGAGTTCGAGCCTGAGGATGGACCTGTTGATGAAATGTTTCTTGCTCAGAGCGACAGCCTCGTTGCCAGCCATAGCAACGGCCAGAAAGACCAGGATGGTCTACGATGTGGTCGATCTGCCAGAAGTTAGCGAAGGCCCAAGGCTGGGAGGAGTGCAATGCAGATTATGCCCTGGCCAGCCAAGATGAGTTATTCCACTTACGTGGCCCACGCTTTTTTCAACATCACTTCATCTGATCTTCACTTTCTTCAATGTTGCGGTGATTATCAAAGCAACTTGGCTTTGGCAGATTCTGGTGAGTTAATCTTGCACTTCATGAACAGTCTCAGGTGGTAGGACTATTGACGACTATTTGTCTGGACAAATAGCATGATGTCTGGTACCACGTGTCCGACCTTGGGATGAATAGGGACTTCGAGGACGGAGCTTGGGGCATATGTTGCTGGGCTGGGTACCTGGCCTTCTCATTCAAGGCGCAGGACTGTTGATTCTGAGAAGGGAGCTCGTGTGAGTGTGGCTAGAGGTGCTACAGTTTCGAAGCCAAGGGGAATCTGAGCAACTGAAGCTGCGGTGCAACTTGAATGAAGTGCAACTGTGACAAGGCGACAATTCTTCTCTTCTCCTTCCTCTTCACGTGGTTTGGATGTTGAAACTCCAGTCGCTCCTTCCCCGCGTCTTCTTTTCACTTGCTGTCGGTGCCTGCCTTTGGCCTCGAGACCTTTTTTTGCCACACCGAGAAGCCCTCATGTCTACAAACCTCTAAATATTCTTCTGATCCCTCCATCTTCTCGTTCTCTCCATCCAGATCATCACATATCCTATCATGTGTCTATCCTGTGGATCAGGCTGGCCCTGGGGTAGACCAGGTGTCCAACTTGCCCCCGAACCTGTTCAAAAGCACACCGTTTTCCTTGACGATAACACTGGTTGGTACGAGGACACCAGAACTGTAAGTGAAGCATGGCGAAGCAATAGCTCGCCTCGCTCTTTCCTTTTTGGCCATTTTTCTGCTTACCCTTACATCCCAATCTGAAAAATTTCTCTCAATCACCATAACCCTCATTGTTGATCTCTTTCCTTGTCCCTCCTCTTCTTATCAAGCAAGCATCGTCTTCGGCCTCCCCCAACCTACCAGTACACCCCGTCCCAACCCTTTGCCATCATGGATATGTACTACAGCATGCCTGCTACCACGTATCTCCCTCCTGCCGGTCATTGGGAAGACACTGCCGACTGGCCAAAATCCTATTACTACATTCCTAACCAGAGCCCTGCACCACAGGGAATTCACCCACCAGGACCGATCTACTCTGCCGCACCTACAACGACATCTGCACAACCCGCAATGTACTACTACCCTGTGAGTTACCTCGGACACCCTGATCTATCTTATCTTACCAACTGACTCTCCTTGGTCAGGGTGGACAAGGCTTCGCCGCAGGATACTATGCCAATGGCATGTACTACGGTAGTCAAGCACCTTCTGCACCCGCTTCTGGTTGGCCCTGTGCGTCCTCATATACCTGTTACCCCCTACCTTCTGCCACGGCAGCTACATCACCTTTGAACGCCTGGGCTTACTACTCACCATATTGCGCAGTTGCTGGGCTAGCAGGTAATCCTCTGACCCCCGGTACCCTCTGGAGCCCAGCAAGCGCCACAGCCCAGGTTGCTGCTGCCATCGCCGCCAATACAGCACTCGCTCAGCAGCCCAATGCACCATCGTACTTTGTCGGTGGTACCCCTACTGAAATTGCCACCCAAGCCGCCATCATTCAAGCAAACCTCGCTGCTCTCTCTGCAGCTCAGCAACCCACCACACATGCACCATTCAAGCCCGGCAATGGCTCTCAAGTCTGGGTCAAGGAGGTTGACGGAAGCTGGACACTGAAGGATCTTACTGATGCGATCGATTTGGGTCCTGGTCACTGGGAACAACATGCTGTGAGCAAGTATTGGTACTTTATCAAGCACGTTGCGTGAAGGTTGTGGGTGGGCGAAAAGTCTACAGGAGCTGATGAGGGTAACTCATGGCTTTTGATGATGGAAGGAAGTTCGTTGGCAGGATTGATCGAGCATCATGGTCCCGGTTGAAATCAAAGCCCAAGGCTGACAGTGCACACTCGCTTGGATTAGCTTGGATTAGCTAGTCGGGGAGCCTACGGGAGCCTACGCTTCAGGGGCAGTCAAAACAAGGCTTGCGCTTCAATGACCACAATCAAACCACAGCTACATTGGTAGCACAACAATGCTGGTGCATACGCAGGACAGCGCCTTTGCAGTGAACAAGAAACCTTCATAGCCACAGTGTCATATCAATGAAGAATGCTGTCTATCCCGCTTTGTTCTGCAAGTTGTGCCAGCACCAGACTAGTCGTCTCGTGTCCAGACACAGGGGAAATTCAACTAGGTTTTTGGTGCTGTTGTAATCCAGGTCAAGACCGCACATGCCTGACAGCACTCTCCATCCACAACTTTGCATATTGCTGGTGTGCCCACTTTGTACGTGCATCCATGGGCTCCTTAGTCTTGTCTTCAACCACACCTTCTCCCTGGAAAAATACACTCTTCAGTCGAAACTCGGCAAACCCTTTGTCAAAGTCTGTCTCGGCTGAGATCTCAAAGAGACCATCCGACGGGCGTTGTCCATCAGGTGACTTCAGCGGCGAGTCACCACAGCGGATCAATATGCTCGTCGGAGTCTTGTCGAGCACGACGAAGTGGTCCGTGATTTCGGTGCCGATGTTGTAGGGAGATGACAACAGGTCGGGCTTGTCCCACAGCTGATGCGCCGTGGTGGTTGTGTTGCGATACTTGGCCGCGAGGTATCTCCGTTGGATACTGTAGCCTATTTGAAAGCGAAGTTAGATCTGCTTGTCCTAAACTCACAGATCTCTCTCGATTCGAACGTCGATCTCCTCGGCGACACTTGGAAGATGTCACGTGAGATGTCTAGGACTTGCAGAACCCCTTTAATGGCCAGATCCATCGCCAGAAGGCTCTGGATAGACACAGACTGCGAACTGAGACGAAGAACAACATACCGAAAGTGCCCCAAACCCCTTGACTGAATCCCTCGACCAATTTGGATCCACCGTTCTTCGCATCCTCTACCAACTCCGGACGCAATGTCCACAACGGTAATCGTCGCACAACTTCATCATGGAGTGTTGGATTGCCATTGGCATTGAGTTTTTTGTACCATTTGGTCGCAAAAACCGGATCGGTAACTGGATTCAGATCATTTACTTGAATGTGCTTGGTCCAGACGAAGAATCCGGCAATGCTGCTCAAGGTCGTTACCCCCACTCCTTGCAGAAATTTCGAGGTCAATGAGGTGGGCATTTTGATGTGACCGGAATTCAGTAGATCATCAGATACAATTCGATAGAGTGATGTTCTGGACTATTAAGAAATTTGCGAACTGAATATCGAGTATTATTAGATAGATATAATATAGCGCAGATATTCTGATCAGAGGTCCAAAGGCTATACGGGGACCAAGAGACGACCTAATTTAGCTCTTTTCCTCGGTCCAACGTCCCCCGAGTGCTAGAACCGTGATCTGGGTCACATTGAAATGCATCAACTTCCATTCTCCCCGTTACTATCCCAAGGTATTCACATTAACTACATCTATTCTCTGATAACACCTTGCCTCTCGACACATGTCAACCTTCTTGAATGACATGGTGAAGTTCACGAGTAAACGGCACGTGTTTACGGGACCCACAGCAGGGTTAATGCTCCACCCTATTACACCACGGCAAAGCATACAATCACATGCACATTTCTTGATTCAACTTTGCATCATTTCCTTCTACGACAGATTCTATCCAGACATCTCTGCCTACATCTTCATTCCTCCCCCACGCCAAATCAAAATGGCAACAGGCTTGTTCGCTTCCCTCCCCAAGCCAAAATACTCCGGCGAACATGAAGAAGTTCCACTTCATGCCCAACCCAAGGGTCCACGAATTGTTGGTCCTGGCGTGATTGATCAGTCGCAGGTCATTCTCAAGGTCAGTCTATGCCCACCGACATCTAGGCACACTCCTGACATTTCTCTATCACAGCGCTCCGGTCCTCCTGCATACGGACAACGATCAGGATGGCGTCCCCGATCCGCAGAAGACTTTGGCGACGGTGGTGCATTCCCCGAGATACCGGTAGCGCAATATCCTCTCGACATGGGCCGCAAGGGTAGCGGATCGAGCTCAAATGCTTTGACTCTTCAGGTTGATGCCGAAGGAAAAGTTAAATACGATGCAATTGCTCGACAAGGGCATAGCGATAGTAGAATTATCCATTCCAGCTTCAAGGACTTGATCCCTCTTCGACAGCAGGCAAACGCAGGCGAACTGAGTTTGGACCGACCCAGTCAAGAAGAGGTGGCTGCAAGTGCCGAAAAGACCAGACTTGCCTTGGAAAAACTGGTTTCGGGGGCAGTGGCCGCACAGAAGCCTAAGAACGTCAAAGGTGCCAATCGAGAAGAACCGACATATGTACGCTACACCCCGGCCAACCAGATGGGCGACAACTCCAAGAAAAACGACAGAATTTTCAAAATTGTGAAAAGGCAAGAAGATCCCATGGAACCACCAAAATTTAAGCACAAGAAAATCCCTCGTGGCCCGCCGAGCCCTCCTCCTCCTGTCATGCATTCTCCTCCACGAAAACTCACAGCCGAAGACCAAGAGGCATGGAAGATCCCCCCACCCGTGTCCAATTGGAAAAATCCCAAAGGTTACACCGTTCCTCTGGATAAGCGTCTCGCAGCCGATGGACGAGGATTACAAGATGTCACAATCAACGATAAATTCGCCCAGTTCGCCGAGGCCTTATTCACAGCCGACAGACATGCGCGCGAGGAGGTCAAGTTACGATCACAAATGCAACAGAAGCTAGCGGAAAAGGAAAAGATGGCCAAAGAAGACCATTTACGGGAAATGGCCCGCAAGGCAAGAGAGGAGAGACAAAAGACAGCTCCTGGGCGCAGAGATTCCGGATCACGACGAAGATCAAGGTCATATTCTGCCTCTTCATACGACTCTAGGTCAGCAAGCGGAAGTGATGATGAGGCTGCTCGTGAACGTGAATTAGCGCGGAAGGAAAGACGCGAAGAAAATGAGAGGAAGCTTCGTCAGAGTCGAATGGGAGCAGAGAAGAGAGTGCAGATGATGGCGCGAGAACAGAACCGAGACATTTCAGAAAAGGTGGCCTTGGGTCTTGCCAAACCAACACAGAACAAAGAGACCATGTACGATTCTCGATTATTCAATCAAACCTCGGGCTTCGACAGTGGCTTCAATGAAGACCAACATTACGATAAACCTCTGTTCGCCGCACAAGATGCCATCAACAGCATCTACCGTCCATCAGCGAACCAAGACGACGACGATGGTGGCGAGGAAGCGGCCGATGCCACTATGAGCAAGATTCAGAAATCCAATCGATTCGACAGTCTGGGGACTTCCAAGACGTTCAAGGGCTCCGAACTGTCCGAGCGACATGAAGGTCCCGTGCAGTTTGAAAAGGACAAGGATGATCCTTTTGGAATTGACTCTCTGATTGGTGAAGCCTCTGCAAAACACGACCAGGGTCAAAGCAAGAAGCGATATGGTCTTGAAGAGGCTGGTCCCAGTACCCGAGGTCAGAAGAGAGCTCGAGTTGATGACGATGACCATGATAACTAACATAGATCCACCGTGTTATACCTGTTATATTGTCGAGGTATGAATACATACATGCGTAAACAAACAAGAAACGTTCTTGACTCGTGTCCTTGGTGATTTGTCCTCCTCTTGTCCAAAAGCCACCCAGAAAACCCCTGTAGATCTCTACTTAATACTGCCCACAAGATATTCAACCCATCCCCATGACCATACTTTCCATCATCACCCTACCTCCCTTCCCGATAAATCCCCCAAAGATTGATCATCCTCGCTGCCTGACCCGGCGAGAATCCCGTATAACAGATATCAGAACTATAATCCATGAAATTATGAATATTATCCACACCACTGAATCCCTGTGGACCGTATGGCGTGGGCGGGTATGGAGATGCTGGTTGTTGACCTGATCCTCCTCCTCCTGATGAAGACCCGCTTGTGCCTGGATACAGTGTCGAAGGTTTCCCACTCGTAGGGCACGAATCAGGTGCGACTGAGGGACAGAAGCCTATATATGTATATATAATCATGAGCTTTGCTGGTAAGTATAGGGAAGCAATACAGTAGCAAAGAACAAAGAGGGAGAGGGGTGACAAGTATGAAACAAACTCGGAGGGACTCAACTGGTCGAAATCCGTTGTTGCGGCGTATCTGCCACATAATCACCGAAATCATCCTCAGAACATGTTTCGCCTTCAAAAGTATGGAGAAGGCCATTCCAATCTATTTATCCCAGGGTTAGAAAATTGACGATTCCGAGGATTTACAATGTGCAATATGTTATGCTCGGCTATGAGAATCAAAACACGTTGAGAGCAGAAGGTGGACTCACGACCAACTTCATGGACGGTGGTACCACCCATGTTATACCCTCCATAGGTACCGCCAGGCATGGTGGCGGATAAAATATTGCAGCCGTCGGTGATATAGCGAGCCGGTCTGGTGGAGGAAGTGATGCCAGCTGTGGGCAACGTGCAGAAGCCCAGCAAGGTGCTGCCATCGGGAGTGTCGGGATAACCATCGTTGGAGCGCAGTTGGCTTTGAAAGTAGATATTGAGAGTTGAGTAGGTGCCTTGACGGAGTGCCTGTTTCATGGCGACGTCGTCGCCGTTGCGTGCCCATACGTCGTTGGTGGTCCGCGTCACCCCTGCCAGTCGGTAGCCGATGCTGGAGTTGGCGAATGATTCGACGATATAGTTGAATTGTCGTTGAATCGTTTCGTCTGTCACGTAATTTCGAGACGACGGCGACGCACTCTCTGTGTCTGACACAATGTGCATGTATGTCTCGACGGTGAAGACTGCTAAGGCCTCGGATCGTTGGCGGTGTGTGTGGTTGTGTGTACTGTGGTCGATGGTCCAATACCGGCTTTTTACCAATGTGGCGTTCCAAAGCTCATTGTTTCGTGGTTCGTTCTCCCTCAGCCATCGGTGGGAGTGCCGAAGACTGGCTGAAGGGGGGTCTACACCACAGTTGCGTCGAATCGGCCGATATCGAGGTAGTCCTGCGAGGGCGATAGGTAGACAGAAGAGAGTCACCAGGTATATGGACACAATGCCATAGTGATGTAGAGACATATGCATGATTGGAGGATCACCACAAAATCACAGATGTGCATAAAGGAAAGAGATGAAGAGACCAAAGGAACGCTGCAAAGAAACCTGTCTCCAATAAGCGCATATGCACGACAGGGGAGTAACGTGGCAGGAATGTTGACGACCCAAAACCTGACATTCCATTCAAATTCTCTACAGAAACATCAAGAACCACAACAACAAACGCCATATAAATCGTAATCGGCCAAAGTCCACAAAATGGCGAGGCTTCCCAATATTTGGGGTTCTGGCCGAGAGCCCGGATGGTCTGAAAACCCCAACGCCATTGCCAGATTCTCAACCAGCGTCATCAACATCAAGAGTCAAATCACACGATGCGGTCAACACTCGTGTCACGACGTCCCTGGTCGAACTTCGCGACCGGTGCTAGTTGCTGTGGGGTTTGAGTCGTTATTCCAAGACAAATAGGTGTGGTCTCCAAGTTTCCTGCACTTTGTTAGCGACAATTGGTAGTTTTGGGATCTGTAGCATACCTTGGCCTGATCAGATTGGCAATAGTGAAAAGCACCCCGAGAACGATGCAGAGACCGCCGACAACAACATATGCAATCCCTAGGAATGAATTCTTTCCACCAATAACACTTCTGGTGGAAATCAAGACACTCTTGGTGCCTTCATAGACATCGACTGGGAAGACTGCGACAGTTAGTACGAGGAGAATACTAAAAAGGGTCACTCACAATCATAGATGTCCATTTGATAGATGCCGGCGGTCATAGTATCATCGTCATTTCGCAAAGCAAGTTTGCTGAAAGTAGGCAAGCCAGCGGTTCTCATCCAAACTTGGAACTCTTCGTATTGCGACAAGTCGGGAATGGGATTCTCATCGGTATAACCGTCTGGGTAACGAAGAGCCCAATTTGGAGGGGGCGCAGCCTCATCGTTGCGATAATTTGTCCGCCTATACAATTCCGCGTCACTGGACCACGCAATGCTTCGATTCGTCATGGTATAGGTCTGGCGCTCTTGTCCTCCAGCGGAGTTTACAGAAACGGGGCTGTTCAAGGTGTCATTGAACAACGAGTTTGCAATCAAGCCACATGGGTAGATCGGTCTGCCATCAGGGGCAAGTTTGATAGGATCGCATGAGCTCGAGTCAATGGTCCCCGCAGAAAGTGCAGCGCCCCTCAATTGATCGGTGTCAAGGGATCGGACATATCGTCGATGGTTTTGGTAGAAATTGGTCAAGCGGTAATAAAGATAGACAGGGGGGCCGATATCGTTGGGAATGGAAAATTGAAGGGTGCAGACATTTGTTTCGTCGATGGTCACGCTATAGGGAGGAGTGGTGGAGTTGACAGTGGTTCTCCATTGAGGGCGGATCGAACTGTTTGTAGTCCTGAACTCCGAGGAAACCTTGTTCTCTGGGATAGGAGTGAAAGAACTTGTTGCGGTGCTCGTGCAGTCTGTATAGTCGATGACTAGTTCTTGTATCTGGTCAAGTGGTTAGGCAACATTTCGGTCAACTCGGGCGCATACTGACGGAAGCACTCGCCCAGAGCAGTAGACCGCCAATGGGAGCAAAGATGATACCGATGCCAAAGAGGATGGGTAGAACGGTCTTGGGAGTAAGGATGGGTCTAGATCGGGGGTCAGCAACAGCGACAATTAATATTAGGGCGCAGGATATCCTACTGCCAGGCTTTTAAACGTTGCTGACGAAATGCAGTGTCTAGGCGGGTATTAGTGATGGAGATCGTAGACTGGTCGCCAACATGGACTTGCTAGCTGGTCTTCTGCTCTTCTGCTTCTTCACAGGTGCCTCATTGTGAGGATCTTCTTCCTGTATTGAGTCTGGTCTTTCCAGTTCGGTTTGGGACATGATGGGGCCGGATGTGGTGGAAGAATAATTTGGCAGCGGACGTCAGTCAAGGGGCTTGAGTCGCGAGAGACCTGGGTCAATTGGGCATTGCCGAGTCAATGGAGACGTCGATGAGGATGATGGGGAGATTCGATCGAGTGAGAAAAAAGGGTCGAGGGTCGAGGGTCGATGGTGGCTGTCGTCGAGGGGATTCTTCTGGAGGCTGTGGTGGAAGGAGCCTGGGAAGTCAGGGTGTCAGTTCTCCGGCCGTGCCTCCCCTGCCACAGTCCAGTCAGCAGAAGCTGCGCCTGATTGGCCAATTAGTGTCTCTCCTGGCTGTCCAGCCTGCGCACCTTCCGCCAGTTCCTCTAACAGCGCGTGAGAGCAAGCTATTCCCCTTTTATACTAGCGTGAATAGCACCAACTCCCCTCAGCTTTTTCATGTTCATCCAGATGAGATTCTTCCTTTTTTTCTCTTCTTTGTACAATACAAACTCATTCACGGACATGATTTATTGTAGGAGCCAGGGTTGCAGTCGTCCATGACACTGCACATCTCTTTCTCCTCTGCTATGTGTTTCCAAGATCAATTATTCCTGCGCCGTAGCTGGAGCTTGCAAGGACTCGCTTCCCATGATGCTTTTGTTCCTTACCGACGGTCGCTACAATTTTTTTTTTAGAAAATCTAAACGCCTGCACGATCTCGACTTGGAATTCATTGGCTCTTTGGCACAATTCGCAGACTTTCAGATCTATCAATCTAGGGGTTTCACGTGTATCTTCAGATCATTGCTACTCAAATATCCGAAATGCCCAAACCCTTCGCTCCTGACGCCGAAGCTGTGCGTTCAATTAGTGGTACATATCAATCATCATTTATGACTTCTCCCCGCCATTCCAGGTAGTTTCCTGCTTGGTTCCTGGGGCCAACCAGCCATGCTTTGCCTCAGTAGCCCCTCGATTCTGACTGTCATCTCTCTTGCCTTGCGAGTCCCCTCTTCCGTCAATCCTGGGATAGCCTTGGTGAATTCCAGGCGTCTGAACTTCTGTCACTGGTAATAACGCCGATTTGTGACGGAAATGATCAGCTTTTGTTCGTCTCTCTGCAGCATCCTCTGTACTGGTCCGATCGTAAAGATACAGACCGACGCACGTCAATCCGATGCCCAACAGTTGCACCTTCGTGGTTGAACTACGGAACCAGATGACTGCCACAATGATAACCCAGACCCGTTTGATCAGTGAAGCCACAGAGTAGGATACCGGTGACATCATCGATAGCAGAACAAATGCCATAATGTTTTGGAAAAAATGGAATATTCCATTAAAAACATACTCCAACAATAGTTCGCCATGGTCGAGTGTGTCTTTCTTGGCTGACAGGGAGAGGGACCCGTCTCTCCAGACATCTTGGAGAATCTCAAATCCCTCGGTGTAAATCCAGACCGGAGCCGAAAACATAAAAGCCCCGACGGAACAATAACAGAGTAGGTTGAGCTTGTCCAATTTTCGTGAGGGGTGGAGTTGATTGTGAGCTTCTGCACGCGACGCTTCATTGAACAACTTTTTGGAGAAGATGTTTTGCGTCACAAAAACAATGGCCGCAATGAACGCGGCTGTGATGCCCCAGAAGTTGGTGGAAAAGTCCGTCGAGCATGCCAACATGACTCCCAGCGTCAGCGGCACAAGTGATAGATATGTCGCTCGTTTGTACCGAATACGAAACACAACACGATAGGCCAAGACGGTAAAGAGGGGCGATAGACCCTTGATAGTGTGTACCAGTGAGACTGGAATCTTCTCCGTTGCATAGGAGCTCAGCAAATGGCCCAATAGTTGAAAGACCGAAAGAGGAAGAGCAGTATAGATGACATCCCAGGTGGGCCGTCGCAGCCCATTCCTAAGTGCAGGAATCATGTTTTTCAGACTCGGGAAGAGGGACGACAGACTCGTCAGGATGATGCACCAGGTAAAGACCGAGAAGAACTGCAGAATTGTCAATGTGGCCGGCTTTGGATATGCGTTCAGGATGGACTTTGAAGATGTGTTGGTCAAGGCTGATGTCATGTACCAAACGATGCAAAGAATCTAGCTAGAGTCAGCATACCGCCAGCACCATATATGAAAAAGGGACAACTGACAATGAGTTTGTAAGAGACCGGTGCTTTCAAGGCCTCGGCCAACTCCTGCGCATTCTCACTGACACTCCCCTGTCGGGTACGGAACTTGTTGATTGCATCACTGACACTTCTCTTAGATCGATGTCCAAACACCCCTGGTGGTCGGGCATCGCGTAACCTCTGGCTCGCCTTTCGCGAGGGCCATTTGAAGTCGGGGTGGGGAAATTGTCCGAGCGAAGGAGAGGAATCAGAAGGGCTGTCGACAATTGCGGAACCATTGGAGTTGTTGAGCGGAGGTTCACTTCCACCGGCGTCGAAGGATGGAAATCGTTCTCTGTTGTATTGGTTCTCAGGGTTTTTGTGAGGAGATAAGGATCGCTGGATGACAGTCTTGGATTCTGAGCTCTGGGTCATCGTGGTGCTCATAGTCAAGATTGTGGGCAGTCGATGGGTAAAAACGAACGGTGTCGACTTGCGAAATCGGCTGCTGCCAACTGGATCAATGTAATCTCAGGGCGTCAAGGCTATGCTTGCCATGTTGTCTATGAGCGCGAGACAAAGGCGTATTTTAGTCAACGAGTGGTGGTATACAGATGGGGGTATTCTGTCTGATCAAGTAACGAACGAGGTAATGCTGTCGACACAGGATCAAATCGAGGTTGTCTGTTCGACTCGGTAAGGCGCAGGTGCAAGTTTGCAAGTTTGCAAGTTTGAGGCTGTCGCAACATGGCTTGCGTCCTTTCAAAGCCACCAGATGCTGTGACCAGTCAGTGATGGCGAAAGCATTGCGTGGAAGACGTGACGCTATTCCTATTGCGGCACCTGACATCTGTCGTTTTCGGAGCAACATTATTCCAGTCAACATCTCTGGAGACTATATCCGAACCTCCATTCAATCACTAACCAGCCATTGCTAATATCTCTTGGTCTAGGATATCTTCTGATTTTGTACGAATACATCACAGTTTGTTCAAAGGTTGCTGTGAGATCCGACAACAAAGTAGGATGTGCCCGACCCAGTGATGACGCAGAAGTCATGAGGGTCATATATTGTGACCATGAGGTTAAGCTTGATCGTCCAGTTAACTTTCGGGTGGACAGCTGCCTGTCAGTTCTTTCACAGAACCCACTTTGAACAGGATGTCTTGCAGAGCAGCGTGGTGGATAACAGACAGATTTCCTTCTCACAAACCTGGCATACCCTTGGTCCTTTCAGGATTGGAACAAGAGGTGAATTACAAACCCTCTAGCTATGAACATGGTGTCACTGACAACGAAACAGAAGCTGTATGGGGCGCGGATCCTGCTGAGCGATATGGCGGTATTCAAAACATCTCAGTTGACGATGTTACTAAATTTGAGAGCCCCTTGACCCGGAATGCGACCGTCACCTGGGAGCGCCGCTTCTTTGATGCTCATAGGACCGAAGATAGCTCATTGGTTGAACTAGTCGTTGATTACCCTCATGTGGACTGGCATTTCTCTCAAAAGATCTACGGCTGGGCAGCCTTCCAATATCAAGCATGGGTCAAGGGCGAAATTTTCAATGCTGGCATCTCCAAACAGAAGGTCTATTTGTTTACCGACAATCTTTTGGAGCTTTGGATCAACCATGACCATTACTTTGGAGGAGACTATTATGCCTTTAGACGAGCCCCGATCGTCATAGATTTGGAACCTGGCCCAAACACCGTCAGTGCTCGACTAGTGGGGGATATTCGTTCCATGGGTGGAGCATATCCGCCAATTCTTCGAGCTACCCTCGAGGCTTTCATAGCCACGGAGAGCCTTTACCTCGATACCTCGGCCGTCTTGCTTCCTGATGTTGTTCAAGGTCGCTTTTGCAGTCCATATGGCAGTATCACGGTCAGGAATCAAGCTGACCATTGGATCTGTGTGCAAAGTGTTCATCAGCTGGGACCATGTGCCAACGAAGAGACGTCTGTGGTCGACGATGGCCTCTGCCTCGCTCCTGGACAAAGTCGGCCTTTACGCCTGCGACTCAGCCTTGACGCCTGTGGCCAGGATTTTGTGCAATTCAGTTTGAAGTACACAACCGCCAATGCCTCTACGGCCACCAAATCGTTTGATGTTCGGTTGCAATATGCATCCATTGACTCTGTACAAAAGGTCACCTTTCTGCACCCTAGCGGGGTCGTTTCGTATGCCATGTTGCGGCCTCCTTCCTCCACCTCGTCAACTCCAGAAAGTGTCCTCCCTGTTATGATAAACCTCCATGGTGCTGGAGTGGAAGCAGACAGTGATCAGGTTCGTGCCTCATTCGACGATGTACCGAACCTTCCAACATGGTTGCTCTTTCCCACGGGTATGAGCCAGTGGAGCAGCGACGACTGGCACACCTGGGGTTTTGCAGATACGCAAGCTGCAGTATCGATGGTCCCAAACTGGCTCGAGAGTGTGAATTGGACCGGGCAAGGCATTTCCCTCGACAAAATTCTGGTCACGGGACACTCCAATGGTGGGCAAGGCACCTGGTATCTTGCCTCGCACCAGCCAGATCATATTCTCGCCGCAGCCGCAGCTTCCGGATACACCTCAATTGAGAATTATGTACCGTATGAGATGTGGTCCGAGGCAGATCCTTTGCAAACCGCTATACTTCAGACTGCTCGAAGCAGCTTCCGTCATGAGCTACTGGTGGAAAACCTGGCAGGACTGCAAATTTTCCAGCAACATGGCTCTGCAGACGACAATGTCCCGCCCTATCATTCGAGATTAATGAACTCCTTGCTGGCTCAAAGTGGACACCACGTCAACTATTCCGAAATGCTTGGAAAAGGGCATTGGTTTGATGGAGCAATGACAACGCAACCATTGGTAGAGTTTTACGAAGCCAGTTTGCGACGCCATGACTCTCCTAAACGAGCACCTGAGCGCTTCACTTTTATCGTACCCAATAGTCATGACTTAGGGTCGCGATATGGTATCTTTGTCGATCAATTAGTCTCACCCGACAGGTTGGGCAAGCTTGAGATTACAATTGAAGAGACTGAGAACATGACGATGTGGCGAATTCGGTCTTGGAATATACACCGCCTGCATATTCTCTGCCTCCCTTCTGTGATCAACAACCCGGACCAGGTTATTTTTGACGGCATGGTCTTTCCGTTTGACCTCAATGAGACAAATGCAACCAACTCTTTTGTCAAGCTTGAATCAGATCTATGGTCAAGGGAGGTCGCTTCGGACTGGCGCACTCCGGAAAATAGGTATGGTCGCCAACGCGGGGCCTTAGATGCCCTTCTTCGCAGCAATGGATCCTTCCAGCTGGTGTACAGCTGTAACGACACACTGAAACTTGCCGTTCAAGCAAGCCGAAATTTCCTGCAATACTTTGGTGGTGATTCGATGATATTACCAAGCTCCAGATACGGAGAGGCTGTAGAGGGAGAGAGCAACGTGGTTCTGTTCGCGAAGGGAAAATCGCTCGTATCTTCGCGAATTTTCAATTTCCCGGTTGATGTCCAAGACGAAGGTCTTGTCATCAACACCAGAGACTCAGGGCGGCTTATGATTCCATATTCCAAGGGTATGGGTGGTGTTTGGCTGCGTCCACTTCACGGTGAGCGATTGGAACTGGTGGTATGGGGCGTTGACTTACTTGGGATGCGACATGCTGCCCGACTCCTTCCTACTCTCACCGGTGTTGGCCAACCTGATTTCGTTGTCTTTGACGCCAGCGCAACGTGGAAGGGCCATGGAGGATCCATAGCTATGGGATTCTTCGATCGCTCCTGGCAGGTGTCAGGAGGCTCATACCTTCCATAGCTGAAGTTGGAATTCGAACTGCCGCTTCTTGAATCCGCGCATACAGCTCACCGTCGCAGTCGCAGTCGCAGTCATGCTATCGCGTGACATACTGTCCCGTCGCGTCTCCAGGGCTTCTCTTCCCACAAAAGTCTCGGCGTGTGTTAATTTTCCACGAAGTGAAGGATTTGTTTTAGGCAGGCGCGTTTGCCATCGCATCGTCACAGAGGAAGGTGCGGTTTTGTTGACGTGCTTGTGTTTTGATCTTCACAGACTCTGTCCACTTCTTTCTGCCTTCTGTTTTGCTTTTCCCCCTTCTCTTCCACTTCATCACCCTCACCATTCCCTCCTTTTTCATCTCTTTCCCCATCAAATCTCAACCTTTCGCCCTTGGCTGAAGTTGAGAATCTCATCAACTGCGGGGAGCGCCTTGTTCCCTTGCTTGATCGCACTGACCTGCCTTCTTGGACTGCTCACTTCAACTTCTTCCTAGATCGTCACATGTTGCCTGAGCAGGTCTAGAGGTGTCACCTTCTCATGGCTCCATTTGTCTCTACTGGCTCCCCAAGATCCTTGAATCGTAAACCTACTCCTACAGTCAAGGTGAGACCCGATCTTGTTGATGAGAAGATGGCTGGCAACCCCAAAACCAACTAGGCAAACCTTTGTCCTCTCACAACATGAACCAATTCCCTCAACGCCTGTCCCTTCAGCTTGTTCGACTACTAACTCTTCAAACAGACCATCACAAACTCAAACACTGCTCGCCTACCCTGTGCCGCACCTCCAAACAACATTCATCCGTCAAATCGCAACGACAAGGTCTGTTGATCTGCCTTTGTAAGCCCTGTTAAGATCTCACTCGCTGACTTCATCTAGCCTCTTGCGGACACAACAAAGATGGAGGATATCTTGGCACGTTTGAAGCTGAATGATGCACGCAAGTCCAGTCATGAAAACGCCTCACTTGACCGTCTCCTCACCAATCTTCAAGACCAAAACAAAGCTCTGAAGAGACAAGAGGAGGAAATCAAGAACGATTGTGGCTCCGATGGACATCGACCTGTTTCTTGCGGTGGTTCTGATAACTCTGACAGAGGAGTTACAACTGCTCTTTCGTCCAAAGCTGAAATCGTTGGTCCGGCTATTTCGATGTCCACTGCCAAAGCAGACGCTGCTGAGATTGCCCGTGTCAAGCAAGAACTCGAGGATGCTCGATCTCTCATCTCTCGCCAAGCGCAAGAACTTGCTGAGACTCGTACGTTGAAGCAGACCATGGACCAAGCTATGGGACCACCTTCGGAAATTGGAGACACTGGTTCTTGCAATGAAATCTCTGAGCATACCATTGGTCATCTGCAGAGCACTTTCAATGCTTCAGCTCATCCCTTCACCTCAAATGCAGACCATTGGCCCATGCATGGCAATGTTCAGGTACATCAGGAACTATCCGAACCTTTGGCTGGAAATTTCGGACGAGGTCGCGGCATTTGGCAAAACCACTCAGGTTCAATGACCAATTTGTCTTCTACCAGTCTATCCGGGCCAAGTTATACCAACGGTCGCGATGTCCGACTCTCTAGCCAAACCAGCAGTGGTGTGTACAGCACTGGTCCCATCTCCCCTGTTGATGCCAGCTATCAGCAAGGACGAAACCTGCCTTTGCCCAATGGTGCTCAATCCTATGGAGGCAACGATCTGTTGGGTGTTACGTCTCAACTCGGAATGAGACGTAACGCTCACCCACTTCGGATCAACACTTCAGCTATGAATGATAGCCTGGCTGCTCTCGGAAACTTTGCTCCTGCGTCCTCAGCACTGACTCCACCGCCCATTACCCCTTCCATGGGCTATGGAACCAATCATTACAACTATCAGCAACGTGGCCTGCCTCCGATCTCACCTGCTGTCACTGACTTTCCAGGTTCGTCTGGACAAACTCCAGCCACTCCGTGGCCCATTTCGGTAAGTAAAACTTTGAAACCCAATGATTCAGGAGACTTACACATACTAGGCTGGCGGCGTTGGTGGTCAGACATATGTTACGTCTCTCGAACCCATGAATTATCGACGTCTTCTCGACAAGTCGGTCTCATGTGATTGGAAGTACATTGTGGACAAGATTGTTTGCAACAACGACCAGCAAGCAAGCATCTTCTTGCAACAGAAACTCAAGGTCGGCACTGCTGAACAGAAGTATGAGATTGTCGAATCGATCGTCAACCAGGCCTATCCATTGATGATCAACCGCTTCGGCAATTTTCTGGTCCAGCGTTGTTTCGAGCACGGAACTCCAGAACAGGTTGTTGCAATTGCTAATGCCATCAATGGCAACGTCCTTTCATTGAGCATGGACCCGTTCGGGTGCCATGTTGTGCAGAAAGCCTTTGACTCAGTTCCTGAGGACCACAAGGCTGAGATGGTTCGCGAGCTACTCCGACGCATTCCAGACACTGTCATTCATCGTTATGCTTGTCACGTCTGGCAAAAGTTGTTCGAGCTCAGATGGAGTGGAGAACCACCTCAGATCATGTTGAAGGTCAACGAAGCTTTGCGTGGAATGTGGCATGAAGTGGCCTTGGGCGAGACAGGAAGTCTTGTTGTCCAAAACATCTTCGAGAATTGCGTCGAAGATGAGAAGCGACCTGCGATTGAAGAGGTGATCAGCAACATCGACCTGATCGCCCATGGCCAGTTTGGAAACTGGTGCATTCAACATCTGTGTGAGCACGGATCTCCCCCAGACAAACGCCGAGTCATCGACCACATTCTTCACAATGCATACAACTACAGCATCGACCAGTTTGCATCCAAAGTTGTGGAGAAGTGCCTCAAAATTGGGGGTCCCGAGTTCCTGGATCGCTACCTCAGTGTCATTACGACAGCACACCCGGATCGACCACGCATCCCGCTGATTGACATTGCTGGTGATCAGTACGGCAACTATCTCATCCAATGGATCTTGATGAACACTCATCACCATCAGCGAGAGCAAGTGGCGATTCATATTCGAAAGCACATGGTGTCGCTGCGTGGTTCCAAGTTTGGCTCCCGCGTTGCGATGCTCTGCTGCAACCCGAATTCTGTCACTCGACCAGGGCCAGGCGCAGCCGTGAATCCATTCGGTGCCCCGGGTCAGCCACGTAACCAGTGGGCTCGGTATCGCTGAAAGCCAAGCACCATGCCACTAATCGACATGATGGCAATCTCATCTACTTATGGAACATCTCTGTCGAAATGCACGGTATGATAGCAATCGTCGATACAATAAGGAGCATATCCTACGGCTTGAATACTCGCTCTTCGGCAGGGTAGGACAGCAGCGAAACTCGACCAATGCGATTGAACCACCTCGACGAGTCATGTTGGCATATTTCATACTTGTATTTCTTTTATCAGCACACGCGTTTGCACATGGAACGAGCACCTGTGATCAATGTTGGGCAGTGGAGGGATGATTGGCTGTGGTGATCCATATCTCCAGGGGCGTGGGGCAGGGCCAAAAGTATGTTGCGGAATGTGACCATGGAGCAAGGATATCTATCTTTCTTAACGGTGCATTCTAGCCAGATGCATGGTACTGGAAGTGAAAGGATATGTCCTGTTATCGAGTCAAGTCATGCACAAGCACGCGGAATAGTCACAGAGCATGTAATTAGTTAGCATAGGCATGAATCACACAAGATCATGGCAGATGTACACGTTTTATGGCTAGCACAATACGACATTGGGTCAGATTTGGCTATGGCGTTCTTACAGGATCGGACGGAAACCTCGGTCGCTCAGATGTATTGACTTGATTTTAGTCCTTGCCTAACAGTCCACTATCTGGGATCGCATTGGGCTTGAGTATATTGACGACGCCGGTTCCCGTTTCTCTATGGCCGTTGACGTCAACCTGGGAAGCTGTGTTCTGGACTGCCGAAGCTGACGGATCCACACTTGATTTGACGGCTTGACCGGCTTCTGGGTGGTCGAGTTGTTCTGCCACTGTCGACGAGGCCGCTGTCGATTCGGTCGACTCCCCCACCCCAGATTCTGTAACTGCGTCCGCACCATCCTTCTCCCAAGGTTTCCGTCTCCGAGGTGTCTTATCTATCTTGCTCGACCCAGGCTCCAGAACTGTCGTCGGGATTTCTTCGATGCCTGGAACGGGAATGTTGCGCGTAATCAGGTCAACTATCGCTGCAAATGAGGTCGGGTAGGGTGGCGGTTCATCTGCGGTTGACTGTGGCTGGGGATTGGGAGAAAGCGTGGATGATGAAGATGTGTTTGCTGTTTGTTGGGAGGATTGAGCATCGAGCGACGAATCAGTATGGGCAGGGGGAGGGGCAGGTGATTGTTGGGTTTGAGGCGAAGATTGTGAAGTAGGCTGCGCTTGAGATGATGATCGAGTGTTTTGCCATGTGGAATACGCGCGTGCGTCGATTGGTGTGGGAAGATTGTATTTCCTATTAAGCCATGCTCTTCAGTGTTAGCCTCTGGCATGTTTTGTCTGAAGCAATTGGGTATTGCCCGCGATCTCTTGCTTGAACCACTGCATTCTGCGAGTTGTTTCAAAATGTCTGTAGCCACATTTATCTTGATTCGTTGTCTGAGGCTTTCCTTCTTTTGCCATATCGTAGTTGTATTTAATTGGCCGCAGCCGACTGCGGTCGTTCCACCAGTGTAACTCACCTTTCAAAATAGAAACATTCGGCGCTCCTCACTAGGTCAGCCTTCTCGACCAATTCCTCTCTCGTCGCAGGGGTCTCTGGATGACCTAGAATCGCCGATAATCCCAACTGATATTCGGAGTCTGCGTCAAAAGGATAGCGGCTTAGAGCCTCGAAGATCTGGGCCTCGGTAGGGACCGGGTGTGGATGTGAGGGTGTTGTCGATGTCGCCATGTCTTTGGGGGTTTGTGGTATAGTTTGAGGGTTGCGGAGTTTCCTGGAGATTGACTCACAGCGAGAACTCACCGTTTCTGTGTAGGCATGCGATCAAAACTCGTCCGAATATGGCTGCAATATGTTGAGCTTTGCGAGATCCGAGGCGTGGTCTGAAGCATGTGTTAGGTAGGTAGGTAGTTGGAATTGACGAATTGGGGTAATGAGGGGAATAAATTACAGTGACAGATATCTTAGGTAAGCACATATCTACTCCGTAGGGAATTAATCTTCTTCCGCTCCGGATGCCAAGGGCTGATTCCCATTGCACCTTCCCAGTGCAATAATATTCTTTTCTGTTCGCTCCTTCCTAGTGTCCATTTCTATATACATGCATGTGTATACTTTGGTAGGTGTAAAGGCAGCAGATTGCAGCTATTTCCAAGTTTATGTGCTTGATTGCATTTGTATCTCGAATTCTATCACTCTATATGCCACGGTCATTCCACAGGTCTCCGGCGCAACTTTCCTAGCGATGGATAGGGAAGCATTCAAAACCTCCTGAATTTCAGTTCTCCTCGGACTTTTTGATCACGCTCAAGATCCAGTCAACCACCCATTGTTTGGCTGTCCAGTTGGGACAGTGATCAGCTTGAATTCTTGTCACATCAACCTTGCGACCGCTAACCCTTTCGATCTCATCGATACCGCTTTGCTGCACAGTTGTCGGAATGCAGATATCCTCTTCGCAGAAGAGGTAAGACACCGGGATGTCTTGATATCCGGCATATGTTGTCTTTTCGTTGAAACTTGGAAACGAGTGTCGAGGAAATTGATTGACGATTGCTGTGCCAGCTTCAAGGGAGAGGTTGTTCAGACAAATCCTTGCCGTTGACGCGGGATCCTCGTGTAACATCCAGCCGTTTTCCTAGTGTACTCTGTCAATCCCACACGATGCAAAAATGGTTGAAACTTACATCTGGCACGATATTCACTTGGTTCTCCTTCGGTCCCTGGCTCAGAACATCTACTGCTGATTGTCCCAGGGCAGGAACGAGTGATGTAATGTAAGCGAGCCTCACGATTCCACCAGATTTTCCCTGTGCCTTTCTCTCCTTTTTGCTAAGTCCCTTTGGGGATTGTGTTACCGGGACGCCGCCATACGAGTGACCAATGACAATCACATCCTTGCCCTGGTCCGCCAGTATTTCCGCCTCTTTGGCAATGAGAGCTGCATCCTCAAACATATTCGGTGCTGGACCATCTCGGCCCTTCTTTGGGGCAATGCCAACACTAGGGGGGTGGAGACCCTTGATCTCATATCCTTCTCTCGTTATGTGGTCAAAGATTGGTTGGTAGCCTAAGACCGGTCCCACGAAGGAGCCAGGAAAGAGGAGAATGGAAGGTTTGCCCATGTTTGAGACGCACTTGACAGGGTCAATTCTAGATTGATTGCTAAATCCTCACGGCAGGCGGATTGTCAGCTTGGAAGAGACCAACAAAGGTCAATCGAGCCTTCTTATAGATCATGACTTCAAGAACGAAGCCCGGAAATGGTGCACGCGCGATTGTGTGAAATCAGGGATTAATAATATGTTTCTCAGTCTCACACGACGAAGCCAGTTTCTGACATTGGCCTCACCAGCGCTACCCGCAGATAACACATATGAAGTTAGCGTGCCCCGCATTGCTCCTTTTTACTTAAGAGCGTTGGATAAAGTTGTGGGGAACTACGGAGTACGGTATGATGGGTCCCTGCACGGTCAGAATCTAGCGTTGGGCGTTCGTGGGTCAGAATTATGCGGCTGAGACCCTTTGCTCGACAAGTGTCATGACACTCCAGGTCCAGATAATCTTCACGCTACAATTACTTCAGGCGTTCACAGGAAGTAGCTCTTGTTCTGAAACTGATCAATATGATCTAACACTGTAGATTGGCTACAGCTTTTGATCTTGACAATTGCACCTAGTTTCCTTCCACTACACCTTTTTGGCTGCTGTCGCACTCTCAGATGCAATCTCGCGGTGGTCGACTTGGATAGACTTGTCCTCAACTAGGCCATGTCCATCCTGTGTCAGATGAACCACGACTTCATCGCCAAACAGTGCCCCGATCTCTTCGATTGGAAGACCTTTGGTTTCGGGCAGATACAAATAGGTAATAACAGCGCTTATGGCCGACAGTGCCATATAGATCATGAACATACTCCATCCACTGAAAAATTCATGTTAGCAATACAACAATCAATGTAGAGTAGTGGTATGACTTACATGGTTTGGAAAGCAACCGGGGCTGGGGTTGAGAAGGTGATGGTTCCGAGGAAGAGTGCAAAGATGCCTAGACTCACGCCTTTGGCTCGCAAGTGAGTTGGAAATGCTTCTGCAATCCAAATGAATGCCGGTGCATCCACACACTTGGAGACGTGTCAGCTGTGGAGTAGAAAATGCGTGTAGATCATAGCGAGAACTCACCTGGAAGAAGATGATATATAGGAATATGAAGAGAACGCAAGCTGCGTTTCCAGCTTTGTTATCAGTCCCAACGTATTTCCACTGCAGAAGACCCTCAGCCAGAAGTATCAGAGTCAGGGAGATGTAGCCAATGACTGTCATCGTTAGTAGGTGCTGGTTGACGAGTGTCGGTACTCCGTTGCTCACATATGAGTCTGCGTCGACCGAACTTGTCCACGATCACAATGCTGAGAAGGACAGCCAACGTTCCTACAGTGGTGTGGCTCGCTAGTTTGGTCAGCATCTTTGACATGCTGGCGATTGCATAGACTTGACTCACCATACATGATCAAGGGCATGGAGCCTGTCATTCCCAAGGATGCAAAGATCACGGGGAGATAGTTTGTGATGCCATATATCTATCATTCTATGTGAGTATAGGGCCGACAATTGATGACAGAACAGCATAACTTACACCAGCCGCCTGAGCTGCGAATCTTTGGACAAGTTTTAGCATTTATAATCTCGATTGACAATGGTAGAACATGACTTACGTGACGAAGAAAGCAAGTAATGATCGTTTTCGCCAGCTCGGTTTCCTGAACATGGTGATGAATGTTGCCTGCTCTTCCTTTTCTGCTTCAACCTGACGGACGATTTGAGTGAATTCCGCCTGGGCAATCTCCTGATTGGGATCATCCTTGTCTTTATGCAACTTTTGAACCACGGCCCAGGCTTCTTCGAGTTTTCCTCGCCACGCCAGATAGCGAGGAGATTCTATAGATTTCTGTCAGTGATATGTCTTAGAAAATGGAACAAAGTAGACTTACCAGGCACGAAGCGAAGTCCGAATAGGAGAGGGAACGGAGGCACACAAGCAAGAGCCAGTGGAAGACGCCAGCTTAATGTCAAATTGCTGGCGAAGTAACAACCGACAGACATCCATGAACACCTTGATACGTGCGTCAGTATGAGTCACAAGTCTCAGAGAATGATGGAGGACATGACTCACGTAACATATCCTAACCCAAAGCTCAGGACAGAGAGACCCGTGAGTAGACCGCGTTGAGCCGGAGGAGATACCTCGGACAGATAAAGCGGGACGAGAGTGAGAAGCATACCCAGTCCACAGCCCTGCAGCACGCGGACGACACAGAGCATTGGAATATTGACTGATCCAGCAACCAAGGCGCTGCCGATGAGAGCAATTACGGCAGCAACAGCAAGAGCGACTCTGCGACCCCATCGATCGGCAAACCAGCTCTGTAAGAGGGATCCCATTGCAGCTCCAAAGTAGAAGAGACCATTGACTGCGCTGATTATATCTGCGGTATCTATTCGGCCGTTCAGAATGGTCAGCATTGATTCCACAGCTCAGGGAGAGAGACCATCTTCAGAGGGTTCACTCACGTTTGGCAGTTGGATCGAGCTCAAAGAACATGTAAAACCCAGGTTGACCGAGACTGGCAACAAAGACGGCACTTCCAAAGCCAAACTCGAAGGAGCCGAGTCCGACGACCAATGAAATGGTAATGACATAGAGAGGGATTTTCGGCATTCTGGAGTAATGATGTGTTGAAAACGAATAGGCAGACCTGCGATTGGGAGCCAGACAAAGAAAAAGAGGAAAGGGGGAAGGATTTGGAAGAAGCATGTGAGATTCTTATGTATCTACCCTCATATTCCTTTGGCTCCCAACTCCCCAGATTCTCCACGGCTATCACAAGACGGGAGAGCCCGCATTGGGCATTCTAACCATCACCTCCACATCAGACTCAAACCCCGGAAAACCTGGAGTCAAAGTAAATCTAGACCGCGAAAAATGAGCAGACCGTAAAGGCGAATGGTTCTCGGCACACGAGATCGTGGGGTAAACCACATAAGGGTTGAGAAGCCAATGAGAAGAGGTTTAGGTGCATAGAATAGCCGTTATGAGGCGGCTATCGCACTCAATTGGATGTAAGAGCCGGTCTCGACAAGATCAAATCACGGTTCATGGTAAACACTCACCAATCAACACAACACAAGAAGAACTGAAACGAGATAGAATGCCAGATACAGTAGAGAGAAAACATTGCAAACCTCGGCCGAGAATCAAATTCGGAGGGGGTTTCTTCAACGATTTCCTGGAGAAGGTTTATTGCATGCTTAAATTCTGACTGCTTAAATTCTGACCGTGCAGGAGAGAAATCGGTCCCATAGCTAAAGTCCTATCTACGGAGTAGTAGACTTCTAGGTACTTTGGTGTTGTTTTCAGGTCATGGCCCACAATTAAATTAGGCCTTGACCCAAATCTGGGGCCCCTCGGCCCTCGCGTCCGGGCCCCGCACTCCTCATTAATCGTCTTCCCTCTCACACCACGTAACTATATAACTACTATGTACCTAGGGAGTAGCACTAGGTAATCACTAGGGATCAGAAACAGTTCTCCTTCGAAAATAGTTAATAATCTACTATCACGCCGCCACCTTCCCCAGCGCCAAGAGCTATGCCTTCATAAAGGGCGCACACACAAGATGGACACCTTTCGGGGGTGTTTCTCGAAGTTCCTTAAGATAGAGACTTAATATTCCTCTATTAATATGACTGCCTAAGCTATAAGCTCTTACAGTATTGCTATAATTATATGGAGGAACGGTCTAATACCGTGACGAACCACCTTTTCGAAACGGACCAGTGACGTGGGCTCGGCAATCCCGAGTCTAACGAAACGGACGAGTCTGGGGGCGGGAGGATTG